CTCGAGTGGACCTGGGAGCAGCAAGCACGGGAGGCGGAACTAAGCCTTGGGCTATTCTTCTCAACTCACTCGGCTTGAGAACGCTGCTGGATGTTCTAGCATTGCGTGAAGCCGCATACCGACACAAGCTGCTTTCCAAAGCATCTTCGTTAGATGTCTTTCGCCATTTGTCGTTCATTCCATCGCTTGCGTACGCCCAGCATGAAGACGCAGGTAGTATGGCTCGAGACCTGGTGGCGGTGAGCAGAACACAAATCGGGATGATCTACAAAGATGCGCCGACATCGCTCTCGTGGAACCACTTGTGCCTTTTATTGTGCGTAGATATTGACCGGGTGCAGACAGGATGCGGCAGAACAGGTTTGCAGGCGTCGCTCCGAGCTCTGAGGGATTTGACGTTGTGGTCACAGAGCGCAAGTGCACGAAGGGCTGTTCTTCATTCGGCCGAGATATTTCGAGTCTTGTCTCAGCATCGGGTATCGGATGTCAAGACGTTGTTGCCTGAGCTGCTTCTTTCGAATGCCGCGCTCGTGATGGCAATTTATGTGTTTGTGGCGACGATGAGTGTTGCCTCGACCAAGGAACCTCTAGAACTGTTACAGAGTATAGATTGGGCTGATGTTGGTATTGAAGGGTTCTCGACGTCCTTAGAGAGGACTAGCCTGGCACAAAGTCAGAGCAGTGGCAGCAACATGTTATCATTCGGCGGGCGGCCAGCCTGGGCCTTCATCGTCGAGGGAGGTCCGTTCACGTTCGGCAGCGAGACCTATACTGCGGGAGCGACGTCGGCAAGAAAGGTGGTGCTGACTTATGCACAATTACTGGACGAGATTTCGCCGCGGGGAGGATCAGAGTATGCTCGACTGCTTCGGACTATTGGTGATTTCTTAGGTGGGTTGGGAGAGGATTATCCTCAGACCGAGGGAGAGTGAGGCTTATTTGTGCAAGACATAGCATTACTTCGAGCTTAGTAAAAGTGTAGGTCGTGCCTATGATATCTCTGTATCTATAAAACGTCTTAAGGTTAGACCTTTAAACTCGAGGAAATAGGTTCGGTTAAATCTAGGCTTGTAAGGGCGAGTTGCTTAGGTCCAGAAACGGAAACGGATCTGGGAGAGCAGATATTAAGTGATAGAGTATGGAGGATATCTTTAAGAAGAGCTATATAAAGTAGGGTCTAAGGCCACCGGAGAGAGTGAACTATAACTCGCATATATCGGCGCGTATACTAGCTTTACTAAAAGGGATAGCGTTGTAGGCTCGAATAAGAATATTAGAAAAGGTCGACATAGGCTAGGAAATTGCTATAGCGTGAAGGATCTAGCCAGCGGCTATATATTTAGAATAACTATCTAGATATACTAGGGTATTGATGATGGCGAGTAGCTTATTAAGGATGGATCATTAGATGGAGTACTTACTAAAGGAAGTGATAGGGTCTGGAATGGGGGACAGGTCATCATAATCTAGCACTAGACCAGAACCATTATAGTGGAGAGTGATGGTATCGGTCTTAATGGTATTGGTTAATCTGGGGTTCAAACGCTTCTAGAGCGTGGAGGAGTGGGCCTTGAATGACATGATTCGTAGCTGCCCAGATATGAGTGTTGCCAGCAGAAATGGAATAAGTGCGAGTAAGGTGACGATAGTTGACATGATGGGGTGTAGGTGTGGCCTGGTTGCTGTAGTCATCGTCCCTCGTTCTTTGTCATGTGTTGGTGGCTGCACACTGGATATGGGATTCATCAGTTGGTACTACTGTGACAGCTGCGCCAGAGCGACCCTTGTGGTCCACGTCCGAGAACCCTCAGTCGAGGAGAGGGAGGGGCCTTAAGCAGCAAGGTGACAGTGGGTGTTGAAACAGTAGTTTAGGAAATCCACGACTGTGTTGGAGACTTGGAGTAACACTTGAAGTGTCGTCATTTGCTCTCGTCATTGCCAAGTACCAGGATGGATAAACACGGCAGGTCCTCACAGCATTAACCCTAATCCTAAACTCCACCACATCCGTAAGAAATAAGACGATACTGTAGTGCTTCGGCCAGTGAGGGCAATTTTGCCAAAGAAATCTTACAATATCTTGCCCATATATTTATGTTTCCATTGAAGATTCCTGAAACGCCACTGAAGAGCTTGGAAGCATTTACTTCAGGGTGCTGCGTGGGTCACATGACATGACTCCCTGCCCGCTCAAACTGTCAAACGGGAGTAGTCCGAAGGAGCGCTTCAGGCGACAAACAGAGTGGTCTCCCGCGATCAGAAGTGAGGCCTCAACTGAACCAGCCAACCTCTGAGACAGAACATATAATGGACAAGATGTAGACTCGTATAAGCTCACTCAAAACAAGTCCAATATCTACAAATGAGCCTTAGGGGCTCCTGTTTGCTCGGCGGTGGCCACATTGATGATAGGGATCCGCAACTGCAGAGTTCCTTTCTGAGCCAGCGACTGACCAAACACCCCGGAGTCCATATGATGATTTTCAGCCAAGATGCCCGTCGCCACGGCCTTTCCAGCTCGCCAGCCATGGACGAACCCGCCCCCTAAATGAGTTCCACCCATTTCTGCTGTGGGCGTGAACCCACCAGCTACATCTCCTACTGCAAACAATCCTGGTATGAGTTGACCAAAGACATTGATGACTTGCATCGATGTCGTCGTACGGAACCCACCACACGTTAAGCTGACCCCTGTGACCATACGAGAAGCATAGAACGGTGCGTCTGCGATGAGTCGTGGGGTAAAGTCGACACGTTTAGTCAAGGGGTCGATCTTTTGCCCGGATTTGATGAAGCCGTTCCACGTCTGCACGCTCTTGACCAATTTCTGTACGGGAACCTTGATCAGATGAGCCAGTTCTTCAAGTGTTTCAGCCTTGACGAGGCTCGACAACTGGTTGACATAACGACTCTGACGAGTCTTGGTTGTGTCATCGAATATGTAGTAGGCCAACTGGTCCTTCTGCTGCTTCAATGCTTCGACCCGATCCTGATACGGGCCAGCTTCGTCATGGAACCGACGTCCCTCGGCATTGACTGCAATAGCTTCATCAGTCAGAGCTGATGCGATTGCCACAATGGGTGGGATCATGCTCATGTTGACCAAGTCCCCTCCCACTGCCTGACCCAGGAGGTGCCCGTCTCCCCGACATGTCGAAAGTCCAGGATACCACGAATCTAACGACGTCGGTTGATAGCGTACCTTCAGAGCCGGATTGGCCTGATAGCCACCTGTGGCAAGGATCACTCCATTGCGAGCGAATACATTGAACGCCGGATTTCCATCGTTGGGCTGACACCGTACTCCAACAACACGTCCACTCTCGGTGATGAGTTTGACGGCTGTAGTATTGACATATGTGCGCACTTTGGCGCCTGCAAAATCCTTCTCGAATGCTCTGGCAAATTGCTCCGTGTTTTCGACTGCAGCTAGCCGCGGGACTGTGGTCTGTAGTGGTCGTTTGATCAGACGAGGAAACTTGACACCTCTTTTGGTCAGGATGTCATATAATACATGGCTCTCTTCCGCGTAGCGCCTCGCAAGCACCCGGTCCCAGTCTAGCCCGAAATGTTTGCTCGATTGCTTGATCAGCTTCTCGCAGTCTTGCATGAACAGCTCGACGGAATCTTCAATGCCTTGCTCTCGTTGAAGAGCCGAGTTGACGAATGCCACCCATCCAGTCGACCAGGTTCCGTTGCCACCAATATCTTTGTATGCTTCAACAGCGACAACATCTGCTCCGTGCTCAACAGCTGAGCCCACAGCAGCAAGACCTCCAGGTCCGCTGCCAATGACCACAACATCCGTGGTCTGATCTTGCCCGTTAGACTGGAGATACATGTTGATAGACAAGTGATTGATGGAGTCGTATATCAAAATCTATCAATATTTGCTCGTACTGATGTACTCGCTCTGTACATGTGCCGCACTTATACTTCTGGACATGCCCACTGCCGAGGCGACAGATCTATTTGTCTTTGCTGTGATTAGTGGTCGAAGATTGAAAATCCTGATTTCGAATGAGCGTAACCTGGGGATTCTCCACAGAACATGTGTCGGAATTAATTGTTCTCTCTTCACCCGCGTTGCTACTATGGGGATGTATCCATTTATTACTCCGTAGACATCAAAACCAGGGGTCAAGTCGACCCTCGAAGCAAACTTCCTCGGCTGTACTATGCTATAAAGAGAAAAATTGCCGGACTCTCCACAAAGTGTGTGCTTTCCCGATTGGTCCAGACAACTCAAGCAAGATTATCGTTTGACCTGGCTTCGTTGAGGTGCGGAGAGATTGGGGAGAGTATTGTTGTTCATATCCCAGTGTGAAGCTACATCCGCTGTCCATCCACAACTCTGCGAAAACATTTCACGGTCTGTTTCGTGTTTTCAAAGTACTTTTTTTGAGAAATTGATATAGAAACCCTCTAAAACACCTCTCAGGAAGATCAAAAGGGTTTTGGATACCCCATTTTGGCCGCTTCTTGTTCTTCGACCGTGAAGTTGCGGCAGCGCATACATACAATTAGAATTGGAGTTTGTCGAAATTCTTTCAGCTCGACTCGACCAGTCGCCAGGCCTGTGTGGTCTGGACGTTACGCTGGCGCAAGATCACGCACACTTTGCTAAATCTGCGACCGCATGTACCGCACGAGGATGCAGCTCTCGTACTGGGGACCAGAAATGGGAAGATTCTCTGAAAGTAACGGGTGCGAACCCGCCAGCTGCGGCCTGTCCCGGATTTGTCTTCGGGAAAGGTAACGGCCATTGTTCTTTTGAGGATCCACATGAGGGAAAGGAAAGTTCTGGAAATGAAATCATGTAACAGGTGAGAGGGGAGCTCGTGTGAAGACTCCTCCCGGGATGAACTGGACGTAGGCATTCGAGCTCTCGTCGTTTGCTTCACAGATAAACCAACCACCTTCCAGGCTAGTCTCATGCATGGATGGACTCTCTACTACGCAACATTCTGGTCCGCTTTATATGCCCATCATCGTTTCGATCAAACATGCCGCCTTCCACGGACACGATTGACGGACGCAAAATCGTGCTCAACAAGGGTTGTGCCGACCCGAACAAGGGTCTTCTGGGCGTCATCGAGGTCGTACTGCCACATAGATGTAGTAATCACAGTGTATATCTAAACCCTTCTCGGCCCTCAATTACCAGCTCGCCACGGTCGGCTTTCCGATTCGCTCTGGTGAAAACAACAAAGTTCTTGCAAATCAGAACAATGGTCAACGCTTGGACAGCCAGAACAGTGTTCAAACCAGGGCGATAGCCAGGAGCATGCTTCTGCTGGAAAGCATTGCTCGCAATGATGCCTCCAAGGCCACCACCAGCAATCATAATCGCTGCTCCGATTGCTCGTTTCGTCTGCCCTACAATGTTGTTGTGCTGGTAGCTGAAGATACATGGGATGCTTGCATTATATGGTGCCAGGCCCAAGTAGACACCCGCGTACCGTACAGAGTTGGACGATGCATAACCCATCCTGAGGCTTAGTTAGCAATGAGGATATGCGCAGAAGACTGGTTCAACGTACATTGTAACGCCGATGATGGTAAAGCAGGCATTGAAAACAATGATAGGTCCCCGTATCATGAAGCGATCGCCAATAAAGGCCGCAATAACCATCCACTGTGTAAAGTTTCAGCAACAAATCGTGGTTTCACCATGTGTCTGACATTACTTACAATGGCAGCCAAGATATATGGAGGGAATATCAACACATAGGTGGTGAAGATGGAGTACCCCATTTGGCCGTGGAGTATCAGTGGTAAGAAGAATGCGAAGGAGTACGCGACGGTGTTCTGGGCCTGATCAGCTAGTGTCATGCAATGATGATCATGTCTTATCTCACATTGCACAAGAGAAGAAGACACATCTCCCACTGTTTCCAGTCCTTCAATTTGCTCAGGACTAGTCTGACTGTCATCTTTTCCGGTGTGGCGTCACCGCGGTCTCGTTCAATGCGATTCAAGACGACGGTGACTTCATCTGCGGTCAAGAATGGCTTCATTCCAAATCTCCTTGGTCGGGCGGCCTTGTCAGGAAAATCGACAAGAAAAGCCAATACGAAGAAAGCCACAATGCAAGTCGCAATACCCTCTATTGGAAAAGGAGCCATCAGCATGATTCCTTTCATCGGACATGATCAAGGACACATGAATTACCCCAGATAAAGATCCACGACCAGCCCCCCATTCCACCAAGGCCATCTGATTTGGATAACCCATACGCAATCAGATTTGAAAGGCCAGAGATGACCATGCCAAATCCATAGAAGGCGCTAAATCGCAGCTGGACTTCACGACGGATGTACCAGCAAGATAGAAGGAAAATGACACCCGGAAATAGACCGCCTTCGAGAGCTCCAAAGATGACTCTGCAGAGGACGAGTTCGATCCAAGTCTTGGTGAACCCCATGGCGATGGTCAGGACACCCCAGAGGAGGCCAATGATGCCCAAAAAAGTCGCGGGGCCGAACTTCCTCATGACGAAATTTGCTGGGAAGTCACACAAGATGTAGCCGATGAAGAAAACCATGGTCACAATCGAATAACGGTTTCCAATCGACATGCCCAAGGCATCATCCATGCCAGCGAGACGTGCATTGGGTAGATTGAGTCGGTCGATAAGTGAAACCGCGTACAGTGCTCCTGTTATCGGCAAGAGTCGCCAATCCATCTTTCGTCGGATCTTGCGCTCCTGAATTGCCAGCGTTTCGGATACGCCAGCCTCCAGCTCCGAAGCGTCTTTCTTATCACCGGCAACGGTGTTCACAGAAGTGGCATTGTCGTCGAAATGCTCCAAATGCATGCTTTTTTCAGGTTCTCGATCAGCAGCCATCATGGCGTTTGCGCACGAATGCTGGTATAGAGCTCTAGACGAAGTATGTGACAACGAAGAATACCTGGTGATTGAGATTTTGTAACAAATCCTGGTCTCATTTCCCCGTGGGGATTGACATTATTATATGTCGAAGACGATGGCAACTGAGGGGTCCCCACGACTCATCTCCTGGCTCGAATATTGATTGAGAGGAAGTCTAACACAAGACGAACATGATCCTTCTCGGGTTCGGGTCAATGAAAGGACAACGTCGGTTGAATGGCAAATCAGCTTTTTCCAAGCTACATAACTATACCGATTAGAGGTAATGTACCGAGAGGACTGCCCGGTTAGACATGGCGGGTCTCCATCATTTCCCGGTCCACTTACCGAGGACAAACTCAATTCCGACGATGAATCCAAGTTGGTCGTCTGAAAACATCTTGTGACATGCAGCCACCCTTTGCATGATTTCTCGTTTCGCTGGCATTTCTTCTCATAGAGACCGTTACTGGAATCGGGAGTCTTGGTTGCCTGAGGACTGAATGTAGCCAAACTATCTCTATCTCTTCACGCTGATTTCCCCCAGAGGATCCAGACTTTCCACGAAACGTCCAAAGCAAGAAAATGTCTCCCATCGCACAAGTCACCAGTAATGGGGTCTCTCCAGATATCAGCATTCCCAGATCACATATGCAGAGTGATGGGAATGCTAGTATCACCAATGGCCACCCTAGTAAGGCACCGTTCTTGCGTCCGGCTGAACAACTTGGGTACCACGAAGCCCTGCGCTTCGGCGGAGAACAGCTTGAAACCAACTGCGCTAGAGTTGTCGAACAGAATCCTGGGCTTGGGAGAGGGATACTTGAAGGATTCGGGGTTAGTATGGCCAACGCCAACCTCAGTTATCGAGAATGGGCATTGCTGTCCCTCTCGACCTTGACGGCCATGGGTGATACAGGTGATCAGCTGAACGTCTACGTAAACGCGGCAGCGCGGCATGGTGCTACTCGAGAAGAAGTTCTCGACGTCTTCAAACATGCTAGAGAATTTGTAGGGGCTCCTCGTGCTGTCAATGCGGTTCGAAGCACATGGCCTCTTCTGTCCTCCCTCTGGCCCGAAACACCACACGTCTACAGAGAAAGTGTTGTTCGACTCGGTGACCATGAAACCATCGTTCGCGACAGTCAAGGGACCGGTGTACCGATTATTCTGATCCATGCTCTGAGCATGGATGGCAGAATGTGGCGAGAGGTTTTCCCCATGCTGGCTGCATCGGGAGCCCGAGTCATTGCGTATGATCTTCGCGGTCACGGGTATGCTCGGGCCGCACCACCGACCAAGAGCTTGGAGCATCTATGTTCTGATCTTGAGATTTTGCTCAACAAGGTTGGCATTGAACAAGCCGACATCTGCGGTGCTTCCTACGGAGGCGCAGTTGCCCAGTACTTTGCTCTAGACTATCCCAGTCGGGTACGCTCATTATCTGTGCTCGCGACCGCTGCAAAAGCTCCAGCAGTTCTTGCAACTAGGGCTACTCGAGCTGAGGCCAATGGTATGGACTCTCTTGTGGCCGAGTCGATCATTCGGTGGTTTTTGCCAGAGACGATTGCGGAGGACACCTGGTGTGTGAGATACGCTCGCGGGTGCGTCAGGCGTGCCAGAGTGGAAGACTGGGCTGCTGCGTGGAGGGCCATGGCGCAGTTGGATTGCTTGGGTCGTCTGAAGGAACTCAAAGTCCCAGTTCTTGTCCTGTCTGGCAGACAGGATGCTTCTTCCACAACAGTGATGATGAGGGCGATTGCAGATGCATGCACGGGCACCAATGCTCAATTTGAGGAAGTCGACCCTGGAACACACATGATGGTTATGGAACAGCCAAAACCAGTGGGCGACAAACTGGTCGCGTTCCATGAGAAGGTCAATAGACTACATTCTTGAAGCTACCTAGATTGACGCCAACGAAAGAAGAAACAACATAGTAGTCTCGAACGACATTGGGTGGCAAATATGTGCGTGCAAATTGTAGGTATGGGCCGCACCTGAGTATAGATAGAAGGCCTTCCCACGTAGAGAAGGGTGGCCTCCGACCAACTAACAAGCCTTTGAATCAATAGCTCACACATGGACAGTATCCACAGGACCGTCGTTGACTTCGGAGAACGATGGCAACAAATCCGGGGGATAACACCTGAGCTTGACCCTTGACAGTTTCCCATTTGTAATCGTAGAGTGACTCTCGAGGTCTAGTCCCTCCTCGGTTCGGTTCGGCACATCTGTCCAGATCATTCCCTGAGCAAACATAAACCATGATTAAAGAGTCGCCACCGAACAGCAGCCAAGGACCGGTTGTCTCGGGGTTTCCGTATTTGGAAGTATTGCCAGATCAATGAGTGAACAAGATCGTTTGCTCGGATCCAGGATGAAGACTGATTGGTTCATCGTCTAGCATCAGACTGGTGTAGATTGCGACGCAGTGTGGCGGGCATAGATGGCATCGTGTCTTTCGAGTTTTGCGGAACCGGGAAGTTGAGTGTATACTCTCGCTTCGTCAATGGCGATACTTTGCAGGTGGATTCGGCAGGGCTGATCATATCGTGTGCGAGAGCAACTTTGACGAGCCAGAGAAGGTCCATATGCGGCTTTCGGACTGATAAAGTATCAGCGTAGCTGCAGTCTGCTGTAGCTTTGATGTCAAGCCTGCAAACAGTCATTCTATTTCGCCTCGTAGAATCACAATTGACTTGCTCTTGATCCCGTGGCAATCATGTCGCCGCCCAAAGATATTCTTGCCAACGGCCCTCCTGCTCTTTCGTTGAAACCTCAAATGGTGAATGGTACCGCGATAACAATTAACTCTGCCAAAGAACATGAAAACGAATGGTATCGCTCGAGTTTCTCGGCCAACGGCTACACAATCAACGAACAACCACTGCATACACGAAGACCAATTCGGATGCTGATTGTCGGTGCTGGAGCCGCCGGCCTACAGATTGCATACAAGGCCATGAGACAATTGCAGGATGTCAGCTTCACCATCTACGAGAAGAACGCAGATGTTGGAGGGACATGGTTGGAGAATCGATACCCTGGTTGCACGTGCGATATCCCGAGCCACTCATACCAGTTTTGTTTCTGGAGAAATCCAAACTGGAAGAGCTACTATGCCAGTGCCGAAGAAATCAGACAATATCTCAAAAGCTTTGCCGTGGAGAATGACTTGGAGAAGTTCGTCAACTTTGGACACAAGATCGAGGATGCCAGGTGGGACCAGAACGCTGGCCTCTGGCGAGTAAAAGGCCGCAAGGAAGACGGAACCGAGTTTTTTGATGAAGGGGAAATACTGGCTTCTTGTCATGGGGTACTGAAGTAAGTTAGACAAGGCCTCGGATATCGGTGATGGCCATTGCTAATACAGTCCTTAAAGCTCGTGGAAGTATCCAGACGTTCCTGGAATACAAAGTTTCAAGGGCAGAATCCTTCACAGTGCAGCCTGGGATGACAAGGTTGAACTGAAAGGCAAAAGAGTCGCAGTTGTCGGAGGCGGTTCTTCTGCGGTTCAAATCATCCCATCCATCCAATCCGAGGTCAAAAAGCTGTATCCCTTCCTGAGATCTCCAGTATGGATCACTGCTGGGTTCGGGGCAAAACATGCTGCACCCGGGGGAGTCAATTTCGACTGTGAGTAGAGTGGTGTTCTGTAAATCGTGACAATCAACTAATTCTGATGATTTCAAGATACCCAAGAACAAAAAGCAGAGTTTGCAAAGAATCCCACGGCGTTGGACAAATATTGTCGCGAGGTTGAAGGTGAGCTCAACAAACGATTTACTCTGGTACGATTGGCCCTGGCCTCGTTGTAACGATTTCCCACGATTGACGTCCTTAGATGCACCTCGAAAGCGAAGATCAGAGACAGTCTCGAGAGTTTGTGGCCGACAGCATGTTCAACAAACTCGAAGGCGACGAAAAGTTCACCAGCCGTCTCATCCCCAAGTTTGCTCTTGGATGCCGGCGGATGACTCCCGGCTCCGACTATCTTCAATCACTGAAGGCGCCCAACGTCGAAGTGGTCTTCGATTCTGTGGCTGAGGTGACGTCGACCGGTCTGATCGACTCTTCCGGCAATCTCACAGAAGTGGACGTGATTATTTTTGCCACAGGTTTCGATACTTCGTTCAGTCCTGCTTATTCCGTGACTGGGCAGAATGGCCGCAATTTGAGAGACGAGTGGAAGGAGATCCCCAAAGCATACATGAGTATCATGGCTGACGGATTTCCAAACATGTTTCGTAAGTACTTTGGCGGACGTCATACCAAGTTGAAGCTGACCGAGCGGCCAAAAGACTTTCCAGGACCCAACGGTCCTGCTTCGCACGGGTCTGTTTTGCCCGTCCTGGAGTGGCACACCCGCTACATGTTCAAACTTGTTTCGTACATGCAACGCATGGCCATCAAATCGCTTGTGCCGTCTTCTCGATCAGTGTCGGACTTTTACGTCCATAGTCATGAGTTACTCAAGCGGACGGCATGGTCTTCGTAAGAACTCTTGGTCCGAAGTCAGATTGGCGACCTTTGATGCTGATTGATGATAGTGCATGCCGGTCGTGGTTCAAGAATGGAAAAGTCCACGGACCAGTGACGGCGATCTGGCCCGGGAGTCGCCTGCATTACTTCGAGGCATTAAAAGAACCTCGATTCGAAGATTTTGAGATTGATTACTTGGGAGATGGAAATAGATTCCAATACCTAGGAAATGGCTACACCCAGACCGAGCTCGACTCTGAAGGAAACGCCGTCTGGTACTTCGATGTGTTGAAAGAGGAACTTGACCTTGGCTTCAAGGCATTCTCGTCCATGCCTCACGGACAGTGAGTGGCTTGGACTGATGGGATAGACCGACCAATGAGTTGCTTCATCGTGCGTCGCCAGTCGCCAGCGGCATGTCAAACATGTTTTGGAGCTCGTTGAGGCTCCAGGGGTCCGCGATTGTCGGATCTGGTATCTCCGAGTATCTATACCAAGGGTCAGCTCAAGGTTTAGGCCGGGCCAGCAGGGAACAAAGTACAAAGGGTCATTGTAGACTTGATCAAGATACATGCTCGACGCATCTGCGAGAAACAAGTCATCGAATGAAAATGGCCCTTGGTCCTGACATGCAGCGTCCTCAGAGTCTTTGGGCAGATTTATCGTGCTGCTTCGTTCGTCTCTTGCCGGAAGGCTCTCTTCTCCCGAGATTTGACTGTCAAGTATCGCTTGTGCCGTTTCGAACAGCCTCCAGGTAAAGTCTGCGCCCCAATAAGTGTTGCGTAGCTCGGAAACAATCATCATGCATTCTGAAAGTTTGGAACGAGCAAATTTCCGGACAAGTTGGCGGGTGGATTTGCAGTCATACAAGTGCAACTGCATGGCTGGAATCATCGCCGTGAGGCTACGAGAATCAGTATTGTCGCGGCTTGTACTAGGAGGAGCAAGTCAACTTACTTCATAGGCCGCAAGTAGTGCACCATGTCAGACTCAACGAGCTTCTCTATGATATGATTTACTCTGGCTGCCGCAGCGCGGGCGTTATGCAAGCCCTTCAGCTCCTCAGGCTGTTTGGAGTCAGAGTCATCTGGGCATGTTTGGAAATTGATTGCAGGGCGGTAAAGAACGATGACCGTTGCCCTGTTTGTGTCAGTGAATTTCGACAATGAGCACCACGAGTTTTGGGGTAGGGGTGGGGAAGGTATACTCGAGAAGCATCTCATACTGAAGCCGATTCAGGGCAATGGAATAGGCTTCCTGGTGTAATGACTGATTGACCGTAAGTCGGCAGGCGTTCAATTCTGCTTCGAATGCTTGAACATGGCCGCGTGCGTCGTCGTTGGTGGTCAAGCGATAATCCATCCTTATAATTCTCCCTAGGACATGACTCAGATTGATCAGCTTAATCCAAATTTCTGCATGTCGGTCCATCGATTTTGGGAGATATCTATTAGCGGTCTCAGGAGCGAGTTGTTCGAGCTCCGCCGTGACATCAAGGGTATCAGGCATCTCGACGTCACAATCATCGAGGTTGATGCGAATAGGCCTTCCTAGACCAAGGGACAGCCATCGATCCCTGATGAAGCATGACCACCAGATCCTGCGGTAGAGTCGTTGACGGGATTTTGCCGAGGGATTGGACAGTGAGACACGAGGTCGTCGATGGAGACCCATGACTTGACATAGACCGATGGCAATGCCTAGCCAGTGCCAGGGACCATTGCGGTCTTCGGCATCAGCATACCAGAAGCCCAGGAGGATGACAGACTGGACGATGCAGATCTTGTCGTCCTCGTAATCGCTGTCATATAATGCCTGACCAGAAATGAGTGAGCGACATGTGTACACAAGGTCGACGAAGAGGTTTACCTTGACCCGAGCATACATGGCACGTTTCATAGCCTTCCGGGATGAATACCCAGCTGCTTGTAGTGTTTCGGGGGAGGCAAACTAGGACTTGTCAACGTTGAATGAAGAAGGAGGGGGGGAAGCAATGGGTACATTTGCCGCAGCCAGCAGGACGCTCCACAACAAGAGAAGGTTGGTGCTTGGAGCGCCACCAAGGGTGAATTGTGACAGGAAATGGCTGGCATCAATGATGGGAAGCAGGGAATGGACGTGAGTAAAGTATTTGGCGACCAGAGTTTCGCAGAGTGAGGTGTTGGGGAGGTCAAAGACTCCTTTGCTCTGGAGATAGGTCCAGTCGTGAGTGTGCCACTTCTTTTTGCGCTCGGGGCTTCTTATCGAGGGCCAAAGGGTACGTTCTGTATGGGGTCTTTGTCCCGAGCAGATGTCCATGACAGAATGAACCAGGCCTTGTCGGTCGCCTTGAATAGGATCAGCACGAGTCTGAGAACAGTCACATAATACCCAATACCTGAATAAAAGAGTCGTTCGTTGTTGAATGGACTATTAGCTTGCAAGGCTTCGGCGAAACTGGTTGGATTGTGTCCTTCGTCTGTAGCATTGTCGCTTGACTGTGTTGACTGGAGCTGTCGTATATCAGGGCCGGGCAGACCATCAGCCATGTTCTGAGGAACATGAGGAACAGCGAGATCATGTCCTTGGGGTAGGCTTCCTTGTGCCCAAAAATCTAGCGGTTGTGAAGGAATGCCATCACTTTCTCGAGGGCTTGCGGCGTCTGTCCTGGGCAATGGTCGAAGTTCTCTTCTGTATTTGCTACTAGAAAGTATGTCAGTGGACTCAACCGACCTCATACATGGGATACAGACATGTGTTTCTTCCTTGGGATAACTTGGCATCCATTGGCATCAAGACCTTCTCGCCGACAGCTGGTGCAAGGTTTGCCGGTAGATGTAACACTGCAGCGAACCTTTCTGGCCTTGCATTGTAAGCAGGCGACGGCAGACCGATGGCGGCCCTCTGCATGTACAAAGGTCAATATGCCCTCGCTTTCCATTAGTCTTGGTGGAACAGATCTGGACCAAGTACACATGCACCTCCAGTGGGCGTGGCTGTGTGGAGAGAGATGATTTGTCAAGAGAGGGAGGAGGGAGGAGGGAGGAGGGAGAGAGAAGGTGATGGTGGATCCAGGCTTTAGCTGTACTAAGTTATACATACCTAGATAAGTACTTAACTTAAGGATATGAGCGCCCCTCAGCCCCAGAGGCCCCAGCAGCACACCCGAGGGTTGAGGGGTCTCCTCGGTCCTCCTTGGCCACGAAAGTCATCCGCCTCCATGTTCTTGGCATTAGGGGCGGCTGATGGGCCTCTCGGGTGCCCTCGGCGTCCTCACGAGGTGGTACTTTAAGCACGAAGGCCTGGCCACACCTACGGCCAGCTACGCACCTTTGTGCACGACCAATCGCTTATACCACGGACACCATGGAAGGTATCCCGACGACTTGGCATAGATGCTAGGGATTACAAGAGATGGCTGAGTCGCGTGATATGGAAGTGACCTGTGCTGACCTGTGGCCTGTCCAGCAGGTCACTACAGGTCACAGATCAAGCAACATTTCATAGCGACATTCACTACTATATAGTAGGGCCTTATGCCCGTACCTTTGGCTACGGCTCGTAGTCAACTTCAGTCTTGAATACAGAGATACCATTTGTATTCCTCTTGATCATTACTCGGTTTACTTGCATACAGCCCACTGTCCCACTTATCAGTAAACACTGACAAGTATCGTGAGCCATCCGGATCAGGATCTTGACATTAATCACGACACGCGTTAAACAGCGAGATACTTAGGTTTAGAAACGGAAATAGACTTTAGAGAGGCTAAGATTCGCCGCTAAGTATAGTGGTGGAGGCTCATCGTGGAGGCCTAAAGGGGGCCCCTAAGCCCGAACTAGCTTCTAAGAACAGGCATTAGATAGTACTCCGTATAGCTCCCCCGTACTCTACCGTGGCTCCCACGGCGCTCCCCCGTGCTCGGCTGGGTATCCGTCACGTGTCCGAGTAAAGCGGCGGCGATCCTTTTCCTAAACGAGAATGGTAAGGGACAAAGCATAGTTCGGGATGAACTTGATCACACGTCAAAGATATAGCTCTTATACCAGTCTAGTCTACATGGAAGGAATGATTGTGGAATTCGCATACATTGATTATGTGATGGGATATCTTAGTACCTACTTTTCTACCTTTGACGATCCAACAGACCAACAAATTCCAGATCTTGTCTTGTCCCTAAGGAGTTATAGTGATCAGACCGCAACACCGAGCTGCTCACGAGCCGCCTTCCAGTACGCAACACGGGAGTCATCAATTGTGGTCTCAACACATCCAGTGATAAACGCCTCCTCCCAGCCCTTCTGACCACCATTGATGACCTGCTGCTTCTGCTCCTCCGTGCACTTTGTACCATAAAACCAAGCCGCGGATCCAAAGGAGTATTTATCCGATTGAACTGTAGCCAGGATCTTATCGAGATCAGTTCCCGCGGCAGTGATTTGATCCTGAATCTCTGGAATACTCTTGGCATACTCGCCGACGAAGTTGGGCATCAACATCGCACGTGTCCCTTGACCTGGTCGTCCCGGTTCAGGGAAGTGATTGCGATTGTACTTGAATTCGCCGGATTCGTAGACCATCCACGAGATGAGGGCGGCTTGTTCGGCGGCGGTGTCGACTCCATATTTGGCGAATGATTCGATCATTGCAGCGGCGACTTCTAGGGACGAGGCTGCGCATTCCGCGGCGAAGGTGGCGCCGTTGCAGTTGGCTGATTTGGGTGCGATGGCGATAAGTTGTTGAACGGGGTCGTGGACCGTAGAAGAACTGTCGGTGGTGGTGGGGATGATGGTGTTGTTGTTGTTGTCTCCTTCATTACGGCGTGCGAATTGGGTTGGTTGCTCATCTGGCTTTGGAAGAGCAGTTGCTGTTGTTGCTGCCATGAGAAGCATGGCGATCATGTGTGGGACTTTCATCTTTTCCTGTTTGAAATTTAAGGGTCCTAGAGTTGATTGATAGGGATGAGATGAGCTAGGTTAGAATAGGACACGATGGTATGTCAGTTGCGGTGATGTATGGTGTATGTTCACGGTTTGTGGTAGAGAATTTTGTTGGAGGATTGGATTTCCACCCGGACCCGGCGCGCATGGCTGCCTTACTTCAATATATGTGTGGCATTGCTTGCGGATAGGATGGACAATGAAACCAAACACCTCGTTTGGGCGTCCTCAACTTTCTTTGTGAAGTCAAGGATTAAAAGGCAAACAAAGAAAATTCTGAGCGGACATTGGACCAGCCACAAAGAGACACCGACTCCTTTCAGGCGAGAGATACTAAGGAAGAAATGTCTGCTCACAGGTTGCGCTGCTGCGAGTCTCACAAGTCAGTCATGTCCCAATCAAGTCTCTGTAGTCTCGTGTTGTCGGTAGTCTTGTGTAATGTAATATGTTATCTCATGTAAAGTTGCAGCTGTAACCAACGGAAAGGAGATTGAATATCATTAACTTGCTCCAGCCCAGCAATATCATAACCCTGGACAAGTCCAATGTCCTCCACAGGCGCACATTATATATGGGTATCATTATTTCCGAATCTGTGTTTTTTGTTGCAAGGCTCGCTCAGCACAAGTGTTCACGCATATCCGACACCAGTGGACAACTAACACCCCTTGCAAGCTGAATAGTGCTCTGTACGCCTTAATCCGAACCGTCATTCATCCTCACCTTCTGCATCTTCATCATCTGTCTCCGCTTCTGCGTCTTGGTCGAACGTAGTGCCAACTTTGCCATCTTGTCCGGCATCTTCGAGGTCGGTGTCAGGGTCTTCTGCCTCATCGCTGGCATGGCCATCTTCGTCGTCGGCCTCTTCGTCGTGTTCAATTCTTCTACTCCGACGATTTCCTCCCTGCGTCTTCCCGTGGGCAACAGGCTCAAGGCCGGTGAGGTGATATTGTCCTTTGTGCTTGCGTATCAGTCCTTCTTTGATCGCCCAGGCTTTCAAGCCAGTATCGATCTCTTCCTGGCTCGCAGTGAAACCGTCACGCTCCAGGTGTCGACCAACATGTTCCATTCTATCCTCCCAAGACTTTTTATCTGGGCTGTTGGTAAACACCTGGCCGCAGAATCCACAGCTGCTTTCTGAAGGTGCATCTCTGTTCTCAATCCAGCAGCGAATTCGGATTGCTTCGAGCTCTCGTTCGAACATGTCTTTATCCTTCTTTGAGGCTCCCTCCTCACCCTTCCTGGTGTTGACCCAAGGTGCATGCATACGTCGACAATGTTGGGTAAACAAATCTTTTCTGTTAAAGTCATTAAAGCCACGATGATGACCCTGAGCATTCTTCGGCGAGCATGCCCCGAGGTCACACCTGAAAAACCCCAGCTGCAGGTGTTGGGATGAGACGTGACGCTTCCACTCATTCTTGTTCGCAAATGTAGATGCACAGCCGTAGTGGTGGAATGTACAGGGAAAGGACTTGGATCCGGATTGGCGTTTCTTCGCCGAAGGTTTCTTTGCCTTTTGCCGAGAGATGGTCTGCGAGTCTCTGACATGACGTTGGTTATGCTTGGTGATTCTCGGTGAACCCAGGACTTCTCGCAAGGACGGGTTGGCTTGTGCTCTGGAAGCTGACAGCGACATACTGTCGCCCTGGCGAGCCTTGGTGGTGGATCTCCGGGTTGATCTACGTCTGCCAGGAGTGAACTCTGAGTCGTTATCACTTTCTCTCGCTCCACTGTCCTTTTCATCGTCTACTGCCATGTCGTCGTCCGAGTTTGACATGCCAATGCCCGAGTCAACAGGGCTAGCGACGACCTCGGAGAGCTCCAGCTCTTCTGGATGGAGATTAGATTGAAGACTGTCAATCTCCTCTCCTTGGTCTTCTTCGGCAATTGGATCTGGCGCCATTTGAAAGTCTCTCAATCTCACCGGGGTGTGACTCATCGAGGGACCATTGAGAGAGGCGGGAGGTGCAAAGTGGGTTGCAGATGACCAACAAGAAGTAAAACCGTGTGACAAACCCGAGCCCACTGAAAGAGGATCTTGGATGGTAGATGAGGATGGCATGGTATATGGGCTGCGAACGACATCTGGGCTCAGGCCGTATTCGCTTAAACAGGAGTCGTTGCTTGAAAGTGCCACACCGGTAGGGTCGGTTGGCGACAGATAGCGTAGGTGTCTATACAGTTCCGGATCCTCGTATGTCGGCGCTGAAGTTGCAAGATGGTGAAGCTGGATTGGTGGGGGGCTTTGCAAAAGGGTCAGACCAAAGTCGTGTATGTGAGGGCCAGGTGCAGTCATATGGTGGGGTGGGGTAAGAGGGAGATGGTATTGCTGGGTCATGTAGGCTTCTTGGACTGTTAGAGCATCGAGTTGTGGATCGATACTGGCAACATCTCTATTGAGGGCAAGGTAATGATGTTGGGTATTGTAGATATACTGATCCTCAGTATACTCTGGTCCTCTGGTGCCCACTAGGTCTTGGTACTGTGCGAAGGAAGCCATAGTTGGCTCACACCCAACAGAAGGAGTGCAGTTGAAGATTGGGTTTGGAGGAGGGTCAATGCAAGGAACACTGAGAGAATTGAAAGTGGTTGACGCGGACAGTGGGATGTGGTCACACCAACTGGCAGATGAGGTAGGAAATCAGAGACGGAGGAACCAAGACTTTGTATGAAGCGGAGCGTTCTCTATTGCGAACAGCATGGGAGGGTGTTCCACGTCTGGCACACCACCATTGAAACAAGCCCAGAAGGAAAGCACGTTCTCTATTTGTTTCCCACTGTCTGAGAGGCGGAAAAGGGGCGGAGACCTTTTGACGGTATTGGGCATTATGGATGAGACCTGGTCGAAGAAATGGAGAGTGGCAGGTCAAGGATCAGGCCTCGACGACCACGGTGGTACAGCTCGAATATTGTCGAGAGTGTCAATGCAGAGCCGCATCGAGCTGCACGGCGAGCATGGGTGTACTAGTGGGCTCCTCTTAGTGTGCCAGAGTGCCAAATTCCATGCAATCGTGGTGAACAGTAAGAGGATCTTGTGGTGGGTACCACGAGAGAATCACACCGATGGACATGGGGTCTTCCACCGGCATGCATGACAAGCGAGATCTGATTGGGGCAGCGCGCGACCGGTGTAGCGTCTTAGTGCGATCAGGCGTCACTAAGCTGGTATTCGTAGTGGCACTTTTGATGCCTTCCGGCACTGCAAACCTTATACTGCTGTCCCAGGAGCAATCAAGAGTTGAATAGGTGCCGAGTCTAGTGCTTCTGTAAGGCGTTGTGGATGCGCAGCCGCGACCTCATTGATGTCGGTCGAACCCCGCCCCCTGCATCGCCCCATCCCCAGTGACAGGACTGCATGACAGAAGTCCATGAAAGATGGATGATGATTGGCCACAGTGCCATCAACAAGAAAGGAATTGGTAGTCTCGTGGTCGCGAGACGCCTCGATGGTCGATCGATGGCTACGCAGTTCTCCACAAACATGTGTAGAGGAAGGTGGTATGGCCCGAAGGCGTACCGAGTGTCCTGGCGTACCTGGTCTAGAAATGGTAGATGGAATCCCGTCCTCTTGTCGTCAAAAGCTCGCCTGTAATGGGCAAGTGCAACGATGGCTATGTAATCTGGGCAAAAGGCCCATTGAATTCAAAAAAGACATGGGACCCGAAGTAAAGGTTCGGAGTCGGTACGGCTCTTGAGCAACGTGAAAGTTGTGGCTTTTCGGGGAGCGCCAGCCCAAGCGAGGGTCTACCCCCTCACCCCTTCCAGCGCGAGCAATGGAAATATAGCAGGGATTGGGTGCTAAGAATACCCTGGGCCAGCCGACAATGGCGTCTGGATACGAGAGAACATTGAGGGAGTGGTGGGTCGACTGTGCGTCTTTTGTTCTCTAGCCTCTGGGTGGCTGCTCAGAGGGACATTGTCATATTCCTATTTGTTCTTAAAGCTTTATTACTGAAGAAGATGGTGATGTATGTAGTTGGCAAGTCGTCACAGAAGACCGGGGGTGGTGTTCTTAATTGTATCTAGACTCGACTGAGTGCCTGTTGCCTGTGACCCCAGTACGCTTTGTCGAAGTGTTTTAGATGGGAACAAGGACAAGCAGGCAAAAAAGGCAAAAGAGGTCAAAGCAAGCGTGGGAGCGGCGGACGGTGGACCGGACCTGGCTGTCAGTTGCGGTACAGTAATTCCTAGACCCAGGCACGCCAGGGTGGCCGACCTCGCACCCAAAGCTCGATGAAATCACCTGTCCTATTCTGTACGTTGACAGCACCAAGGGGACCAAGATCTGGCGATCATTGCCGGCAGGGGCAAGTGTGTGGGGCCAAGGGGCCGAGGGGCGGGTGAAGATGCCCTCGGCCCCAGGCTGCTGGGGCCTGATTGTGCGCATCTTGAACCTGGTTGTAAACTCGCGAAAGCGGAGGAAAAATTGGACCTCGCGGCATGATAGCCTGGGACTAAGGACGGTGGCATGGCACCATGGTCATTGAAGAACGATGGTGAAAGATTGGGGGCGGTTTAAAGTAGCCTGCCCCGAGATGGTGGAAAGTAGTGTGGTTGGTCAGTAGATGGGACACGTAAGAGAACAAGGGACAACGAGAGAAGATGTTGAGATAGTGGGGACAAGTTGATGAGGTTGACGAGATGGACGAGGTGGTGTGAAGATAGTTTGACGTTTGACTGCATCTATCGAGTGTCGAATGTTGCGGCAAGTACGCCCCCCAACATTACTACTTGGCTCTTAGTGTAGAACGTGCCTTCCTCTTGTCAAAATACCTCTGAGCAGCAACAACAAAGAACATCTCATCTAGGCATCCAAACAGGTTACATATGTCAAATAATGGCAAGGCCGACGCCGACGCCGACGCCGACGCCATCTGCTCGATCCACCTAATTACCAATTGATTACCACTTAGAAATGGCACCAAAAACGCTTCAAGCTCCCAGGTTGGTCCTGGTAGTACATAGGCGAGGGACAGTACTCCGTACGCATACTTCCGGAGTACACCGTAGAGAGCGTGGATGGTGGGTAAGGTCTGGGGTAACTACGCGTGGTTAGAAGCCTGAACGCCTGTCGGCCTGTGTTTGTGTCCAGAGGCCCATTGGCTTCCGGCCCTGGGGGCTTGCGCTCGCATCGGCCGTGGCCGCCTACGACGATTATGAACTAAGCAGGCCTACCTTATTAGGTACTCACACGCATAATGGTATGCGAATTGGACTTTGTGGTCGAGGCTTCCCCAAGCCCCTCCACCTTACCTCCTTGAGACTACACAGATCTATCTCCCGCCAAAGTTGATGAGAAATTTAGTAGATGGCCGGGGTCCTCAACTTCAACCATCATTAAGAATACAATGCCTGCCCAAAAGGCACATTGTAAGCCCTCCTGTCACGTTTGCTGGGAATTTGTGGTTGTAGATCACAAGAAAACGTGGGCGATAGTGGAGCAATTTCTAGCCGGTCTGCCGCTACTCAAGTACATACCCATACGGAGTAAGTAAGCGCACCCTCTGGCCTAGCCCCCGGCCGCCTCGGCCCATCAAGGCTCCCAGCGGGACTTCGGGCCCACTGGGAACCTGTGACAAGTCTCACTGATCCTCGTGCCCTCTCCGCTGTCTGTAGCCTTCGGCTTTTGCCGGTCCTAGACCTGAGCCAGGTGTCCACACATCAAACTGTGTGATCCACAGACCACGATCCCAGACGCTTGGGTAAAATCATGATTGCATGGCAGAAAATGTCTCCAGATTGTTGATTCGAATGCGCTAAACCCCTAACTACTTTTGTAAAGGACCAATAATTCTGTTGGATGTGAACGTCATCTACGAAAGAGAGAAGATCTCTCGGTCCTTTAAGCCCCCAGCTGGCCAGCGCCCTCCCCAGCCAACAGCTCTTGGCAACCGGGTCGCGGCAATCACTGGGTACCTTAGGCATCTGTGGCACCTATCAAGCAACTGTCACTGCTTCCAAAGACCCGACATACTGCTGCTGTACCTACCTGATAAGGCACGTAGGCACCTACTTTTACCCAGTACCTACTAGTGATGCTCTGTTTTACAAAGATACCTAGGTACCTGAGGTAAGTACCTAACCTAGGTAGAGATAAATTTAATCCCTGTGGCCACGCCTGGATCTGTATTGACCATGATCGATGCGATCCAGAACCATACGAGTAAATGCAGTCTTTGAGGAGATCATGTTTCACTAACTGAAGACTACCCAAAATCGTGTCCCTGAATCAGACTTGTACATACTTGTACATACAGTATCATGGCACGCATGGATCCCAGGACTCCAGCAGCCTGTCGCAATGCATCCATCGACCACTCTGGATCTATCCACACATCCCACCTGTCTCCCAGTGGTCACTCACCCCCTCCTAGGCGGTGGGTGAGCTCTCACACCTGCGTGACCTGCTGTCTTCCCCCGGCTGCCCACCCACGCCACCCTTAGGTATGTCGCGACCTGCATGACGCTAATCACTCTGTGTCCTTTTCCCTCCTCTTTGACGCCCGTTTGGGCCACCGCTTTGACTGATCTAAACTGCATTGCTTGCACAATTGGCCGTCAGTGTGGACGGGCAGGGTCTCCAGACGCCAAGGCAGTCCCCCCAGTCAAATATCCTCGTTGTTAACTGGCCCATTCGTAACTCATCATCTCCTGATCACCCTTGAAAGTGCCAATCGACCAGGTACAACCCAATGTTGACAAGAGCCACAGAGCCAGAGTGACTCCAGGGCACATGCCCAAACTCTTGCCAGCGCCGTGCAATCATCTTCTTCTGCATGGTCACTGCTCTGACGCATTGTTGCCTTTTCTTCAGCACCAATTCTGCCTTTCGAGATGTTGGCTACATAAAGAGGAATCACATGGGCCAAACGAACACAGTTAATCAATCAATCCCAATCTCTTATAATCTCCTACCATGAATTTTGAGCATGGGTGTTGAGCAGGCCAAGGGTGCATTGGGCGCTACGAGCCAGCAGGTGTTCGAGTGTGAATGGATCAACTAACCAACCACTTTCTTGCCACCTTTTCTTCCATATTGTTGAGCGCATCCGAAAAAAACATCCATCCATCCATCCCTCCCTCCCTCCCTCCCTCCCTCGCTTCGACTACTCACACATACTCTGCATTTCCCCACCACTCGTATGCGTAGCGGAGGGCTAGCTAAGATCGACTGCAAAATTCCACGTGTCTCCAGGGGTCTGATCCATCCGACTTGGGACCTTGGAACCTGCCTTCAAGCCACCAAGTGCCCCTTTGGGTCCTCGACAGTGACTGAGACTCGTCATGCACCCTCCAGCTGTCGACCTCACTCCATCCAACTCGCGCATCGATCAAATTTGGCGAGGGACGGATGCGAGCTGCATCATCCCTCCCTTGCTAGACCCTGTCATCCAGCTCATCACCCATGCTTACAGTACTTCTTCCCACAACTACGGTTTCCTCTTGCCTTTAGCCTTTTAATGTGGCGGTCTACTGTCCTCTTTGGTCTCGACTGGATCATGAACTGCGTTGATCTTGCTCGAAGAAGCCCTTCGCCCATCCATTTGGGTCTAGATCCTCTCTATGCTCATCTCATTCAATTTTCGCTCGCTACCATCGCTCCCATTGCCCCTGCAAGCCAAAATCTCTGTCCACGTCCAGTAGCAGCAAATCTGTCTTCCATGCCATCCACCACCTCAAGACATCTTGTTTCACCAAGACTTCATGCCAACCCCGGTCGTTGCACAGCGCTGGCATGTCGAGTCCCCTATCAAGTCCCCTATCTCCAACCTCCCGTTTGTCTGGTCACATATGCGCGCGTTAGTGCTCAACCGGCTCATTTCCCCCATGTTGGACCAAAGTTGTATGCCTCCTTCAAATCTCGCGCACACGAACTCGAATGCCATCCTCGTCGTACCAATGATAGTCGTCGGAACTAGTGGGGTTGATAGTGTGCCTCTGCTCAACAATGATTTCATCGCCGGCTCTCATGCCTAAGCCCTCGGACGCTAATGATTCTGAGCTGGACCGGGGTCGCCGATGATTTCTGGCTCTCCCCAGTGCATCACCATCGTTACGAATATCCCCCTCTCGTGCTAGACCATGGCCCAGAGATGATGAATGAAAGGATTGTGGGCTGTAGCGGCCACTGCGGTGTATTGCACCCTGTCTTTGATGGCTTTCAGCTGTATGGACCAGGTTAGATTCCATCTCAACAACTGTGGGGCCCTCTTCGAGGTTCACAAGCCTACCAGCGTCACCAACATACCCCATGTTGTTTCTGCTTCGCCCTCGACGGCCCGATCTTGGTCTTTGTTTGCACCGATTCTCATGCATCCGCTCTTTCTCAAAATGGCCCGCAACATCATGTGGGTCTTGTTGTGTTGAACGACCCCTTGCCAAATGACCAGGTTCTTCCTCATGGTCACCAGGGTGTATCTTTGATTCTTGTCGCCTTGGGGCAGGCGATGCCCTGGTTTTGGGTCGTGAATGATCTGGGCCATACCGCTCTTGGTTCTGTCGATATGAACCTGGCTCATGCTCGAGAACGGAAGGATCTGGAGACTGGTGTCGAAGAAGCAGGGCCTTTCGTTCTCGGCTACCAGAACGAGGAAAGGATTGTCTGGTCAGTTTTGTTAGCACGCGAGATTTTCATGTGACAAGCGAAGCACTCCAGCCTACCTTCGATACCGTATGTGATCATTCTCATGGTAAGCAGGTCCATCTCGTTGAGCTATCCGTGGTGTTTTACGGTCATCGTCGAAGTATATTGCATGATCCACAGGGGACAGCCGCAGGTGATGGATACGTCTCGATAAGTCTATGCGAGATGTGTCCGCTCGGCGATATCTCCCTGAACGATGCCGGTCATGAAGGTCATCGGAGGTCAAGGAATCAGAATCTGAAGGCGAGAACTCATCATAGCCATCAAAGGGCCTGTCTCGTTGGGGAGAATAACGACGAGCTCGGGCCGGCGGGCCCCTCTTCGAAGCTGATCTTCTTGAACGAGTTCTCGATCTGCTTGATGGTCGAGGACGATGGTGACGCGACCTATTTAAGTCGACGCCATCCAATGAACTGTCATCATCACTGTCTGTAGCCTCTGCCTGACACTTGCGGCATATTGTCTTTACAGGGAGCTGTCCTGCTGGAATGGGATGTCTGTAATGATAACGAGCCGATCTATAACGACCGCATATCTCGCACTTGTACCTCATTTCTTGCGTTGTAGGTAGTGGGAGATGTCGTTGGATCGAACTTGGCACTACCGGAGGCATTCCAGCATGCGGTGGGATGGGAATCGTACCTGGAGGACCGACGGCAAAGGGGTTTGGATGCCCAAAGATAGGCTGCTGTGACGAGAAAGGGGGAGGATGGAAATTAGGCACAGTAGCGTTTGCTGGGACGGGGAACATGGCAGGATGATGAAATGGCCAAAATTGTTGCTCGGGTGGTCTCATCAAGCTCTGCGAGTTCTTGTCTGCGAATTGGCCAGGATGATACTGGTAGGGCTGGCTATGCTGACTGAGTGGAAGAGGTAGGGCGTACTGGGTGGTGGATTGAGGCAAAGACTCGGATTGCGAATGCGGCACATTGGGCGATGGCGAATAGCCTGGAGCAGACGTCAGACCGGAAGGGTGAGACGGAGGCATGATCAGTGGATGTTCAGCTGTCGTGGACTGCTGTTGGTCTTGGTTGGATGGGTTCCTAGAGAAGAATGAGCGAGCGGTTAGGGGTAGAACCATCTTTGATAGCATCTCCCTCAAGGACGGTCGTTGAGATTTGTCTCTGACGAAACAAGGGCGGCCATCAGGACCCCGTTGAATCCAGACAGATCCGGGCATAATACAGGTGAACAATGATTATCGAGAAAGTGAGGGTGAAAAGGGTAAAGGAAATGGCAAGGTCAAACGCAAGAACTGACCTAGGTTGCTCCTGGGATCGGTCGACGAACCCGTGATAAGCATCATATGAGGCGTAGTAGACGCTGCCGTTGACCGGATTGTAGATGGCTGGAGGAGGCCACATCTCAGTGAAGCAGACGGTGCAGTGATAGTGAACAGTTAGAATGGCAAGGGAACACGCTAACCATGAACCTAGTCAAGGAAGGCGCGACTTCTTGGACGCTTTACATGACATCGGCCGAAGCTGGTGGATTAACAGTAAATTTGGTGGCATTCTGATGGCCGTGGTGCTGCCAATTCCGTCACCAAATCATGGAACAACATCTAACGAATTCAGCGAGCCGATCTCGAGCAAATGCCAACAGCTAGATCAGAGATCAATTCGCAAGGGAAGTAAGGAAAAAGTCTTTGCCTCAAAGCGCGGTGACGTCTGGTCACAGAAATCAGATCACAGAGTAACACGTGGAGCTCATTCCAACACGTGTGATATCAAGTAACTTGTAACCAATTCCAAAATAAGCATGATTTCGATATCGTGACCTACTATGCCACAGGTTTCTGAGATTTATACCTTTGATTCAACACGATACCCAAAATCTCATCACTGTGGTCCAGTCGCGACCATGGAACGAAGCTCACAATCGACATCATGAACGGTATGTATTGCCTTTCACCATTCAAGGCAATGGGTAAAAATAGTAGCGTGATGCACTGTTACATTTCACCAGTGTGGCAATATCTGTGCCATGCTGAAAGTTTCATACACTTCAAGTGGCATCTCTCTCAAGCCCAGGAAAACCTCAAGAATCATGTACCCTCTTGACACCGCATAGAGTAGTACAACGGGCAGTATTAGTCCCACCTCCCATACTAGGATAGGCTTTGCCCTCTCTTGGTCCTTCTCAAATGCGTCTAAACGCTTGACGGTAGCCCGGTGTGCTACTGTCTTTTTAGGACTCCCATAGGCATCTTGGGTTTCGCGGGCATTTTCACTGGTAACTCCAATCTCTTCGTCGGCCATTGGCTGGGGCAGTTGTTTCGTCAAGTGCAGCAGTATTAGGTATTTATCCCATCTGCCATATCGCTGGCGAGCTGCTATAGTCTCAAAAACCCAAAAGAGAACGGTTGTGCCCGTGACAATCAGGCTTGAAACGCGCCATAATAATGCTTCGGTTCGCGATGGAAAGGTGAATCGCCATCCGACCAAGTGGATTGAGGCGTAGGCCGTTGTCATACAGAAAAGGACAAACTTCTCAAGGGTGCTAATATCGGGGAATCGATCGTTGGGGAAACGTCTTAGTGGCCTCTCGCGGTTATCGCAACGGAGATTGAAGAATCCCATAACATCGTAACCACATGTGAACGACTGCTTAGCAGGGGTATGTCGGTATGCGGCTGCGGCTACGTCGCCAGCTTTGATCAAGATCTCCTTGGTAGCAGCCTCCGTAGTAATGATAATGCCCTTTTGGATATCACTCGGCTTATGAAGCCAACAGATAAATGTACCGAAGGTGCAGAAGACTATGGCGCCAGCGGATAGCTCTAGAGTTGATGTAGGGAGACGTAAGATTGCTCGACCAAGAAGCTGGCAGAGAAGCCAACTGGCTTGTGTCAATGTGAGGATTTTGCTGAGCGTATCGGCCTTGGACTTATCCCAGATTTCTTCTGCAGTAATGTTGGGGTATTCCAGGTATTTATTCTGCACCAAGTACACCAATTGGCGGCTGTTGATAACAAATGGTGTGCTGTCCTTAGGCTGGAGTAGAATACCACCCATATCGACGAAGAAAGCGTGTCTGAGAGTCCATTGCGGATAGCCAAGGTTACGAAATCGTTTAACTGACCGTCTCGCCGAAGCAAATTGGCCAATTGCAACCGACAGAACCAGCTCTGGGCCTACAATGGCCCAAGCCATCCATTTCACCTTCCTGCTTAGGACTTGAAGCTTGGTATCTTGTGGATGGGCAATGTTGAGACACATAGCCGTCCATGTACAGAGGAAAATGGTCATAAAAGATCCCCAAACTATGTCAATGGTGCCTCTGCCATCGGGGCCTGATACCCATCCGGCAACCAGTGCAGTCGCATTGCTGACAGTGGTGATGTTAACGGATGAATTTGGGGGAACAGCTATATGATCAGAACTTAGCATGGCGGACGCTCTTGGGGGCGAGTTGGTGTGCTCATCGCCTTCAATCAGGGCTAATATATTGAACACAGGCCATACGGACGCAAATCAGTCTGACACTGTCTATGTCTCGCGGGAACGCAGTAAAGAGGCTGTCTGATGGGCGGTACAGTCTTACTACACAAGCCAACCGTGGATCATGTCGCAGTCTAATCCTGGGGGTCATGTTGGACGGTAAAGGTGGTGAAGCACATAGAACAGACCTTAGCATGGCGCAGCCTCATAGCCAACATGTGGATTTACAATCAGACTACTCAGTAGATTCACTAGAGTTTTCTCACTTTCAGCTCTTGAACGAGATTAAATTGGAGTGCTATAACTTAGCACCGATTTTTGCCGCACTGCGGCTCAGCTGAGACTGAAGAATTGGGAATATAGGTATGACCACTGTGATTTCAAAGTGAGAACACCTAGGTACTTGGTATGCGTCTATCTATAAAATTAAAATGAGAGCCGCTTTATATCACTTCTTGTTTAGTACCAGCCCACTTAGCGCTTAGATACCCGACCATCAACGTTGCGGCTACGGGGCAGGCCGAAAAGGAAAGCTTAAACAAACACATGCTAATTACAGTACTCCGTACAGCGAGTGTGCGTGAATGAGTTAGCAGGGATTAGAAGTGATAGGGCTATCAACACTCCTTGTCAATATCTACGGAGTAGCTAGATAGAGCTAAGATGGATATGTTTCAGATGTTTTACAGTGTTCTAATTGAATCTGATCGAGCAGCAGGCTTGCGCAAGGTCCCATGTTTTACTAAATTACACACGTCTACTTTAGGTAATGTGATACTGTAGGACCTGCTGAATAGCACTGCAGTGCCGCATTCCCAGATGACATCTTCTCTTGGCGGGTGGTTGTCGTTGTTTTAAGGACGACATGTCCACGTTCAACTCAAGCTGCTCGCGTCACCATGCTCTCCAACCCCATCGTCCGTGTCCACGCTCACACCACCTGAACCAATTCGTTTACAACAACTGCTCAAGTTCCTCGCAAATGGTGAGACATTCAGCTCCGTCTCAGCCGCCGACTGTTGCGCAGGCTTCCCCCCTTGACGCCGACAAGCCAAAGAACGAGGCGTACTGGCCCATAATCGCGACCAAAGATCAGCTACCAGGATGGCTTCGAGATAACGACTTTATTGTCGGAGGGCACCCAATGCCAACATACTCTTACAGGCGGTCCTTTCGTCTTTGGGGCTGCTTGCACATGGAGACCATGAACATATGGACTCATACTGTCGGATCTGCGGCTTCTGTGGCCACGGGATTCGCTGTCTATGTCTATTCTGACCAAGGGCCCCCAACTCTCGACGTCAGCGTGGGCGACCGATTGGCTTTTGGCTCTTTAATAATTGCAGCTGCAATTTGTTTTGGGCTCAGCACCATATTCCATACGCTCAGGAGCCATTCCTACAACGTACATCACTTTTGGGGTAAGCTGGACATTCTCGGCATCTGCGTCCTAGCACTCGGTGGAGGTGCATCGTCGACCTATTTTGCATTTTATTGCAACAAAACTATCCAACACGTCTACTGGGTGCTCAATCTGTGCGCCGGTGTAGCTGCAGCCATCACACTCTTCGACACCGGTGGTGGGGGTAGCAAGATGCGAACTCTGCGCGGCAGCGTTTTCTCCCTGCTTGTAATCTCGGCAATGCTACCAATATTGCATCGCGTGGGTTCCCTCGGTTGGACTGAAGCTCGTACTCAGATTGGTGCGCAATGGTACCTCGCCGAAGCATTGTCTTTGCTGCTTGGTGTTGGCTTGTTCGTTGGTCGAATTCCTGAAAGGCTAAGCCCAGGCTCTTTCGACATCTGGGGCCATTCACATCAACTGTTCCACACCAGCGCAGTCGTCGGTACTGCCTTCCACCTTGTTGCTCTTATTGTGGGGTTCCAATACCGCCAGACGCATCTATATTGTTAGACCTGTGGGTTACCCAGTGCGGAGGCCACTCTCTGTGAGAACTGACGGTCTTCCGCGAGTCTTCTGGCGCTGTAGACTATTTTCTAGCCGCCGAGGGTCTCTCTCTTTTAAAATTCGCTGTCCTGTTGAGTTTAGCACGCGATTTTGTATCACTAACTGGCGGTGATTGCGGAATGGTACATGCGGGTGCGAAGCGCGGAAATCATCGATCAACTTTGCCTGGCTGCGGAGGCGCGATTTCATTGGCGTATGCCAATATTTTGGGGGGCATGTTCCATAGGACTAGGAGAGTTTCCACGCTTATTTGAAAGAGAAAAGAATGCATTTTGATGGAGTGAGAGTAGCTACAGGTAATAGGTAGATGTTGAGGTGTCAGATAATTTGTCGTGGCCGTGGTCTATGTAGGTTCCCAAGTCGCGGGCCCACTCTCGATTATTACATATTGCCGAGCACTGCGAGGCACTTTTTGGGGCCCGGCTGCCCCCTTCCCTTGGGCACTGAACACGTACGGAAAACTCCGTCCCACACCAAAAAATAAACTCAGTTATGGATTATTATGGCCAAAATATGTCCCACATTGCCCTGGTGGTCTAGGTATGATCTTCTGTCTACACAATCTTTAGTTCACAAGCTAACTTTGTTCAAAGTCGGTTATGACGTCGGTCTCATAAATAAAATATGATCCTGTGCAACACACAGGGGCTATCCGAAGGTCACGAGTTCGATTCTCGTCCGAGGCATATCTTCCTTTTTGCCGCTTATTATGATGCCTGCTTTCTGTCCTCTGAGATCTTATCAATATAGCAGTTTTCAAAAGTTTTTGGTTTTTGAGGTGAGGAGAGGTGGTGGTGAGACTACGACCTCTATCTGTACACACTAAGCCCTAGTCACCTGATTGGTCGGTTGATCTGAGATTTCTCAAGGTACGCACACTATGATTTCAGGGTCACTGGGAATTGCTTGCAGCTGGAAGGCCAGCGGTAGCTTCGATTCTAGCGTCGTCTAGGCACTGTTATGACTGGTGTTGCGTTTCGAAGCTAGTGAACTCGCGGATGGACATGACCATATGGATCTCCTTGACAAGCGCCGTGGCTTGATTCGAACCTCATCGCCGTGGTTTTGTGTAGACGTGCGACTACCGCATCCTCAGTTGTATGCTCTTTCCTCTCTTCTGCCTGCGCGGTGGCCTGTGCTATCTCCTACCTCCTTAATCTCCTTCGTTTCCGCAGGCTATATAAGGCTGTCTACCCTTATCGCTGAAGTAGGTTTCGTCGAGCAATGCATTTACTATTGGGTTGTTGAGATAGGATGGATAGCCTTACCTGCCACTTGAATACTTCTCGCGGCGTTGCTGCGCCAACCAGTATTGTGGTGTGCATAGAATAGCTGGCTATAATGACAGAATAATCAGAACTCCGTTGATGTGGACAGAATTACAGTGATTAATGGGGTGCGTACCTGTACCTAGGTATAGAACAGCCAAATGGTTTGTCCAGTGTAGCCGGTGCCGAAGAAAAATCGCAGGTACGCGGTTACTCATGACTAACTTGTCCAGTGAGGTCGCCTCGGATACATGGTGATGCTTTCATTATGACTGAAGACAAATGCCTAGTAGAAATATTACTGAAAAAAGAGATGTATGGTCAAAAACCTTGCGTTCATCCGTAGGTGCTACACTTAGATATATTGAGACATGAAATACTTCAATAAACTGAATAGCAAGACCAGCACGATCTGTCGCCTGCTCAACCCTCTGTTAGGATGACATCGTTGGATGATGGATTTGGGCCCGATCAGCCATCGCTTGCTCCCATAGCCACTTAATGTTCTCGGCGAAATCATCGAGTCGGTCGATGGGAATGCTGACGCCAACTTTATCGCTATCTTCAGAGTAGAGCACTTGGCCATGCTCGTTCTTGATACTTATTCCATCGTGGTGAAACTCAAGCATACGTCTGCAGAATTGCGATTTACGTCGAAATAAGCTGCGGTTATTGGAACAGCTGATCTTCCGCACGGATCCATCAATCCCTTCGCATTTGAAAATTGACCTGCCAGTCCAGGTACCGAGGTCAATTTTGTGTAGCGTGTTGATGCTGTAGACTTGAGTTTTTCGCCTTTTGATCTTTCTAAAACGCTCTCTGCCTTGTACCATATCCTCCGCAATACTTTGGAGGATTTCGCGTCTTGATTCAGTCGCCAATAGCGCCATGTCAATATTCTTTGCCGCAGCCTTCTCCAGAAAGAGACCGTGGATGGCCTGAGGGAGATTGGCAACATCCTCTGATGCATCAAAACAAACGGCAAGATTGTACCCAGTCGGTAGAATTGCGGCGTATGTAGTCCACTCTGACTTAGTGAACTTCCTCAAGGCATCTTGTAGTGGTTCATTCTTGTTTGCGATCCATTGGTTGTGTGCCCATAACCGACGTTGTTGACTGAGTGGTTCTCCCCATGTCTTGGGGAACCGGTCCAGTCGACTGAGGTGCGCACTTTTCTCAGCAATAAGTGCCACCGACATAGCATCTGTCGATTCTGTTTTGGAAAATGAGCGCTTCACTTGTGCTCTAGCTTCGAGGCTTTGTTTCTTTTGCTCCGCGAATTCTTCCTTAGCATTGCGCAAAGCGTTTTTGAACCCCGCAGCTTCGAGTCTCGTTTCAGCACTTGCCATTATATCTTGACAGAGAGTGTGTCGACCTTTCGTCGGGTCTAGCTCAGAGGTAAGAACTTTCAAGGTGGTATCAATGTAGACCCAGACTTGTATCCAGCAGAGGAAGTATAGGCGACGGAGTCTTGTAAGTTGACCTGTGTGTGCATCGTAGCCGGGATGATATTGTGGTAGTATAATGGTATGTGAACTTTCTGTATCATTGCCGACAAACTCAATTCGGGCAATGCCAATCTTGTCCAGAAGATCCCGAGTAGCTCGAGTGAGGGTATGTGATAATGTTCGCTCACTAAGCGTAATTGTCAACAGCGGCGCAACCGTGGCTAAGTAGGTTTGTAGAATGTTCTTCACATCTAGATCAATCTTGTGCGATGTTTGACTGGGCCAATACAGGACATTGGTGAAGGATACCAAACGCATCAGATCATCCAAGTTGCTCGACAGAGAAAGGTTTGACTCGCAAGTAAGACATTCTTGAAGATACCCGATGATCAAGTCACGAGTTGCTGAGTTTCCATCAAAAAACCCTGTGTCCTCTCGAATAGACTGCTCTGTGACGGCTTCCCCTATGACTGCGACTATGCAGTGACCATGGAGAGTTTCGCAAACAGCTTGCTTAAGATGATGTGATCCAATGTACCGAATGTTTTCCTGTGTCGTCTCGTCAATCGGGAATCTCTTACGTATTGCGTCGTAGATAGTCTCGGTAATTGCGGATAGCCGGAGCTTAACCTGTAAATCCATATACTGAAACACTGACTGTGCGAGCGTACGCATCACAGTGGTGTCGATAGTGCTCAACATGTCGGTGTCTCTTGTGCTTGGGATACAAGATGGTCCGCGGCCTCCAGCTTGCTGATTGAGCAATGACAAAGATCCGAACTGTGCGATCAGGAAGCGTTCAAAAGAGTCTGTAATTCTTCGACTGCTTCTCGTTAAACGATTTGAGCTGTATGTCTCGAATAGCCAGCCGGTGGCGGTGTCAAAGAGGGCAAAAACTCGGATTCTCCGGGAGGCCTCTAGGTCAAGGACCTCATATCGTCGCTTAAACTCATTCAACAAAGTACCTCGGGCCTTGGGACCTTTTGTTGATTTGGCGCATCGTTGGAAGGGAGTAACGGAGGTGGTCTGCCCAACGTACCGAACCCAGACTCTTTGGTGATTGTCCATCCCTCTGAGCTGGAACGTCCAGCTTTCAAGTTGTGGGAAATCACATCCATCTCGTTGTAGGTCCTTGATGATGTTTTGAAGCTGTTCTTTAGTGAGAGACCATGATCGGTAGTAACACATCGACCCTTTCTGCACTTCATCTGAGTCGCAAGATCTCTTGATCAGGAAGATTTGAGCTAATTCATGATCAGAGACGGTGATGGGCATCGATAGGAAGCGCTCAAATATATCTCTCTGCGCCCCACTGTCGTGCAATTTGGGGAGGAAAGCGTCGAATGAGGATATAGACATTGTTCTGGTTTCCACTCCCCGGAGGTCCAACTGACCCTTTACATCTTGAAAGGTCCTCACACGGAAGGCCTCGGAAGATTCAAGATTTGCGTCTCGGTTTCGCAGGGCCGATGCTCTAGCAGAAGAAGAGCGAGGAGCTCGCCGGTGGTCAGGGGTCCGAATTAGCTCAACAGATCGGGAACGGCCATGTCGACGCCTGCGAATGAACGTTAGGTCATTGAAAGGCGAGGTGGAAAGATGGGCACAGGCTATTAACAAGGGGAAAGATTATCACCTACCGAGATTGCCCCATTGTATCGTAGAATTGTATTTATCCTAGCCAGACTTCGATGAAGTGTAACCTTGTCCGTGTGGAAAGCTACGATGCTTCCTAAAGGACTTCTATGCGGGGCCACGAGCGTCGGGAGTGAATAGGGAAGGCAGCAATGTAGTAACTTACTAGGTAGATACGTACAATGGAACAATGGGTGCATTCTGCGCATAAGGGTAACTTCGTCTCATCGACAAAGTCGGCGCCTCCTGCACCGTGACTATGTGCTGTAGTTAAAGCTTCCAGTCGAGTAATTCGCTGAATAATAAAGTTCCCTCTTGCAGGTTCTCACCCTTTCTGTGTCATCAATCACTCCATTAATAGGCCCCATCCGGATTTCACATTTGAAGTGGTTAAATTCTTTGGGTTGGCATGCTAACAGTAAAAGACTGTCCGGTCTCTTGAATACTAAACCGTTATGCTGAGGATTTAGACCTGCATACTAATGGTATCAATGATACTCTGACCGCGGCTGGGTACCAGTGTCAGCCAGTCAATCAGGGTCCTGGCCTAGAAGTGTTTGCTCTGGCTCCTCACGGTGTGTTATTGATATTCCGAAATCCACCAAGATACTCAGCCTTGTTAAATTTCAGCCTCGTGCCAAGAATTGATTGGTCCTGCTTCCAACACAACGACATAGTTGAGAGTCACAGCCATCTTACAACAGCCGTTTCTGTTCGAGAGGATCACTAGTCTGCTTTTCTATCCTGTCACACTGCCAGAAGTCCAGAATATTCTTGATTACGCAGTCGCAGCTCGTGAAGGAGTTGACAGGACGCAAAGACGGTGTGAGTTTGCTTGTGTATCGAACAAATATTCGCCGCGGGAATTGCATGGACAAAATACGATCGCTTACATACACGGGATAAAAAAGTTGCGATAGGAACAATAGATTTATATCTACGTCCTTGTTCAAGCTGAGTGCTTCGCGGCTGACGTGTCGTGCAGGCTGTAGATTAGGACAAACTGGTCGAGGAAGCGATGAAATTTCCACATTCGAGAGAGAGTGGTGCAGAGAGAGAGATCCTTACAAGGAGGGCAAAAAAGAGAGGGGTGCCTTCCTTGGCTCCACAATGTGCTGGTCTACAGTATGTTCCCCGCCTCTTTAATCATGACTATGCCTAGACTTCAGTATGACCAACCTCCCCAGGTATAGGCTGAGGGTCAGCCTTCCATTCTTGCTCTCCTCCTTGTTCCTCCTTTCAGATTCAATTTGAGACACCGCGTCAGCGTCGATGGAGTCATCTCTGAGATTAATATCCTTGGGCAAAAGTTTTCTGAGGATATAACACTTCTTCTGCAACTTGGAAAGCTAGACTGTTGATGACGAGGCACAGTGGCTACTTAGTGCAGCCGGCCGGTCGGACAAAGGCACAACAGTAACAGTAGCAGATCGCTACTTCCTTGAACTTTTTGTGGGGTTCCTGCCAACTTGGACTCCAACTGCGCCTCCAGAAATTTGGCGACACACGTCTTCAGTAACATCCGAGTAGACATTCGTCCATTCAGGTGCCTTGGGCACAGTCGAAACGTGGCTTTTCGCCTTGACCTGTTTGTTTTCTGTTGCCTCAATTGCATGATTTCAGCACAAGTCGGACCATCTTCACCCTCCTTCGCCCTCCGAACCTTCTTCCCAACCATTTAACGAACAAAGAACCCTCTTGACACCGCTCTACACTCGCCCTGCTTTGCACGCTTTGCTAGCACAATATCATGCCTAGCAAGAGAGCACAAGATACCGCGTTATATCGCAAAGATGTAGCCCTGAAAGGCGAGGCCCTCACACCTGCTGAGAGAGAGAGAATTCTCAAACAGTATCTACCGGACCTATCCTTCTCCTCAACCACCGCCGAAAGCACAGCACACCCCAACGACGTGTCGCAGAAGCCACGAAGCCATAAACGCAGGCTGAGGCCCTTTCTCAAAGCCAAACTACACTTCTTTGTCTATTTCATCATTCAGTTGATTTTTGGAATCTACATCCGACTGCGTCAGATCTATCATGCCACCGTCGACAGGTTAATCGCCATCCGACACTACCATCATCGAACACCAGAGTATATCCAAAGAGATGTCAAGAACTTGGACCGAATCCCCGAACACCTCAGTGTGATTCTCAAGTTCAAGTCTGAGCAAGATGGGGGACTAGAGGCGCTGATGGATGAGGTGGCAGAGTTGACTGTCTGGTCAGCTTCTGCAGGCATTCCTGTATTAAGTATATACGAGAAGTCTGGCATCCTGAAGACATACATCTCCTCCCTGGAAACACTCGTGAATCAGAAGTTGGTCTCATACTATGGAGCCCCGCCAGCAACCCCGACCCTGCGAGTTCTGGCACCCAATCACCCGTCGATGGCCGCCTCTCCAGCACCCTCGCCGCGTCTCCCAGCACAGACAAATGGTGCAGGTTCAACACAACCGAGTAGACCGCACATTGATCTTCTCCTCCTCTCCGCTACTGACGGCCGCGAGACTCTTGTCGATCTGACCAAGACCCTGGCAGAGATGGCTCAGTCGCGTAAACTCAATCCCAAGGATATAACCTCGAATTTGATCAACACAGAAATCAGCGCAACCACGTCTCTGACGGATTCGAGACCAGATTCCAAGAAAGACGGCTTGACGGGAGAGCCCGACCTAGTTATCATATTTGGGCCACTGGTCAAACTCGATGGCTATCCACCATGGCAGATTCGACTGAGTGAGATATTCTGCGTGGGTGATTCAGGGGCCGATGTGAGTGGGAGTGAGAGCACCAGAGTGGAGTATCAAGGTTTCCTGAGGGGTCTGTGGAGATATGCTGGAGCAGAAATGAGATTTGGGAGATAGTACCGGTAGTGGTAGTAATCACATCTCTTGGAGTTATGCACCTTCTGTTGTGCATCTGCCGAGAAGGCAGTGCTATTGATACATGGTCAGTTCTTCTACGCGCTGGCAAGGGAAATGTCACATACCTCGCGAAGCACATAGCTTTCGAAAACGTATGCAGGTTTAAGGTGCCGTCCGTGAGTGCTGAGGACTCCTTAATCGAACTTTCGGAGGCAACACTGTCTGACTGCCCGGGCCGCCAACCCGTCCTTGCATAATTTGTAGGAGTCGAAGATCGCATAGGTATCATTTTAATGTCTGCTAGGTCTCAGTCATCAAGATCGTCGTCAAAGCCAGTATACATTTCCCACATCTCGTCATTTCGGTCGGAATTTATGAGCGAATGTAAAACCCTTTCATAGGTCCACATGGTAACCGCCGAAGCTGGTGCTGCCTGTCGCGACCAACATCAGTAAACCCAGCAATGTGCAAAGGCAACCGCGATCGTAAAAAGATCTCTTTCCTTACCTTTAGAAGACTGACGGTTAAACCACGGTACCAGCCACGGTAGCCTTCTCGTTTCCAGATGGCCGCAAGCCCACGAATAACACCTTGATACTCTGGGATGTTGGTGTGAATGTATCTAGTTCGAGTTGGTCCCTGGACCTGCAACCGTTTTCGGACCAGGTCAAGCGGAAAAACCGCAGTCTTTGCGAAAACGCTGGCAAATACTCCAGCAGTTGCATCTCCAGAGCCAAATGGCAAGGTCTTGCCCCCAATGTATTGATGTAGAAACTCGTAGCTTGTGAAAAAAAGGCCCATGTAGGGAACAATCTGCCCGAGAGCAGCGCTCAGACCGCGAAAAAAGCCTTTGGGGCCTTCATAACGAGAAATGTCCCGAACCGAATGCCAAAGACCCGCATAAATGCGCTCCTGACCCTGAGCAGCAAATCTGGTGCGAAGAAGATCCAACGGGTAAGTGGCTGCAGTAGCAACGGCGCCGGCACCGGCGCCACTGATAAAAGATTCCACGGATGGAGGAGCTCTCAGAGGTAGGAGCCCTTGAGCTTGCGTGATGGAACGATACGCAGTGAATTGGATTCCACCATACGCGACATACATAGCCTCGGCGGGGATGTTGCCTTTCCATAAGGCCCGAATGCCCTCTTGCCGGGCGATTTTGGCTAAGGTCCGAAAGGCACCCTTATAGATTGGGCCTTTGATGCCATCACAAGACAGTGGATCCGATAGAGAGTGTGGTTGTAGCTGAAGTCGGATCTTGACCACGTCAAGGGGTGCGATGCAGAATCGGGACACGAGTCCTGCTACACCTCCCGCAATGACGACTTGTTGTCTCGTGCCCTAGTGGGAAGAATTAGTGACCGAGGACGGACTTGGGTAGGTGGTCAGGGGGTTTGTTTTGGGTTCACGAACCTCATCTTTGAGTCGCTCGATCTGCTGCACCGACATATGCTCGGATATGTGGTAGTAGATTGTTGCAAGGGTCACATAGAGATATTCCAAGGTGACAACGACGAGCTGCTTGGGGCAAAGTCGGCGGGGGATTTCGAGATAGTGAGTTGGCCTCAGATCGCTCGCTCTTTCCCAATTAGAGTTGGCGACAACGCCAGGCAAAAGTTGGCGATGAAGGAAGGAGCGTCGACACGTGACCATCCCCCCACCGAGGGCCTGGACGCGACACTTCAGCGCGTCATTCCCAGGCATATATTGCACTTTAATTAGACGGCGATTGTGGATCAACCGTGGATCTGAATGAAAGCCATCTTCAGGTGCACGCCACATACCATTCCTCCTGTCGATTCGTCTTGATGCTAACCATCTCTGCCTGTATCTCATCATGTATGAGTAAAATGCAGCAGTCATGTTCAGAAACCCTCGGGAGAATGCCACACTTGACGCTACAACCTCCATCCTCCCTTCGGTCGGTCGCCCGCCTACTCCCCCAGCACTGAATGCCCGCCCTCGACCACTTACCTCCTCGCACTTCCCATCCTCGAACACACCTGGCCGGTCCCAGCAACCATCAATGTCCAAGACCCCCGTGCTAGGCCGACAAGTAGGGTCCAAGATTCCCAGCGCCAAAAAGGGTAGTTCCCGTCCAAACCAGAGCATTCTCAATTTCTTCGCAAAATCCGACAAAAGCGAGATAAATGGAACCAATTCTGCCACCGAGGCTCCTCTTTTCTACAAGGATGTAAAGAATACGTCGGATGAACATGAAATCCTTGCAGATCCTCTGCCTCAGACACACGAAGAAATAAACGGCAGATTCAATGAAGTTGAAACTCCTGTCAAGCGAAGGCGGATTGAAGATTGGGACCTTGATACTGAGATCCGCACACCTTCACCGCAAAGAAAGCCATTGAACAATGACGAAAATGTCGACATAACAGAGTCTCGGCCATCCGAACACTCTAGGCTCAAGACTCCGAAACGCCGAGGTGGGTTTGTGGACGATTCGAGCGATGACGAAGGCGAAGTGGCTGTCAAAGCGCCTACAGAACATGGAACTAGCGTTGAAACGCCTGCTCAAGAGCAAGACAATTATACGAATGACTCACCAACTATTCCAGACAAATTTACAACCAAACGTTCTATCGGCAAATCACCAGACACCCTTGATCCTAGCACCATTGAAGAATTGCATAATCTTACCGAGACGTCAGAGCAAGTCCCTAGCCTTGTTCGCGAAGGTACAAGCATATACCACGCAGGAGATTTTGGGGACGATGATTTTGAGAACGATGAATTTTTCGAAGAGGGTGAAGAGTACATGGAACGAAAATGGATGGAAGAACAACGAGATATGGAGACAGGCTTGGATGAAGACTCAAAATCGGAAAGTGAGGATGAGAGCGTACAAACGCCGCAAAGTCATCTTGACGTTGAGACGCCTATTCAACATTCCCCCAATGATTCCATTTCTGTTTGTCCAATCTGCAGTGGTACTTTAAAAGGGCTGTCCGAAACGCAGGCCTCGAGCCATGTTAACGCCTGCATCGACGGAACTGCTTCGCCATTGCCCTTGACCCCTGCAGAGAGGCAGTTGGAACCAACGGGCTCAGATGGACCAAGCCTGAAACCACATACCGGAGGTTTAATGTCTAGGCGATTCCAACGATCCGCTATTGCACGCCCGGCTCAAGCGAATCCCTTTGCCTTGAGCAAGGAATCGAAAGGCAACTCTGCGTTCTCCCGACTCATGTCTGGTCATGCCGAAGATGCTGCATGGGCAGAAGCGGCTTCAAACGAAAACCAGTCCAGGGGCAAACCGGCATATCAACGCACCTGTCCTTTCTACAAGATCATGCCTGGCATGTACATTTGTGTGGATGCCTTCCGCTATGGAAAAGTGGAGAATCAAAGCGCTTACTTTCTCAGCCACTTTCACAGTGACCACTATATTGGTCTTACATCCTCCTGGTGCCATGGCCCGATTTATGCAAGTAAGGTGACCTGTAATTTGATGGTACAGCAGCTCAAGGTTGACCCGAAATGGGTCGTTCCTCTAGAGTTTGAGAAGAAAACTGAAGTCCCAAACACCAAAGGTGTCTTTGTCACCATGATCCCAGCAAATCATTGTCCTGGCTCATCGCTTTATCTTTTTGAGAAGGTGATTGGCAAGAACTTTGACGGCTCTCCAAAATCAACTCGCATCTTACACTGCGGGGACTTTCGCGCTTGTCCAGCCCATGTCAGTCATCCTCTCCTGCGACCAGAGGTTGTCGACAGCGTCACGGGCCAAACAAAGGAACAGATCATCGATACTTGTTACCTGGACACCACATATCTCACACCCAAGTATGCGTTTCCCAGTCAGCACGATGTCATAGATGCCTGTGCAAACATGTGTGTTAGCCTGTCCAAGGAGATCATCGACACGGGAGATGGGTGGGAGAAAGCCAAGGCTGAAAGAGCTGGAAGCAGCATGAAGAAGTTTCTGGAGCAGGGTGAGCACAGTGCTGTCAAAGACGAAGACGCCGACGCCGACGCGTCAGATAAGAAGCCAAAGGCGCGGGGCCGGCTTCTCGTGGTGATTGGCACTTACTCGATAGGCAAAGAGAGAATTTGCCTGGGAATTGCCAAAGCACTAAATTCGAAGATCTACGCACCGCCTGCCAAGATGCGAATCTGTGCTTGTCTAGAGGATGAGGAGTTGAACAGCCGACTAACGAAAAACCCGTTGGAAGCACAGGTCCACATGCAGACCCTGATGGAAATCCGAGCAGAGACGCTTCATGATTACATGATGACCTACAATGGACATTTTGCCCGAGTGGTGGGTTTTCGACCAACAGGATGGTCATACCGCCCCCCAACATCACGCTTTACAGAAAATCCTGCCGTCAACTCAGTGCTACACTCAGAAGGCTGGAAGACACGATATTCGATGCGAGACCTAGCACCACAGCGAGGTAGCACACGAGAATCCAACTGCTTTGGGGTGCCATATTCAGAGCATAGCTCATTTCGGGAGTTGACCATGTTCTGTTGCGCATTACGAATCAAGCGGATCATCCCCACCGTCAATGTTGGAAGTGCCAAAAGTCGTGAGAAAATGAAGGGATGGATTGAAAAGTGGGACTTGGAGAAACGTAAAAATGGACTGTACAAGGTCGAGGTTGGAGCTGAAGGCTGGGGTTCGGGCGATGGTGCTCTTCGCTACGGCGTTTGAGATGGCCCTGACTAATCGTGGTTGTATATATAATAACACTCAGTCAACGCTCTTAGATGAGTAGATACAAGCACACGGTCGATTGAGACTGTCGTGTGATGGATCCTTCCCAACCCAACCTCCATTTCCTGTAGCTGACCGCTTAGAGGATATCAAATTTGGGCGTGAGCAATTCCACGCATATGAGGCCATGGCACAGCACAAACTTCTAGTGTGATTCCCAGCAAGGGAGAGCTGAAGTCGTGGAGGCGGCGGCGCATCGGAGTAGTAGTAGCTGCTCCTCATAGCTCGCACAGTTGCCTGTCTATGTTGAGCGGTCTGCTGGGTCGGTATACAGGAGGAGGCGCAGGAGATCGCTCGATTTAAGACGGCGCCGTGGCGGTTCTGTGATGGAGACCGGGAATAGAGATGACCCTTGATCCTCTCTCCATCCGACGTCGTTCACGATCCTTTACTCTTTTGTGCCGCAGCTTCTCTCCGACAAGCATCCTCTAACAACGAGCGATCGACCTTATCCGGGGGCAGATGAATGTAACGCACGACGGAGCCACGAATGAAAATGTTCTTGACCGAGCTGAGATGGGGGTATTTCAATTCATCCAGAACCACCACATCATCAAGTTTTATGTTCAGGTACTGGTCGACAGATTTGAGGGTTCCACGGATCGAGATGTCGTTTTTCAACTCAACGGTGACGGTCTGTTGAGTCAGGGTCTTGAAGAAGCTGTAGGCGAGAGGAGAGACAAAGATGTTAGTGGACTAGGCTTGCAAGGGATCGTGGTGGGTGAGATTTGTTTGCGACTTACCTGAAAAAGAGCATCTTGAATGACTGGGGTCGTTGCGAGTTTCAAGACTGAATCAACAGGAGAGGCTGACGCCAGACGTAGTCGAATTACTTGACGCTGTTGTGATGTCGCGTCGTTTGGGGCTTGTCGGCGCAACGTTCAGAGAAACATAGATGTGGGGGACGAGATTCGATATCACGGGACTTGCCAAGGAGAATTTACTACGTTGAATCAATAAGAAAATATGATGCACATATCTACGGTGGTCCAGAGGCGCACATGCCAGATCTGGGGCGATGACATAGAATCTCATTTCTGGCAGAGGCTTGCATGTGATTGCGCGTCGTCTATGCATGCAATCCAGGGCTTCATGACTATTCGTTCAACCACTCCAGAGCGATCCGCGGTAACAAGAAACTTGATCAAGTTGGTCTGTATGCCCAAAGGTGGCTGATGTCGCTTTTGTCTGCCGAAAGGCTACTGGCTCGGCTTAAAGATAACCGAATTTCAACGCCATGACTCTGTGGCAAGCAGGCCTTGTTGGCTACATCATCGACGGACCTTGCGAACGAATCACGAACGATCAAAGCAACGCCGTCCCCCAAGCAGACCGACGATCACTGGGATGATCTTAATCACATCTCACTGGAACTCCATCAACGCAATCTAGATATGATTCGAATCTGCCAAACTTGCCACGGGTCGCCAGGTTCCACCCTGACAAGCCAGCTGGAATGCTGCGACTTCTGCGCAATTGTGTGCAAGATCGTCTATGATTCATGTGAACCAGACCATACTTAGACTACATACAAGGGCCTGATCCAGGATCTTGGGCCATGCCAGACTTGGCCGTGCCCAAGCACATGTCTGGATGACATGTATGATATTTAGCACTTGCCTCTGGTCACTCTATCTCTCACTCTGTTCGCATTCGCTATTGCCTTCTGGGTCGATTGATTGCTTCGCTTGGAAGATACCCTGAAACCACTGAATTCCCCCAGGGACTTACTGTTCACAAGACAACCGTTGCCCATAGGCAACATCGTCCTGTCGTTTTGTTTCCAATCCATGTCGCAGACGCAATTGCGCGCGCGTGCACATGCATGTGTTGAGTATGCCGACCAAGTGGAGAAGCTGTCTCTCGACGCGCCTAATCTAGCAGACGACAATGATCTTCATGGAGTCGCAGTGGCCGCCAAATTCATAACACCGTTGGACCCAGTGATTGAGACTATCGATGGAAACAGATTGCCTGCGGTGCCTGTGCAGGAAGCGCATCGCATCAACATACTCAAGGATAAGAGCGAAGGGCGACCGAGTCGAGACCACACACCACCTCATGGGCTGAGTCGATTCCAGCGCCCCGAAACACCCACCTCTGAAGTCAACGGCGACGACATTCTCGAGGCTGATAAGGAGAGTCAATCGAATCGTCTAGACGAGGCTCTTCCGCCGGCTCACACTCATCCACTATTTCCCCCACTACCCTTGTACGGGCCTCCTTCTCTACTTCGAAACCTCCAATGCTATTTTTTCCGAGTTACCTCCTTCTTCCTCTCGACCGGATTCTTGGCCGTAATTGTCCTTGGATCCATCTTCACATCCATCACTAGCCTGCTGCAGTACATCTGGTGGTGGATGACGTTTCGTGACCCTGACTCTAGACGGCCCCATTACGAGGAAGAGCAACGGCGAGCCAAGATTAGGGAAGAACAAGATGCTGAATGGAGAGAGAGCACACAAAGAGAAGATGCGGATAGACCGAATCGCAAGAGGCCGAGAGCGTCGTCATCAGTGGATGAGTATGAGCCCCTTGAGGGTGGGCCTGATAAGCTGGTGTGCGATGTGCAATACTATGCACGGAGAGTGGGCCTTGACATGGAGGAGTTCAAGGTTCAGACCGAGGATGGCTTCATTATTTCACTTTGGCACGTGTACAATCCGAAGGAGTACACACCAGCTCCGGGGCAGCGACGTCGGGCGACTTCACCCCAGATCTTCACTGACGAAAATGACCATGTATACCATAATGTCCAACAGCAATATCGTGACGGATCAAGAAGATACCCGGTCCTTCTGATTCACGGTCTTCTACAAAGCGCCGGTGCTTACTGTGCAAATGACGATGAGAGCCTGGCGTTTTTCCTTTGCAAGTCTGGCTATGATGTTTGGTTGGGAAACAACCGATGTGGGTTTACACCAGAGCATAGCCTCCTCAAATATCACGACCCACGGATGTGGGCGTGGAACATTCGGCAAATGGGGGTGATGGATTTGCCTGCTCTGATCTCACGCGTCTTACGCGAAACTGGGTTCGAGAAACTGGGATTGGTGTGTCACAGCCAGGGTACGACTGAGACCTTTGTCGCACTGGCCAAAGAGCAGCGGCCGGACCTGGGGGACAAGATCAGCGTGTTTTGTGCGCTTGCCCCTGCCGTCTACGCAGGACCCCTTATTGGAAAGATGTACTTCAAGTTTATGCGTGTCATCTCACCAGCCATGTTCCGAATCTTTTTTGGAATACACAGCTTCATCCCGCTCATGATGACGATGCATCGAACGTTACCAGGAAAGATATACGGGGCAATGGGATATCGGGTCTTTTCGTTCTTATTCAATTGGACAGACGATCGGTGGGATTTGGGACTGCGAAATCGTCTTTTCCAGTTTTCGCCTGTGTATGTGAGTTCGGAGAGCATGCGGTGGTGGTTGGGACGGGAGTGTTTTGCCAAACACCGGTGTATTCTGGCGACACGAGAGGAATGGCAGAAGGAGGAAGTCGAGGACGAGGCAGAAGAGGAGAAGCGTGAGGATGCCATGTCTCACGACTCCGAAAGAGGACAAAGGGCTTGGTATGATGAGCACGTGCCTCCTTTCGCACTCTGGGTCGGGGGACGGGACGAATTGGTCGATGGACGACGTCTGCTGCGACGGTTTGAGAGAGGACGGGAACCTCATGTCAAGCTGGTTCATTCCAAGATCATAGAGGAATACGAACACCTTGACGTGCTATGGGCGATCGATGCAATGGAGCAGGTTGGAAAGGAAGTTAGGCATATCCTATGCCAGACGATGCCCGAGAGTGCACGAACGATCTGCAGAGAAATCAAAGGGGTCGAGGATGCATTGGAAGATGGTTCAGGAATTGGTGTCCAAGAGCGATGATTTGGAGAGTGGTTGTCAACTTGTGGAAGGCGCCACGTCATGGGACGTCAGGCAGGACATGGTTGATCCGTTGCAGGGGAGGCAGTCATGCACATGGTCGGATAGACTAGAAACCCTGTATATGACAAGGGCAGAAAGAATAATGAACGGATAGAAGATGTAATGAAACTCGACAAGACTCGACAAGATGAAGGAAGTTGTCTGCGAGGACGTCTTGCATAAAGATTATAATGCCAGACTGTTGCTCTTTTACCTAAATCAGAAGCCTATGCGGGGGCGGGAGATACCTTGGTGCCCGTGGTGGACTTGTCCGGAATTTGCTTTTGGCGGGAAGATTCGTGCTGCTAAGGAAGTAGGTAGGCACCTAAGATATACCAAGAAAGCCTTGGCCTAGGCACGCTTAGGGGAGTTTCGATATCGTGAGGTGGAAATTAAGTAGTAGGCATGTCCCTTAACTACTGCGATGCTGGAAGTTGCACAGGTCGCCCTACTTGCTTGGCCGGGTGTGACTTTCTCTTCTCGATGCCTAGATGCGGTATGGGAGGGATGGGTAGGCGCTGTTGGCAATTAGTAGGTACCTACCAAGGTAAACTGTCTCTGTCACTACATGACCCTGAATCAGCATCAGCATCAGCCTCAGCCATTCGCTGGAGCAAAGTCTGAATGTGGATGGCTTCCCATCCAGCCAACGAGAATCGTTATCGCCGTGCAGCAACCTGATAGTCTATTTGACCTTGATGTGGTGCCTGACAACGCCAATCAGGACATGTTGGCACGCCGTCCAGTCTTGAGTTTGTTGTGGCTACGGACTCTATCTACGACTACGGAGTAGGCTGCACAGAGACCCCTGATGGTTGTTTCAAGAAGGAATACTGACAATGCGGAGGATCATGTCGCTGACTCTGACTGTTCCTAGCAACAACTGGCAAGTTGATGAATGGAGTCAGTGACGTGTCTAGGTTACAGTCGTAATCAGCAACTGGCAAGAGGACGAGTCCATCGAGGGTGGCCACTATTTGCCTACATGCTTACGGAGTACGCATACCACTGTCGCTCGCCCTGGCCCTGGGCTCGACCCCAACCTCGGAAGGAAATGTATAGAAAACGTGGATGCCAATAATAAATCTCGACCTTGTGGCATTTCAGGTGCAGCTACAAGAATGAGAGTGTGTCGAGGAGATAACATACCTACAGTGGTCCAGTATCCTACCAATCCACCTACTGGAGTCTAGGGCCTGGCCCGTCGGCGGCCAACTTTAGGTAATGATCTTGTGCATCCAAGACCCCCGCTAATCGACCTTGGCGGGTAGGAAGCATTGCCTTTGGTTCTCTTCCTTCTGGGCATCGTGTGGGCGATTCTCTTCTCTGTAATATTTAATAATAATACCTACGGAGTATTATGTCTTCCCCATCCCCGTCTCGTATGTCCAAGCTTGCCCCTCTCAAAAGATCGAAGCCCCCGGGGCGCTTCTTATCTTTTGCTTCGCTAAACTCCAGCCAGTTACAGCTTTCCTCAACGCCTCCATAATTCCTCGATGCCTCTGTCAGTTGATCGCATCGCCTAGTCGGTCCCTTTTACCCTGTCGTTTCCCACCCTCACTACGCAACCTAAATCAATGATCCATCTCCACCCGTGTGAGATAACCAGCTTCAACTTTCCAAACTCGTTCTAGCATTTTGACTTTCAGCACAGGTAATGCTATTGAATCCCGCGTGGTGATGATCTTGATCCTGGTCCTGGTAACCAACGCTTGAGAACTTGGACCACTCGACTCGGTCCATCACGACCTTCCCCCCCTGTCGCTTCACAAATCGTCCCTCGACCTTGTGTCCACACTACGGTCGAGCTAACCGTGGTCCTTCATCATGGAGTCGATCCTGTCATGCGGTCCATGCGATCGACCTCACGTCCAAATCCCATTTATCAGTCCGGTATGACCATCTTACAAGATTTCTAATCTTTCATTCACCGACCTCAACCTCCACTTGACTTGTCGCCCACTGTGTGAGAGCCATACATTTTTATCCAACACTGCGACACACACTCACATCTCACCCGACTCTTCTTTACTATAGTCGAGCGTTTACAATACCCCAGACGTCTACCTTAGCTTGTTCCTTTTCATGACCAAGTCTGCGCCTTCATCATGGCCGCAGAGCGCAAAAGCAGCGTCGTCTCTGCTGTGCACCGCAGGTCGGTAGCTGAGGAGCATGTCACTTCCGTCCTTGCCCCAGGCGAGGTTCCTCTTCACGATCGAGAATACGACGCCGATGAAGCTGCTCTTGCCGCCCTAGGTTATATGTATGACAACGCTCCTGCCAACATTCACAATCCCCTCCAGCTTTGCTAATATCTATGCCAGTCCTGAATTCAAGCGTGAATTTTCCCTATGGACCACCTTCTGCGTGTCTTTCGCCGTCTTGGGCCTTCTACCTTCATTCGCCTCCACCCTTTGGTTTGGTATGGGATATGCTGGCACTCCTGGGATGACCTGGGGATGGGTGATTGCCATGTGCTTCATTCAATGTGTGGCCTTGGGTATGGGTATGTTTGGATCGCTCCGCCTAGCTTACATGGCTTACTTCAGTTACTAACCATGCTCCCTCAGCCGAACTTTGTTCAAGTATGCCTACTTCCGGCGGTCTCTACTATGCCGCAGCCGTCCTCGCACCACCTGGATACGGCCCTCTTGCTGCTTGGATCACCGGCTGGTCCAATTGGTTCGTCCAAGTCACTGGCGCTCCCTCGGTTGACTACGCTCTGGCTTCCATGATTCTGGCTGCTGCGTCTATCAACGATCCCAGCTATGTCCCTGAGAACTATCAAGTGTTCCTCCTCACCACCCTGCTGATGATCATCCATGGCTGTATCTCCTCCATGCCCACACGTTGGGTTGCCACCTTCAACTCTTATGGTAGTAGTTTCAACATCATGGCTTTGATAATTGTCATCATCACCATCCCTGCCGCCACCACACGGGAGGACCAGGGTCTACCTCGTTTCACCAAAAGCAGTACCGTCTGGGGCAACTTTTACCCAGGCACCGATTTCCCCAACGGTGTCGCCCTCCTCATGTCGTTCATCTCCGTCATTTGGACCATGTCTGGCTATGATGCTCCATTCCATTTGGCCGAGGAATGTAGCAACGCAGCTATTGCCGCCCCTCGCGCAATTGTCCTGACATCAGCCGTGGGCGGCATCATGGGTTGGTTCCTCCAGCTTGTCGTCGCCTACACTGTCATCGACATTGACGAAGTCCTGGCCTCCGAACTCGGCCAACCATGGGCATCTTATCTCATTGAAGTCCTCCCGCAAAAAACCGCCCTGGCCCTACTCTCCCTGACCATCGTGTGCGGCTTCTCCATGGGCCAAGGCTGTATGGTGGCAGCATCACGAGTCACGTTCGCATACGCACGAGACGACTGTTTCCCATTCTCCAACCTCTGGAAACAAGTCAACCCGGTGACCAAGACGCCCGTCAATGCCGTGTGGTTCAACTGCGTGATCGGCATTCTTCTGGACTTACTCCTCTTCGGCGGTACAGCCATCGACGCCATCTTCAGTATCGGTGCCATTGCCGCCTTCGTTGCCTTCACCATCCCCATTACCATCCGCACCTTTTTCGTCGGAGACCGATTCCGTCAAGGCCCGTGGCATCTAGGGAAATGGTATTTTCCCATTGGATGTGCCGCGACGTGCTTCACCGTTCTGATGATCCCGATTCTATGTCTCCCGCCCGTGACAGGAAGCAATCTCGATGCCTCTTTGATGAACTGGACCTGTCTCGTCTGGGGTGGGCCCATGCTGATGGTTTTGATCTGGTGGGTGGTCGACGCGCATAAGTGGTTCAAGGGCCCCAAGGTCAATATTCAGCATCAAATGCTAGGAGCCGAAGGGAATGTCATCGACGCCAAGGATGCCAGTTCCGATTCTGGTATCGATACCAATCCTGGGCCCAAGGATATTGAGGCCAGTAAGTTGGTTTGAAGCGTGGTACAGTTCAAGTTGGATGATGAATCTATGGTCTTAGGAGAATAGTCTAACCACCTACCCGTTAGGGGGGCTGCATGTAGTTGAATTACTATCACAAGTGATAACATAAGAATGTCTTTGGTGCGCCTCAAAAGTATGACTTTTGTTCCATGGTGATATCATTCTCTTTGCAATTGGCCCTACATGGGCTAGGACTCATTCATAGCGCACTGAGCCTGCAACTGCATGGCACAATTCGACTTTCACACCGGCGCCTAATAGCACCGAAATCCACAATCGCTGGGTGTCGCTAAGTCGGTCGTTTGCTGACTTGACCTCGGCGAAGAGGATCTCGCCTTTTGCTTGCGGCAGATCCGCAGCTGTCGTGTTGTTGGCCGTAGCTGTAGCTTGAGGTGCTTTGTGTTTGTTGCGGTCGTTGTTCTTGTTGTCACCGACATGATTCTCGTCGTTGTCGTTATCGTTTCTATCATTGTTGCTGTCATGGTCGTCATCGTTGCCATGCTCATTTCCTTGTCCGTCACCGTCGTCGAATTTCTTCCACAGCATCAAATCCGGAACCCCTCCACCTCTTGCCTGATATTCTTGGGCCATGACCAGCATGACAGTACCCAATGCACTTGGGTCCCAACACTCGATCAACTCAAACAAGTCATCACGATCAAACTCATCCCATCTCACTCCGACAATACAGGTCCGGGCCTCGAAGTGATGATTCCACACTCGTCTGACAATCTCGAGGCCATCACCATTGGAGATCTCATTGACGCGCCGTGTGATCTCATGTACCCGCGAACTATAGAACGAATCCGTGTGTAGATCTAGTGGACATGTTTGATATGGGGTTTGGAATACATTGGGGATGTAGGGCTCGAAGAAGAGGATGTCGTAGAAGAGTAGGCCGAACAAAGTTCGTAAGATTCCGCCTTCACAGTGGTAGCCTTTATAGCCCATGATCTTGCGATAGTGGGATAGACACATGGCTTCTACCGATACGGGGAGACTCGTGTCTTGTTCGTCGAGCCAGATCGTTTTGGCTCCCATGGTGCTGGTTTGGGGAATGAGTCGAGGTACGGTAGACGCTGGTCTCTCAGGATCGTTTTCGGTGCTGATCTTGCCATCCGAGGTGTTTGTGGAGTTGGTCTTCTGATTGTGGTTGTCGGTGCTGGTGCCGACACTGTCTTTGCGACCCAAACTCGTCCTGCGCATAGGCGGGTCATGGTGTTGTTGTTTTTCGATCTTGATCCCCACAACAGTTCTCTCGACGGCTTTGCTGAGTCTCACATGTCCGAAATCATGTTGTTCTCGCATTGGCAGGCGGAGTTGTTTTTCCAACTTCTTAATACGTTTCTGAAGGTCGTAGTGATAGATGAGATGGCACTCTTTGTCCTGAAGACCTTGCTCACATGTCCGCAAAGCAATCCTTTTCCAGTGCTTCTTGTTCGCTTCGACTGTCCTTCCGTTGGCATCCACCAATGCATGCATGTAATGCTCTTCCAATAGAGCTTTACGTTGATACCAAGCACCTCGTCTTGCGGCGTGAAAGAGTCTTTGGTCGAGTAGTTCAGTCAAGACGTTGTGTTCTCTCAGATGTTCTTTGAATCTTCCAAGTGGATGAAGACCTTTGTGTACAATACGGGTGTAGACCCAAGCGGGACTGAATCGTCGAAGATAAGCACCTTCACCACTTTCATACACCCTGTCTTCTTTCTCTTGCTCTGACTTGACCAATGCTTTCCAGCGTGGGTAGACAGCTTCGAAGATATCTCGAATTTCTTGCAGTGTCAATGGACTGGGTGTGCCGTTGAACTCGAGAACATTGTCCACTCTGAATTGGGTCCGAAGTCCGGCCTCGAACTCGAGGAGCAGAGCTCTGGATTCAAAGATTGTTGCGGATCGGCTCACGATATAGTCTGGGAATGTGCGTCGTGAAATCTTAGCCAGAATCAAAGTGGTCAAACTCTTTTCGGTCCATTCAGTACTTCGATAGAAGACGAGGTGTACTCGTTCAAAGAGTTTGAGGGGCGACAATGCCAACCTAATGCATCTTCCAGTTCGGTCGAGGATTTTCCTGGTAAAATGTGCATCACGATTTGTGATAGGGGTGCGGGAGCCACTGCTCTCATCCTCGTCCTCGTCGACAGATCTTGCGTCTTCGGACATGACACTTCCGGTTGAATCGTCGGTTTCGGTGCGTTTCAGCTCCTTGAATCCCAAGCCAGATTGCTTGCCACTCGTCCTCCGAAAATTTCGTAATAATTCGGTCTTGTTCTTGCCTTGTACCTTGACTTCCCGAGCAAGAGTCTTCAATTCGTCCAGCAACAACAGTCCACTTGCTTCATCCAAGGTGGTAATATGCTCTGATGAGCACTCAGCAAAGGCATACGTCAGTCCCAGCGTTGTACCTTCTGGTCGCTCCGCCTCGCCCGGATGGAGTTCCTCTTCAGAAGTGACGAGAGGCAGAGGTCGATCCCTTTGCAACTCGAGTGTTGCAGCGTCTATGTTGGAGACGTCACTGTAGTAAGGAAGATCCTTCACTCTGAACCACTTACTAGTTTTGCGTAGAAATAGTCTCACGTAGAGGTACTGGGCTTCGTAATCGAGAAGCCTCCAGTCGGAGAACAAGGCCATTTCGGCTTCATTGAAGAGATGGCCTTCGTCTTCCAAGACTGTATCAAGGGCGAGGTTAAATGCGTCGACGTAGAGAGAACTTCGACCTCGGACCCAAGACCGTGATTCTAGACGGGATCGTGTTGTGGTTGGGCTTCCATCGGGGGTTTTGGTGGGTTCGACGATTTGTTCATATTCACCAGATTTGTAGGCCTCGTAGGCCTCAATTGCGTCCTGATCGCTCTGGATTGGAGGGAGAGCCGTTTCCAATTGTGTAGCTTGAACATGGCCAATCTCTTGCTCGCCGTCGCCGTCTCTCAAGTCGTTGTCATCCTCTGAATCCGAGATTTCGGTTTTCACTGTCCTTCTGGAAGGGAATGCCTTCGCAGTTGAGGCCAATTTCGAGCCACGGGTGCCATTAGATGAGGAAGCTGCAGTGGTCTTTGCTCTTTTGGCAGGAGGAGTGGAAAAGTCGTTGCTGGACTGGGTGTCATCGTCATAGAAATTGGTCGAAGGAGGGTGCGGGATGCGGGATCCCATTAACTTGTTGTGTATCGATGGTGACTTTAGGTCAAGGGGCATTTGTATAGAGAAGCTATAGCAGTTGACGAATCGAGCCCAGTACCCAGGTGGTTGATTGGGGCCCTTTGCCTATGTTGTGTCTAGTTCTGTCGGGGATTCTCCAGGCAGTGATGCATTTTCAACCCAAGAAGCGGGGAGATCCTCGAGGAGAGGTCAGCGCGTCGCGTAACGACGCGAGGTCACGGGATCTGATAAAGTGCACGCAGGCCACACGTGATTTTGATGTCGATCTGGACTATGGGAGAATATCACCGTTTTTTGTGATAGATCCGCAAATCATCGCAGTCTTGCATTTTTGGTTGTGTCTCCCTTCACATGCCTTGAAATGATATGCTGTGAAGGGTTGAGGATGGGCTAAACGACTACTTAGAATGAGCATTCACACTTATGGGTTCATTATGTGCACCGCTGTTCCATCCAGGTGAAAAGCAGAAGCCATCGACCATTGAACCGGTTCCACCGCTCATGCGTATGCTATGCAACATGCAAAAATCTCAAGGCCGCGGGACTTCGCGGGAAAATCGGCTGCAATCTTGCTTTGTGACGTGATCTGACCTGATCATACCGTGCTCAAGATTGAAGCCCCTCAACGCCGATCATGATGGCTGATATGAAACAGATGCCATCCCGCATAACTCAATTTAGCGCGGTCAGTTATGATTTGCCAAACCCAGGCAAGCCCTTCCACACCCTGCCTTCACCAAGGCCCTGTGGAAGTCTTACCCTGCCGAAATTGTTGTCGAGATCCAACAAAATCTTCAGGGCATTTCTTGACCTAAGGTATGGGAGAGGAGCCTTAGCCTCTCTAAGACCCACGCCAGGTTCCATCCTGCCCGCAGTAGACTTTTGCAACTCGGACTCTTCAGAGCCTGGGAAGGGGAGAAGGGTGCTTAGAACCTCGTAGGCGGCGAGAGTGAAGCCGAACTGTGGCGAAGACCGGAGGATACGAGCCGGTCCACCTTTGAAAAAAGCCTTGAAGCCTTCGTCACGGTAGACCTTCTTGGCACAATCGATCAATCCGTTGTATGTGGCATCGCCCTTTCGAGCCTCAACTTGCAATCTTGTCTTGACCACGTCACACGGGGTGGTGAGATAGGCGGCTGGCATGCCGGCGATGGCACCTGCGGTCAGGAGCTGGACGACGCCGAGCTTCTTGGTTGGGGATTCGCCAAACATGTCTTTCTTCAGATGGGAGTAGGTGGGGAAGTAGATGGCGGAGAAAGGAACGTCACGGAGCAGACAAGCCGTGACACCCTTGTAGAGACCGATAATACCAAGATTGCGAACGATCCACATTGCGCTACGCTTGGGAACGTCGGCCTTCTTGGCCAATTCACCTTGGACTTGTAGACGAATCTTGACGATTTCAAGGGGGTTGGTGAAGACCTATGAAGGGGGAGAGAATTAGCTGTCAAAGGCGGGTGCAAAAAGGAGAAGGGAAACGTACCACTTGACAGCCACCGGCAGAAGCACCAGCCAGGATCTCTGCGGAAAGGCGGATGGAGCCAGTCTGCTTGTCTGTAAAGTGGCCTCGAACCAGGTCGTTTACAGTGAGCTTGATCGCCTTTTCTGGCGCCACACCGACGAGCTGAGGCAGAACACCGGAATACAGACCACGGAAGCCTTCATTCTTGATGACCTTGCGGGCACAATCGATTGAGTTCTCGTAGAGTCGCTCGCCGGGTCTCACACTTCTCTGGTTCTGCATTCGGGTCTTGACCAGATCGATGGGGTAGACCATAAAGGCACCAAAGGCACCTGCGACGCTGCCCAGACCAAAATGGTGGGCGGACTCAAGAAGGCTGTGGAAGAACTGTTGAGACTTGCTGACAGCTCGGTCCGCGACGTCGGAGATGGCACCAAGTTTGGCACCGGCGGATTGGTAGCTTGCGTCGAGGACCTTTGCAAAGTCGTCAAGGGCCAATCTTCCCGAAGGAGAATCGAGGCCGGCAAAGTGGAAGAGGATGTCGGCTTCCATGGGAGTGTAGAGGGAGAAACGGGTCAATCTGGCGGCCTCATTGAGGAAGTCAGTCCGGTCAATCCTGCCATCGGCAGCCTTGGCAGTGGCATTGCGAATGATGAGATCGAGGAGATCCATCTCACGGATGACATTCTGGAAGGCGCGGACATTGGCATAGGAGATTTTGGTACCCGTGGAAATGTTGCATAAGGTGGGAAGATTCTCGAGGAGATGGTCGGACAACTTGTGACCCGCGGTTGCTCGAATAATGCGTTCAAAATCCTCAGGGTCGATGTAGCCGTCCTTGTCCTTGTCGTAAAGGTGGAAGGCTTGACGGATGCGCTCACCCTGCAAACCTCGCATCATCTGGGCAAACTGAGGGTATGTCATTTCGTGTCTCTTTTGCTTTCCACCGATGTAGAGAGAAGCCCACTCTGAGTTGAAGTCAAAGGGGATGCTGTCCTGGCCGCGGTTCTGTTCGTAGATCTTCTGAAAGGTGTCTGATTTGATGGAGCCGGTGCCGTCGACGTCAAAGAGACGGAAGGCAATCTCATACTCTGCATCGGATTTGGCAAGCAGATTGTCAAAAGCAGCCCACTCGGACATTGTGACTTTTCCTCGCTTGTGGCGGTCGGCGACTCCAAAGAGGATGCCATATTGTTCTCGTTTGATTTTGTGCTAGATGGAATTGACACGTCAGTAGGGTTGATGTGATATGTGCAAGGACAAGATGGGCATACATAATCTTCTTCTGGAGGAGCAATAGCATTGATAAAGTCCTCTTCGGTCATGTACAAGACACCGTCATCGGAGGGCGTTGCATGCTTGAGGAACGTTGCGCGTGATTCGGTGGAGAGATTATCCGGTGCGGTAGATCCTAATAAGGACTCCTTGACCGCTTCTGTGACAGTCGCCATGACTGAGAATGGGATAGAGGAGGTTTACTCTAGGAAGGGATGTAGGTTGGAAGAACAAGGTGAGAGAGGGTGGTTGATAGGATGATTGGGGGCTTCGAGAGGTCGAGAAGGCAAGGGCGGGCGCTGCGTATGCGGAGATGGGCAAGACGAGCCAGGCGCGAAGGAAAGAAAACGAAGGTGGAAAGACGTGAAGTCAAGTCTATCAGTCTATCAAACTGTTGATACAGGTGAGGAAAAATGATATGAAAGGAGGTGGAGAGCAAAGAAGGCGGGCTGTAAAGGGACGATGGTGGACACGATAATAGATGGAATTGGAGAAGTGCTTGGGAAAAAAAGTTGAGCGCAGTCTGGGGAAAAGGAAAACCGTCGACTGTCGACGGAGCGTCGGTAAGCATCCAGCATCCAGCATCCACGATCCAGGCATCCCACAAAAAGTCACAGGGTGCGGGTGCATCTGATCGTCTAGCAGCTAAGTTAGCTGTGACCCTGTGGAGCTTCAGGGTTTCTCGGCCGCGCTTGGAAAGCTCTGCTGCTTCTGCTGCTTCTGGTTCTTGAAAGATGATGTCTGAGACACACCGCACACATGAAATTTCTTATGGCTCTCGAATTAAATTGAGAATTAGAATGACAGCTACAGCTATAGTGAGGGCTTGGAGACATGGTCTGGCAGGGGACTTTCAGGGATAATTATGCCTAAGCATGGATGAAGCGTGGGTGTCGAGTGGTGAATTGCAGGTCCCATCCCACGCCGGAGCACAGGCACAACAGGGTATGGGGAAGGCTCCCTCGGGCTATATGCATACCTGCCATCGCATCCTAAGGAACCTTAGGTATGCATGTCGGCGGATGTCACCGACTGTTGCCTCGTGCCCACTGGCCTTGCATCCGGAAGAAAGACTCCTTGAACCCGAGGCGAGAAAGATGCCAGGCTTGTGACTGACTCGTTACCGATTAGCACCGTCTCATCTTACTTATCAATGCGCCGCTAATACTTACGATCAAGAAACTTTGTTCCACAGCCATGGTTCCAGCGGTGAGGGTATGTTACAGCAAGTTAGACTTCCTTATAGTGCCACCACAATTAACGGATGACTCTGGCAGTAATGGAAACACGCACAGCAGTAGGTACCTAGTACATACCTTCCAACTTTGTATTTATTCATGCCAAAGGACTGTAAGGAAGGTGCTAGGGACATTGACTACGCGTGCCTGCTCAAGAGCCTCGGTACTCTTGAGGCAAGAGCGAAGGAAGTAATGTGGGTATAAGATGGCACGATGGGCAAGAACGCGTACGGAGTACGGAGTAGAGAGAAGCCACCGCCAATATTTTCTACAATAGGCATGCTCCCAGTGTACACAAGATACTTGACCTCAGATCGGACGCAATTGACAACGTCAAACCCCCAGACACCATAACATCCACCCACTGGAAGCATCTTTATCCGAGGGGAACACCGTATTGGGAAAATCCGATGCACCATTTAGCCGGCCACTACCCGGGGCAGCCACTCACCTGAGGTTACAAGGATATCCACAAGGTGACATGCCCGACCAACACCGACGAGGCCCAGTCCAGCCATAGAGCCTCCTCAAGGACATGAAGCTCCTTTTTTATTATTTAAAGCCGGGTACCTGCCTACCAGTATGGCAGGCACAGCTCCAGGGGTAAATATATACCAACTCTCCGTGGAGGTACAGTCTTTGGTAAATATTTAGTTCGTGATAACTCTTTTGAACATCGTCCACGTCCTCGTTCTGGCACCGTATCGAATGTCCCGGTACCCACTCTCCCACCGTAAGTGACCGGCAATGCTCCGAGGTCGCCCCAGATAAAAGACTGTGCTTTCGTTCCTCATTATTATTATGATCCAGGGGCAGCCGACCACCCGATCCCACGCGTCACTCTTCGGCCCTTCCGACCGCTGGACCTACTTGTACCTACGGAGTAGCTTTCAAAGTAGACGAGCTCCGATCGCAGGACTGACTTGGGACCTAGGTACTCAAGGAAATAGGCATCATCAATCAAGCCTTATCTCCATCCATCGTGTCACATGTCGCCTATCCCCCAATCTCGGACCAAAGGACGAGGGAACGCTTGTCTTTTCGAGTTCGAGTCACCCATCCATCCCCAGGATTGGAGTAAACCATCTCAGGTACCAAAGCTTCGTGTCTTTGGAATCGTTTCTTCTTACATACATCTTGGTCGTAGATCTTGATCGATACTGTACAATCTGATACATCATACATGTTACAAGTTCGCCCAAAAACGCCGTGTCATGGAGCCGCTCTGCTCGATAGACTTGCATGATAATGCCACTCGTCGTCATACATCCCTCCCGTTCCAATTGCAAGTCTTTCAGTAACAAAAAAGCAAATTCGTCAACGCTTCATCGCCACACCCTTTGTCTATTGTCCCTAAACCGGAGAAGACTTTTGTCTCCTGGCTTATCCCGTCCGCCTCGTGGCTTTTATACCCAATCCCGCAGTTGGCTGTTCGGGTGTGTTACACCGCCGTACCCATTCACCCCTTGTGTCTCGGACCCGTAACTGCCCGTCATGTGCTGGTGGGCCAAGATGTGGTCAACCCCAGGAAGACTGGACGGCGGCACCATTGTGGTGAGTTCGCTGCTTCTTCGACTGTGACCTCCTGGGCCCAGTCCAATCCCACTGTCGTCTGTGTTGTCGTACTCTGAATGTGAAGATCCTCGCTCGAACTCGTTGACCGCCGCTGCATTCGAGCTCGTGCGAGATTGGGTGCGACTATGTCGAACACGTTGTCCTGCTCGGAGGCTTCGAAGGCCTTGTTGAAACAGCTAAGTAAGCAAGCAAGCACCAATCGTTAGCAAATGCCATCATTTGGCCTCTTGAATCCCATGCATGACCACTCACCACTTTTTCCACGTCTTCCCATCTCTCTCCCAACGTCTTGGCTAGTGGAGCCCAGATGGTCTCACGTTGACTGTGATACACGTTGAGTAGATTGGAGATTCTCGTGTCATCCCAGTCAGACTCCCGAGCCTTGACCATCAACCTCTCATGTCGCTTGCGACATGCATTGCCCGACTTGGTTGGAAAGTGTCGGTTGTGGATGTCGTCCCATGCCAAACCTCGACTTCTTTCATCCACCAGGATAGAATCTTCCTCCGCCGTCCATGGGCCACTCGTCCCTGGCCGGATGAGAGAGTCGTTATGCATGGCCGGCGCCTGAATTGGAGGAGGAGGGCGCACAGGCTGCATCTCCATATACCCATTCGTCAACATAGGTTGTTGGGGATACTGCATCGAGGCATCCCATCCCAGGTGATGGTTGGTGTGGGGAGCTGGCCATGACTGCATAGGCCGATTCATGATCGTGGCCATATTGGTCGTTGTTGATGGACGTCTTTCGTAGGGCCCTACTCGTGCTGAAGCTCGACGAGGAATGGCTTGCTTTTTGGGCATGCTATCCGGAACAAGGCGCCGAGTCATGCCCTGTCAAGGTGAGGGCAATTTAAAGGTCTGAACGCCAGGTTCAGGCCGGTAAGAAAAATACTGGGTTGCCACCGAACAACAACACAGATGAAATTATGATAAGAAAGGACGCTGGACAACGAGTGTGCAGATTTGAGATGCAACAAATGAGCAATGAGAGCAATGACTGAAATGAACCCTTGCTGGGCCGTAGGACTGGACAAAGGAAGAACTTGGATGCCTGGATGATTTGAGGTTGACCACCATCTTATGAATGTTGATATCCAGCCCAATGCCACCATGCAAGAGATCTCAAACTTGGAGGCGTCAGGTGCGGCGTCAATTTCAAAAAGTTTTGAAACACAAAGTCGGAAAGATCAGAGGAGATTTCATACTCATCATAAAACTGGCGATGACTCTTGTCGTGCACGCGCGGTCCCTCGGTGTCGGCGCCTCCATGACCATGCAAGAGATGGAGCGCAATCTATCGCCGCGTGCTCTCGTGACTGGACGAACCATTATAGCAAAGCTCGTGAAACTCGAGCCTTGCTCAGAAGAGCCTGTGCGGGTGGCCCTCCCACCCTGTCAGCCACGGCAAAATTGGCAACGACATTACTCGGCTTCCAAAGCGAGCCATTGACGGATCGGCATGTTGGCGGCTGTCCATCGAGCGTCATCTCAGTAGCCGCTCGAATACAACGAGGGGGCCAGGATGAGACAGGCTATATCTGGACATTTGAGCCTGGTGTGGTGTGGGTGCCATGAACCATTGTCGCCTTGACTCTCGACTGTAACCAGTGTTGCCACAGATGATCCATGATTCCAGAAGCGGTATTGGTCAAGAGGCAGATTGGGTCGACACCCATTCTGGCTCAGAGTCTATAGCCGCCGCCTGGCTACCAGTTTGCCCAGAGCGCGAGGGCCGTGGGCCACTCCGGCCACTCACACGTGTCATGGTTTCCCGGAGGAACAAGAGTATAACACTCTCTTGTCGAAATGCGCCAGCAAGCTCAAACCAACTGCGTTGGTCTCAAAAGAAAGTCATGCCAATGGCTTGTTGTTGGACGTGTAGGATGCTCCTCTGAATGATGTCGATGCATCTGAAACCGCGCATTACCCACAAGGCGCTTAATGGACTCGGCTCTAATTATAGCTTATGGCGCGTTGCATAACCCCGTCATTGATTCGGCGATTTAGCATCTCTCGGCTCGGCTGCATATTCTACCATTTTAGTCTGAGAAAGTCTTGCTAAGTCTTGAATTATGCCTGCATCTGGTGAGAAGAGCATTGAGGTTGGCTACTTGCCGAAGTGTAGAGGATTCGAGGTGGCCGGTCTGTTTGAAATTGCATCATTGCCATCCTCGCCCTGACATGGGCAGGGTCCCTGCTTCTTTCAAGGCGATTCACCTCAAACCTGCACACTTTGCCCTTCCATCTGTTTAGCACAATGAACTGTCAAGTCTCCTGGTCTTGCTCCATTACCCCCAGTTTGTCGCGAAGGTTTCACGGAGCTTGAAGGGTATTATGCGGTTCATACAACATCACCGTCCCTTGAGCACAGGTGTCGAGAACAGAGACATTGTCACAATTGTAGCAAGTTACAAGATCATCTCACATTGGAATAGAGCACATGTCATGACATAGTATTTCTGTGCACGCATTTGTGGAATGCAGGACATCAATCGCAAGGATGTGTCTGATCATAATGGTTCAATCTCCATCATATATATCATAAAACCCAAGCCTGGAATCTTGAATCATTGGCCTCGTAAAAAACCTTTTGGGTCAACATCATCTGCGGAGCCATCTCCGTTCATCCCTGGACATTCTTTGATGTGTGCCATAATAATCCGGTTCTTCAATTGGTGTCACCGTGTACACGATAGGTGACTCTGTGAAGGACAATTGTCTCCGAGAAGATATTGAAGTGATTGAGCTCGGTGACGTCGAAGCTTCAGATGAAGCAGGCGATTGGCATAATGAATTTGATGATGACGACGACGACGAGGATGACGAAGACCTCTTCAGAATGCTTCTTGAGGAGCTGGTGTTGGTGTATGCATATGTTGGCTGTTGCATCGTTGAGTAGAAACCATTTCGGTTCAGCCTTGTGTTGCGGGCAGTGGGGCTTGTAGGTGTTGGTGAGGCTGGCATAGGTGACGATGGTGACCGAAGTGGGGTCAATGTCAATGGGGATTTGATCGTCAGACTCGGCCGTGTGGCTTGAACTGTGCTTGTTGAGATGCTCAACGAAAGCTTAGGCTTTGCGACTCTGGAAGCGAGCATTGTGATGAGGTTGGGTTGATGAGTTGATGATGATGGTGATGATAATGATGGACGATGATACGTCAATGGCTGGGTAGTTGCTACCTTTGTTTGCTCAATGATTCTTGGAATGTTGTTGAGAGGTGATGATATGAAGTGTCCAAGACCAGAATCCAAGGACGTTTTCGTGGTGTTTAATATATCAGAGATGATACCCTGTTCAACAGACGATCTGGAAGTGCGGGGAGTGATAAGAATAGCACACGATAGATTGCAAAAATAGAATCTGTGGGCCAGCCACACGGTACGCAAGGAGCAAGGATAACAGACGTAGGCAAGGAGTATGAACAGAGCGAACAATTGATGATTGAAAATGGAAAGGAACATGAGTGTGAGGCCGCAGAAAAGGTTGACCGGGCGGGTAGATATATCTTGAAACACCTCCTTCCCATCGAAGGGACCAACCGGTTGCTGTGAGGCTGCTCATTGGCTGCCATTAGACCAGCACTAACCCATTTGTCACCCTGTCGACCAATCAAGGCTGCGACCCTGGCGCTCATCCTCTGTGACTTGCTGGACCACGACCTCATCGAACCAATGATCTTGGCCAGGTTCAAAAGGGCACACCGTCCATGCAGTGCTGCCCTGTGTGATATTGAATTCTGAGAAAGGCAACGTTGCCATCGTATGTGCCTACCTCGTCGACAGGCATTCTCGGCCACTCGTGCCGCTTCAACTCTCACTATTGGAAATGGTGATAGGCTCGATCATTATGCATTGCATGCCACTATTGCCTGACTATTGCGTCTTGCCAGTCATGCCAGAGCCGAATTAGGATGAGCAACCTGGTGACAGCACCTGTTATACAGAGCATCAACAGGTTACCTGCGGAGCATCCCGGTGCCATTGCCGAGTCATCAGGCTTGTCAAGTAACTCTCACCATAGCGTAAGGTAAGGAGTGTTCTCATGTGAACAAAAATAGATTCAAGTCGAGATCTAGACTATTTCTTTATGCATGTGTCCGTCCATCGCCGGCAGTATCGCCAATTAAAGACAAGGCCACACTCACAGTAATCTTCCACCTTGCTGCTGTCACGTTTGTGACAATATCCGATTCCGTCCGATACGGACTGCCCCGATGTCGGTCTCAACCGGCTTCCAGACGTCAATCACACGTGATGGCGAGTTGCAGAAGCGGTCACGCAAGCAACAATATCCAACCTACCAAGAGAGCAAGGCAATGCCTTGGGTGCATCATCAAGAATGGTCTAACATGTGCCAAAGAGCAAGAAGACTCCCACAGTGCCAGGTTGAGCAATCATGCCCGCGTCACACCACAGTCACCAGGTCGAAATGACTTTGTTGTTTGCTCAGCATCTTGGCCCCAAAGAATGATGAACCGTGTTCGTAAGGTTCCTATTAATCAATATCGAAAGGCACTGTTTTCAAGGTAAATCGGCGAACAAGAGGGTACAAAATCCGCACTTGGGCATGCGGTTGAACGTTGTCAGATGGCCTGCGGGTCAGTGCTCCAGCAAAGACAGGTTTTATACGTACCTGGGATCAGGATCGCAACATTGTTCGAGGAGCTTTACATGCCAAAATGGTGGGTATCGGTAGTAGGGTCCGTGCGGGTGTACATATCTTTCTTGCGGATAAAACAGCGTTGACGTGAGCTGGCGACAATGATTGCCGGCGAAGAATTTTAGTGGATTGCGGGCGGACTACTGGCGTCAAAGACAAATGGTGTGTACGGCGCGTCATTGTTTGATGTCTCGACTGCAAAGAGCGGAAAGCAAGTATCTGAATCGAAGCTGATGCGGGGGTTGTGCGACAGAAGGCCAACTATCGAGGCTGGATGAAGGCAAGTCAGGCGCGGAATGAAAGTATGTTGTCTGCCGTAATGGCCTTAAGATGATTCAGAGTCGAGCATCAGAAAGTAGTCCCAGCCGCACCCGTTGTAGTACATTTTGCCGTCAATCATGAGCAATGCTTGGCATTCCCCATGGGACTTTGTTGCTTAACCACGAAATCGATTTCTGCTGCGCCGAAAAGAAAAATAAATGGACCATGACCCTTCCGACTCGTCATACCAGTGATGCTTTTGTAGACGCCACAACCGAGGAGTGCGAGACGGCGATACAAGTGAAAGAATCGACAACAACGTCATCCGAGGGTTGCATTTGCCTTGTTCGTGCGCAAAAGAGTTTGCGAATAGAGCCCTAGAGTCAACCAGCTTACCTGCCACCGTAACGATCTTCCCGTGAGTACTCGCGATGACCGCCATAATCGCGAGGAGGCTCATCACGAGGTGCTCCGTAGCCACGATCTTCACCACGGTCCTGACCCCGGTCTTGATAGCCACGACGGTCCCCGCGAGGAGCACCATAGCCATCTTCACGTCTGCTTTCGTAGCGATCGATCCCACGGCCACCGTAGCCATCGTCACGATCTCTTCGGCCGCCGCCACCGTAGCCTCGTCGATCGTTATCGTCGAAGCGGGAGCCGCCGCGATACTCTTCACGGCGAGGAGGATAACCACCCCGTCGATCATCATAGCGATCACGATAACCACCTCCGCGGGGAGGACCACGGAAATCACCTGTGTCGTGTTAGAAAGGGACCTGAAAACAGAAACAGTACATACCACGTTTAGGAGGACCGAAGTATTTGCCAGGAGTGGGAGTACGAGGGCGAGCTCGGCGAGCCTTTTCAATGCTCAAGGTTCGACCTTCAATAACCTCGCCTTGGAGACCTTCCTTGGCAGCCTCAGCTTGCTCTGTGGTGACCATTTTGACGAAGCCAAACCCGCGTGATTCCTTGGTATGAGGATCCAACATGATGGAACAGTTCTCGACCTCACCATACTTTTCAAAGAGACGAGAGACGTCAGCCTCGGTGAGGCGAGGGTGGATGCCAGTCACGAAAAGGTTGGACCCAGTGTTGGTCGCACCCTCTTCATCATCCAACTTCATTCTGCTATCGACGGGGGGCTGAGGGCTGGTAATGGAGTCAGAGATATGGCTGGACAGCTTCATTGAAGTTCGAAAACATACGGTCGATCTCTGCCGTTTGGTGAACGGCTGCGGTTGCGTTCTTCGCGGTCACCACGAGGGGACGCAGATCTATCCCGTCTCTCGTAGCCACGGTCATCTATAGGACTCACGTTAGATACCAAGCATTTGAAGGCAAAGGGCGATAGACTTACCCTCATAGCGAGCAGCAGAATCTTCAAAATCGGCCATTGTGATGAGATTTCAAGTAGATGATATGATGGCGAAGGAGTGAAGACTTTGAGCAGGCAAGATCTAGGCAATCACCGATAAGATTGCTTGCAGATGGAAAGAAAGAAGATGCGGGAGCGAAGATGGGTTGAATGAAACACAATCCAAGAAGTGGATAGGTTCCAGATGATGATGATGAAAGTGGTAGTGATGAAGCTGCGGTGGCGATGGAAGAGAAGAAAGGCAAAAGATTCAGAGGGAGTGGGCGACACTAGGCAGAAAAAGAGGAAAGAGCAAGGCGCGCCTTGCCTGTTGAGTTTAAAACAATTGAAACTCGGAATCCCAAAGGCCAGATGAGTGGCTAATGCTTTCACGCTAGTACGTACTAGTGGAGGATTTGGTGCCTTCCTTCGCCTGCCAAATGCTTGGCGAGTGAGGAGAAATGCGCGCTAGTCTCGATTGCAAATGCCATCCACAATACCATCTTTGACGTGTCTTGGATGCTGACGAGTCGAGTATCACCTTGGAGATATACATTAAGTAGCCAACACAATACTGTTATTCCTTTGTACCTGGGGTTCCATTTCGTTCACACATACGAGAGGTTCATACTTCTATTTTGTATAGGTCACAGTAAAATCAAGCTCGATAGCTACATGTGAACCAGGATGTTGCCAAGGCTGACACTTCCAGCTCCATGGGGATAGTGTAAGCCACGGATCTGTCAGAATCAGGGGAAAATCGGCCTCAAACACCAGCACCCCTTCGTGATTACTGCCGTCACACCTCCTCTGGCTTGGAACATATCCTGGGCATTCTGATCCGTTGCTATTCTCATCCAGAACAGATTCCGGGCTCCATGCCAACGGACCCCTCATAACCAGGGGTGCTAAAGGCACAGGAGTGATGCATATTACTGTACTTCGTAGTACCTACGCCCAAGTTATCAGGCTCTAACAGTTCGGACATCAAACAACAACTTCAGCTTCATTGGCCCTGTCTTGAGTGGATCCGACTGATCGATGAGCTTGTCTCGTCCCAAGACTACAGGCATGCTAATCAAGAATACACCCGTGTAACCCAACGAAACCGACTCACCGTCGTGTTCGGAATGATCGCGTACCCCAATCAGTCGAGGGCTTTCCTCTCCTGGCTCCCCGTCGACCAGCCTTCTTCGTGCTTGAGTTAGCGTTGTAAAAGTGACCATCCTCCACCACAATTGTACTGTTGGCCCCATCGGACATATCATCGCTCGGGCCTAGACCTTCAAGTTCTTCTTCGTCCATCTCACTAAGTTCCTCGCTCATGTCACGAAGTATGTCCGGTCCTGTCCAGCGTTCTTCAAACACCGTGATTCCTTCCGGATCGAATTGAGCCACATACCACGGAATGCCTCCCTGGCTGGGCAGTGTCTGGACATGACCTTCCAGACTCATAGGTGGTGTGGGGGGCTCCAACGGTTGCCTTTGCATGGCCATATCTTCAGCGTGTTGTTCTGCCTTGAAGCCATTAGTCGATGCCGGTGGAGTGTTGACGGAAAGAAGGCCATGCTCAGCGACCACATTGTCATGTTTGATTCCAAGTGGTTTCCCAGGGTTTGCATCCAGTAAAGTTGGGACCGGCAAGCTAGATGCCACGTCACCCACGACAACCATTGATTCGCCCATCTCGATATCCCCGTCAGCAGGGCTCGCAATCCCGTTTTCGTGTTTTGCCTCCACAGTGTCCATGGTCGGCATCGTCAGGAATTCAGGCAACGAGCCTCGGCGTGAAATCAAGGCTTCGTCCATCTCGCGCATCTGTTGTGCAAATGGCCGCCCATTCAACTCAGCCTCCTTGCGTGCCGCATCTTCGATCAGCGGTTCGATAGCTTTGACTATGCGACGCGCCAAAGTGCGGCGGTCTCTTTCCTCCGGTTTCATGTCTTCAGCACGGCCACTGACCAGTGTTATCAGTTCGGCTATGCTGGATGCACTGTTGCCGAACTGAGCATTGATGACCTGTACCATTTCGCTGGAAAAGCTTGCCACTGATAGATGCTGCTTCTGGAGCACTAGTGAGCGGAGGCGGAGAAGACCCTCACGGAAAAGCCCCTTATCAAATCTGTGGCTATGTCAACAACAAAACCGTATATACTGAAAGCTGAACTTACTTGAGCGCTTTCTCGATGATCGGCTCCAGTAGATGGGGCACGGGAAAGTAGACAGTGTCGATGACATCTTTGAGGAGAAGAGCATCCTTCCACTTCATTTCTTCACGCTCCTTTACCAGCGCACATAATTGCACAAGCCTCTCCATGTCCTTTGCCAGCTTTTCGGCAAACTCAATCCGTCGCTCTAGCCTCGCCCGACCAGCTGCACCTTGCGCTTTGTAGTCGCGACGAGTGACTTCAAAGGAGCTGAATGTGTCCATTTGCAGCTGCAAACGTTTGAGTAAAGCAGCGCCTCTGCGTGCCTCTCTTTTCAAGGTCCAGTATTTGCACACTTCCGATACGTACTCTTTCTTCTTTTGCACGGTGAAACGGACCAACGACTCTTCGATCGATTTGAGGATGACTTCTGGTATTACTGGAGCGCCCGAAGGAAGTCGCCAGATTGTTTTCGGCTTCTGACCCTTTTTGTTGGTCAGGATTATCTTCTGAGGGCCTTTGTCTGCAGCAGGAATTTCTGACACATCGTTGATAGCGAGCGCCGAGGCCCGGCTGTCAGCCCAAATCTGGCCACGGAAGTGTTCTTTGAAGTACTTGGTAGCCTCTTCAAAGGCCCGGTCAGTGTTGTGTTCTTGCTTCCAATCTGATGGCGTGTGGCGATGGCAGTATGCCCTCAGATGCGATGGGTCCATCAAGGTGTTCGAACCTCCGCCAGTCTTCATCTTCAGGTAAAGACCACCTTGCCGAGCGCATGTGAGGTGGAATGCTTCGTAACATCGGCCGTCACTACATTGGATAGACGCACCCATCCCTTGCTTGCATATATAGCACGTGAGCCGCCATCGGCTCGACGGTACTTTCTCGACATCAGTTATTGGCTCCATCAGCGAAGGGTTCCCAATAGTAACTTCAGGTATCCATGTCGCACAGAACAAGTGTGCCCATTTGGAGTTATTGGTTTGTTTGAAAGCGCCTCCCTCGTTGGGGCAGAATATACAGCTTGGTCGCGAATTGCCCACCAATTGACATTTGCGGCACAACCACTGCCCCTCTGGAATGTAAGGCACGCCATAACACTCTTGATGAACTGCAAGGTCACAACCATCGCAGAAGACAATAGCGTTGGCATTCTCGCAGTCACCGTCGTCACAGATGGCGCATTTGCTGTCAGGCTCTTCACCAGCAGGCTCTCCATTAACAGCTGCGGCAGAGCTGGAGCGGGGACGCTGCGTTTGCGGTGCCTTTGGGTTGGGCTTGGGAATTCTCTTTTCGAGCGCATGCCATTCCTTCTCGATCTTGGTCATGGTGATCTCAAAAATCGCGGGTTTGATGATTTGGATTCCGTCTCTAGAACGGCCTTTGTTGAAATTATCCAACCACTTCACATCTTGCTCGTCCATGTCATACTCAACACGACCAACACCGCTGCTCCCGATTGCCGAATTCTCACCGTTAGTGATGAGGTCCGGGCTGAGGTCGAGATCTTCTTCGGCGGATCCTTCTGTTTGTCTGATGTGTGTCCGTTCCGGTCGTGTGAAGATTTCGCTTTCTTGGTATCCAACATTGGCCATAGATTTGTCCACAAAATCCATCTGCGCGGTTTCGCCTTGTTCATAGGTCAAAAATGCATCCAGGCTTCTGTATGAAGGCTTCGGTAGCGTCAGACGCTCCCTAGGGTTGGGTCCAGGCGGCGGAACATATTTAGGGGCCTCCGGTGTGAGAAGGGCGTGTACCATAGCATTTGGGTTGCGGACGGGCCTTCCAGCCTTCCTGCGAGGAGGTGTAGCGATTGGAGCGACTTGGGGTTGACTCGACACCGACACAGCTTCAGAGCCAAGGCCATTGTCTATTGACGTCTTGTTCGTACCGTCCACGTCCTCGGAAGGAATGACTGCGAAATCTGCTTCTAGATCTAGATCAGGGTGAAACTCCTCCCACCCTCTCTCCTCTCTAGGTTTGTAGCCGTCACCATGCGTGACAGCGGCGGAAGCAGCCGCAGCTGTGCTGTAACGAGGCCGTGTTCCACCACGGGTTGTACTCCTCGCGGACGTTCTGGCACCTGTGCCCGTTGTTCTTCTTCGATCTGTTCTCACACGTCGACTGCGTGGAGTTGTGAATTCGATGTTGGCACGGGGTGTTCTGGTGCGCTCATTTTCTGCATGCCTTCCATCTTCCCCTCGGCCACCAGGAGTCCACTTGGGAGAGTCTTGTACTCTTCGCACCGTTCGAATTCGTTTGGCAGGGGGTTCGACATCGTGAAAGTCGGCCAACTCGTCAAGATCAGAATCGAGGAACACGGAAGAGGGTCTGGCAGCATCTCTGCGCGGACGCGTCCTTGCTTGCGCGTTTCTTAGAGGGCCCATCTTGTCACTCTGAAAGTGGGAGAACGCGCTGGATGATAGGTCACCAAAGGATTAGGAGTACCAGGGTAGGCATAGGATCGGGTTCATGGGTGTGGGATGCCATTCAGCCCGTCTATCAATGATTTGGATAAACACACGAGGCTCGACAGAATATGAGATAAGTGTCGGACCACGAAATTGAGGTGTCAGGCGCTGGAACTGCGTGAACATCGACTCAAGTGTAGTTGCAACAACGACGAGAACATGTCCCAATGTAGTTAAGCGCAGTCCTGGCTTTTGTTCGCGATTGCCACTCTTTAGTAAGCGGGAGCGGGCTAGTGTCCCGCGAGCACCACCAGCTGCTCTTAGAGACAGTTTAATTGGCAAGGTAGCATGTATTTAGTGACGGTCAATTGCACTAGCACTCCCTCCACGAATCCGCGTGCAGATGCCACGCTAGTGTTCATCTAGCCTTGGCGTCTCAATGCTTTTGCTGAAATAGCATCTCTTGAGAGTCATTGTCATCTTGCATCAAAGATTCAACCCTGACATTCATTTTCCTATCTATTGTCCTTGTATCAAAAGGTTTCCTTCATGAGTGCCGCAGTCGAAGAGTAAGTCCTTCTCCACCTGTCGGACGTCCTTCACCACCAGTCCGTACTGACAAAAGGCTCCTTCTGGTGCGCAGTTCTCGCAGTAGCCGCCGAGGAAATGACATAAGACCAAGCAACCAGTCCCGCCAAAGTGTGACCCCCAAAGATGTAGCAACAAGCGCAACACAGTCAAGAAGAGGTGGAAAAGCAGGGGCACCAGTCATGAGCCGGTCAACAGACAATTCTCGGAACGGTTCTTCGTCGCAGGCGACATCTTCATTTGATGAGGGCCCAGCCATTCCAGGTTCAGATGCCGGTGCTGTCGATGCTGCTTTGAAGCAAGGCTTCGATGCAAACGCTCCAGTCTACAAACCAGAGGCTAAGCCCCAGCCAGGAAGATCCGAAAGTCCATGGGGAACCAAGGGTGCGCCGCTCCGTTTTGCTCGCATAGCAGGACCAGTAGCTGACTTTTCTACAGCTGGAACAATGGCAAATGGCAAGGATTTTTGGCTTGAGTTGCGCAAGCAGGTCTTCGCACTACAGCAATCGGGCGGCACTAGTCAAGGAGGATAAGTAGGCTCTCTCGGCCTTGGTTCTGCACATCAATTGTTTTCCAGCGGCATCTACGAGGCTTATCTACCATATGATTCACGATACCCCACGCATTATAGCATAGCGCACATGTTGGGTTGGGACTTGGGGCAAGGTGAGACGAAGAGTCCGCTTCCTTGGTGCCCCTGATGGCCCTCATCGCATTAGGATCAGCTCGAAGCGAGGTTTTAACCCTCATTGATCTCATCTTCTGGATTGCGACCACTCGGGTTTGTTTAGAGATCTCAGCAGTCCACCGGCATGGGTCCTCAAGCCGGTGAGCCGTGGCACTTTGCGCTGTTGGTAGGTCCTCCTCGACTGAAACTGTGCACGGCTACGCGATGATTATATTTATATACATACGCAGCGAATGACCTTTGATCATTTCTCGACGTTCCTCTTTATCCACGCCGAACCCTTTGACGGCTCAGCCACCTTTGTTCAGAAATACACAGAAAGACTTGTATTCTCCTACTTTGTCTGACGCTCTCAGTGAAAGAAACAGACATCAGTATACAATAGATTGCCTCCGCATTGCATTCTATGCCGGTTCACCATGGCCTGCGATATTCTTTTACTCAAAAGTTCTTGTTACCGGCTCTAAGTCTCACGACAAAACTTCATTGTGAAACCCACCAAGCAACATGTCGCGAGGATCAGTTCATATTTTACTTTAATATGGCTTGTATTTATCATGATCTGATCTCAAATTCTTCATCACAACCACATCATATCGTCGACTTATGGAACAATCGATCACAATCGTGAGAGCGATTTCGGAAGTCGACACACAGAACGAGGACAACTGAACCTGTATATGCAAGAGGCGAAATCCTCCGCGATTGTGGCAATGTCTTCTAACAAGTTTGCTATTATCTTTCCCGAGCACAATGGCTACTTGTTCTGCCAGGCCTTAGGTAAGGGTATCCAAGCTTCTACCATGATTGTACGTTCAATTGACAACAAGAAGGACTATGTGCGAAAGAAGACCAGGCCGACCAACCCTAACAACAGAGCCAACGGAGGGGTCGACAAGCCTGATGTGTCACTTCATAAGAAGCATCAGCGGATCCCTGACCTCCGCTCGTGGGAGCAATTTGCTGTTTTGCCTGAGGGTCACAAGGACCACCAGGACTTCAAATCTCTCTCACTTGTCACTCAGTATTGCAATGGGGGTACTGTTGGACGCTTCGTACACGTGCTAAAAACGGCGAAGGTCATGCCATGCGAGGTCCTGCTGTGGCGAATGATGGATCAATTGCTTGAAGTAGTTGAGGCCTTGCACCATGAGCCCACCCCGTTGGTTCACAAGGACCTGCACGCACACAACATCTTCTTGAACTTTGATCAAGAAGATTCCCCACTCCCCGACTTCTATGTAGGAGACTTCGGATTGGCTACTCCCCTTCAGAACTTGGGGCGCGATAATGGGCCTGTTGTCGAGGATCCTTTCGAGGCCGAAGACATTTACAGAGATTGGATCGGCATTGGCAATGTCATGCAGAGCTTGATCTTTTGTGGGTATTCCGGCGACGCATGGGGGTCGGCCACCCAGGCCAGCATGACAGCACATCTGTCACGGTTCTCGTCTGAGTTCCAGCAATGCTGGACCAGCTTTGAAGATGTCATCTGCGCTGCATCAAAGCACCATCTTGAGGTCGCACAGCTCCGAGACCTCCATAAGACTGTAGAGAAGCACGCGCAGCTCTCTCGTAGTTCCATGGACCCGAACAACAGCTATCAGTGGACTCGTCAAGATAGATACACCCATCCGGAGCTTTCGGAGGACGACCAATGTCAAGGAAAACACGATGTTGTTTTCTTCGACTCTCGGCATGAATTGCTGCAGCACGCCAAGTCAATCCCTGGCCCATGGCACATCGCACGAGTTGATCCACAGACAATGCATGTCACTGGCATTGAGAAGCTGTCGTTCAACCTGCACTTGCCTGCAATCAAGCTGCAGAAGGCAGATCATCCTAGGGGTGCTTGGGGAGCGTTGAACCGAAATCGGGAAGACCATGACAAGGTAGACCAGCTTGTCAAGACTGAGGTCGATCACATCGGTCTCGATAAAATCCTGACGGCTGCTGAAGCCTTGGGGCGTCCCGGTAACGATGAGGTCCAAGCCTTTTTTGAGCTTGATGTTGCCTTGACCGACAAGATCCTGCACGCATAGCTGCTATGGATCCCTTCAAAATCCTAGTAGCCATGAACACATGGAACTAACCGTGTCGTTGATCACCGGGTGGCGGTACCCAATCTGGGTCGGGGGTTTGAGAACATGTGCTGCATTTCATAAGGAATCTGATCCCGAACCAGCTAGCCCCATTAAAAGAAGCATTATAATAAAAATAATCAGAATCAAAATGAGTGTCCAACTTGTCGCTTCCTTCCATGTTGTGATTATCGTACGATGGTGGATCCTGGATCTCAAAAGAGAGTCCATTTCTAACTACTCCCGATTGTTGACTATAAAAGTATCAGGATGAGAATTTGAAGACCTAGGATATCGTCTTGTAGCGGAGTAATGTGCTCGAGTGGTAGGGTGGTATGCGTAAGTAACAAGGTCTACTGCTACCAGGTAAATATGTGAACATGTCCAAGCATATGTGGATGAGCGCATCTTAAATTGTCTCGGTGTGCTGAGGACTGACCAGAGAAGAGTTCCCGGATGTGGTCGAGGACGAGGTGAGGTCTCACACGAGGGGAGAAGCAAGGGGAGGTAAGGAGGAGGAAAAGAATGATCGACACCAATGCAACTATCTAGGCCGAGGGGAAAAATGCCTTGCGCAGAATTGATTGGCATGCTAAATCTGAGAACCAGGAGTATTCTGATTCAAGATGAATCTTCATCTTTTCTTTTCATCGACTAAAATGAGATCCGCTTGCAAGCGCCTAATGTAGGCCTGCCCGCCCTTCTTGTCACTTCAACGTGGCGGGATGCCTCGATTGAGATTCAAGAGTCATGTTGATCTCTCAAACATGTCCTGTGATAATCTTGAAGTTTTCCTGAACCATATTCACGTGATTGGAGCCTTTGGACGCGAATGGTTTATGCGACCAAGGTGCTGGCAGTGGCGCTCTCGTATTTCCAGTTGGGCTGCAGAACACCGACGGTCTTGTAGTATCTGCTAAGGCGGTGGATTCTGGATTCGATGAGAATGAGGCGGAACTTGGAGTCCTTGTCCTTTCGGTTGCGCTCGAGATGCTTTCGGACAGCGACAGCCTGCATGACCGGTCAGCGACCAGAAATATGGAAATATGGAACGTCAATATAACTGACCTTCTTGATCAACATGTAGAGATCTTCTGGGATTTCGGGTGCAAGTCCTATGTCACTCTGTCAGTCACATGGACCAATTCAGAGGCTGTGCCGAGATGATTCCCAATGGACGAATCTGGCTAGATGAATGGGTATTGGAGCACAAAGCTCATCTTCCTCGGACCATTCATGTTGTAATGAAATCGATTGGATGCATACCGTTGGATTTGAGGATTCTCAGAATCTTGTTACCTGGGCGACCAGTCAGTACTTTGAAGATGTCGGACTTATGCAGAGTTTTTCATACCAGTAACGACCTTGACCTGGGCGACACCATGGCTATCACGGAGGACAACACCAATCTGCGAGGGAGTTGCACCCTTTCTGGCGAGTTTGCAGATGTTCTCCTCGACGGTCTCGGGGGTGCTCTTGAACCACGTGGGCACTGTTCGCGAATATGGGATGGCCGAGGCGCTGATACCCTTTCCTTTGCTGTGAAGACGACCCATGGCTCCGGTTCTGAGTGGTTGTCAGGAAGTGTGTGGTTGTCGATGAAGCGATGCAGTCTTCGAAGAGAAAGTTGCTCAACATCCGCACTCATGGTCGCAGGTTGTGTGCCAAGAGAGAAAATCTTGGCATAAGAGCGGAGTATGTGGCCTTCAAGACGCGCTCGATCCACCATATCTCGCCGCTGCTTTAAATCAAGGCCCGTTCGTCAATCCAGCTTTAGAGCTTTATGCCCTGAGGGATCTGCAGTCGATTATTGGACTCCGATATTGTATAGGATTTTTGAAATGGTCCCCGTACCTAAGAGTTCAATGCGACAGAGACAAATGTGACACAAATAATATGGCCTCGAAGTTCGCTAGCAAAACGGCGTCATCTCTCTCCTGAAGTAGAATGGTACCATCTGATTTCCCCTTTCTTGGCACCTTTAATAATTCTTCGAGCCTTCTGGACTTGTGACTTCCAAGAGAACTTTTTCCGTGAGCAGCAACTCTTCCACTGGTAATTCCACTTCACAAGTCATGTTTACACGCAGAATTATACTGTACCAGCCTGAATGAATACCTGCTCGGTGAGTATAGTTACACTTATTTTATGATCGACTTGCAAGATGTATTTCTGGATACCGCCATGTCACAGAATGCCAGGTTCCTCAAGGTAAGCAAGCATCTTTCCGCAAATCCCCAAATATCTTCCCACATGATGAACACCACATATACTTTTTTTTCTGGTACCTCTTGATTGCAGAAGGGATTCGGGCGCAAGCTCGTTTTCTTCGATGATCTCAATGGACTTCTGATTTTTCTTCGCTGCACGAATCTACAATGATATCAAATCCGCAAATTCACACACTGACCTTTGTGGCAGCTAGCGATCAGATCATGTCAAGGATCTACACAAGAGTGACAAGGCAAACTTGATTTGACGACTTTGGACCCTCCGACTTCTTGCCATTATCTAGGTTGTGAAGTGATCCCTGCCATCTCTCTGTTCCTCTTTCCACCCCGCTTGTGAACTCGCGCTACTTCTCCACCACTATCGCTCTACAGTAGAAGTTCGATCTTTGAGACTTTGAACTGTTGAACAGAGCTTCAGTCTAAGCACGACGAGGATTCCTTCATTTGCCTGGATGTGCACATGTCTTGAGGCACAACAATTCGTGTTATGGCGGTGCGAGGAGGAAGATGTGCGCTATGCAGCTAATCCTGCGAATTGGCTGGGTAAACGTGTAGAGGCTGGTTAGGACATTCGATGCCGTATCAGTCGAGCTCTGGGCCTTCTAGATTTCGTATACGTGAAAGGTCGTGAATGAAATCTCTGGGGCATGTACTCCGGCTTTGCAGTTGTAAGTGTGATAATGCAATCCTTATTCGACATAGCTCCAGCCGCTGCTCAACTGTGCCATTTCCCCTGACGGTGGGGTTCAACCGCGAAAGTCGCGACACCGGAGTGCGGCAATGTTGGTTGCCTTCAAGACGTGCCGCCCATTTCAGTATCATCGTCTTTGGGTACGTTTGTGTTGGCAGGTGCCTCTTCATTGGTGATACCATTCACCACGGCTTCGTTAGGACCGGGGCCGGACTCGGGCATGGGAGGAACTGTAGACGACGAGGGTGCAGGATCTGCTTGCGCTGCTTCGTTCCTTGAGGTGTCTGATGACGGCTCCACAGCGGGATGTATCGATTCTGGCTGGCTTTGCACGGAATCTGTCTGCACAGGCTCGCCCTCAGCTGGTGCAGGTGATGGCTGCTTTTCTTGAGGTTTTGGATCTTCAAATTTGTAGGCGAATCGTTCACGGATGTTTGTAGCGTCGGGGTTGCCTTCGTAGAGTATCGATTGGTGGATGAGGCATTCTCCCAGCCATTGCAGAGGGAATTCGGCCCTGTTGGAGCAGAAAGAGGTCAGCTAAAATCTCTGATGTCAGAGGCAACACGGGCTCGCTGAGGTGCTCATGAAGCTTATAAAACTCACTCGACACCTAGGCTTTCCGTTATAGCCTTTTTAAGAAATGGCGCCACTCTGGCGTTGAGGTAGTCCCTGAGTGGAACTTGTTGTCTGTTGCCCGCAGCGTTCATTATGACCAGCGGCTGGGCTGGTGTTGATTGGGACATGACGATCCCACCACGAGAACTTGTCTCCTCGTACAAGACACGGGAATGTGGTTCAAGATCTTTGAGTGGCAGGGGGTGTCGCAAAAATGAAAGTTCCTCCGGAATGGAGGCGATCCCCAATACTTGTTGTTTACTACCATAGCGCAGCAGCGTGCGCAGGTTACAGGCGCATCACGATCACGATCACGTGACAATTGAAAGGGAAGAAATGCCAGGGGAAGAATTTTGGAGTTTTGTTTTTGCGAACAACACACAATTACACGATCACAGATCACACGATTGGGAAAAAGGAATCTGCGTCAGATAGTCTGCATGAAGGTGTATGAAATGCCTCGAAACCCGGTAATGAAAGCATAGTAGAGCACCATGTACACATGTACAGCTTGTGGTGCTCCTCCAATCTTTCCTGAGCGCCAGAGAAATCAACAAAGACATTCTCACATCAAACAGGCGGGGTGATCAAACGATGGATTGATCAAGCTAGCCATGGTATTGTTCATGCTGAACATTTGCCCACCATGTGCCGTCATCACCACTAGGAGCATCGTCTTTGTTCCACCAACGTCTGCGCGCCACTTACCTTCACCCCATGTGGCCCCTTCAAATGGTCCAACATATTCCGCTTAGCTCTGAGTTCATCAAATCTGGCTTCTGGGCAAACTTGCTTTACTCCCTTGGATACCGTCAGAAGTACTGAGTGTGTCAAGAACTCACGAGTCGTAACACAATCACCCCCTTTCAGTTTCAGAGATCGAGTCCGAAACCACCGCAGAAGTTGTTGCTTTTCGTTTCAAGAGACGGCGAGCAAGCTGGGCGGCGTACAAGCCACTAGATTTATGCCACGTGTGGCTTCGGTTGTAGATGAACAAATTCGTAAGTCCAGGGTACACTATGATTGTATCCGCCTCAAGGCCGGGAAGATCCATCTAGCGAGATGGCGACAACACATGACGTGACTCTCATGCGAGATGAAGAATCGATCATTCTAGCGAACACTTGGGAACGAATTGATCAAAGTGAGGCAAATTTTTGTTAGCTTCGGCAGTCATTAGAATGAAGGGTCTGTACGGGGCAACGTGGCTTTGCACGAGACTACCAGACAGCGTCATTGATGTGCTGGCGCGAATTGGCAAAAGTTGGAGACAAACGGGAAACGGCGGTCAATGCGTCGGGGTCGAATATATAAGAAGGCGAGTGTAGTCGCTTGGCCAGCGGAAGACAAAAAATGTGTGTGATGTTGGTAAAAGCTGAAGTCTCGTGAGGAAGAAAAAGGACCCCCAACCTGGGGAAGGCAAGTGCAACTGATGATGCTCCGGGGAGTGCACATGCGCAGCGCGTGGCTTCCTGATTTGGGACCCTCGTTGCTTCCACGTGAAGCTCCCACGCGGCAGAAAATTTCAGGCCTTACAGACAATGCCATATCTCTTCCAAAGGCCAGAATCTCCATCGAGACATCATCTGTGAGTTTGAAACGTCTGGAATACAATAAAAGACGATCCGACGAGGCTGCGACATCGACATCGACAGGGCCGTATTCTTCATCCATTCATGAACACGATCTGGAGGTAGGCAGTTGTGATTGAGATTCAGATGGCTGCATGGATGGGGGGCAAAGGCGAGAGATCACGCCCAGCTAACGAAGCTTAGGCGACTTTTGTCTTCTCATTTGGTGGCTGGCTTCGCCCCAAACACGCAATTGCGGCTTACCATTCGAGCAGCCAGGCTTCACGCGGGATGCGCCGCCATTGGAGCAATCTCCCATGGCGCAATCCACTCTCTCTATCAAAAAAACCTTCAAAAGCATCAATATCGACGAGCTAGTTACACAGGTTCAGCAAACCTCTCAAGAGTCGCGGAGCTCTTCTCATTTCACCGGTCGACAAGTTGGAACTTAGAGCATTTCAATTTGCGGCAACATGCAGGGGAACGGGGCCTCCGTCGCCTGGATCACGAGCGAGCTGCTGCGTTTATAATTACCCTAATCTTGTTCGCATGAACCAGCATGACCAAGACTAGCCCGGCTAAACCTGAAAGACAATCGCCTGCTGCAGGAGACAGGATCTCCCAGATCTCCCACCATTCACGATCCCCTCCATCATGTCCAGCTCCATTCCAACCACTACCCTCCCGCGACCAACCTCCACCAGCCCACTCTAGCTTTGCATAGCTTTGGTTGTTGCACCTACAACAGCTCAGCAATGCAGTTCAGGCCTCGAGGTCGCTCGCTGGCCGTGCTGCTGTTGACGCTGCCAAATGGAGATGGACCACACGGCCAGCTCCTACGGAACCTTCCAAACCATCCAACCCTACCACAGGTCACCCTCGATCAAGACAACATGCCCACCACTCACAGCGCGCCGTTGTATGTTCTGCAGCAGCAGCTGTTGTGTTGGCCAACCCGCGCCTCCCTGATCATCTGCCTCTGCTCTTGCCATCGTCAACTGTCGTTGTTATTCGTTCTTTCTATTGCTGTCCCGTGGCTAATGACTCTGTTTGACCCAAGCGCCTCGCGACCAAGCCAACAGACCTTCAAACCGACGACAGACTCTCTGCATTCCATACGCCTCTGACTTCTCTCACCTGACCAGGCTATACACTCTCTTTTAGCTGCCTGCTTTTCTTTACCCATTTACTTGCCTATATTCTGCATCATTCATCTCTTGATCGGACCTCGATGACTTGCTCCGGCCTTCCACATGCCGCCCGTTCTCGCGCTTGATGAGAGACACATGCAGCTCTCTTTTTCCCCCAGCCCATTCGCGCGACTCGGCGACCCTTCCCCATGTCCAACTTGTTGCAACAATCATGGACAGAATCGGAGAAAATCACCCTGCTGATCAACATTCTTCAAGGCGCCGTTCGTGACGTTCCTGCCTATCTTCTGCAGGGAATTGTACAGAATGGCTTGCAACCTAGATGGGAGGACATTGCACTTCCTGAAGGTACGTATCTGGCATTGTGCACATTAGCATGTCCTGTGACTGTTCGATCGGGCAGACATTGACATGTCAGCACCCTCGCAAACGCTCTACTAACGTTGACAGGTCGTTCGCTCAATGCTTGCCGCCATACCTACGAGGATCTCAAGCTTGCCATGCAACCCACCGGCTCCTTACACTCGCCTAGGCATTTCGCGCCCTTTCACCACATGAGAATGGGAGCGAATCCAACTCCCACGCGAGCAGCCTCCGATCATGACATCCGCGCGGCTCCTCAAAGAGCAATCCAGCCTCGTCCCCCGCGCACTTCAAATTCTCCACGACCTCCCGCAACCAACGGCGAATCATTCACCATAATCAGTGCATATACACCAGACCAAATGCCAGAGCGTCGACGGAAGCGTGGCCGCCCGACAAAAGAGGAAGCAGAAGAACGCGATCGAAGGCTCGCTGCATCGGGACAAACCTACGAACGTAAAAAGCGACCAGCCAAAAAAGCCCGACCATCAGAGACTCCCGGATCGCTTTCAGAATTCGCCGCAACTACCTCTCCCCAGCCACACACCCCATTCTTGCAGCTGGAGACAGGACATGAGGTTTCGAGCGGCAGGAGGTCGATGCGACCGCAGGACGATGACGAGTCATCACTCCCTGCGCAACCTAGATCTCCTCCCGATGACTCTGGAAACGAGCGCAGCCTTGATGTTGTCCCAAGTCCTTCGGATAGACTGCTCTTGAGATCGAACCTTCCTCAGGCTATCCCTGCTGTCACTAGAGACATGCCTCTCGACCGAAGCCCAACTTTGCGGCAAGATCGGCCCCCGGTCCTACCATCAGATGAACCGCCTCCTGGACCATCGTCCGCATGACCCGTCGATCGACAAAACTGTTTTGTGCCACCTGTTTTCGCTTTCAAAAGTATAATAATTCTCCGCCATCACCATACCGCACCCAGAATACCATCAATAACAGTACCTCGCAAACCAACAAATGAGCCACGAATATAGAAAAAAGGAGAATTAGTGCATGATACCCATGTTTACGACGACGCATTGCCGAGGGAGGAGGATGGATGGTTTTGACTCTCGCGCTGCTCTGCTCTGTTGGCTTGCTCTCCTCCATTCTAGTCCGGTTTATCATTTGACACTACACCCTTGACACAAACAAAACACACCTTCTCCACACAAATCGACGATGATTCAACAGCAATCCACCTTTTCTGTTTACACCTTTGGAGTTCTATCAGACCAGGCAAGCGTCGACCAATGTTGCGCGGCTCGTGGTGACTTGACCATCAATCCGCATGAGCAGGTCTCTCTTGTTGTTCTGAAATATAACATACCTAATAACCACAATACAATCGTGATCTGCGGGTCAGGTCTACTGCCGGGAAAATCGGAATCGTGAAGATGACCCCAGCAGTTCAAAAACGAACATGCAAACCAGGAATCAAGGACATGGTGGGGAATAGGGCTTGCAACGAAAGCATCCCGTCAAACCTACAAGTCCGGAGATCTCTACAAGACATTTTAGACTTCTTGATTCTTCGACGTTAGTATTTCTAGCCAGGTAAAACGAACGCCAATTTTATGGCCTTGTTAAAGGCCCATCTTCGTCACATTTGAATTTTTCGTCTTTGAAATCTGTATGTATTATGGTGACCGTAGAGAGTTCTATACTGTATGCAAGTGTGTTGAAAGGAGTGTGTTAAGGCGACACAACAGAGTGTAAATCCTTGATAATAGATCCATCGACTTTGTGGTCAATACTCATCGCACGAGATCCATCTGAGGGTGATAGATAGTATGGGACGGGAATGTCAGCGTTGATATTGTATACTACCTAGTATTGTTGTTAAGAGCAAACCCTAAAGCCGTTCCTGTTTAGATATATACGGAGTAATAGCCTTTGCTCCGTCCATCACAGAGGCTATGCAGCTGTGCGTGTCTAGCAAACACAGGTACATATCATGAAAGACTCTTTTATATGTCAGGTTGAGAGCTCAGAGAACTAAGTAGATACAATGGTCAGTACTATATAGGAGCGAAAATGACCAGTCGACTCCATATGGATACGGTCCTCCACCGAATCTTGAAACTGGAGCAGATGCAACGGTTTTGCCCAGACTTGACAATGAGCCTCTATGGTATACCAAATAAGTTAGTATCCAAGGAGTAACTTCAACATGCGATCGTCGTATGGCGTTTTGGACCTCTGTTACGACAAGGGTACCTAATATAGATTGTGACACGGAGGGAAGGTCGGGTGCCTATATTGCGTATTTTGCATGTCAAGTTACGAATAGTACCAGAGAGCAAGGCCAAAAAGACAGATGTTCGACAGAAGACCAGTGCATCGAAAAGTTGAAGTTATAAAATTTAAGGAAACTGTGCATAGGTGGTCATTGTGCATTATACACGTTGTATCTTTGGATGTAAATAGAGTGATTGCCGACCTAATCATCGTAAAGACCTTCGTCGTCTCCTTCCACATCATCGACAAAGCCATCAATAACAGGTTCTGTATGGGCATGTACAGGCGCCGTAGCGTTTGCTTTTCCCTTGCCTTTGAGTTTTTCCGACCCGACGCCGTTCACTGCTGTGCCATTCAATTGATGCATGCTGACTCCATAATCATCATCACCGTCCGACGAGGCCCCAGAATCGGGGTTGCCGATCCGTGTAGGTTGTTTGAAGTGATTGGAGACGGGTGTAGAAACAGTTGGGCTCCCAGCCCTCGCTTTACCTTTACCTTTACTGTGTAGTGAATGCGAACTAGAATTTTGACGAGAGGATGGAAGGGGTCTTGTTGGTGCTCGAGATGGGACAGACGGAGCTGTCGAATCCTCCAACGTGGCTGGAGACGAGAGCGGTGAAGATGTTGGGATAGGTGGGGGCGGTCGGATGGGTAATTTCGCTTCAGCCTTGTTGAACGTAACGCCCGCATCGATATTGTTGGCATTTGTGGGGCTCCGGCTTTTGGTTTCTGTCGCAGTGATGTCCTGTTCTTCAAACAGGCCTCGAATTCTCTCAAAGTGCTCCAGTTCCTTCTTACTAACACTGCCAACCAGTTCCGTTTGTGCTGCGGTGAAGTCTTCCTCCGCGACCACAACCTGGATATCTTCTTCTGTGGCAAGATGATCAAAGAAATAGCCAGTGCTGATCTCCTCTCCTCGTGCTTTGCTAATTGCTTGGACCTTTTCATCAACAGATCGGGTTTTCCTTGTGATTGCTTTGAGCATAGCGTCACTGCAAAGGGCGTACAAGTCGGCGCCGGTATATGTGAACGGGAGACGACTGGCGACACGGTTCAGATCGACATCTGACGCGAGGGTGAATTTACGAGTGAGGGCCTTGAGAATTGTGAGCTGTTGATCGTGGCTGTCGGCAACCCCGAGGTAGAGCATCTTGTCGAATCGACCTGGGCGGAGTAGTGCCGGGTCAAGGAGATCTGGTCTATTTGTAGCGCCGATCACAAAAACACCGCCTCCATTGGAAGCAGAGCCGTCGGAAGACTCGCCGCTGCCTCCTCCCGACATACCATCCAGTTCAGCTAAAAGCTGGGACACGATCCGATCCATGACGCCACCGCTGTCTCCTTGATTGCCACGTTTTGGTGCCACCGAGTCCAACTCGTCGAAGAAGACGACACAAGGCCTAGCATCTCGCGCCCGCTGAAAAACACGTCTGACATTGGCCTCGGATTCACCGATGTACATGTTGAGCAGCTCCGGGCCTTTGACACTGAAAAAGTTCAAGCTGAACTCTGTGGCAATGGCTTTGGCCAGTAAAGTCTTACCTGTCCCTGGAGGTCCGTAGAACAAGATGCCCGAGCGCTTCCTGATGCCGTTTGCAAACAGTTCTGGATGGGTGAGAGGGAGAGAAATGGTCTCCATGATTGCATCCTTTTGTGACGAAAGTCCGCCCACATCCTGCCATGTAACGGTGGGGATTTTGGGTGCGCCTATGGCATCGGAAAATGTAGAACGTGCTGCAGCGATGGCTTGATTAATGTCCGTAGGAAGAAGATGCGTCGCAGGGGGTCCCCCTGACACGTAGATGTCAGAGAGTTGGCACGACTGTGATTCGGCCAAAGACTCCAGTCGCTCAATTCGAGCGAGAGAAGCTCGGTTGATCACATCGACAAGATCTCCAGCCACAAGAGCAGCTGTCTGGAGGGCGACTGATTTCAGGTTGATGCTTGGAGACAGCGGGATAGACGCAGAAACACAGGCGTTGGCCAGGATCAATTCTCGAGCCTTTTCGTCTGGAGCTGAAATCTCAAGTTCATGTGAGAACAAACTCCTCAAGCCAGCAGGGATATCATCCAGCTTGGTCGTAGTGGCAAAGAACACCCGGGAAGATGAAATAATCTCTTGTAGAACCGGAATCATCCTGTCAGCAGTCAAAGCATCAACATGCTGAATCATTAGGGCCGTCTGCTGAGCTCCCCCGGAAAGAGCACGCTCGGCGCGTGTTTTTAGGAGTGCCTCTGTCTTGACATCGCCGCCACCAGTGGTGGAAGCGTTCTCTGAGAGCAGGTCATGGGCTGATATTGCGAAAGTGTGAACGCCGACGGTTGAGCAGGCAGAGGTTGCTATGTAAGACTTTCCGATTTGCCTTTGCGTCGAATAGAGGAGGATGGCTAGTGGAGGAAGGCCGAGACTAATGGCGCGATTGCTCACCGCAGCTTCAATAAGTCCAGAGAGTTTCTTCTCAGCGGGCAGTTTCGACAGAGCTGGCAGGTCAGAGGCTGTTGCAATGTGATCGGGTCTCCCAACTTGTTGTTGTGGGGGTTTTTTCGTGCCAGACCAATACTGGGTCCACAATTTGGTTGAGTGCGAGATTGGCTGAATGCTACTCCCACTTTGAGATACTCTTGCCTGGGTACTGTCGAGAATAGCAACACCGCCCCAAGGATTCTGATCCGCGTCTCGATCGACAGAAATGTCGACGTCGACCTGTTGAACGGAAAACCAAGCGGTGACAAAGCGATGGGCGTCCCGCGGATTAGGCACGTTGAGCTTGGTCACGGCTTCATCGTCTCCCCTTTCTTCCGCAGGCCCCTGCGACGCGACAGCCTTGCCCAACTCTTGGTCAATAGAAAGAGCAAGGAGATCCCCCTTCTTGAGAGCTCGTTTCTTGCTTTCCAGATAGCTTTTGAGGGCGGAAAATAGAGTGGACTGTAGGGCCGGATTTGTGGTGACAGGATCCGCGATCTTGGACAGAACGACCTCTTTAGCAAACGGAGGAGTCTTGAGGATGTTGTTTCGGGGCAGATGCAAGGACTTTGGCTCGGGCCGCGGAGGAGATGGTAACGCGCCCAATTTGACGTATTGTGCGTTGTCTAGATTGGCGAGCAAAAGTGGAGAGATCAGTAGGACTGGTGACATGGGCGTCATGAGGTCTCGTTGGGAAAAGCTCGTTCGGCGGTCACCTGTTTTGTCGACGGCATATCGTGGACCTTGATTTGTTAGACCAGATAGACCAAAAACCCTGACGGCTCTCCAGTCGGAGTCTTCGTCCTCTCCAAATCCGCTTAGATTTCGTATGGCTAATGCCGAAAAGCCTTGAGCGCTGACGTTTTTGGAGACTTCTATTCTAACCCAGTCGCCAGAGAAGCAGCCGATTTTGGCGAGGGTACTGGTGTCAATGAAGACAAAAGATTGATCGTCATCCTCCAAACTTGGTCTAGGATGCAACAAGTCTATGGGAACTTTCTGGAGTAATGGCTGGGTTCGGAACACCTTTCCCGGCCTACCACCGTTGCGAGCGGTGGCAGAGGAGAAGCTGGAGTACAAGGAGCCCGGAGTGTGGGTTCCTGTTGCCCTTTTACCACCTGGACGCGGAGTGGCTGCAGTCATAGCAGACAAAGTACCTGCCTGTTGAGGAGGAAGCCCTGGGGCACTCAAGGAGATCATGTCGTCCATCGAATCGGAGTCTTCGTCACTGTCTGAAGGGGCAGATTCATCACTTTCGGAATCAGCATCGGAGTGGTCGTCTCCATCGGAGCCAGTTTCAATGTTTCCATCCTCGGCTGCAGAATAGAATTGGTCGTTGGAGGTGTCTTCTGCAGTGTCTTCGAGAGACTCTTCGATGATTGGTTGGACCGGGGCAAGCTTCTTCAAAGCCTTTTCTTGCGAGGAGCCGGTCTGAATCAAAATAACCTTGGTCTGAGCAGTGATGCGGCCCTGGGAGACAGGTTCGCATTCGATGACTATTGCGGGTGGTGATCGAGCATGAGTTATGGGATGTGCAGGAAGTGGCAGAGGAAAGACGTCGCCGGAATGAACGATGGGCAAATGAGACAGGCCATCACGAACCAGAGCAGTCAGGCGATTGACGGCTGCGGGGATATTCTGGAGGCTCCCGTTCGGCAAAGAAGGCCTCTTGTCGAATCTGGGGCTCTTGATGGATTGAAAGCCTCCACCAAATCTACTCTGTATATCATCAACTCGGTCGAGGAGACCCTTTTCGACCGAAACATAGATGGTTTCTAGAGCCAAGGGCTTGGTGCAGACGAAACGGACTTCGATGGATTTGGGGATATGGCCTGGGTGACGGTCCCGTTCGACATTAGAATATGTTCTTAGCAACGACTGGCAGGCCGCAGCTGAAGGGGAGATTCTGATGGTGTCGGCCTGTTCTGGTGGGTCGACCGAAGACGTGGGTGAGGTGTGAGGAACGGCAGTGAGGATAGTCCAAGTGGAATCTTGAATTTCGAGATGTAGAGCTGAACGAGGTGTGATGGCAACATAAACCTGGTCTTGGTCGGAATGAAGGTCCTTGTGAGCTAGGTAGGTGTTAGCGACCGAAGAATCGAAGCGTCCGAGGTAAATTCTCAAAACCTACCGTCACTTAAGCCGATCCTGTCCCAAAGGCCGTGGGCAAAGACGGCAGCGTCGCCTTTTATTGTCTCATCAAACAGCAGTCGAGCTGTGAGTGGTCTGAGGGCGATCTCACGCCTGCGCCGCTTTTTGGGATGCTCGAGGTTGTGGTCGAGTTGGTCCATGTTGGCTCAGAGTGAGGGAGAATGTACTATCATGTCCAAGCAATGAGACTGGATGGGTCCAACCTGCGATGCTTGTGCTGTTCTGAAAGAGCTTTCTCCCCTAGCTGCGGTTTTCAGCAATTATATGGACTGCGCTGGGTTGTAGTGGATGAATTGGAGGTTATGAGGAGAGACGAAAAGGAATAAGCAGTGCCGAACCAGACGCAGGCGGATGCAGACACAGACCCCAGACTCACGGGCACACGCAGGCGTGGCAGGCAAAATTCTGGCAATAATCGATTCGCCCGATGTGCCGAGGCACAAACAACTTCACTGGGACTGGTCAAAATCTGTAACCAAGACGCCGAGGCGGAGGGATGGGCTCGAGGAAGGGCTTTCTTGATGTGTTTGACGGCCGAGAAGATATGTGCAGTCTGCAGACTCGCAGGCCATGTCTCTGATTTGAATTCCCGGGATGAGCAACGATAGGCATCTCTGCTTATTTCTGGCTTGTCATGATTATTGGGTCGTCGGCAGTGGAGGATTGAAGATGGTCCTGGCCACTTCAACGACAGTAGATTGGCTTGAAGATTTCGAATTTTCCTGGCAATGAGGGGGAAAGTGCAAGGGTGTCGAGGGTCCCCTCGTGTTTACGCGTGCTTTCCCCAGTCAAGACTTAAGACCTGGGATCGAGGGAAGGTGCTACGGGTGCTGGTGCAGGTGCAGGTGCGTCCTTGGTATATGTTCGTGCTTGCTCATTGTAGCATTTTTTGAGATTCGTTGATGACTCAGCCATCCAAATCAAACTGGCATCCAAACCATACCTTAGGTAGGGTATGTAGAGGCACTCCTAGAGATGATTAGGCATATGTAGACGCCGAAACACATTACCAACCATTTGTATCTATATGTCAACTAGAGCTCAAGACAGATTACAATTTACTCCGAACCTCAAACGATGCCTCGCCTCTTGTAGGACCCGCCTGCTGCGTAACAATTTCTCTCTCCTTTCTGAACATGGACCGCACAAGTTCACCGCTCCTCGTAGCCAGAATGGAGAGCAACGAGTCGGACAGTCCATGTGTGGCTTCGTTGCATCCCTGTAGCCACAACCCCGCCCCGTTTTGCACCGAACCTGGTTGCAGTGCAAGGCTGTAGTCACGTCTGGGATGCCAAAGTCCGTTCGGGCTGTTGTTGATGATCTGGCAGTCTTTGAGCATTTGGATATGGGCGTCTCGACGATAACCTGTAGCAAGCACGACCGCGTCCACATCCAATCTCTCATGCCCCTTGCCGCTGGACGGATCCACGTGAGCTAGGGTCAACGCGACACCCTTGGCCGTGGTATCGACTGAGATAATATTTCGTAGGGGTAGAATCTGGTGCTGCCAACGATGGCTGTCTGGCTCTTTGATTTTCTGAATATACATGTCATCGTAGAGCTTCTCGATTAACTCCAGCCGCACTACGCTGTAGTTGGTTGCCTTGTTCTTTACCAGATTCCTAGACCTCAGCTGTTCGGGTTGTTGGAAGAATCCATCCACAGCCTCCGGGTCAAAAACCTCGTTGACAAACGGCGAATCGTCACTCGGCCGCAGGGCTGAGTCGCGGAACACGAGCTTTGTCGTCGCATTAGGGTATCGTGTATGGAGGTTACTGAACACCTCGGCCCCACTCTGACCGCCACCGATGACTGCAATATTGTATGCTTTATTCTTGTCTGGCAGCACTTGCTCAATCCGGGTGTGGTATTCTGACGAATGGAGGATCCGGTCGTGGTACGTAGGAAATATCGCTGGCTTCGCAGGCTGGCCTCCAGCTGCAATCACCACATTGCGACTCAAGATCGATGTCAACTCGCCAGTGGTGGTGTTGCGGAAAAACACCTCAAAGCAGTCGTATTTTTCGTTTCCATCAAGGCGACGGGGCTGGATTGTTTCCACATTTTGACCGTATTCGACGACGTTGTCGAAATGAGCCGCTGCCCACTGCAAATAATCGTCAAACTCGAGGCGAGATGGCAGAAAGGTGCCCAGATTGGTAAATGGAACCAGCCGGTCGTGTTCTTTGAGGTAGTTGAGGAAAGTGAAATGTGAGCGGGGGTCTCGCAGGGTAGCCAGATCTTTGATGAATGATATTTGCATCTTTGCTCCCGGCAGGAGCATGCCCGCATGCCATTTGAAGGCCGTTTGTCTCTCGAGGAAGCGAATCTTGGGAGGGTCTATTGGGTTTGCAGCATCATTGTTGTTGTTCTGGAGAAAGTCGCTGAGGGCTACGGCAATGGCGAGCGAGGCAGGACCGAAGCCAACACCAACAAGGTCGTGGACCTGATCAAGGGAAGGAGCCGAGAGTCGGAATGAATGGTCCGTCGCTCTTCCTTGGCCATCAACCGATGGAAGTGAATGCCATGCGTTACCACCATTGTGCGAGCGTAGTCCCATGGATGCTGTGGCCGCAGCAACAGGTGCCATGATGGACAAGTGCCAAGGAAGTCGCTCAGGTCTGGACGAGAAGGATAGAGGGTGACGAACAAAAGATTAAAGGAAGTCAAGCTTTATCAAAGGTTCTGGCAGAGGAATGGGAATCGTACAAATGTCCGAGCATGTGCGGTAAAAGAGAGAGAAATGAGATGTAGCAGTAGAAGCGACTAACTAAGACTCTAGATCGAAATGTATATCCATTCAAGATGGGTCCGTCGGCGTGGCAGGGAACGGAAGTGTCGGTCTTCCCTGAAAGACTGGCACAATTGACTGGTGGTACGAGCGATGAACTAGGTAGGTACCCAAGTAAGAAGACAGATTCCAAGACCGACTAAGAGGGAAAAAACCGACAAGAGGCACAAGACGATAAAATATGATTGACCTGCAATGACATGTACAAAGTAAAGTTGCTCCGAGGGAAGGCGGTTGACTGAACTTGACTGGAGATGAAGTCATGTCGCGTTTTACAGCCAAACTAAATGGCAAGTGGGTGCCCATAGTGGCTTCCCATGGCGGCTGCCCATCCCTGCGGCCGATGACGGAGCAGGCGCGACCCAGACAAGCTCCGGTAAGAAGTCGGAGGCAAAGGATAATCAGATCAAAGATTATCAGATAATCTCAGTCACGCCACGGGCTAGCAACCAATCGAGGCAGGCTCGAGTTCTTAGCGAAGTGCGCCCCTCGGCCACCCAGACTCCACTGCTGCTCCTGCCTGCGTTCTGAGGGTCCCTTGACTCTTCAACCCCCGCCCCAAATGCCACCAACGCCCGTTGACTGCGGTACTACTGTTGAACAACCTATTCATCGCCAACCCACGTCCAAGCGTGTTTCCATGCATTCCCTGACACTTCCCTGTGGGACGGAAAAGTGAAAATTTGTGAAAAAAACCATGTCGATGGTTGCAGGGAGTCTCGGACCCGCTACCCACTCTCTTCCACAGGTGCGCTGTCCCAAAGTCCCCCAAGCTTCTCTTCCTTCACATTGGCACCCATCATTCACCAACCATTTACCACCAAACCAGACGCCTGTGACACATGCAGATCTCACCACCTGTTTCGTGTGGGGGTTATGCTAACGACAACATGAGTCGGTCTTCTAGAATTGCAGATTTGCAAAGTTCCACAGCCAAATTGCACGGCATTGCTTCATCTCACCCTCCTAAGTATTTTGATTCCTTCATCGGCATTCCCTCTGGGTACCTGACGGAGGACATTAAATTTGAATCCATGACGTCAAGTTCTCCATATCAACGTGGACTCAATCATCCTGGGTGATACATTTCTGGTCTTTTATACAAAACAGTCTCGCCCCAAAATTGCTCAAGAGGATGAATAACAAGGCCCTCTTGTCTGTGTTGCCTGTTCTAGCCATTCTCTGGAACGGTTCAACGACACATATACTATCGTCAGGAGTTGTATCATGGCTTCCGCCGACCTAAACCCCGACAATGTCCAAGGTCTCTCGATCGTCAACCCACAGCGCCGGGTACTCCCAGGCCCATCGCTTCTCCATGATCTGGTGGCCAAGCCTGCAAATGATACCCTCATGCTCGACTTTCTTCAGCCAGACGATACTCGTGTCAAGATCAGTTATCATCGCTTTCAACTTTTGACTGATCTTTTGGCTAGACATATTCGATCACGCATAGCCCAATTGCCCGCTCGACAAGTCATTGTTCCTGCAATCATACCCCAATGTCCAGAACTATATATTGCTTGGGTCGGCGTGTTGAAGGCCGGGGCTGGCTATTGTCCTGTCAATCCAGATATCCCCGACGAACGCTTGAAATTTATTGTCAAAGACGTTGAAGCCCCTTTTGTGCTGACGACTAGCGTAAGCCATCGCCAGGCTCAAAGTATCCTGGTCGGCGTCGATTGTATCACTGTCTCTCTCCAGTCATTGGAACAGGAGCTTCTTGTTGCAACCGATGGCCGAGTTCAAGATGCGTCGTTTCTGGACATCGATCCAAAGGGGCCAGCATATGTTATGTACACCTCAGGGTCCACTGGACTCCCAAAAGGCGTCAAAGTCTCTCATTTTTCAGCTACTCAGTCTTTACTGGCACATCAGGAGCACATTCCCAACTTCAAGCGTTTTTTACAGTTCGCTGCGCCGACATTTGACGTTTCTATATTCGAAATCTTCTTCCCCTTCTACCGGGGTGCAACTCTGGTGGGTTGTGACCGGGAGCGAATGCTTGCGGACCTCCCTGGCACAATGACAGCATTGGACATCGATGCTGCCGAGCTCACTCCAACGGTAGCCGGAACTCTACTGTGCACAAGAGAAGCCGCACCATGCTTAAAGACTCTCCTCACCATTGGAGAAATGTTGACCCCTCAAGTGGTCACTGAATTTGGGGGCACTGATGATCGACAAAGTATGCTGTTCGCCATGTATGGTCCAACAGAAGCGGCCATCCATTGCACCATTGCTCCCAAATTGGCTGCATCGGCATCCGTTCGAAGCATAGGCATCCCATTTTCCACCGTAACTGCCTTTGTTCTAAAGGAAGACTCTCTTCTCGAGATTGCGCCAATTGGACAAGTTGGCGAGCTTTCCATAGCCGGACAGCTGGCAGATGGCTATCTCAACCGCCCAGATCAAAGTGCAGCTGCCTTTGTATACCTGCCTGGTCACGGAAACGTGTACAAGACGGGCGATCGTGCTATGTGCCACCCGGATGGACGTCTCGAAATTCTAGGCCGAATTTCCGCTGGACAAGTAAAGATTCGTGGCCAGCGAGTTGAACTGGGAGAAATAGAACAGGTCGCTGCAAAGGTTCCCAACCTCACCATCGCCGTGGCGAGTGTGATAGATGATGTTCTTGTCTTGTTCTGCGCAGGCAATCAAGCTCTTGCCCATGGTGATGTCGCAGCCACCTGCAAGTCGTGGCTCCCACCTTTCATGCGGCCCGGCGAGATCTTCCACGTTGAAGAAGTCCCTCGCCTCCCCTCTGGGAAAATTGATCGTAAATCCCTTGAGAGTACTTACCGACAGTCTCGAAACTTGAGCATCCAAGACGAGTATTTTGAGGATGAGCTCGAACGAAACATTGCATCAATCTTGAGGGATGAGCTAAGTAGTCGACCACAACGACTGACATCCCTTTGGTCATCTGGACTTGATTCGCTTCATGCAATCAAAGTTGCCTCAAAACTTCGCCAAAAATATCCAAACGTCTCTGCTGCCATGGTTCTGGAAGCCGAAAACATCCCTGAGCTTGCGATCCTGATTCGCAAGACTGATGGTCTGGAAAAGAAATCCGACAAAAGCAAGGAGGGATTAAACGCTGAATGGGCTGCGATTGAACAGGAACTCCAAAACCATTCCCAGCTCCGCAAACCGGGACAGCCTTACGATAGACTTCTACCATGCAGTCCGATGCAAATCGCTATGCTGGTAGAAACTTGTACCGATGAGCGTTTGAATTTCAATGATATACTGGTCAAGCTGGATACCACTGTATCTTTCCAAGACTTCGAGGAGGCTTTCCAGCTTCTCGCCCACCACAATGAGATCTTACGCTCGGGGTTTATCGCGACTGGGCGAGAGGCTATCCCCTTCGCCCAAGTCGTATGGCAAGATCTTGGTGGCTCAGAGCTTTCCTTACTACACCCAATCAAATTAAGCAGTAAAGGAGAGGACAAGAGTGAAGTCCTCGTGCGCATTCATCACGCTATTTACGATGGGTGGTCTTGGGACTTAATCCTAGACGACTTGAACTCGATACTCTCCGGGAAGTCTTGTCCAGAGCGCATCCAATACACCGATTTCTACGATTCTCAATTAAGCCAGACAAGCTTACAGGCGCAAGAACACATCGAGTATTGGCGTCACACATTCAACTCCTTCATTCCCACTCCATTTCCCAATCTGTCGTCCAACGAAGCCGCTGCTCCTGGCCGAAGAACGTTGAAAACGACACTGTCGATTTCACCGTCAAAGCTATCTGAGGCATCTCGTTCGCTGAGATGCAGTCGCGCAACCATTTTGGAAGCTTCTTGGCTTTTCTTACTATCTACTTACCTTGATAGCCAGGATGTTAGCATTGGCACCGTTCTGGCCGGCCGCCACATTACTCTGCCAGGAGTGGAAACCATCATCGGACCTTGTCTGGCTACATTGCCAGTGAGGGCTGACCTGGATGCTTTAAGAACCGCCCATGACGTTCTGCATCACATACAAAGACAGCACATGGCTTGTCTTAAGCACGGCAATCTAAGCCTGCATGATGTTATGCGAGCCATTGGAAACACTGAGAGGGTCAGATTGTTCGATTCTCTATGTGTATGGCAGGAGGACGGTTTTGCCAAAACGAGAGATCGATCCAAGGTCATAACTTTGGATACCTGTGATGCACTGGACTATGCTGCTGTGCTCGAGTTTGAGCCGCGCGAAGAGTCCATCCTTCTCAGACTGACTTTTGATACTGGTCTGATTTCGAATCGACAGGCCAACATACTCGCCTCACAATTGGACCGCATTTCAAACAATATTCTTGATCATCCAGATGCTGACTTGCAGTCTCTTTGCAAAGGTATGAATACCGAATCGCTATCGGTGTCTAACATTTCCTACCGATCTTTCACGAAAGACTTTGATCTTGCCTCGACAATCTCGCACTTGGCAATGGAGTCGCCAAACAAAATAGCCGTTGAGTTTGTACAAGACTTCGACATTTCACGAGAACCGACCATATCTACGCTGACCTACAAACAATTGTATGCCGATGCGTCTGCTGTAGCATCTGCTCTCAAAGTCAAATACAATGTCGTGCAAGACGATTTAGTCTGTGTACTTGCGTCAAAGTCTTTGGACTTGTATGTCGGTATACTCGGTGTTGTCTTAGCGGGCGCTGGCTACCTCTGCATTGATGTGCGAACGCCTGCTGAAAGAACAAGGCAGATTCTCCATGAATCAAAGGCTTCGATTATCCTAACGAATGGACAAGACAACAGTGTTCTTCATGGTACAGAAGAGCGCCAATTCCTCCCGATCAGTGACCTTGTAAAGCAGTCAAACTACTCTAAATGGTCTCGGCCACCCAGCTACCCTCTAGACAGCCTTGCGTATGCAGTTTTCACTTCAGGCAGCACAGGTATACCAAAGGGGGTCCTCATAACACGACAAAATTTACTCAGCAATATTGAGGAGCTTTCGCACATCTATCCAACCGATCCTAGCGTGGATAAACTACTTCAAGCATGCTCTCCTGCCTTTGATGTCTCCGTCTTTGAGATCTTCTGGACGTGGCACATGGGAATGACACTGTGTTTTTCATCAAATGATATTCTCTTCAGAGACATCGAGCAGTTTATCAACGCCATGGAAATTACCCATCTTAGCTTGACACCTTCCGTCGCCGCCCTCGTCAACCGTGATAGCGTTCCTGGAGTAAAAATGCTAGTCACGGCTGGCGAACCCATGAATTCGAAAGTCTTTGATGATTGGAAGGGTCGAGGTCTGTTTCAAGGCTATGGTCCAAGTGAGACTACAAACATCTGCAACGTTCGTCCTCGAGTCTCCAAACTTGATGATCTACATAATGTGGGACCACCATTTGCCAACACCTCGGTGTTCATTTGTCGGAGATGGAAATCAAATAACGGCACGGACCAAGAAAGCATTCTCAACGCTCCTTCGGACGACTCATTACAAATTCTACCAAAGGGTGCCGTTGGTGAGATTTGGATTGGTGGCGAACAAGTAGGGAAAGGCTACATCGATGCGTCTCTGACCGAGAAGAGCTTTCTCAACCACCCCCACTATGGTCGACTGTATCGCTCTGGAGATATTGGGAGACTTCTGGCAGACGAATCACTGGTCATCCTCGGTCGAGAAGATGACCAAGTCAAATTGAGGGGTCAGCGTATCGAGCTTGGAGAGATCAATTCATCTGTTCTCAAGTGTGATGGTGTCAAAGACGCAGTGTCGATGATAGTCAAGGACACCACTGATCATGACCGGCTTGTCACATTCTGGTCACCCGAACACACCAAAAACGAAGGATCTCTTGCTCTCACAACTCGAGAGTATTATGATAAACTGCACAGTCTGCTGCCCACTTATATGATTCCAGATACACTTGTTCACGTGGGCAAGATGCCACTAACAGGGCAAGGGAAGATTGACCGTCGATCAATGTTTGATATCTATCGCAACTTGACAAAGTCTCAACTCCAGGCAAGCTCGCGGAACAGCGATGACACCCATCTTTCGGAGCCCCTCTCTGAGCAAGAACATGGCATCGCATGGGCATTGTCTGAAGTTCTTGGCGTCAGTGTAACGGATATTGGCCGTAACAGTTCATTCTATGGCTTGGGATTGGACTCGATCAGTGCCATACGACTTTCTCGTTTGATGAAATCGCGGGGCCATTCATCCATGGAGGTCTCCATAATCTTACAAAATCCTTCGATTGGTAAGCTCATGTCCGCTATTCGTACACTCGACGCGAATCACGAATCGCACCATAAAACCCACTCCAAAGACCTCTCGGGTAGCTGGCAGACGAAACTGAAAGACCTTTATGGAGGGGAAGGGTATCAAATCGACAGATTCCTGCGTTGTACGCCTTTGCAAGAGTCTATGATATCTAGCTCGATCATTTCTCCCAACAACGCATATTCCAACAAACTTGTCTTCAAAGTTTCGGGACACCTTTCAGCGCTACGTGGCGCTTGGAGTACAGCCATGCAGAGACATCAACTACTTCGAACAGGCTTTGCTTCAATACACTCAGCAAACAACCCGTATGTGCAAGTTGTCTTGGAAGAATACCACCTCCCGTGGCAGGAAGGTGACTCCAAGAAGAGCACGGAGACCAGTTTGGACCATCTCATGCTACCTCCTTGGAACCTTCAGGTGATTGTCGAAGGTGGTGAGCATTATCTTATTCTGCACATCCACCACGCTCTTTACGATGCTGAAGCTATGTCTTTACTTTTGAACGAGATCGAGAGTTCATATTTTGGTTGTGAACTTGCAGAGCCAGTCCCTTTCGATCGATATTTGGACTACATGCTTCTGCAAGAAGGCGAACATATGAACACATTTTGGAAAAGTCAACTACATGACGTTGTACCTAGTAGGCTGGCCGAGGTCCTCCCCAACGATGCAAGGTCGCAACAGCCTACGACAGCAGCTCGTAACTCCTCCGTTCGCCTGTCTACCCTGAAAACTCGGGTGAAGAAGCTCTCAACAACCACTATTGCTGTACTTCAAGCAACATGGTGCCGACTGCTGTCCAAACTATTGAAATCGCAAGATGTTTGCTTCGGCAATGTCCTCAGCGGCCGCAATCTTCCCATTGATGGAGTGGAAAGGATTATCGCACCATGTTTTAACACTCTTCCAACGAGAGTATATGTAAAACAAAACTCGTCCATTGAGGATTTGTGCCACACCATACAACGCACAAATCTAAGTATCCTGCCATTCCAGCCTAGTTCTCTCAGGCAGATTCAGCGTCAGAGTGTGCATGACGGACGAGGCCTGTTCGACACTCTTGTTTTACTCCAGAATAAGCAGCCCAAGCTTGATGAGAGAATTTGGACGCTGAACCAGGAATCTGGCGACATGTCGTTCCCGTTCATTCTGGAAGTCGTGCTCGATGCTGAGGCTGATACTGTCCAACTTCAACTGCACTCCGAAGTTGCAAACCAGGTGTTCTTGGAGAAGCTCTTGCTGTGTTTCGATTTGTTACTAAACCATTCAATTTCGTTTCCTCAGGCTCGAGCTGCAGACTATTACACCATTGCAGATGTTTTACCTTCAGTCGTCGATGTGGTTCCTCCGAAAGGGCTCACAAATTCGCGCCACCCTGCGGGAACGATCTCTCCCGAAGACCTATCTATCGCAGAGAGGGAAATCGTCGAAATCATCACAAGCCTGAAACCTGAAGCACGCACAGGAATTTCAAAACATACCACGATATTCCACCTTGGTCTGGACAGCCTCAACACCGTGCAAATTGCTTCGCAACTTCGCAAGCATGGATACAAAGTCACCAGCGCCAGCATCCTAGAAGCTGCCAGCATCGAGAAGATAGCTCTATTATGCTCGAAGGATGCAACATACAACGACCTTCCTGGTTTCGACTTTGAGGCATTTGAAAAGGTGCAAAAGACGTTGATTTGTCATGAGAATAATATCGACCTGAATCGCGTGCAGACTGTGAGACCATGTACAGCGACGCAATCTGGAATTCTGTCTGAATGGTTACGCTCGAACGGCCGACTCTACGTCAACTCTACACGCTTCTCACTCCGACGTCAAATCAACATTTCACAACTCTGCCGTAGTTGGGATGCAGCCATCTCACGGCACGAGATGCTCCGGACCGGATTTGTTGAATTCGAAGACTCCACATATCCTTTCGTAATGATCACATACCGTCCAGGTGCCACAAAATTACCTTGGATCGAGCAGGACAAGTCGCATAACGAGAAGGTGATGGTGCAAAAGCAATTCTCTGCCCTAGGAGATCCTCCTTGGCAACTACGCCTGTCGAGCGAAAACGGAGCACAAATCCTTGAACTACGTATGTTACACGCTCTTTACGATGCTCATTCCATGAACATAATACTTAATGACGTGGCGGGCATCTACCGCGACAATTATATACCTCCCCCGCTGCCATTGAGTCCCACGATTTCGAAGTTGCTTACCATGGGTCGAGATGAGAACTCGCGGCATTTCTGGTCGAGCATTGCACCTAAAATGTGCCCCACTTTATTTCCAGATATGAGAATATTCAACGACGAAGAGAGGCTTCCCGGTGTTGTTGAACGATGGTGTAGCAATCCACGGTCACGAGTTGAGAGGCTTTGTGCTAATGGAGGAGCAAACCTACAAGCTCTCTTTGTAGCTGCATGGTCTATGATACTGTCGGCATACACTGCTCAACCACAAGTTACTGTTGGAATAGTACTTGCGGGCCGAGATCTAGGCGATGAGGAAACCACGAATGTGGCATTTCCGTGCATCAACACAGTTCCCTTCCCAGTCGAGATAGGAGACGACCATGCAGCACTTCTCGAGAGATGCTCCAAGCGAAATGCCAAAGTTACAAGGTATCAACAGACTCATCTCAATCTGATCAAACAATGGACTGGTATTGAAGAAACCTTCTTTGATACCATCATTGCGTTCCAGAAATACGACGCATCATCAGAAGTCAATGGCGTTTGGTCACGCCTAGATGAACATGCCACCGCGGAGTATGCGGTCTCTCTGGAGATATTCGCCGAAGACGATGACAGACTCCGCTTCCAGCTCACCCACCGGACCAACGTATTGCCTACAAGACAAGCTTCAATTGTTCTTCAGGAGTTCGACGCAGCGATAAACAAGATCATGTCTACTATCGACGGCAACGAGCTGAACGTTCCTGACGAGCTGCTATCAATTGTCCCTTGCAAAGATGTCAAAATTGCCACCAACGTCAGTTTTCTACATGAATTTGTTGAGCTATCGGCAAAAGAAATACCAGACAACACAGCTTTAGAATTCGTCACAGCCTCACATAATGGCCAAGTTTCAAAGCGAGCCTGGTCCTACAAGGAGTTGGATTGCGCCGGAAATAAAATTGCCAACTTGATCACCTCTTATAGGCCAAAACCGGGTGGTCTTGTGGCTGTTTGTTTTGACAAATGCCCTGAGGCATCTTTCGCCATATTGGGTGTCTTAAAGGCTGGTTTTGGTTATCTAGCCATTGATCCTACAGCGCCAGAAGCCAGAAAGTTGTTCATCCTGAAAGACTCTGATTGCCAACTTGTGCTAACAACACAAGACAAATTGGGAGACTTTTGTGATGCTGAGAGGGTCACGACTGTCGCAGTCAGTGAAGATCTATTGCAAAACTTGTCAGAAGAAAAGGCGTCAGTTGCCACTGTTAATCCAGAAGACACTTGCTATTGTCTGTACACTTCTGGTACCACTGGAACGCCCAAAGGATGCCTGATCAGTCATGATAGTGCTGTTCAAGCGATGTTGTCATTCCAACGAATATTTCATGGTCGGTGGAATTCTTCTTCCCGTTGGCTCCAATTCGCCTCATTTCATTTCGATGTCAGTGTACTGGAACAGTATTGGAGCTGGAGTGTGGGCATCTGTGTGACTTCTGTCCCACGCGATCTGTTGTTCGAAGACTTCCCGGGAACCATCAATACCCTCAAGATAACACATCTTGATCTCACACCTAGTCTCGCGAGGCTGTTGACCCCCCAAGAAGTCCCAAACCTGTCTCGAGGTGTCTTCATCGTTGGAGGCGAGCAGGTCCGACAGGATATTCTGGATACCTGGGGCGATGTTGGTTGTCTGTATAACTTTTATGGACCGAGCGAGGTTACAATTGGTTGTACTGTTCATCGAAACGTTTCTAAACTTGCGAAACCAACCAACATTGGTCAACAGTGGGACAATGTTGGCTCATTTGTACTTGAGCCAGGGACACAGATACCCGTCCTTCGTGGTGCCGTTGGTGAGCTCTGCCTCTCCGGGCCACTTGTTGGAAAAGGATACCTCAACAGGGAAGATTTGACTCGGGAGAAATTTGTAACACTACACAAGTATGGCGTTCGAGTCTATCGAACTGGTGACCTGGTTCGGTTACTGGAGGACCAAAGTTTTGAATTCCTCGGAAGAATGGATGATCAGGTCAAACTGCGAGGACAGAGGCTTGAAATTGGCGAGATCAATCACGTGGTCATGGGCTCCGAGCCTAGTCTGCAAGATGCAACGACAATGGTATTGAAGCACCCCGTACAACATAAGGATCAATTGGTTACCTTCTTCTCAACCTCCAATCGACGGAGCAAAGATGACAAGCCACGATTGATACCTATATCTGAGGTTGAGGCTATTGTTGAGAAGATCAAACAACACTGCTCTGCTCATCTACCATCATATATGGTGCCAACTCATTACTTTGCAGTGTCATCGATTCCTCTCACTGTAAACAACAAGGTTGATCATAAGTCCTTGAGAGAACTCTTCGCTCAGAGCTTTAGGATTTCAGAAGCGTCACGAAATGCGCCCCGCATACCGAATGAGGAAGTGGCCGGACTGCATGAAGTTATCAGAGTGTTGTCATCATTCCTACGGATCTCACCGACCGCTATTCAGCCCTCTTCGAGGTTGTTTGAGCTTGGGTTGGACTCCGTGTCTGCAATCGCCCTATCTAGGTCTCTTCGGAAGAATGGTTTTAAGAATGCTGAAGTTGGGACAATATTGAAGAACTCTGTTGTGACCGAGCTCGCCTTTGCACTTCGCCAGGACGATCAGCAAAAACCCAAGCAGACATATCAAGAGGCACAAAAGGCAATTTTGGCATTTGCTGACGCTCATCATGACTCTGTGGCTCGAGATTTAGGACTCGACAAGAATAGCACACTCTATCTTGCGCCTTGCACTCCGATACAGGAAGGTATGATATCAAAAACCATGCAGAAGGAACTCGATGGCAAAGCCTATCTGTCTGCATTCTACTACCAACTAGCTGAAAACATTGACATCAGCGTGTTGCGAGATGCATGGGTCGCTACTCAGAGGACAACGCCTATACTAAGGACCTTATTTGTTTCCACCGTCGATGGCAACGCCCAGATTGCTCTTCGAACTTGTTCTACGCCTCCAGTGAATGTCCGCGCTCTACAAAATGGCGAAAAGAATCCATCGATTCCCTGGACCCGTTACTTCAATGATTGGATAACATCTGTACGATCATTTGGAAAAGAATTACCATGGAAAGTCGAACTTGTTACCCTTGGGAAGAGGAAATATATGTCATTGTTTATGTTCCACGGATTGTACGATGGCATCAGCCTACAACTTCTCTTGAAGAAAATAGAGGACGTTTATCTTGGGATCGACGCAGGTTCAGAAGCGGAGCGAGGATTTTTTGAAGCACTCCCACATGGGCCTCTGACTGTACATCCTGAAGAGAAATCCTTCTGGAAAGATAAGATTCCTGAGGTCAGGCGGCTGGGCTTGCCCAAACAACAACAAAACGAAGATATCAGCTCTCAAAAATCTTCACTTCTACGGAAAATTCTGAACACCAAGAAATTATCGAACCTTTGCACCAGGTTAAACGTAACCGCTCCGGCGGTCTTCCAAGCTGCCTGGCTTTATGTACTGGCGAAGGCTTACGACGTTAATCCAACCATAGGCGTTGTTGTTTCTGGGCGAGCTATATCGTTGGATGGAGCCGATAACATTATTGGGCCAATGTTCAACACAATACCCTTCAGTATTCAATATTTGCCGAAAGGTGCCTCCTTTGCAGATCTTGTTCGGGCTTGTCACCAATACAACGTGGAAGTTATCCCTTTCCAACATACAGCCCTGCGACGAATTGCTCGATATATTGGGCACGATATGGCAGAGCCAATGTTCGAAACCCTGTTTGTCTTTAACAAGGCCCAGCAACAAGACAAGGAAGTAACTCTGTGGAAAGAAATACATACTGAAGGATCGTCCGACTATCCACTGAACATTGAGGTTGAACAGAAAGACCCTGATATCTTTCTGGTGACTTTAGCGACAAGACCGGATTGTGTCATTGATGGAGATCCTGAGTCGCTGTTTGATGCCTATTGCAACCACATGATGACTCTTGAGGACCTAGAACTTCCGCTTGCGGATGCATTCTGCAGAGCAACTAATTCGCAAAATACCAAGCATGATTCACAGCTAACTCGGACCCAATCATTGAAGGATGTCAATGGTGTCAACAACGATTCCGATTTGACCTGGCAAGAACTGAAGATACGGACTCAACTTGCTAATCTTGCTTCGGTTCCCGAATGGAGGATTCATCGGAATCAACCAACAATCTTCGAGCTAGGTCTGGACAGCATAGAGGCAATGAAATTGGTAGCACGGCTGAAGGACATTGCACCAAACATTGCCGTGAGCATGATCATGAGATCTCCGACGCTGGGTGGAATTGCTAGAGAAATCGACCGGGGCCTTCGAAATGGTCAGAGAACTATGGACGTCTCATCGCGTCGCATTGCTGATGATCAGGAATCTTGGCGGGCTCTTCTCGAAAGACAAGGAATAGAAGTTAGTGAAGTGCAGCGAGTATTGCCCGTCACATCCATGCAAGAAGGTCTGCTTATGGATCCACAAAATTACTTCAACATTTTGGTGTACAAGCTAAGATCTGGCTTGGACATTGAGAAGCTGAAAGACATGTGGGACGGTGTGATCAGAAAAGAGCCTGTTCTAAGAACGCGGTTTGTCTCCATCGACACGAACGGAGAAAACAACACTTTCCTCCAATATATCACGAGAAACTTCAATGGCGCTGAACTCAGTCGGCAGCAATCGCTTACCTCCGTCACTCGAAATCTAATGGATGACGGCAAGCTTTCTGGACTCGAGAAACAAACATTCCAGATCAGACTTGTGGACAATGGGAAAGAGGATCGCTATTTGGTTCTGGGAGCTCCTCATGCACTCTATGATGCCTGGTCGTTGAATCTTCTCCACCAGGAGGTGGGCAAGCAATTGTCACTCACCGAGCCCAATGCTATGAGCATTGAGTCTGTCCCCTATGAAGATCATCTCCAAGAGGTTAGTTACCAGGCACGAAGTTCCGATGCTCGCAGCTTCTGGAGCCAGATGGTCCAGGATATTCAACCAAATGTCTGTATAGGTCATCTAGATAACGGGAACACGTCAGAACAGCCCATCCTTGTTCAAAGGCTTGCAGCAATCAATCTCGACAAAGCCTCAAAATTCTGCAGACATCATGGCGTTACACTGCAATGCCTAGCGCTCTTGTGCTGGACCACTACATTGGCGAATATCACGAAGTCGCTCGATGTATGTTTCGGCATGGTACTATCCGGCAGGACGACAAGCAGCTCGGAGCAGCTGGTCTTTCCAACATTCAATACGGTGCTCTTTAGGAACCGTCTTGACCGATCTGCATCGAAAATCCAGGCATTGAGGGATGTACAAAACACGTATCTGGGCATCGCCGAGAACCAGCATTATCCTCTCCGAGAAACACTTCGACTCGCAAGAGCACAATCAGGAACCTCGAACTTGTTCGACACTCTGTTCACTTTTCAGAAGTTACCAAGTCCAGACAAGTCAGAACCTTGCGTCACCTTATATGACGAGTGTCATGAAGGTCCGATGGAGATCAAACCACCATACCCTGTGAACGTTGAATTTGAAAGTCATGGAGTGGACCTGAAGTGGACCATTGCCCTTCAGGGTGGAGTTGCCGATCAAGGTCTTGCAGAAAACTTGATTCATCAACTTGATCACGTTCTTGTATCAGTTGTTGAAGCTCCTGAAGCGGCTCTTGTTCAATCTCTGAATGATCTTGTCTCTATTTGTGGCTTTCCGAATATAGAGCTGAGAACCTCATGCCAATCGCTCACCAATGGGAGCCAAAGATATTCGAATGAGCCTCAAGGCAGCACACGAGAAACCGACCACTGGACCGCTCTGGAAACCGAGTTAAGGACTGTACTGGCAAAAGTTTCAAGGCTGAGTGATGATGAGATTACCAAAAAAGCGAGCATCTTTCATCTTGGCCTCGACAGTGTGAGTGCGATTAAAGTTTCCAATCTCTTCAAGAAAAAGGGTATCAAGCTGCCTGTCAGCGACATCATCAAAGCACAGACAATCGAGGCAATGGCACAGATGATTTCACAGAGCAATAATAAAGACACTTCTGTCAGCAATGCAATACACTCAGAAGAGAAGTTGTTGGCTCCAATGTTGGATCATCTGGACATCAACTCAACTGATGTTGAAGCCATACTCCCCGCCACCGCAGGACAGAGGTATATGCTGGATATGTGGAAAGCGAGTCGAGGACGACTCTTCTATCCAACATTTTGGCTTCATATGAGTGGAACCACGCGATCTAGAATACATGACGCGTTTTCGACAATTATTGCTGAGCTTCCAATGTTCAGGACACGATTTGCACTCCACCAGAACGTACAGGTTACATCCATGTGGCAAATTGTTCTGAAAGCTTCTTCAAATAACAAATATGACCTACCATGGTCATTGGATATCGAAGAGGGTCCGAAAGGGCAACTGGTAACCTTGAAAATTCACCATGCACTCTACGACGCAGTGTCCTTACAGTTGATTTTCTCGGAGCTCAAAAGATTGTGTCAAAGCGGGCATGACAAAGTTCAGCTCAACAGTAATATCAAAAATCTCAATGTTGAGTTTCAGAGATATTCTGGCCAAGCAGAAAAGTTCTGGTCGGCATACTTTGCAGAATCTGGGACAATTCTCCCAGTCTTGGACACTGGAACTTTTGCTGTGCAACGGGTGGAACGATTTAATCCAAAGGTTCTACTGCTATCTAAAACCTCTCCCTTCTTAAGGAAGAACGGAATCACTATTCAAGCACTTTTGTTCGCAGTTTACTCCAAGATCTATTTTCGGTTCAAGCAAACTCGGTTTCAAGATCAGCGCTCACCAACCCACAAGACTGATGTCGTGATTGGAATCTACTTGGCAAATCGATCGCTAGATCTTGAGGGCTTAGTGGACTGTGTTGCACCAACATTCAATATTGTCCCTCTCAGGGTCCGTGTCGAGGGTCGGTCGTTGTTTGAGAGTGCAGCAATGATTCAGCAAGACCTTGCAGACGTCACGAAATTCGAAAATTGTTGTACTAGCATACATGATATACATGCCTGGACAGGTGTGAAGATTGATACCTATGTCAACTTCCTCTCGCTTCCAGGGTCTGAAAATGAAGACGACGGAGCTGTTGATGGGGCTTGGCAGAACGGAGTAAAGGAAGACGAAGACAGAGAAGAAGTTGCCATTACGCATGCTGAGCTCGAAGACAAAGAGAAGCTCAGACTCGAGACTCCGAACCCTACTTCGCCTTTCTTCGATGCCAAAACCTCAGAGCTCTGTGAGGTTGAGTGGTGCATGGTAAGATCACTGACAACCCTCTTGTATGGCGATGCTAACATTCATATCTCCAGCCATCCATCGACATCGAAGCCAAAGTTGAGAATGGCCATTTGGGTGTTGGAGTCTTTGCGCCTTCGGACATGCTTTCGGAGGAGGAGGCTGACAGTATGATTGCTGCTATTGGGAGCAGCATAGAGAGCGAAACTTCTGCGGTCTTGGGTGCAAGGGGATCTCAAGGAGAATCTGGGTGATTCAGTTCATTTGAGGTAGATGAAACGCTTTGTCCCGCGGAGATGGACTACAATTAGTATATAAACTTGCTAGATTCTGTGAAGTATCATATAGATGTTGATGATGCCCTCCTTTTTGTGGATGTTTTTGGTCAAAAATGATGGGCTCCAACTTGAAAAGGAGTCTCAGCCTTGCCCCACTCGGCGAGGTTCCGCCAATCCATGTTAGGCTTGGCTTTGAAGGACTCTGGGCATTTGATCAGCAGCACTGTTCTTATAGCATTTGTTTTTACCTTGAGACATTGCAAAATATGACAGGCTTTCGAGTGAAATTATCATTCCAACGGAGAAAGCAGACCTTAATGTGTACCATGGCTGTGGTAGATTGATTGGGTTTTCCTCGAATGCGTAGTCAGCGCCAAGCAAATCTACTCAGGCGCATGCTCTGAAACCACTAACAATCTTTACTCTTGGTCAGCCCTATATGTTCTTCTCTCTTTCCATTTCAGAGTGCTTGGGTGATTTATTTGGAGGTTAAAGCCAAAAGTGATACACCAAGCCATCAATCGCCCCTCCCAGCCAGGCGATGTAACATGACCCCGCAGAGAAACCAGCAAATGAAGAAAGCCTGACATGGAGGTAGGATCTTAAGCTGAAGACGACGACATCAGCACTAGCCACCACCTGTGTCACGGTATATCTACCTACCTAAGTAATAATATAAATACGATGTATGCACCGTGAAAAGGGTAATAGGAGGCCTTGTCTGAAATCTATAATGGAGCGGCATTCCGGCTCCTCCATTTCCGTGCTTGGATGGTAGCCTTTCGCTTGACAAATAATCGAATACTCGAGTAGACGAGAGTGGTCTGTACTCTGGACACAGCAGCAGTGTACATAGTTAGTTCTTCGGCCGCGACGCAAACCATGTCGTATGCACAAAGAATACCTACCTGTGGATGAGCAGTCCCTGCAGCAAAGGCAGCAAAATGTTAGGAGACAATGCCGGATTTGACCACGTGATACGACAAATCCGCCTCCCAAGAATAAGGCCTTCTATCTAGCAAAGCAACTACTTAGTCAGGAGTGTTGCAGCCTTTACTCCGGCAGTCTGGACGCCGACGCCGTCTTACAGGTTTAGATTAGTTGTATCGTATCAGTGTTTCCTCAAGTAAATAACAATGTGAAGCTTGTACGAATATGTTGCATCGTATTGTCGCCACTTAGCTCCATGATGCCCAGCCATACCAGCTTACGTAGGACACAGAGTCTGCATCATATAAAATCCTGGTTGGTTCTTGATTGAAGTTGTTGGGAAAGTTTTTCCGTCTTCTATTCAAGTGACAGCACGTATCTTGACTTCAAATTCCCTCTTCCACCCCCTCTAGACCACTCGTCTCCCTGGTTTCATTGGCTGGAGAATCCCTTCGTTGGGAAGACGATCCAACGTAACAGGGATGGCCAGCCCAGCACCGGAAATCTCAGCCGAGGAGCCCGTCATCGCAGGGCCTTTCTCGTTATTCGACAATTCATTCATCATTCAGTTCTTGGAACCCGCCAAGGAGAGGGAAGCATCGTGAGTCTCGCCCCCACGGTCAGGATCCCTCAATCATGGACAAGAGGTAGACTTCTGCGCCAATGCATCAAGGGAGCAGGTAAAGGTCGCCCGGCTGCTTCCTCATGTCATGTCTGATGGGATCACGGGACTTGGGTAGTCACCACTGACAATTCGATCTGCTCTTGCAGTGTTCTCATGCGTTGCGTTTACAAACATGATCATCCTCTAGTCAAGAAAGAAGCTGGGCATCCACAGGTACGTAGATAAAAGTGTCTCATAATCTCTTTGAAGTGCATTTGAGTGCATCATGGGGTGTCTTTCTCCCGTAGATGCAGAATGTCGCCTAGAGCCTCTTAGGTCAGAGGACCAGATTGTCAGTCAAAGGGAATCCAGCAGACACATACCTCGGATAAGATACCTAGCACCTTACCATATCCCAGAAGAACTCTCTGCTCTGACCTCTCCGGCTTTTTAGAGTCCACCACTTCACCTCCACCTCCAACAATCCGAAAGCTTCTGTGTGTTGAGTGGGGAAGTCGGCACGACCACGGGCTGGTCTGTGACCAAGACAATTCATACACCAGAGACGACAGGCCCATCGAATCCGTATTTGATTCCGCCATGGGAACCACATTGCTTCTGGCCCAGCGCAAACGCCAAAGAAGATACCACAATGTTGGTATGGGCTCATCCCAATCCGGACGACATGGAAGGCAAGTTGGATCGATTGTTTTTCCAGAATGTCATGATATATATGAGCGATGCTTTCGAAGGAAAGGAGAAGATGAGTCTGAGCCACGTGATGCTCATGCAGTAAGTGTTGTTTTCGATGTTTTCTTCACAGGGGCGATGCCTTCACCGTCGATATGGGATGGGATGGCGTGTCATGAGATCAGATGAGGATCGCGAAACAGCGGTATGATGACATTGTCATTGACAATCATCAGCCTTGATGCCACAACACTGCTTCAGACCAGTGCTAACCTCTTCACCAACTGCACAGACACGTCACCGAGACAGCGTTGATCATGTTCCCAAAATTGTGGTTGCTGGGTCCTTTGAGATGGTGGATTCCATTGCAGCTTCAGGCTCTCGGCTCAGCGATCGCCAGATGGAGTGGGAAGAAGCCGCTAATGGAAAAGTATTCCTCCAAAGAGGAGTGGGAAAGCATTCAGGATCGCATAGGTGGTAAACCAAAACGCGCTTGATCGATTGCTTGGAACATTGTCAAGGTGAATCCTAGAGGTAACTGAAGAATGATCTGACAGATGGGAGTATCTGATGGTGGTGTTGAGGTATTGCAAAGGTGCTTAGGTCTTCTTGGTGGCGTCACGTGGTACAGCTTGAAGACACGTAGAATCCATCTTGGGTGCGGTGCGGCGTTACGTCTTGAGGAGGTGACACCAGAGGAATCCTAGTTTTGCAAACTGCTCTCGCTCCGGTACGTTGGGTTGGACATGTTTGTTGCCGTGGGCGAAAGAGGTATGGTGGTCGAGAATCTGAAAAACACCATCCGCTTAGCACGTTGCGCACGTGGACTCATGTTGAACTCATCAAGGAATTAGGCAAACAGGACTTCTGCCCGCCGCCAATAAATCAAAGAGTACTACCTAGACAGATAGGATCCACGATTGAGCATCTACTACACTGTCTGAACTCAAGTGAAACCCCTCTGTACCTGTACCCTCTGCGCAGACTTCCTCATGAGGGGCCATCCGAAGTGGGGAGAATTGTGTCTTGTCTTCCAAGAAAATCACCTTCACATTACTGCACGTCAGTCCACGCGAAGTTGACTCGAGCGTCCCCTCGGCCATTCAAAAAGCCCAGTGAGGTGATGCAACATTTGACAGTTGAGTCCGCTAATGTGTGGAGAGACAAGAGAGAGTCATGGCGAAAGGCAAACAAACAAGTAACGATGGAGACGAAAGAGTTACACGAAAGGTCATCCTGATTACCACAGAATTGATTGGCCCACGACACCTAGAGTCTATGCCTCCACGGCCTGCTTCAGCACATCCTCAGAGTTTCCCCCACCTCTGTCCAACAGCTTGACGCCTATTGTTCATCGTAACTCGATGACAAACCCACAAATAAAGCCCTATCGTTGGCTAGAATCATGCACATGCTTTTCTCCGGTCGTGATATTTAGTTGTGAAACATACTTTTTGGGCATCTATTGACAGGTTCTGGCTCCAGTGGATTCTGGGTTTTCGATCTAGGTGTTTTAGTTGACAGCGACCAGAGACTCATGCCTGCCCCTCAACCGTCCACGTCGAATGGTAACACAAAGATTCAAGTTTCTGCTGACAATGTCCTCTGTCGCTATAGGTTGGTTGCTAGTCTTGCGTAGTCGAGGTTGGGCCGTCGGTAGTGATGATATGATGATGCGTTCACTTTTCTTCGGATGACGACCTTCACCAGGATCGTGCATGCATGCATGGTGCATGTCGCATGGTGGGACACTAGGCGCATGGGTACTAGGGTACATATAGTGACACACTACGCCACGGCCCCTCGGGCATATATGTATATCTAATCTGATCCCACCATGGCACTGTGACAATACTCTTATCAGATCCGGTATCGGAGTAGTTAAGGTGACGTGCTTTCAACATGATGTGTTTGATTAACATTGCAAGCAGATATCTATCGTCGACAATAAATGGGAATGTTGAGTATTCAAGGTCTTGCCCAAATAGTTGGTGTGCGGGTCCTTGGTTCGTCTTCCACGGCCATGAGTAGTATCGCCATCATCATCGGCCACGACTACCTTGTTTCGAACGGTCAGATATATGCCTACGACTTTACCCTGCCCCTTACTGGCTCTCTCTTTCCTCTTCACCTCACAGACTGTAGACGAACTCTGGGTTTTCCTTGTCGGTCAGATCAAGCCACCTAATCGTCAGAGACCGTTAGTGTCAGATGTACAAGGCTTCAACAACTGTTCGAGGCACCCAAGAAATAACGAGTGCCTGATATAAACACGACCGCACTGCTTCTTCGCATGGGCAGGATAAGTCGACTTACTCTTGATTTTCCAACTTAACATAACCCGGCTCGGCTCTGACGAGAGCCTTCTTCTTGTTCTGTCGTTGACAATACCACCAGATAAAGTACAGGTCAATCAGACAAACTCCCCAGCAGACAATGATGGTGATCTCAGCTGGTTTATACCTCGGTGCATCCTTTGGTCGGAATGTTTGAGGTCCTATAAGATCAGGATCAGCTGACACCGCACGAGAATTCGTATGGGTGTTCGAATACCTATGATATTTCCAGTGCAGTATGCGATCAAGTATGCGGCAGCGACTGTACTCATATAAGTCATTTTGGCAGGCTTTTGAGGGGTTTGGAGTGCTCCTACCGGTGGTCTTCTTGGTATATCCCGCCACATTCGTCGAGATGAGGGACAACAGTGCCACGAATGGAGTTGGGCTTGCCTGTGTCAGGTAATATCCCGCTAAACGACCAGAGTTGTTGTCAAGTGGCAGTGCGACAATCAATATCATGCCAACGAGGGCCAACACGAGGCCTCCCATCGACACGAGAAGTCGTTGGCCGAGACGGTCTCCAAGCCAGCCACAAAAAATCAATGCAACCACTTCGACCGCACCACCTGGGGTACCGTCTATCAGAGTTTATGATTAGTATTGGTTTCATCCTTGCACTGGTGAGCATCGAGGTGACTTACATAACAGGGATTCTTCTGGAGTATAACCAAAGGATACGATCTGCACGGTAAAATACGTCAGGATTTGAGACAGGTGTTGAAGAACGAATGGATGGATAACGCACCAACTGGGAGAAGAAATTGCTAATTCCACCGTTAGGAATATCAGCGGCCAGAGCATAAAATGCAAAAGCCCATGTCAACGGGTCCAGCAGTGCTTCCTTAAGTTGGTACATTTTGAAATGTTTGTTTCCAATACCTTGTTGATTGACACGGACTCTCTCAATGGCCAGAATCCTGTCTCGTGGCTTCAACCACCAAGCTCCGAGCTGATTGTCCGGTACGACAAACCAGAAGATCACACCCAGCACGGCAGTCAAGCAGCCATTGACGAGGAACACGATTTTCCAAGGAGCGATTGCCGTGCCGTGCTTTCGAGAGCCAACGGCGATTCCATAGGCTACCAACCCACCGAAAATCTGGCCGAAGCCATTGAATGAGAACCAGATTCCAGTTCGCGTGCCTTGTTCTTTCTTGGTCCACCATTGAGAGGTGATGAGGGCCCAGCCGGGAGTGACGCTGGCTTCGAAGACCCCCAGTAAGACTGGAAATCAATTGTCAGAGCGGTCAAAATCAAATGAGCACAAGGGACGATGAGAATGGAGAGCAACTGACATCGAATAGCGACCGCACCGCTAAAATCGGAGACCACAGCAAACAGGGCTAGAATAGTCCCCCATACGACAATGCAGAATGCCGAGTATTTAGCCAACGGCAGTCTCTGCAGAAGACGATTGGTAGGATACTCCCAGGCCAGATACCCGAAATAGAACATGGATCTAGACAGCTCACAGAGTCAGAAACAGTGAAGAACAGACAAGGGGTATAATTCATATCAGACATGAAACCCACCCAAGCCACTGATAATCATCACCTTCAAGGCCAATATCAGTCTTGATGCCCATGATCGAAGCATATGAAAGAGTCGTCTTGTCGAGGTAATTCATGCCATAGATGACACACATCAAAGGCATCATTCGAAAATCAATGATTCGGAGTAATCGTTTGTTGGTGGCATGGTCAATTTCGACCACTTCGCCATTGACGAATGCTTTCATTGCCTCGTCAGCATCGTGACTATGTGCAAGGATCTTTTGCGCTGCTGCGGTGGATGAGGCAGAGTGGCGCTTTTCGTCGATATTGACGGGCGATGGCGCTCGACCGTCAGGGAGGGTCTGGTGTTTTTCGCCATCGAGGATCTCGATGTTGGACATGATGGGTTACTTTGGTCCTGAGAGGGCTTAAGTAGGAGGTTAGGTCAACGTCGTTTCCGACTCTGCAAGTGTAGGTAGTCTGTGACGATGGGACGGTCGCACATCAACAAGACAGATGATCACATGTGTAACAACGATAGAAACCTCAAGTACCAGACGACATGGAAAGAAGAGCCTCAATTATATCACTGATAGAGAGATGGAAGGAATGGAATTGACAGATTTCGAGAAACAGCAGCAGAAGGTGAGTGAAGTCATTCCTCCTTCGCGAGGGGTTCATTACGGCTTCTACTTGAGGTCGCGTGCGGTGACATCCGTCACCATGAACCCCCAAAGTCGATACCACGGACATCTCTCCACGGAGAATATCCGTTTCAGCGGTACAGTAGGCACAAGGAGAGTTACATGAGGGAGGAGATTCACACCGAGCATCGACCAGTTGCATCATCAAGGGCAAGCATTAGGCTTAGCGGGATAAGACATCCTGGCATTGCTTAAGTTGAGTAGATAGCAATGATATCAACGTCGAATCATGTCTACAATGTCATGGGGAAAGGCAGGGGGTTTACTCTATTAAGACGGGAAAGTCCATGGAGTTGAGCGAGGGGACGCCATGATCGACGTCAGTCGTTGGAGTACCAATCGTGCCCTCCCACCAATGAGTGATTAGCCAGTCGGACATAGAAACTTGGTGCAAGATACGATCACCCTGTAGAATGACGTGCTCATGCGTGGTCTACTTCCCACTGGATCGCAGGAATAAATTTACTCCGTAACGGCGCAGAATCTGGAGGTCGTGGAGTGTCAGAAGACTACATCAAAGCATAAAGCACGTATAGCACCTCCCAGCATCACATCGTAGTGTAGATAGTCTAGAGTCAGTAGGTCCTTACGATATCCTGCTATGTCAAAATCAGTTAGAACACTCCAAAGCAGCGCCTGAAATCTATATACATCTCATCCCTATTACTTTCGACAGTGTAGAGAGGTGCCGGCGGCCTATCGCTTCTGAAGCCTGTCAGTTGCACTTTCTACTCTCGTTCTTGCACACTGACTGTATAGATAGCCACGCCCTCCCCTCCCTGTGTGCAACGAGGAGGGACAGTCATGCTTTTCACCTCTCATCTAATATGGTGCTCTAGGCATGGGCAAAAGTATGGTTTCACTCCGAGGCTGGAAACAAACCAGTCGACAAGTCACGGCTGTGTCCAGGACATGTCTTGTTTCTGGGCACCCTTCACAAGAGCTGGGGGAAAAGGCGAGTCCCAGTTTTCGACGGAGACTGAAGGGGGACAACAGTGTGAATTAGGGTTGTTTGTGGGGGATGAGAAAAGGATATATGAGTATGTTGCCCCCTTCTTCGCAGCCTGGGAGGCCTCACATTGGAAATCCGTTGCCCTGTGAAGAGGACGGCGGGATCTCAAGGTCCTGTAACGGAGGTGCGGTGGCCAATCCTGTACTTAACTCGACTCTCCTTCGTACTTTGTTTCTTATGTTCGAGAAACTCGATGATGCCAAGTCCTACCCTAGGGGCCAAGACAACGAGAGGGAGGTGTGCCACTTGTGTGGCGTGAATTCTGTCACCGAAGGTTTGGAAGTTATCTATTGGACCTGAGAAGACGACGAGGTACTCCGTAGAGGCAGTTAGTGGAGCAAAGGCGCAGAGGCACAAAGCGGCCGAGTAGCGCCTCGGGCCACTCGGGCCTCATTAAGTAGAATTCCAACCCGGGGTGGATTTGAATGCACCTTGGCAATGACGTTCTATTGCCATCAAGAAGCTTGGGACGATGAAATAGATTTTGGAAATCCTTGCACATGAGGCATTCTAGCAGTAAAAGAACTCCAAGAACCGACGCTCAAGATTGCAGCGTCGCATCCATCGGCTTGGCCATTTTTATCAACTACATCTATATACTTTGACTATGAGCTCCCCCAAAAATACATACTTTGATGATCGTGCTTGGGTGACGAGTCTTCCGCACTCTTCTTCCTTCAATAATATACAAACATGGTGTCGCTGAAAACGTCTCTGATAGCTTACTTGGTCGCCTCTGCGACCGCTCAAACCAACTTCACTGGTGATACCGTCAGTGGATATCCCGTCATCACGACCCTCGATCTGTCCGATGTCCCAGCAAATACCGTCAGTCGGTACTGGCTCTACACGGCCACAGCCCAAGGAGGAATTCCCTATTTCCTGCCCGTCTTGGTTGCTCGTGGTTCCAACGAGTCGCTTGAAAACGGTCGCAAACTGTCTCTATCGGCGTCTGTCCATGGTGACGAGCTGAATGGAATTCCCGTGGTTCAAAGGGTCTTTGCTTACTTGAATGAGACCGTGGCTTCAGGTGAATTCAACGGCACAGTCATCGGAGTTCCCACCATGAATCTAAACGGGAATCAAATGAATCAGCGGAATTTCTGGACATCTAGCTCGAATGGATTCTACACAAATTTGAATCGGATTTTCCCAGGTCAAGATGCTTCGTCCATTACGAATTCCTATGTGCATGCCATCTGGAACAACCTCTGGGGCAACACCTCCAACGTCGATGTGGCTGTCGACTTGCATACCCTGTCGACCGGATCCGATGGGCCAATGTGGGCATATGCTGATTACCGACTCGACTATGTGCAACGCCTGGCCGAGCTTGCGCAACCTGACATCATCAAAATCGACCCAGGTGAACCTGGATCGGTGGAAACCACCTTCGTCGACAATTCTGTCCCGGCCATCACACTCGAAATTGGACCGGCCAAACGTTGGAACAACGATTTGATCGATCGGTCTGAGGAGTTCATCTACCGACTTCTCGCTGATCTGCAAATGTTGCCCAACTCCACCACGCCAGAAGTTGATCTGAGCCAGACCTACGTGGGTAATAATTTCAGCAGTGTCTCAGTCACCCAGACTGGATGGGTCAATGTTTCCGTATCTCCCTTGGATGATGTCGAGGAGGGACAGGAAGTTGGGGTGGTGTACAACAGCTGGGGAGATGTTCTGGAAGTATTGACAGCTTCAGTCAGTGGGAGAGCCAACCAAGTCAGAGTCGACCCTGCCGTAGAGCAAGGTGCTTCCGTCATGGTGATCGCGTACAACGCCACAAGTGACTCATGAGATCACAATATGAGCAGTGGCAGTTAAGGGGTGGTCACCATTCTAGATCTGTGCTATCAATAATATCTACAAAAGCAATAAACCAAAAACAACAGCTCATAAGAAGTCTTTAATCCCTTTCCACAAGTGCGGGAGTTCGTGCCTGTAGATCTTTCGCCAAGTATCAATCTGGCTGGATACCAATGTCCATCTCCCGAAGCGATCCCGTCACTCGGGAACGCGAAGCATCAAGCAGATTCTCCTTGTCATCGCTGGTGGACAGCTTCGACAGTCTTGAAGAGCTCCTGCGTGAGACATGGCGTCAGGATGATGAGGGAGTATGTGAAGTCTTCTGGATGGACATGATGATTGAAAAAGGATGGAAGTTTCTCATGGGAGAGCTTGAAGTTAAGGGATAGGCCTGGCTCTGTCGAGACGATACTTGATGAAGAATGAATGAATGTGCGGTGGTTGAACTTCCTATCCCTGTTAGTCGGACAAAACCATGGATGTTACGACTAGGATGAAAGTCCCTGCGACTCGCCCCAAACGAGTGCCAACGACAGGTGTAGATTCCCGCTGAATACTCGTAGTGATCGACAGTGGGTAAATGCACGAGCTGAACATACAAAGAAAGTCGGCAATAGCTTTTCCCACTGGACGTCTAGCAAAGGACAAACAAATACCTGATATCAAGGGCAGTCCCGAGAGTGGGTCATATATAACATGTACACAAGAATAAACAACAGGCGCTTGTGGGTGAATTCATTCGGCAATTTGTGGTAGACTATCATCCTCCGGGCATATAAGTCGCAATGGAGTAACTCATCAGCAGGTAAATCACTCGGTCTACAATAGGCAGAATATGGCTTCTCTGGACACCCTAATGTCACGTCAATCTCTATACTACATGGATCTCTTGCCATATGGCTCAAAGGGCATGAGCGCAGCAACGACCGCCTGTTTCGAGTCGTTAGTAAATATGGCTACAGACCAAAGAGGAACGATCAGCTTACCATTGCTATATAGAGCACTGCACAAATATAGATGGGAGCGCTCGTTGCCGTGTTGGCGTAGGTTGCAACGAATGCACTGACCTATGGGGGTTAAGGTCAGTATTGTGCAGGATGGCTTGCCAAGAGTATTGTAGACAGGGATTTTGTGAAGATATGAATAAACTTACCAGACCCATGACTCGGTTGCATCCGATTGCGATACCGTTACCAGTCGCGCGATGAGCGGAGGGAAGACTCTATGTCAGAGTTAATGCTAGTCAAGATGAAGAAGAACCAAACTTATGATTTGGTGGAAAGAACCGACCTCGGGACTGTATGCATATAAAGTACCATAATATACATTCACGGTGAAGTAGATGCTGCAAGTAAATGCCAGGTTCTGCGCAGGGGTTCGGACAGCTGTGTATGCAAAGAAGAAAGCCATGCTCGCCAGGGCACCGATCGCCATAGTATATCGTCGACCCAACAGTTTGGTGTTACACATGAAACCAGCCAGCACGGGGCCGAAGATTCCTACAGTGTTGGTGATCATGTAGTTTCTCCAGGTATAGTAGGGGCTGTCCTCGCCGGTCTCGGCGCCACGTGCGGCGAGATATTCAGGCAGAAAGACGTAAAAGAGAGGATATGCAAGACCAATGAGGGTCCATGAGAGCCAGATCAATGCGGTGGACAAGCCGAGTTGTTTGGTGGCAAAAAGACCGCGGAGATGAGCCATGAGCTCCGAAAGTCCATACCGGCTTTTTCCATAGGTGGACTTGATGGGGCCGCACTCTTCTAGCTTGTCCAACGTCAAAGAACATGGCCGATTATATTTGTTGGCAATGTCGTGGAAGATCTTGACGACTTCCTCGTCTTGTCCCTTGGCGATGAGGTACTTTGGGGTTTCAGTCATTCGGATGACGGTGATTCGCAGAACACTCAGGACGAAGACGAGAGCACCATTGCCGTACCAGATGTAGCGCCAACCCATATTACTCGCCTTCGTACAAGTCTCGGCGTCGGTGCAGATGAAGCGGTCAATAGATAGGAGTGGCCATGCAAAAGAGGCAGCAATAACCGGGGCGAGACCCCACCAACAGGCCATGAGGGTGATCAGCCATTGCTTGTTGCCTGGCAAGAACTCGAGAAAGATGGTTGTATCGAGGACAAGATTACCACCAGAGCCGAAAGATGCCAGAGCGGTAAAGAGGCCCAGAACATACCAGTTTGGAGAGGCTCCGGCACAAATGGCAAAGATGGAGCAGGTGAACAGAGTCAGGTTAAAGGCTAGCTTGCGACCGATCACGTCGGCACTTAAGCCCCAAAATAGAGCACCAACCAGCATACCGGCATAAGCAGCGACGGTCAGACCTCTGGTGAAGGAGGGGCGGAACTCTAGGGCGGCCTGGCCCGCAGTAACGGACTGCAGAAGCAGGATGAGGGAATCTGCAGCATAGCCAAAGCCATTAAGAAAGAAGAGCTTGAGGTGCAAGCCAGTCCAGCCAATTTCATCGATGGTCTAGACAAGTCAGGAAGAAGTGGGGATAGATATGGCAGAGCAAACGAACAGCATTGACCAACCTCAACTTTGCGTCGAGGGCTGGGTCGACCTCGGCCATAGAGTAAATCTGGTCTTCCAGAGGCTCGACATTGGCCGAGGAAATGCTATGGCGCATTCGTTCGGCAAATCCCTCATGGTTCTGCCTTGGCTGGTCATCCGTAAGGATGGTCTTTGGTTCGTCGGACATTGTCAAGCTGCCAGGGGCCGAGTCTCAGAACTGGACTGGAGCGATTTAAAAGCAAAAAGCTGAACAGAGGCAGGCGAACCTGACTGTGGGCACAAAAAGGTTATTCTGCGTGGTAGATTGATAGACGCACGAGACAACGAGAGGGGACAGATGGGGGATCTGACCAATTCTTATGTCGATCCATCATGGCGGCGACGTGGGGAGTATTTTTGCATGCACAGTCGTTGTAGAGTTAGACCTTGTAAAATAGACCTTGAGCATCTACAGTAAAAGACGACGTCAGAGGGTGAGAAAAGACTTGTCGTATAGTAGACAATTGACAGAGACGATGCTGGGGCGCCAGTTAGGAAGACGCCAGCGTGAGTCTTGGGTCCTGCCACAGTGCTTGTTTGGAGTGGTGTGGGCGCCATGGCGGATGGAGCAGCTGGGGAGGAAGTTTAGCATCACGTTCGATCAGGACAATGCGTTCCCTCATTCGACAAGTATGGATCGGCGTCTTGGTACGCAGGAGATAAGAGGGCGCTCCCGCTGTGGATGCTGAGCTCGAGCGCCGAGGAATCGTAAAGAGACTAGCATACAGATTGATTGTAACGTTAGATCAAGCTAAGGACGACGAATTGACCAAGCTGAGAGTGACGACATGGCTCGAGAGTGGGCAAGGTGGCAAGATACTTTGAGTGGACATGGGGAAGACAGAAACGTGAATATCAAGAAACGATTTCCGACGACGTTGAACGCAGACATTTTCGAAGGAGTGGGGAGAACTGATGTAGGCAGGTACGTACCCAGCCACGGCAGGTGCCACTAACGTCTACGAGTACTTGTGAAGCCAAGTACGGAGTACTCCGTAGGTAGGTACCTTGCCTAATAATAATTAAATAGGCTAGGAAGGAGCCAGTACCTATTACCTGGACAGTAAGTAATTAATAGTGCCTAGCCAAGTGCCTGTCTCTACCTAAGTAGCTGAGAACCTGTCCTTCAGGTACTTCTTTTACTTAGTGCAGTACCCATTAGTGACTGAAGACCGTACTCCGTACTTGTACGCCTATTGTTATACCTAGAAAAGTACCTAGTACTTAGGTACATTTATCCTGAGTACCTCTTAGTCCCTCCCCTATACCTAGGTAGCTACCTCCGAGTATGTCTTAACTAGGAGTAAGAAGCAGTACCTGCGCCCCTGGCTTCTCTGGCCATGGACGATGAGGCCTGGATTGCGTTGCTGAATGACTTTATTATGACACCATATTCTTACTCTGGAGGCCTTCGCCAACCCTTAAAACTCGCAAAGCATGTCCATGTTCAGCTCTCCACTTCGACCGGGTGACGGTGGTCTATAACGTGTACAGTATACTCGTTTTTTGATTACTTGATCTAGTCGAGCGTCAACAGCCGACCTCTCTCCCCTGGTCACTTCTCCTCCATCCTTCATCTTGCTTGGCTCCATCCCAAGTGCCAGTCAGTCGGCCTCCGTCCAGTCACTGCATGGTTATCTGTGTTCTTGTTGGTCTTAATATTACCACATCTGCACATACACGCTTTGGTCTTGGGGATATCTTGGGGCCAAGACGCCTCGCCTCGTCTTGTTCGCGACATGCGCCTATTCATATCAAATATCGCCTGTACTGGCAGGGGTATCATGAGATCGAGCATCCTTATCAACGCCTCCTCTCGTTCTTCTCCGTCTCTGGTCTCATCTCTCAACCTCGCACCACTTCCAGTTGGCCACTCCCTGGGTCTATCCAAGGACCAATTCGAATAAAACTTCCCAAACGCTACTGCGCCAATCTTCATATTTCATAGTAGTAGTCGTCATCAAGCCCTTCCCTGCTGGGGATCGGTGGACCGTCCATGCCATCCATGCCCTCCACGATGCCCTCCTCGTCATTGTACCGCACATTCAATAGCCGTACCTTCAGCCCATAATTGCTGATCAGGTGCATTAGACGGTTGGTTTCCGCCGTGATTGGTTGTTGGTCCAACAGCATCAAAAGCCCATCAAGCCATTCCGACGCTATGGCATGGTTGGTCGGTTGGAACGTGAGCAACACGGACTCCTTATTTGTCCCCCGCGCCGACGATGTCTTGGACGATGTTCGCGAATGCCCATCCCGGTTGCCGCGTGACTTGGGCAGATAGCCGTGAATGGTGATTTTGTTGGTGGTGAATTTATCGTGAATCAACCCCTTCATCGTCGCCCCCGAGTCGATCGATGACCGGTCGTTCGCCGTCACGTTCGAAACCACTGATGAAACAATCGACAAGTCGATCTTGTCTCGCAGGCTGGACGCTGATGGCCAAAACTCTTCTTGTTCGTCAAAGTCGCCCCAGTGTAAGTATCTTCGGTCGTCCGAAAGGCGAATGAATCGATGGCTGGTAGGACTTCCTTGTGACAGTGTTGCCTCCGTCACTGGTCCGCCGGTCTCCTGGTCCGTATAGCGAAATCCGCTGGGAAACCACGCTCCTGCCAACAGACAGCGAATTCTCTGTTCTTTCACAAACTGAAGCGCTTCACTCTGCAGCTCTTCTTTGACGCCTCCCAAGTGTTGTCCCCACACGTCTTCGTACGTCAAGTCCAGCAACTCCATCTGCAATTCTCGAAGCTTGCTGTATTCGAATGCCGCCATTTCTCTTTCCACTTCATCGATTCCCTTGGTGCGGTCCGCTCCTCCCACCACGCTTTCCACCAAGATCCGAGTCAACTCGACAATCTTGGCAAAGTCGACCGTCTCAGCACCAGTTGACTTCCACAGTTGCAGAAATGCGTGAAGTCCGGCCACGTGCAAGCGACTCCAATGCAGCAGAAGAGGTCTGAACACCTTGTCGAAATTTGTCCGGCTTTCTAGGGCCAAGTAGCTCTTTGAGTCCTCAAGGTCCATCTTGTCCACTTCGAAATGTTCAAATAGGATTGCGGTCATGGTCAGACTGGCGCGAGCCAATGGACACGCCTTCTGCTCCGGAGACACTGATTGCTCTAGGAGAATGTTTTGGAATTCTTCTTGATGCTTTCGCACGTAGTCGGAGAGATCCATCATTCCTAGGAATCCCATCTCAACGAACTCGGGTTCCGGGTTTTCCGACGAGAAACCCAGCCGTCGCCATTTGTAGGGATTGTGTTTTGATTTCGTTTCTCCGTTGGCCTGCTCAGTTGCTTTTTCGGGGTTGCTCGATAGGTGGATGGCCTTGATGGTCCGACGATGCTCCGGTTTCACCAAGTCGACTGGCACGTCTTTCCATCTTCTGAGCAGAATCTTGGTCAATGCCTGGAATTCCAGAAGAGGATGTGCAAGGTCCTGCAGTGCTGAGCTCTGCATCAATACATAGACGGCCTTGATCACACCAAGATCCTGTATTCTCTTGATAAATTTCGGCCATTCCGTCTCGTTATCGTTGGTGATTGCATCGCGCATCAGAGAATTGATCAGTTGCAAGGCATTCGCACACAGTGCATGGTCTGCCGAGGACAATCTCGTCACAAGCATTTCCAAGAACTGCGGGTATACCGCAATTGCAGGCTTCAATGCTTGGAAACCTCCTGCGCTATTTGAGCTCTTGACATGCGACGTTCGATCGGCGTGGTAGGGTCGGGAAACGATGGAGACAAGGATGGCCATGGCGCCTCGAAGAATATTGACCAGGGGCTGGCAGACGACGAGTTCGACAACCTGAAAGCAGAATTAGCATCAGCCGCATGCACGGCAAGCACCGTAGAAACGGAATCGGTCTCTTACCTTTTCTACCACTTTGTTGTTGACAGCCTCCCATCCTTGATCGACTTCCAGGAGTCTCGCAAAACTAGCCAGACTATAGGCCAGCGTATTTCCATTGGACTCGAGGATCAAAGCCCGGAGGCGGGGAAGACCTCCAGAGAGGACAAAGTGCTCGGCGAAAGAAGGATCGTTGATGAGAGACTGCAGCTTAAAAGCCGCCATCTTTCGACTGGCATCTTCGGGGCTCGACAGACTGGTCAGGAGGTCGGCCAAGTTGGGACTCTGAGCAGGGTTGGTGGTATCCATTCTCGTCATGTTTCGCCAGGCATGAGGGACGACTGGAGTGGCGGTCAGCGACGGTGGAGGCAGGTGGTCGAGTGCTGCTGTCTTCTTGCCGTGGACTTCATCTTGTCGTTTGAGAGTGAGCTCAAGCAGTGAAGGCACGCGTTGGTCGCGACCAGATCGAGCAAAAGTGCGGACGAGAGTGCTGGTGCCCGAAAATAATTGGCTGCTGCGGTACCAATTCTGTAACAGCCCGCGAACGCCAGGTCGACGTGGCACTGGCTGCGCAAACACGGCTGCTGATGATCCCGCTGCTGCGTCACGCCCGAGGGGGTACGGGGGTCCATTTCCGGGCACCCTTATGCCTGCGGTAGAGCCCCTAGAGCCCAGAGCCTCCCCCGCATCAGCATTGACAATTTCGTCAATCAGCCCCTGTGCCCCTCGCTCATCTGGTCTGTTGGTTCCGCGTCGATCAATCCAATCAATATGCGTCGTGGCTTGCCTCTGGCATGACGAATCATCTGTGGCTTCAGATGCCGAACGTATCGACAATGTCGTTGACCATGATTTTCTCTCTCGCGTCAAAGGTGTCTCTTGTCTGACTGAAACGCTTGTTCTGGATCTCTGACAAGACGAGTTGCTGCTACATGATTCCCAGTCGCCGTCATCTCCATCCAAATCCAACTGCGAGACCTGATCCATGTCATCTGGCCAATGAACAGGCGTCGTCATTTAGGCGAGGCTCTGAAACGCTCGGCGAGCGGAACACTACTCCTAACTGTCCTGGTAAAAAGTACGAGAATGATGAGACAAATGGTGGGAATGTGATTGTGACTGGATTGGAAGCGTGGGGAGATTTTTGATTGCCATAAAAAATCTAATTGTGACCTTGCGACAATTGACCAAAGTCTGGAGGCGAAGGGTTTGCGTTGCACAAACACACCCATCGCTCACTTGATATTCATCGACCTGACGCCAGCTAGCTGCGTCTCAGTTCAATGCCATGATCTAAGCTGAACATGACGCGCAACTCAGATCTGCTGATTGTGCCAGACAGAGACGCATGTTCAGCTTGCGCTCTTCTTCTTGGTCTCATCCTTCATATCCAAGTTGTCCTCTGGTATCTCGGGGTATTTTTCTTGTAACCAGTCATAAAGATCATCACTCACATCTCCTTGCACGGTGATTTCTTCGCCACCAGCCGCTGTCTTGGTCACGCTGCTGCCAGTTGCAAACTTCTTGCCCAGCTCTTTGGCCACCTTTTTCAGATCTAGGCCATGCTCTTCCAATCCTGATACCACTGTGACGTATTTTCGCTTGTTTCGCTCAACCCGCTTGATGAGAACAATCGCCTCCGCTTTCCTCTCGGCTTCACGTTGCTCAGCGGCGGCCGCCTTTGCAGTCTTTTTGGCTGCGTCTTTATCGGCTCGTTTCTGGGCGTCAACGGACAACGCGGCCATATTGGCACTCAGGGCCTCTGTAGTGGTCGCCATCTCGTCAGTCAAACCCAGAGAGAGTAGATAGCTCATTGGTTGGGTACCTTCTGAGTAGATCTGTTTGTGCAAGTCTGCATGGTGTTTGGCCAGCCATTCTTCACATTTTTTAGCGGTGCCTCCGAACTCGCAGTACTGTGGTTCACTAGGTCAGACGTTTCGTGAGATTCTCGCATGTTATTCTTTTGCAAGGCCGGCTTACCTCTGGAGGGAGTGTGCACACTGTTTGAGTCGAGGTCAGCCGTGGTCATCATACTCTGCCCCGCCTAGGGAACATACCGCCACAATAGACAATCTGTCTCGCAGGAGGGCCCGTAGGCTCTGTGGCGACTTCTGCGGACATGGATGGGGTAATTCAGGCTGAATTCCACCAGCTTCTAGGTTACACCTGTGGATAGAGAATGCCCTTTCATACAAACCTGTTGCATGTGGCTTCTCGAGTCTGTGGTAGTGGCGAGTTCCAGGTCCGATATTGCGTGGTGTCACTTTGGATGGAGGCACTCACTTCGCCAAGGCGTAGAAAGCGCAGCCAGCGGCCAGCGCAGCCCACCGAAGCAAAGCAAAGCGGATCATCTTCACTTGTACGCCATTCGTCCTCTCGCCAACCTCAATGTCAGAGAAAATTCACCTTCTCCTATCTCCACCTTCACGTGCTGAAGATGACACTCTCAAACACTTGCAGCATCCCGCAGAAGCTGTGCAGTCCAATCCGCTGTTCGAGGCTGTTCGAGGGATTCCTTACTTCTACGCATGCGTACAGCTGGGAGCCTTTGACAGATACATCTTGGCTAGGTAGGTCTAGACCATTAATTACTCGAGCAACAGGAATGTAAACCCTGAATCAAGACCGGCTGCTCGGCTGCATATCGTGTACATCACTACCCATGATCCTCGTCGTTGCCCCGAATTGCGACAACTGCTACAACAGGACAAGACCTGCGACCCCGCTGCCGCTGCATAAAGACCTGGTTCAGGCAAGAAAGACAAGGCTATCCCGGACGACCGTGCATCGTTTTGCCATATGCTGTTCTATTCTGCACTTGTTCGCCTGTCCTTGCTGTTTGTGTGCAACCGCTGTCAATTCCCCCACCTGTTGATAATCATGCGCTCTGTGGCTATCCCAGGTTCGGGCTTGCTGAGAGATAATGCATTCCCCAGATGCTCTAGATCATCGAGATTGCTCAGACTGTGGAATCCCCCGGGGTCATGACAGTTCATCAGTACCCACGTTATTTGATGAACCGCCCAGCTGGTCTTTGACATGTGAAAATATGCACGCTAGGCAGGACATCACTACAAGTACAGGATCGACAATAGGATGGAATCTCCCCAACCTTCCCCGTAGGTCTCTGCAGACAAGTAGCTCACGCCTACAGCCATCCCCTCGTCGATTTTGGCCATTCAGGAGCTGCAAGGAAAGGCCAGATGCCCTCCTTGCCTACTCGCACTGCTGTCGCTCCTCCACTTAAAGTCTGGTTTTGAGGTTAGTGATGTAGTACATGCGTGTTGTGGCTCTATACCTTTATATCAAGGAGCAGAGGCTGACCAGTGGACATGGAAACTTCACAGACGAATCGATTCGAAATGTCATGCGACGCCATGTCCCATCGTTGGACCTGACCATTGCCCTGAGAAGTGCTGCTTCAACCTGAGATGTCCCGGCACGTGACCGAGCATAGATTGCTTGAATGACTGTTCCCATCGGAAGGCATGGCGCCCTGAAAGAATCTGCTGACATCTTACTTGTCTCATGCTGGGAGAATCAAGTCATGATGACTTGAGGTATGTAATAATGTAGATATAGTTAGAGATTCATTCACTCTACAGTGTGTTGTCGTGCTCTGTTCCAGTCCACCGTGATCCATTACACTAATGTCTTGCCTGCATACGTCTCCTTCTTCTGACCTACTTGCTTTTCGGTATTGCTTTCCCTATGTCCGCTCCTGCAACAATAGCAGGTGGGCAACACACAATCATCCGCGTGTTCTCGGTGCTTGATTCGCGACCTTCCACTCTGCAACCTGCTGCGAGAGCTCGTCCTGAAACTCTTCGGTCCATAACAAGATCTTCCTCAACGAGTCTGCGTCCAAGTCTCCCCTGACGCCCTTGGATTTCGCTAAAGACTGGGCGCTCGAGATGAGGTTGCGGATCTCTCTGCCGTTGATCCGCTTGCGCGCTGCTTCGTTCTGGAACCACCTTTGTAGCTCTGGTCGGTATTCTTCCGCTATCCCGACCTTCTCCAAGAAATTTGCAAAGACGGTTTTGCGCTGCTCTATGTTCAAGTCGTCGTAGCGGATGGCTAAGTGTATCCGTGACAGGACGGCCGGGTCCAGAGAGGTGATTCGATTGGTGGTCAGAATGATTGTTCCGGCGTAATACTCGAGCACCCGCAGGAGTACCGAGACCAGGGCATTTCTATTGGGTGTAGTTAGTTGAGATCGAGACTCGAGAAACACGTCGGCTTCGTCGACCAGCAGAATTGCATCCCACTTCTGTGCAAGGCTGAAGACTTTCTCGAGTTTGGCCTCAGCTCCCTCGGCCTCCAGCCCGATTTCAGCCACGCTCACGACGAAAAGAGGCTTGCATGTGGCCAGAGAAAGGGTCTCTGCAGTCAGTGTCTTGCCGACGCCGGGAGGACCGTGCAACAAGATCACTAGACTCCTTCCCTTGTTAGCAACAAAGTCCGCGCTGTCAGACTTGCTTCGTTGCTCTTGTTGCTGAATGAGCCCGAGCAAAATGTCCTTTTGGTCGACACGGAGTTGAAGCTCTTTGTCGTACGGGTCTCGTATCTTTTCAGTGATGGATCTGGCTGCAGATACCTTGAACTGGGCAAATTGTTTCTGCTTGAGTGCCAAGCCGAGAAATCTTGGAGGACACAGAGCTGCCCATTCGCCGTCAGGCGTCTGAGGGATCCGGTCGTCATTGAAGACGACTCCAGGGTCATAGGTTGCATGTGGTGCCTTGTCACCAAGGAAGAGCGCACTCGCTGGTAATTCTTGTTAGTAGGTTCAACGGAACTGATGTTCGAGAACAGTGTCAAAAGATACATACGTCGCTGATACCATGTCTCCGCATCAACAATAACACGGTCTTTGATCTAATGGCTTTCAGCTCTAGACAGACCTCGATCGCTCAGAGGCGGTTCTCACCTTTTGACGCCTGAATATGGCCTCCGAGCGCGAATCACGCCCTGAATTGGAGTTCTCATTCTAATTGAGACTGTTAGTAAGAAGCCACTTTCGATGGGAAGCAAAGCTACCATGAACAGAGATTCGGATCCAGAAGTTTCAACCGCGATGGCAAAGTCATCGTACTCGACCATCCTCGCCGCCCCTTGAAACTCGCAGAAAGCTTTGAAGTTCTCTCCCGCTTTTACCGCTGCGGCACGAAATTGCTCAGGGGTAGTTTTCTTCTCGTCCTGGTAGTATGCCAGCGGATAGAATTCGAGTTCAAGAATCTCCTTTTCCCGCTCGTAATAAGGGACCGAAAATTTGAAATCTGACTTTACCCAGTCGATTCCAGTCCAATCATATCACCAAATTGTTATCTTCCAGGTCTGTCGTTCGTCAGTGTTGAAGTCGGGCATGAAATCGGTTCGAAAGATCTGTGGCTGGTTGAAGAAAGGCTTTGCGACGACCTCGATTCCAGGCGGGAAAAGGGTCCAGAGGTAACGGAAAGCGATCGTCTTAGGGGACTCCTTACGCATCTTGAAGTAATTCACTAATTCCTTGGTGTTTCGGACATATTCTAGAAGCAAGCGAACGTCTTCTTTGCGCCCCTGCGTCGCCGGGTCGTCATCGGGATCTGGTACAGAATCCTGTTCCAACTTGTCATAACAGTGAACAAGGGGTTTTAACGGCCTGCTGATCACCCAGGGTACCGTTTGCCACGCCGAGTAGAAGCGCGGGGGATAAACTTGTCGAGCAGCTTCATGGATGGTGTTGTTCAACGCCCCATCTTCAATCACAATCTCATACGACTCTGTCCCTGGTTCGTCTTTGTCAATTATCTTGCGGTATGTAAATGCTCTTGCTTCCTTCTCTTCGGACGCTTTTGGAGAGCTCTGTGGTGGCGCGTCAATGTCTGTGTATTCATTACTGTTCTCGTCCCATTTTCGAAAAACGGTACGGGCGCGGGATTTCTTCTGCGTCTCCACCTCAGCAGGCACTATGCTGTCGCCAGATGTCTTAGCCTCAGGAGATTTGGATGAGGGCTCCTTTCCGTCCACACTGGCTGTGGAGATGTCGGCTTCCTTTTTGTCCGTAGAAATTGCCCCATTGGTCTTCTCAACCCCATCTTTGTCGGCAGAGGACTGGCTCTGCTTGAGTAAAGCTTCAAGGGTCGCGACCCGAGATTCCAGAGCTCTGATCGTGTCGGTGAGGTTATTTTCTTTATCTCCGATACCGTCCGGGGCCAGCGCTGATGCACTCATAGTTTGTGAGGCCAAAGATGACTGTTGACACGGCGATGGTCTCGAGATAAACACGACCAGGTTTTCGACCACCCAAAAATACAGTGTAAGTCGAGATGCGAGGCTGAAAAAGAGAATGACAGTCAGAACGGGAAAACCCCAGGAGAGTATCACGAACCTCTTTATTGAGAAAAACCGCCCTCAAAGCGTGCGGCTGACGAGGTACTCTTCCTGAGAGTGCCACAGCCTCACCAATGCTAGTATCGCAGTTCTTCATATTTATTGCCCGATTAATATAGATTTGTGTACGTGCAACTTCGGTTAGTTGGCGGGGAAGTCGGCGTGTCAATCAATTACTGGAGGTGCCCGCGCCCCTGTAGATTGTCTCACCGTGATTGTGTTACCTGGACTCGCTTGAGACCGCAATCAATCCGCCTGGCAACTTCCAAATGTATCATGTTGCATCAACTAGCGGTTCTGTAAGTTACCTATTAGAAGCAAAGAACCCCTCTTGTCACCAGGTCTAATGTACTCGGCAGTGGTCGTATGGGGCCAAATCCTTCCAGGCCACATGTTTCACTTTGCTATATTGTCCTTTGATAGAGTATCAGTGTGACAAAATTGTCTGAGTACATGCTTTCTGAAGTGACCCATTCCTGAAACGATGGCAACACCAGCAGATGAAGCTTCGATGAGGGAGAGGTGGTTTGCAAATGTTAATATGTACAGCCTTACGAAGTCTTGAACCAGCGCCGTGAACTGACCACTGATCGTAGTGACTTCGAGGCGCGGAACAAAGAAGAGAATGAGGCTATGGAAGAACTTAGGCAGCTCGTCCATAAGAAGGTTACCTGGGGGAACATGAAACCAGAGATCTGCGAGTCCAAAAAAGCTCTTGAGCTTCAAATCAACAATACACTACGCAGGCTCACTGATGCTGCCGACAATGCCTTACACATGGGCACCGCCGCAAAACAGGAGCTCGACCTACACCGCTCTCACGGTATCAACAAGGCATCTGCAGGAATTCAAAAGTTTGCGACCAACCTTGCCAAAGTGTTGACAGAGTACTCAGGCATTGCCGAAGTTGTCGAGAAAGCTGGGGGTCTATATGGAACTGCCGGTTATTCGGCGTTATCATGTTTGTTGGTTGTGAGTACACGCACGACCAAGCTCCTGGCCGTACTTGCTAAGCTTTAGGAACAGATTGCGGTCAATAAGAGCAAATATGACAGTTTAATCACAGACCAGCTAGAATACATGCATGCTTTCTTCCCAAAAATCAATCTTTTGGCCGAGATCTACAAGCCCGACCAGAAAATTGCGGAGCTCGTCATTGACGTACACCATGAGATAATCCTGTTTGCCAGGGACGCCGCGGAGTACTTTCTGAAGAGATCGCGTGCGTGGACTTCAGGTCTATTCTGTGTTGCAAGGTCTAATCTAACAAAGGACGTTTCCGGATGTCTCTTCGCGCGGAGAATAGAGCGATTGATGAAAGAGTGGAAAGGATTAGAAAATCGCTGAAGGACATCAACGAGTGGTGCATGGTGTTCCTCCAAAGGAGCGTGGCCGAGCTGGCACAACAACATCGTGATGCTCGGAAAGAGCATGACAAATTACTCAACGGTTGATTTCTACTCAAATAATGCATTGTGGAGTGACTGACCAGATCCAGAACTGGTAGCACTCGAGCACCGGAAGCAAAAGAAACAAGCGCTGGTTGAGCTCTCAAAGTTCAGGGAGCAGATCGACCATCCCTTGGAATGCTCAAACTGCAATTTGAACAGAATTCATGGACAATTGCAAAGTACGTTCAAGCATCATCCTGGTTCAATAAAAGCATTAGTGAACTTCTCGAGAATGACACTGGATGTCTTGAAGGAGAAGGAATGCTACCAACTTTGGGAGAATTGGCCTTCGACAAAGCTACTCCTGTTGGGTGGCAAGACCGACCCGGAAAGTCGATCTCGCAGGAACGGGTATTCGTGGCTATCACCCATAGCCGCAGAACTATGTACCGCTTGGAAGAGTCAGCTCGTGTCGTTCTTTAGCTGTCACCCAGACAGTTGGTGGATAGAGAAACCAACGCTACAGCAGGCGATCACTTGCAGCTTATACCAGATGGCTGAACAAGATCCTGCGCTGCTAGAACAAGATTTCTTTCAGCTTCCGAACGTCAAATGGCAACCCGAGGAAGATGAAGATATGAAATCCTTGATCAAATTCACCCGTGAGTGCGTGAAGATTGCCAGCAAAAAGAGACCTGTCATGTGGATCTTTGACAGAGTGGATATTTGCAAGCAGCACCCATCGGAAATCCTCACATTTCTGAAAAACGTTGCGAATTGCGATTGCAATCTGAAAATCATTACCATCTGGGATACTACATCTCCGTCAGTTAAAGGCTATTGCGAACATTTCATACAGTACACCGACCTAGCGGCAGGGGACATTGGATTGGATCAGAAGAGATGATTCTCGGTACTAACAACTTTGAGATGGCCTCGGGCTAGTTTACTGAGAGGGTTTTATCAGGCCTGAGAGCTGGAACGGGTTTCATGTCCGATCAAGGTTGATGTCAGATTGACTTGGTATGTTTATTCCGTGGTTTCCAGCTCTGATGGGGAGAGCAGACCCGAGGCTCGAGGTATATCGAGTACATTGGCCGGAGAGGACTGACCGAGGTCATACTTGGACAGGAGGGTGTCGGGAAGCATTTAGGTAGGGGGGATCGCAACAAGACGTTTTGTAAGTTTTGCCTGAGCGGCTTTCTGCCACGTTGGAGCGAACAGAACCTATACTGAAATCTTTACTTTGAACAAAGAGGTCTTGATTCTGGAAGAGAACGACAAGGGAGGAAGTTGGCGTTCGAAGCACATAAGCGGCTTAGATATGCCAATTGCCCCTGCGAACAGAGCAAGCCAGGACGAGTTCTCCTCCGCTGTCACCGCTGTCGCCAACATCATCTCAGGCGTAATCGCATATGGGATTGGCAACATCTCGAGCTCTAGCCTTGAGAAATGGAGAATGCTTTTTCTCATTCTGGGAGGTGTCACGGTGGCATACTGGATCCTCCTCCCCTTCCTCCTGCCAGCCTCGCCGTCGAACACTCGACTCCTCTCAATTCATGAAAGAGAAATTGCTCTGCGTCGAACGCTCGCGACGAGAGAATTTAAGTTCTTGAGGCCTTTCTCGACCCACAAGCCTGAATTATGTGCCTCTACATGTTGTGTACCAACATTCCTAATGGCGCTTTGACCTCGGTATGTCGCTCTCTACCCTGATCACAGACCGCCATGCTAACAAGATATGAAAGTTCTCGAGTCTTATTGTCAATGGATTTGGCTACTGCACGCTCCAGAGTCTACTTCTGCAGATGTCAGCCGGAGCGATGCAGCTACTCTTACTTACATACACGGGTGTCTTCGCCTACTCCCATTGCATTTATTCTCTTCACATTCTAGAAGAATAATTTTCCGCAGAGTTCCCATGTCAAGTCCACATTCGGGGCGAGGCCAAGGAGGTCGGATGGACCAAACTTGAGAGTATTCATCTACACGTCATCCTCTGCAGATTACACAATGGCGCCATCCTCTTCCATGTTAGCGCGAACGGTCGTCTTAGGAGTCTAAGCAGCTCAATGCCGTTGAGGTCGGGCACTATATCTTATGGCTGTGAGTGTAACGCAGACAGGACTCACAGGAGGACTCGAGATGCATTGTTGCCTGGATTCTATTCGTGCTAGATGCGGACTATGCTAGTCCTAATTAGGACTAGTCACTTATCCGAATCTTTGAAGCATTTAGCAAAACGGCTCGCCGCCGGCCCTTTCGTACGCAATGCCGTGACAGGAAGGGTATATTCAGCCATCTTAGTGCATATAGTCCTATTAGTGCTTTAAGGTGGATATATTGTGTTCGTATTTGAGACGACCAAATTGTCTCGATATCATGGCTCTTCACGACAAGTACCTATTGTTGGTTTGAGCTTTGTCAGGTCGTATAGACTTAACTCTATCGGGTCGAGGTTTCCAGCTCCTCAGGATCTACAAGTCAAACTCGGGGTATTTGAATTTTGACAGGCGTGTGGCCCCCGGCCGACCTTGTCGAAACGTGTCCTGGTAAATTACAAAGTATGATGAGGAAGATCATGGTAATGTTCGGGACAGGTGACAGCATTCTCTCATGATCTGCCACTGTCGAGGTCGATCTCGGGTCTAAGGCCGGCACGAGAATGAACAGACATGAGGATCCAAACCTAGGTGTCGTCGCATAGAGGGGGAATCCGGAGACATGGTTTGAGTGACTGATGCACAGCACCCAGCAAACCAACCAGATAAGACATCATCACAAGAATCGAGTGGCGGAGATGTGTGGCTTGATGTGGTAAATGGAGGGGATGTCAAGCCCCCATGGATACGAAGGATCCACGAAGACGGGTAAATCAGGGATGGAAACTTCTCTTTACCCGAGTGTTGATGGTTGATGAATGGAAAGCATGTGATTTTTTGAGGTTTCTCTCTGCTATCTTTGAGGTTGTTGTGCTGTAGATAACGCATCGGGGATTTTGGCGAGGTTGGCAGAGCATGGGAATTGCATAATCATTTCAAAGAATGTGATGTGTGAAACTGGTCTCGCATAGGGGTCCATAGTAATTGCAAGACTAGGCGATATTGGCAGGTTGGACGTGGGCCTCAGGCCCTTCGAGCCCGTGGGTAGGCCGAGGGGGCTTCTCGGCCCCTCGGGCCCCGGGGGGTGCTACGGGTGCATAGGTAGGTACACAGGGGTGGTGAGGGTCCTTAGGGTCTTCCACGCATATGCAGTCTGTACGTTTGTCGCCGGAGGAGCCTCGATAATGACATGGGGCAAGGGCGTGGGGGAGGGTCGATAAGCTGTCGTGGGTCCTTCGGGGTTGGCTCCCAACCTATAACCTATAACCTACCACTACACCTGCTGGCACGGTCCATTTTTAACGTATAGCCATGGTTGACGCACAGCTGCCGGGGACACGTTGAGCACCGAGCGCTTTGAATGGCCCTCGACGATTGGCAGTTTAAGTTGGGAGTGCTAGATTGACTTCCACACGGTGTGGATCCGATCCGATCAGAATAGTAATAATAATCATGGTGGGCTTGCATATGCTTCGCAATCTGTAACCTGTAGTAGGACCATGGCTGCTGGAGACGGCACTCTGAAAAATGTCTCATACGCGTTGCATTGTCGCGACATGCGCTGACGCAGCTCTAAACACGATTTAGGGGATTGAGTAATTGACTGCTACGTGGCATGCCACGTCGATGGTAAGTGACATTTCTGTTGAAGGTAAGGTGGTATAGAGGTGCAAACTACCTACCTACCTAGTACCGCTTCAGTGGACTCGGGAACGTTCAAGTGCGTGCGCCGGCAATCCCAAATAATAATTTTCTGGTAAATGGTTAGTGGAAGCATTTTACCAGTCTTTGGTCTCCGGCGCCTGGAGCCTCAGATGGCACCCGTTGTGGCCCGAAAGAATTGGGTGATCCCGTAGGCGCCGGAAGTCACTCCCCGCACTTGGATCGTCTGCCCAAAGCGCCATTATTACGAGACATAGAGGCCGCATCGAGGTCTGCAGTGCGCTGCAGGTATTATTGGCGCCATCGATGCATCAATCTAGTACTGTAGGTAACGCCTAGGGTACGCCTAGGGTACTGGTGAGGTGGGTAAGAAGCCCCCTCGGCCCTCCAGTGTCCGCCACGGCCTCCTGAAGCCTGGTTATGACTGGCGCCAGTGGCAGACCAACCACCTTTCTCAGGTTTCCAGCAACACGTTTAGGTGGCACCGCTTGGCCCTGTCTATCTGCGAGTAGTGCTTGTAATGTTATTTTATCTAGGTTTGCCACCATCGCCTCCACGAGTGAAGTAACGAGAACTGCAGGCTGGTAGGATACCAATCATCCCAGCCCGTTGGCCAGGACAAAAACAGAAAAAACCTTAATAATTTCTTGATGGCAATTCTCGCCTTTTTCGCCGTCCGGCCTGATGTTCGCTGATACCATCTGCATGTTGGCTGCAGATTCTCCAGTTTAATAATGGCCACCAAATTGGGGTACTGGGCCTGGCTCCGATTTTCATTATCGCCATCAACTGTAAATCATGCTTGTGCTGACGCGGTGGATGAGGATTTTCGCAAATCGCTGTAAACACTGTAAGTAGTGCGCTTGATTGATGTCCATAATGGCCAGTTGATTATACGCGTGGGGGGTCCAATGAAGGATGCCCTTTGAAGCCTAATACTATGACGGTGACACGCGCACGAGCTTTCATCTTACACATACACCGTACACCCAACCTCAGAGGGGAGACATAGTGGATCTCTGTACCTTCGCAAGGATATCGTCTTACCCGCTCCCGGAGCCGGACGAGCCTGTTAGACGTCGAAGAAGAGGGAGCTGGCCTCACAGGCGCGACAGGCAAAGACATTAGTGAAAACCTTGGAATGAGGACTTCCCTGTCGATATGTTATCCTGCCATGATTTGACCCGTGCGAGAGCTTGGAGGTGCCGGGGTCTGGCGACTGAAGTGACAACTTCCTTTCCGGACAGGCACGACAGGTGCTCAAAGAGTTGCCAGAGGTTGGGTTTGAGCACCAGGGTTGGTTGTTTGATGAAGAGAGATTAGGGAGTGCACAGATGTGGATGCTGATCGAGGAGTGGTTGGTGAAGATGGTCAAGTTCCGCGCAGTGTTCGCATATGATGATAACAGTGTAAGAGCAAGTTCCACCCGGAAGGTTCCATAATCGGACTGTAACTCTGTCCAACAGCCTCAATCTGTCTTGTAGATGATTGTCATTGTTGATCTCGATGACCTGAAGCTTGGATGCGACAATGTCGGACGTGTGAACCTTTGGCAGAAGTCTGTATCCATGGCTGAGAAAGCTCGTTCAGGTACTGTGAGGGTATTCTCGCAGGCAAAACCATTAGCGTCTCTAGGTAGTAAGGTGTATCTAGGAGATGAGGTGATTAGGTGGGGGATGCTGGATGCCCCACGGCGGACCGATTACACTGGTCCTAGGACCTTGGCCCTGGCACTGATCCGTCCTCCGTCAGCGCCCGCTGTAGTGGCCGTCACCTGCCTACTGGTCCATTCATGCCACTGTTGCCACTTTTGAACCCTGTTCCTGTTGGCTCAAGTCAGACGCCCGAGGGCCTGAGGCTGCCCGTGCGTGCGTCCAACCCATCCATCAGCCATCATCCCATCATCCACCATCCATGCTGAATGCTCCATGCTGGGTGCCTGTGCCTCCTCCTCCTCCCAGCGCCTCCTCTCCTCCTGTCCCTCCCTGTGCCTCTCTGTGCCTCTCTGTGCCTCTCTGTGCCTCCCTGTCCGCCTCCATTCTCCAGACCCCCTCCACGCATATCCACGCATCGCATCCACGCAAGACAGACGCAAGACGCAAGACGCTCGGCAAATCACCCCACCCAGATCTGGTTTTGGCGAACATTCTCGTGGTTGACTGGCTCGACTCTACATCCACTGACCAACTTCACACTCCACCATCTCCCACGAAAACTCTCTCGATTCTTGACTCCGAACTAGCCTCTGTGCCTCTATTCTTGACCATCTGCAATTGCCAGAGTTGTAACCTGGGTTCCATCATCACGTTCCAACCCGCTCTCCTTGTCTCCTGGCAATTACCATCACCATCTCCACGCCCACGACCCGCGCTTGTTCGATCCTCGATGTCTGATGCATCCAGTCCTTGGTACGACGTCCCCGGTTCCATTTTTCGCAGATCATTATCGCCCACACCCGTTTCTACTCCATTCTTCCATACCATCCTTGCTCTTCCTATCGCCTCTTCTCGATCCATTCACACCCCAATTTAGCCTCTGAACTGGACTTGCTGACCAGATCCCCATACGCAGTAGCCAGACCTGACCTAATCTCATCATCCCTACGAAATCTCACGACTAACACTCCAGAGCGAACAATCCATTCTCACACCTGAAGAACCTCGCTCAAGCCATACCCTCGCTCGCTTATACCCACGACTCTTCTACATCTGCGCACCATCCCCAAACCTCAGTCTGATGCCCCGGTGCTCATGACGACCCTTTTTCAGGCTCCGTTTTCTGGAGCCGCTCCATTCTCCTCGAGCCCGTTAAACGCCTCATCTTACCAAGATCTCAGTGACTTGGATGATTCCTTATCCTTTGGCACTCCTAAACAACACCTTCCACCGTGCCCACCCCGTCAATATGCTCCTTCCTTTCCTGAATCAGGCCCTTCAACCGCCCCATCCTCGCCACAGTTGACATACTCTAGCTACTCAAGGCAAGGCTCGTATGCTTCGACTCCAGCCAGTAGCTTGTCCCTGGACCAGAGAGATTGCATCGACGAGGATGACGACATGGCATTTCCCGCCTTCGAATCCTCAGACCACTGCCTTACATCTATGCCCCAGAGCCATCCTCAGATTGAACAAGAAGAACAGTCCACCCCAGTATCAGGTCCATCCAACGAACCTAACCAACTAGCTCCTCGGACCACACGGGATGACCAAGCCATAGAAGCCGAACCTACTAGCCATGTTGATTACTTGTCTCATGAGTGGAAAGAAGAAGACATATGGCGATCATGGAGTTATGTTGTCCACCGGCGAGGGAACCTCGCCAACGGTACTCGACTTGAGAACGCTTCCTGGAGGTCATGGGTCAAGGCCAAGAATCACCTCAAGACCATCTCTCCGGAGACGCTGAATTGGTTGAAAGACTGTGATGTGACCTGGCTGTACGGTCCTCTTCAGACTAACCGAAGCATGACTCACTCTATCAACAACACTTCACCCCCACCTAGCCGGATATCACATTCATCCTCTTTCATCTCCAAGAAGCCCATCCTGAAGAAGAAGTCGGCGTCTGCCGTCATTCTCGAACGATCACGGTCACAGCACTCGTTATTACAGCGAGCGAGCGATATCATCAGGGTACAGCAGTCAAGTCCTGCTCATGGTCGTCCCTCACTTCGCCGGGGAAACTCGGAATTTACTCTTCCCCGATACGCCAACAGTTCTGTTGCAAACACACCCGCCGAGTTCGACTTGCCCGGGTCCAACTCGACTGGAGGGCGTAGTTCTTTTACTTATCCAGACCTTCCTACCCCGTCAGAGTGCAAACATGTTCTCTTTGACGAAGAAGTGAGACAAGTACAGGCCATCGAGTCGGACGACGATGACAAGCACGATGGAGAAGACGAACATGCCACCATTTTTGACGAGGACGAAGATGATGATTGTGGCTTGATGATGGCACCAGCTTCGAGGTCCGGCCGTTCCAGCGGCCGGACAACGCCTCGTGGTAGCTTCAGCAATGAATCAAAAACCATCGTCCCTCTCCCTTCCACCACATTGAAGTACAGAACCGATACCCCGGAACCACCGAATGTCCCTACCGGACAGATGGGCCTTTGGCCCTCCGGCCGCAAACTATCACCATCCCCTTCTCAAGAGACATTGAGACCGCCGCGGCCAAACCAGAATTTTCTCATTGATGATGACCCAGAGGTTGTGGATGAGCCTTGGGGAATGCAGACCACTTTGTCACCTCCTTTAATTTACGACGACGATTACAACCTCGGTGAACCCGGTCCACAAATGAGACGGACCGAGTCAGGCATGTTCATGCCTTACGATGAAGATGACGAGGAAGCAGCCATGAACAATACGCTATTCGGTCAAGCCGTATATGCCGTCAACACGTTCCGAGATATTGCACATGTGGTTTGGAATGTGGGCTGGAATCGAAGATGACATCCGTGGTCAACGGAAGGTCTTTGATGACTTAGTCTGCTCATACTTGCATCCGCATTAGCACAGCCCGGCGTTCTGGACAAGTTCAAGTTGGTGAATCACGGCTACGGTCTACCACACTGCCAACAACGATCCTCACATTATCCCTCAGCACACATGCAGGGAGAATCACGACTCAACATGATCATATGGTGAGTGTTTTAAGAATTACGGGAAACATTTGTCATGTGCGAAATATTTACGGCATGCCCCGATGAGCTTTGGAAATCTCTATAGATGAATTTGGATCACGTCATGGGCTCAATCAGCCCGTTCACGGTGTGCATATTATACGGCCTTGACACACCCGGAGGACATCTAGTCCAACAACAGGAGGAACAAAGGTGGCGAGCAGGGCCATACCGGCGTCCTACAGCGAGCAACCAGGTAGCTCAGGGGCGAGGAAATAGGCGAGGTAGATAGAATTGGTCAACAAATGATATTCAGGCGTTAGTCCTAGAATTTACCGAATCCACGCAGCAGGCGATCGAGATGCCTCGGCTCTGAAGGAGTTGTGAGAAGCAGAGAAGTCAAATCCTAACAGCTTTGCCACCCCGCCCAATTCTAGACAGGATCTCCAGTATGTATTTGCCTCTTCTCAGCCGTCAAGCCAGCAACCCAGACCTTGGGGCCCTCTCCGAGAGTTGACACGAGACTATACGTCTGACAAGACCAATTTGATCGAAACACGCGAATCGATGACTTCACACAAACACAGAAACATCGTCATGACGGCCGAGTGTTTGTGATGACAGAATGTCTCCTGGTTCCCTCATGTCGATCTAACCTAAATCGCATCACGCGGTAGGTCCAAGTTCTTGTTCTCTTGTTTCGTTCGCGGCAGGCAGCAGCGAGCGACGAGACGACATCGGGCCAATACAGTTTTGCGGGGTAAGGTTGTACGGTTGTCAGTTTGTCACGTTTTTTGGAGGAGGGGGGAGCAGAGGGGAAGCAATTGGGGGCCAACGAGCCACTAAAACCACCTAGGTAAGCACCTAAGCGTGCTAGTGTCCTGGGGAGGCAAGAGAGAAAAAGGGGAGAGGAAGAAGGTGGGGAGGGGATTGGAGGTGATGGGCACGGGATCCGCCATGCCATCGTGGCACCCCGTGGATCCCCCTGAGAGAGAAAAAACAACCGCCTAAAGTGACGAAGTATCCTACTACTACCTAGTTAAAGTACCTTACCTACTCCGTAGTAGTAGTTAGGTAAACTCCTGGCGTGACTGGCGTGACTGGCGTTCCTGGTCACCTGTTCAAATTTGCCCTCTTTAAGCCCTTTACGTAATGATAGGCCATCAACTTCTGCATCGATAGTCGGCAGTAATTCAAGTAGGTAGAAGGGTCTTGGAACTCTTGGCTGCACAAGCTTACCTTGTTTCCAGATTTTCAACGGGCAGATGGACAAAACCTGATCTACTCCAAACATGCAAGTGTCCCTGCTTGTCCTGTTGTTCCAGTGCCGTATCTTTCTTCCGGCTCAAGAAACAAACCCGGACCGCCAGCCAGACGTGGGGACGGATGTCTGTTGTTCACTACTGGACTAGGTATCATTCTTTATGGCCATTGTTGGCATTTGACAAGAAAAAAAGGCCAGAAAAAGCAAAGTCGGTGGACTTGTGGACCTGCGAGTACTCGTAGGTAGGTACCGCACACCGCCAGTTTTGGTCAGAGGCTTATTATTATTACTGATGCCCCTCGGCCTTTTCTGTACTTAGGTCTGAGGGAGTTGGCCTTGACATCCGAGGGTGGGTATATACAGACGTAGTGGTTAGGTGTTACTAGAACAGTAAGTTCCTAGGTAGTGTATGCATCTTCAACGCTCGCTCCGTCGGTTCAACGGCTGCAAGACCTACAAAATCGGATGTTTGTCTCCTTAGGGTACAACGTACGAGTACATACGAGTAGGTCCCTAGTGGGCTCTGCTCTTTTTCAGTACTATGAGGTATATACAAGTATCCATCATAAAAAGATCCAAGTTACGGCAAGGTACCCGCTCACTAGGTACCTTAGTCACTTGATGGCAAAAGCACTACGGAGTACAATCGGCGTCGGTGTACCACTTTTGACTAAGTAGAAAACTACCTGCCTACAGTTACATGTCCTAATATCTGATTCTCGCCTGAAACACACCGTTAAAGTGGTGGCGATTTTCCCTTCTCGCCGAAGGAAGGACGTAGACATAGAGGACATGAGAATCCCATGCTTCACCCTTCATGCCCGAATTAACCCGTATCCGACGGACGATTCATTTCCTCTCTCCTAAAACAGGACAGAACCCTGTATGCTCGTCTGGAAATGTTTACCGCATTTCATCTACCGAGACTTGGGAATGTGGAAAATGCGAAATCTCCTTTACGAAGTTAGGTCAAGGGTGGCTATCAATGGTGGTGACATTCCTGGTCGCCGTGAAGCCCTATCTCGATTTATGTTACACACGAAATCATTTCCTGGAGATCCGCGTCATTTCCGACTCGTAGGAGATCTCACCGTCTGTTGTTGCCGTGTCTTGGGAGGCAGGGTTTTGTGGTTGTCGTCCTGTAGAGTGACGAGAGGACAAGCGACAAAAGGCTAGACCCCTGGTACTTTTTGATAAGATCTTATCACTAGTAGTGGCATCGAGGGACGATGCTTTCCGGCTCTTGCCGAAATTCCCTAGGTAGAGCCACGGGTATGCAGAACATGTTTACCCGGCAAAAGGATGATGAGACATTGTTAAGCAAAGGCACAGAAATGATTGCTCTGGTTTCTCAATGTACATCAAAGAAGAATGCTTGTGGAATGTGTAGGCGATTGATTCGGATTGTAGGAATGTGCATGTTTTAGTAATAGGTTTATAGATTGAATAACTATCTCCCTAGTCTCGATATCACTGTTCATACCAGCGCCATGCAGAGGAATCAAGACCTGTTCACCCTCCATCGAGTTTCGCCTCTAGAACCTTTTTCCCTGCTCTGATTCCGGTGGCAGAACGCAAATTGTGAAATGGCCACGCACCTAGTGACCTTTTTTGTGACATGACGGCGTGGATCGATTTTGCTGCCTGGTGATGCAAAAAAGTGTCAAAGTAAGACATGGTCGAAAGAACGGGAAGCTGATTTATACACAAACACACACATCTTGGCCGGTCTCAAGAGTAAAAGTCCCACGTCCCACCCCTACCTAGGCCAAATGCAAGGAAATGACAATTTGGTATGTATACACGCAACCTCTTTCTGTGGCAAGCTTCGAGGTAAGCCTGGTCAGCTAGCTTTAGAACAAAGTTTCGATGGCTCTTCCAGTACTATGCAAGTCTTGTCAGAGTGGGATCTTATGCAACGGCAATGAGAGCGCCAACGGCTAAGGCGAGGAAGCCTCCCTGAACCTTGACGCTGTCGGCACCGTTGCCATCGGGAGCAGATGTGGTAGCGGCAGCGGTAGTGGCAGAAGAGGTGGAAGTCGTTGTTCTAGACGTAGTGGTGGCCTCGGAGCTAGAGGTTCCGGTTGTCGTGCCAGTTGTCGTTGCAGAGGATGAGTCGGTCGAGGTCTCGGAGGCGGTTTCTTCAGAGCTGGTTCCAGTGCTCGACGCAGAGGCTGTGCTACCAGTTGCTGAGGCTGTGCTACCAGTTGCTGAGGCGGTGGAATCTGTGGCGACTGCGGTTCCAGTGGCACCTGTGATACCAAAGTTGGGAGAGAAGTTGTAGTTGTTAGGGTCTGTGTCGTCGATGATCTGGATGGTATACTGAAACGAGTTGACATCCTCAGCATCGGGGATTTGCACGGTGGCACCCAGAAGAGACGCAGGCACGCCGGCTGGAAATCAAGTGTCACGTCAGTTTCTGGATTGCATGGAACTCGAAGGTGGTTCTAGAGAGCACATTTGTGAGGGGAACACTTACAAAGCAGGACGATTCCACCGTCAGGTGTCACAGGTTCTTGCTGCAGCTTGATGGTGACGGTACCCCTGGATGGGTTGGTCCATTCAATGGTCAGGGGCTCGCCTGCGGTGACGTCCAGAGTGCTTGAGCCTTCTGGGATGGAAATGGCGTTATTCAGCTGAGCTGTCACTGTGGCTGCAAAGAGCGCAGCAACAATGCTGAGAAACTTCATGTTGCTGGTGTTGAGTGGTAGGTAGTCAGGTAGGCAAGTACGCGAATGTTTAGGGATGAAGATGGGCAGCGAAGAATACGCGTTGATGAGGGCGGCGATGACGTTTCGAAATAGGCAATCCCTGTGACACGTCGAGTGGTTGATAGGAGAGAGGAAGGATCTGTGAGAGTAAACAAAAGATTCTGAGCCACCAGGATACTGTCGTGAGAGTTAGTTTGGAATATATTCTTCTTCGCGTCAGGAGACGAAGGCACGAGCTGAGCCCACAACGCCATAACCGGGGGATTGGCGTCGACACGCGCTGGGGGAACCAGGGAACCAGGGAGCAATCGTCTTGGATCGTCGGTCGTGCGCGACAACCGGGCTTAGCGCCGTCCACAATGCCCACTTACAGCTCGCGCGTTTCCTCTCGCGCCCCTCGGGCCTCGGGCCTGTCTAGGCACTCCAGACTAGTGCAATAGGGGCTAGCAGCCGCAATCCCTTGTTGATCCTCTCGTTGATATTGGCGTCACCAGGCGTGGCTGAATGCCCCCAAGGTTCAGATTACCCCATCAGAGAACAGTACTCCGTACTCCGTAAGTCCAGAAAAATAATTCACGCTTTGCGCCTACGCATCTGGTTTCACCTTGGGCCACTGAGAAAGAATCTCACCCACCATTTCGATGATGGACGAGACAAGCCGGTTAGAATTGTCTCGGCCAGGCATCGACTCACTTCGGTTCCGACTGTCACGCATACGAGCATAGTGTGCATAGGTTGAATGGCCAGCTGAATTTAGAAGCAAACGGACTTGTGGTCAGCCGCAGCTCAAAGGCACTCATCGTGGCTTTCTTCTAAAGATGCTGTCATTCTGAAGAGTGCGGCCACGATACAAGGATGGTTGTTAAGAATAGCACATCAATCGGAGAATTACTGAGTGTTTTGAGAGAGCCAAGGCTCTAAATGGTCAGGCCTTCTAAAGGAGGTTAGCCAATTCTCGGGAACCTTCTCACTGCAGCGGAAAGGTGTCACCAGGTCCTCAAATACAGGGTGCGCATTAGCAGACATAATTACTCGAACGGCGACGATGATATTGACAATGCGACCGCTTCAAAGCCGTCTACGAGTATCTACATATGCGTGTGCATGTAACGGGAGTGTGCAGGAAGAGCTGACGGGATCCCCTTGATGCAGTTCACTCCACCTGACTCACATCCTGACCTCACTCACCTAGCTGCCTGCCAAATTTACAATAGACGTAGTTTCGGACTCCCTGGCATGTGAGACGACTGGCTAACTACCCCATATACAAATAGACGACCCGGACATCGTTCTTGCCTTGGAAGCATCCATGATTAGAGTGGGATCTTATCAAAGATAGCCTTGCGAAACGAGGGCCTAGATGGCACGGCATATACTCCGTAAGGAAGAAAGTACTGGTGCCTTGGCGTCAGTCACCTGATGTACGGAGTAAGTGTCTAGTGGACAATACGACGAGGCTGATGACGAACTGGAACAACAACTTCGGTTCCTCGGAATCAAAAATTCAAATGTGTGTGAGTACTCGTACCGTTTGTGTAAATGAGAAAGTTCATGCTGCCACGCGAAAGCAAGCGCCACACGGGAACTTCCTCGGAAATTTTACATTTCTAACTGGCGGAACGTTTCAAGGATGTTGATGGCTTGATGTTGTGTATATGTCAAGTCGTCAACTGGCTTAAAGGAGGGAATACCCTTGGTCTTCGTGGTGGTTTCGTCCAGGGAGTACCAACGCCACAGCCAAAGGAAACAACGCCGGGCAACGCGTACGAAGGGGTAGCAAGGAACCCGTTAATCTTTTGATATTCTATCCCGGCTGCGGATGAGTCCCTTGTAGTTTTAATCTCGTCCGGCGTCGCCCACAGCCGTGTTTGCCATTCTCAGGTGACAGGCCTTCATACAAAGTCATCACGCGTAAAAAGCCAGGTAGAGTTGCAGCATTGACAAAATCCTTACGTGTAGCCCGAGGCGCCCAAGGCAGATGTCTACATATTGACAGCTCAATGCCCACTGTCAACCGACGTGGGTCGCCGGATCCTCCAGCTTCAAACTTTTGACACTAAGGGGTAAAAAGATATCTATCACATCACTTCCCTTTGATCATTCCAGTGGCATCGTCATCCTCTGCTCTCCACCCCTGGGCCTAACGCTTACAGCTGGGTCAACCGTTGGCACCACTGGTAAGCTAGCCTCCAAGTACCGCCTCTGCACTACTTACTTTCGAGTACATGCTTCAAGTATGTACACACTGCGCACTTGTCCAAGGCTCTCTGCACTTCTACCTAGACAATTCCTTCGCAACGGACGCTGATTATCAACTTTGCAGATCGCACCCACCAACAAGTTGCCCTCTGCAGATCGACGTGCCCGCCTGAGGTCGACGGACTGTCTGAGGACGCGATGAACGATTCTCGAGTAGAACCTGAGATGCTTGAACAGTAAATGATGGACGGATACTGCAGACAAGCTGAGGATCCAACACACAGCTTGCAATCACTCCCAGACGATCACGATGAGGCGACATTCAACAAGCCGTGTTCATTCGGCCTGCTCTCCTATCGACCTTGAGAATTATCAGTCTCTCCCACCTGCTCTTCGTCGAAAAGTAAGTCCCCAATTACCCATACTTTCGCTTATTGCCCATGCCCAGGAGCAAGTCAAGGTCGGAAGCAGGCATGTGTTGTCCAACGCCTACCAACTAACAAGGGAGGAATGTCCGCCATTACCAGTCTGGGGCGTGATCTGCACATCCCAAGAATTGACCATTTGGTCTTTGGGGGGCGGTGTCTAGTGACTTTTCTGGCAGCGGGTCCCCATCGACCGCCCTTTTTGGGGCTTGCACACTTGGAGATTAGGGCGCAACGGGCGTTCCTCAATTCCTCCTTGTGTCGACGCACCCCTGGTCTGGGCGCTGCGGGACGTTCCTCCTCTGGAACCCGTGCCTGCATTTCTTCCCTTTGGACCCTGAAAGCATTGGTCCGAGGGTCCGCCTTGACTTGTCTAGGGGTGCTAGGGCAATTTTGGGCCCGGCGCCGTCCATCAAAAGGTCGCTGGTGCTGTCTTGTTTCGACCGTTGGCATCTGAATCGATCGCTTATTCTGCACGGCCCACGAGCTAACTCGTCTGTTGCACCAGTACTTCAGCAGTTTGGAACGTCTCAGATTGGCACAAGATGGCAATGACTGCCTACCACCTCCTGCTCCCTCCTCTCGCTTGTCCATCCATCGACCAAACAACCGTCCTCATCACACCTCTCCATTCCTCTCCCGTCTCTCCCATCTCGACAATAGCTCATTGCAACCTAACTCGCGGCTGACTGGGAACCGACTTCACAAAAAGCTACGCCCTCCGAAGACCATTGTTGAACCAATACCCGCGCCCTCGATACACTGGTTTACCTCTCTCCCGCTGCCTGTTCAGCGCAGGCTCTTCTCCCGACAAGAGTGTGATCAATACTCCCGCACCACCAACGCCCTCATCCTTGACGCTGCAGACGAGACACTCCGCCGACGAAGCTGGCACGCCAACAGATCGCTTGGGCTGGTGTTACACCCGAAGCAGTCACGCGCTGATCTTTCAAAAGACGACTTTGGATACCTCTGTGAGGAGGACATTGACTCTGGCGTGGACATGGGTGACTACACCGTCAACAACTTTCCTTGGATGGAAAATGATAGAGAACTTGATTTGAGACTCGTCGACTATCATGAAGCCATAGCTCAGACGGCTCGCCGCACATCTATGATGGGAGACGCACGGAGACCATCTCGACGGAAAACCTCATTGTCCAGCATCTCTATTCGACTTGGACGTACATCAACTTCGTCTTCAAGAGTACAGGTGGACTCGCCTCCCATGCCAGGTTTGCCCATCGCCACTTCCGGGACCACTTCTCCATCACTTCCTATGCAGCATATCAGGTCACAGGCCTCCTTTTCCTCCGTCGACCCTCGCCCCACACATTATCAGGACCCTGCGGCTCGGTTAAAGTTGCGCCTATACCTCGCTTCACCTCAAAAGTTTGATGAAGCTGTCGAGTTTGGGTTCCCAGCGGTGCAAGCAAAGAGTCCAAGAACTCCTGTCCGACCAATGACCAGCCCTGCGCGAGCCGAGGATAACAATCGAACCTTCTTCCACGATGACACGCCCGAATTGTCTGGAGATGAAGGCGATGATCTCGATGAACCCGACCACATGTACGATCCAAGAACGCCTGAAGATCCCTTCTTTCACATGCATCGGCCGACACCCAAATTGAGCGTGGACGGATTGAGTGTCATGAGACCATCGATTCCGCGGCGACTGCCCGAAGCCTACGGACGAGGAACATCATCGGATCGAGAAATGACCTTGCACATGACTCTGACGAGACCAGATCTGCGAGATCCCGAGGCCAAACTCTCAGAGCCAGCAAACATCAACAAGATACCTCTCGACCGCCCAGAGCTACATTTAGATGGCGATCCAACCTCAATATGGGATACCTTGCCTGCCGAAGAATCCAAGGTCAAAAGACTCCTTCGCAAGTTAAGACTCAAATAAAGGCACAGACAACCTATTTGGCGGTGCATTAGATCATCCTCTACACTGCGAAGTAATGTCTGACACGATCATATCTGTGCATTTGGGATCGAGCGTCGGCGTTGGAAGGATCAACCCTTGGGGCACGCACCATGCGATTTATGGCATGAGGAACAGGGATCAAAATGGAGGAAACGGTATGACTCAGACGATGGCACTCGGCTGCTGACTGCCGATCGTACAGATCGATCATGCCAAGCGGTGTTTGAGGTTTGAGAAAGAAGAGGTGTGCATTAATGACAGCGAGGCCGACGTTTTTTAAAACCAAGTCATTGCGAGATGATCAATAGAGCACTGCTACACTACTTAGTCATTAATTAGAAGGCAAGAAACCTGCCAGACCATACAATGTTGATTGAGGCCTGGTCAGGTATTCCCGTAGTACCATACCATGGTTACCTACATAGGTTATTGCGACCTCATATATGACTTGTTGGATGCTGTCCCCTGAAGTCTGGGTCAGGGTCTCTCTGAGATGGCCAATGATAAAGTGGAAGGGTTACCGTCGTCGTACGTGGCCATCAGCTCTGAAGACTTGTCATATGCGTGGACCTCATCCCCCATACTTGGTCGGGGCGTCACAGGCGTCCAAAGGGCCGAGGGGGCCTCTCGGCCCCAAAATCAGTTACTATGAGGACCCGTTATGCTGTCCTGAGGGATCGATGGCCCCTGCACTCAGACACTTGTGCACCTAGGCAGACGTTATTGTCCATAGCCTCACCAATAAAGTTAGTTGCCCAGACTTTGATACAGCGTGAAGCTGGAAACAAGCTTATTGGTGCCTTGACTTGTCACTTGTAAAGCGTCCGCAGGCATCCCCAACTCGATCTTTGTTTGAAACAGCAACCTGTCCAGACTGCGCCCATATTGTTATTTGGATTCCATCATTCTTTCTTGGTGCAAGCATTCTATTCTGGTGTTCTCCTTTGGAATCGCCTTTCTGTGTTCATCCTTCTGCTCAATGCGGTAATCAAATCATGATAATCAGGTCCCTCTGCCACCGTTTCGCCTCCCTCTCCCTTGCCCTCCTCCTCCTTGCCTCATTACCCCATCAGACCAATGCAAAGAAGGATGGCCCGACCATCTCAGCTACCACGTTCGACAATCCCCTAGACAACGTCTTCTACTTTGATGACTCGGACACCATCCTCGGCCATGACAAAGAGGCAAATACTGTTTGGCGCAGCGTAGATGCCGGTGAGACCTGGGAAAAAGTCTCGGATGAGGGCCAGGCTGGGAAGGCCTGGGATCTGTGGCCCCATCCATGGGATCATACGCGAGCCTATATCCTAGGTCTTTCAGGCGATCACTGGGTCACTGACGATCGAGGTGAAACTTGGAGGAAGTTCTCTTCTGGCGCAAATCTGGCTTTGTTTCGACCCAACCCCTTGAGCTTCCACGGACGCGATCCCAAGAAAGTCATCTGGAATGGTGAACAATGTGCAGGCCTGTCGTGCTCCGAGGTCGCCTTTTACACCGACGATGATTTCAAAACCCACCACCGAGTCGGCACAAAGACCAAAGGCTGCCAATGGGCTGTGAGCTCTCCTTTGTTCGCTCCAGAGGTTGCCTCAGAGATCGACGACCGTATCTTCTGTATCGTCGAAGGTCTCTACTCACCGTGGCCCAAAGACAATCGTCTCGTGGTTTCGGACGACTTCTTTGAGGCTGAGATCGTTGAACCTGAGCTCGATGGCGGTCGCGCCGTCACCGGCATCATCAGCATGGCCGCTGTCAAGGGCTTCCTCGTTGCAGCTGCCAAGTCCGAGGGAACCGATGAGTTGGCCTTGTATGTCACCAAAGACGCTTCCCAATGGCACAGAGCCGAATTTGGTCAACACCGAGTCAATGAAGACGCCTATACCATTTTGGAAAGCACAAACTACAGCATGCAGGTTGACGTCCTCGGGTCCAGACCTACCAACCCCGTGGGCTTTCTCTTTACCTCAAACTCCAATGGTACCTACTTTACCCGCAATATCGACTACACCAACCGAAACATGCGTGGTCGTGTTGACTTTGAAAAAGTCCAGACCATTCAAGGCATTGTTATTGTAAACATCGTGGAAAACGGAAAAGAAGTCCTAGACTCTACCATTGCCGAGAAGAAAATCTTGTCTCAGATTAGCTTCGACGACGGTCGAACATTTCAAGACTTGGTCGCTGGCAAAAACCGGTTAAACTTGCATTCGGTCACCGATGCTCGTCAATCCGGGCGGATCTTTTCCAGCCCGGCTCCAGGCATTGTGATGGGTATTGGCAACACTGGAGAATATCTGAAGCCGTATGAGGACGGAGATCTCTATGTCTCTGATGACGCAGGTGTGACCTGGTACGAGGGCCTCGACGGTGCCCACCTCTACGAGTTTGGCAATCAAGGCGCTGTCATCGTCGCGATTGACGACGAAGACACGACCAGCCATTTCCGGTATTCAATCGATCACGGCAAGAGCTGGAAAAAGGTCGACCTCGACGTGAAAATCCGTGCCAAGTTCATCACCACCGTGCCAGACTCGACTACCCTCAAGTTCTTGCTCATGGGCACCAGTGGATCTGGCTCCAAGGCCACATATCACGTATTCAAGATTGATTTCGAGGGTTTGCATGAACGGGCATGTGGCAAAAACGACTTTGAACGATGGCCTGCTCGTGTTGACGAGGACGGTAAACCAAGTTGCATCATGGGTCACAAGCAGTTCTTCACCAGACGCAAAGCCGACGCCGAATGTTTCATCGACGAGGAGTTTAAAGACCCCGTCGCTGAGTACGAAGCTTGCACGTGCACGATTGCAGACTTCGAATGTGACTATAACTTTGTCAGGGACCCGAAAGATCGCAAGAAATGTAATCCCGCTGCACCAATTCCGGTTCCTCCAGGAGCATGCAAAGATAAAGAAGATACCTTCAAGGGACCTTCAGGATGGCGACTGATTCCCGGCGATGAGTGTATTCGAAAGGGCGGTGAAGTATTCGACGAGGAGATTGAAAGACCATGCACTGACAGCGTGCATAAACCTGTCTCTGGCGATATTGGTGTCGAGAAGACCAACTTTGACGCCTCTCGATTCTCAGAGTGGTACTATCTGGAAAGAAGCGACACTTCTATTGGTAGCGACGAAACAATCGTGATGCGCACAAGTGAACAGGACATATTCATCACCCGCGATCACGGCAAGACCTGGGAGCCAATCCTAAAGGGAGAACCAATTACCGCCATCGCTCCAAATCCTCACCAACACGACGTGGTGTTCTTCCTGACCGGGTCCAAAAAGGTCCACTACACCATTGATCGTGGCGACCGCTTCGATCATTTCGAAGCGCCTGAACGACCCAGCAACCTCCGACTCCCCACCCTCAAGTTTCATCCTGACTACAAGGATTGGCTTCTTTGGTCTGGAGCGGTAGGCAAAGATGACCACACCAATATCTTCTATTCGAAAGATCGAGGTGACCATTGGCAGACGCTGGTGAGATATGCGAGGAAATGTGAATTCATCACTCGCCAAGGTCAGGATAACGCAGATCAACTCATCTACTGTGAGCAGTATGAGGACGAGAATCCAGATAAGAGTCTCCGACTCCTTTCCAGCGATAACTGGTTTGGAGATTCACATGTGCATTTCCAGGACATTCTAGACTTTGCAACCATGTCGGAATTCATCATTGTGGCGGCTAAAGCGGACGACAAGAAAGGGCTGAAAGTTGACGCCAGTGTTGATGGGAGAAACTTTGCGGCTGCGCAGTTCCCCAAGAACTTCCAGGTGGCGCACCAGCAGGCATATACTGTTTTGGACAGTTCGACGCATGCCGTTTTCCTTCATGTGACTGTCAATGCTGCTCAGGACCGGGAGTACGGATCGATCATCAAGTCTAACAGCAATGGTACCTCTTATGTGCTTACGATCAATGCCGTCAACCGAGACACCGAAGGATACGTTGATTTCGAGAAAATGCAAGGCCTCGAAGGCGTTGCCATGGTCAACGTCGTCTCCAACGTTGAAGAGACCCAAACGGGGGAGAAAAAGAAGCTGCAGTCCAAAATAACTCACAATGATGGTGCAGAATGGTCATTACTCCCACCACCCAAGAAGGATGCTGTGGGAAATAATTATAAGTGTGTTGATGAGGAAAACAAGGCTACCGAAAAATGCTCGTTACATATTCACAGCTACACAGAGCGAACAGATAAATCAGCCACATTTTCAAGCCCGAGTGCAGTCGGACTAATGATGGCAGTCGGCAACGTTGGAGACCATCTCCTTCGCAAAGACGATCCGGCCACAGACACCTTCATCACACGGGATGCTGGAATCACATGGACGTCTGTCAAAAAGGGGAGCTACATGTGGGAGTATGGCGACCAAGGCAGCATCATCGTCATCATCGAAGAATCCAAACCCACCAAATCTTTGTTCTACTCCCTGGACGAAGGTGCGACATGGAAAGAGTTTGAGTTCTCGCCTGAGGTGGACATGCAAATCGATGCAATCACAACTGTTCCTTCGGACAACTCTCGAAACTTTCTGCTTTGGGGTCGCGAAGTCGGCACTGGCTCTAGACGGGGCATTTTTACTGTTAGTCTTGATTTCAGTGGGCTCGAAGAAAGACAGCGACAGTGTGACCTCGATGAGATCGATCCTGTTAACAAAGACTATACGCTGTGGGAACCCAAGCACCCGATGCAAAACGACAACTGCCTCTTTGGGCACATTGCACGATACCACCGCAAGCGTACTGACGCAGATTGTTATAATGGAAAGATGATCGATCACCTTCACAGTATCGCCCAGAACTGCAGCTGTACTCGACAGGACTTTGAATGCGATTACAATTACGAGATGCAAGCTGATGGATCCTGTCAGTTGGTACCAGGTCTTGAACCTCCCAATCATATACAATACTGCAAGGATAATCCCAAGCAAGTGGAATTTTGGTATCCCACAGGATACCGACGCATCCCTCTCACTACTTGCTCGGGCGGTCGTGAGCTTGATCGACTTGAAAGCAAACCATGTCCAGGACATGAAAAGGAATACGAGAAGAAGCACGGTATTGGTGGAGTGGCACTCTTCTTCGCCATTGTCCTCCCCATAGCCGCAGCCGCTGGTGTGGGATACTGGGTCTACAGCCGATGGCAGCAGCAAGGGTTTGGAGGGTTTGGCGCCATCCGACTGGGTGACGGGAGTTCTGGATCCACCAGTTCTGGCGACACGCTCTGGATCACTATCCCTGTGGCCATTGTCAGTGGAGTGGTTGCAGTTGCAAAAGCCACACCACTTCTTGTAATGAGTCTATGGAGAAGTGCTCGAGGCTACATGCCACTCGGGTCTGGATCCGGAGGTGGACGATTTGGGCGAGCTGGTGCCACTGGGGGAAATTACGGAGCTCCGTATAGATCGAGAGATGCTTTTGCTAGTCGACGACAAGATTACTCTCAGGTGGTGGAGGACGATGAACTTCTTGGAGATGGATTGGAGGATGAAGAAGAAGTGTGAGTAGCCTGCGGTGGTGTGGAATGGAAGCCACCTTATAAAACGAGAACAGCTTCTTCTTTTTGTGTTATTTGTACCTTTTCATCGTGGCGTGGCACGATCCAGGGGAGAGCGATCATGGCATGCAAGATTGACATGGGTTTGAATGACCGTATCGATGGATGACGACGGAAAGGTCTGCCGGATCTAAACAATCTGAACTAGGAGGTGGAGAGCCAGGAGAGGTGATGACGAGAACCAGCAGGTAATGACAAACAGTGTGTAACATAGATACCTCATATATCAACTTGATATCCATGTCTGAAGTATGTCTGTCTCTGAGGGATGCCAACATTACCATAGTTTCCTTTGGGTAGTTAAAGCCTCTTCTTGAAGATTTGGAGGTACATAGACGTGAGTGCCACCTAATTGATCATGACTCAATGACAAGCTGTATGAGTAGCATTACTAATAATAGAAGTTGGATTTGAGCTTGTTCCTTTTTTCACCCCGCTTGTGCCCGCCGTGTCCTTACAAGTAAGTAGCACAGTATATAGCCGATTATAGGATCTCTAAGTGATAAATGGCATGTTGACATGTCAGAGTAGAAGATATGAGAAGAGGAACGAAGCCGTATCATATCACGAAGTGTTACATTGATAGGTAGGACACGAGATAAGGTGACATGAATGAAGTGCCTGACGAGGGGTAAAAAGGGGGCAAAGAGAGAGGGGCTGGTCCGAGAAGTCGAGATAGCCAACCGTGCCAACCGACCAAAGAAAAGGCAAGGTCTTCCAGACCCAGACCCAGACCCAGGTCTAGGTCCAGTCTAGGGACAAGACCACATGCCGAAATAATGAGGACATAGCATGTTTGATGATCCATGTGTCTACAATATCACGGCAGTTACACTTGGACAGGGAGGGAGTGGGATGTCACGATCTAGATCCAAGTGTGTGGAAAGCCAACAGACCATCAGCAATTGACAATTGTGGTCTTCCATGGAAGAGGGCGAAAGGGTGTTTGAACGACATACTTTATTTACTGCACACACTAAACCCGGGAAGTTAAAACAACTATAGGTAGAATTAAGCACAGATGGAATCAATCATGAGAATCACAGCCAAGCAGACGAGTGTGTCCATGTGTCAAACGCACTTATTGGAGGTATAACAGTATAATCGGTGTGTAGTTGGAGCTCCTTCGCTATGAATGACTATTGAATTGAAATCAATTCTAACAAAGAGAGTCGAGAAACATATCATCCTCTTGCCTGCGCACGTGTCCAACTCATGAGCAACTTGATTTCGTGCGCAACTCTTGGGGGTTTTGACCCATTCTTCACCTCCCTGTTCCTCAAGGACTCGGAGTAGGTTCAACAGATTCGGGAATCTCTAGAGGCGTTGTACCGACGGTGGATTCGATCGAGCAAACAAGGAAAATGTGTCATGTGTTTTGTCTTCTTGTGTCCTTTCCCAATAGCATGTTGTCATGAGGTTGGCCGTTGGGGGATTCCCCAGAGAGGTGAATTATTTATTTGCCGGCAAAGACATCCTCGACTTGTTGGAGGGCCTCCTCCTTGGAGATGCCGTAGGCAGCGGCAACCTTCTCGGCGAGGGATTCCTTGTTGCCCTGAGAGGCAGCAAAGTCGGCAGGGGTGAGCTTGTCGAACTTGGTTCGGAGAGCTTGCTTGATGCTGTCGTCGGCCATGTTGCTTATGGTACGTTATGTGGGATGGATTGGTTTATGAATGAAGATTGACTGGATACTGGACTGAGTGGAAGGCTTATGGAGAGGAAGAAGAAAGTAAATTCTTGTTGCCAGCGTGGAGCGTGTTGTTTATATGCATGTCAAGAAAGACTGGGTCAAAGCATTTTACCCCTCGACCCCTCCGTACACACACTGACACCATGTCGTGTCAGTTTAGAGCCCCTCGAGATTATCATGGCTCAAACCGGGACCCCTGATGCTGCCATGTCCCCACATCAAGACGAGTTGGAGGAAGCGGCCTCAGGCATGATTGGAGCCAATCAAACAAGACGCCAATGGAACCAAAGTATCAACAGATCGAATAGAACCCCTCGACGGGAAGTGACGGCCCGCTGGATTGAGCATGGCGCCGTGTTTGGCGGTAGTTAATTAGTCTTGGGGAATGGAGGGTGAGTAGGAGCCCGAAAGCTAGTATCAGATATGTGGGTGATGCATGAATCCGACCCACGGGAGAACATGTAGCGGTGAGAGGTGGACGAATCTGTTGGACTCGGCTAGGATAAGAGGGATTCAACACATGTGAAATTGCGTGTGAAATCGGTGGTGCTTCAGAGTTGCGAGACCAATTTGATTTGTTTCGAAGCCCTTCCTGGAAGACATGACAGTGTCCTAATAGCCATTCGATTGAGTACAGTCAGGTCTTACTGGGCGGAGGGGCACTCAGGAACATGAGATTGAGATTAGACCCAATCTGGTAACGCCACCAAGACATGGTGATGGAAGGTCGACCCAATTTTTGCCCCTCTGCCCCTCCATCAGTCTTGTCCGAGCGGTGGCTCCGTCCTATGGCATTTGGGAGGCACAGGGCAACCTGACAGGTGTTCACAACAAATCGTCACCACTTCTGTCGGCAAGTCGGCAACACATTAGACCCGACCCTCCTCGGGCATCTTCGAGGGCACGCATACGCATATGCTGCACAAGGATTGTTTGAGCGGCACAGAGGTTCGCTTATCCATGGACTTGAGGACGTAGGACACGTGACTAGTGCGTGTTTGGCTGGTTTGGCCAGGTTGGACCCTAGCAGTTTGGTTAGCATCAGCAGCGAGCAGGGATGAGCCAGACTAGGTGCAGATACGTTTGCTTGGCTTGAAGTGAGGCTTACGAGTCGGCGGGCGATGGCCAAGATGGTGTCATTCCATTCGCGAGGCTTGCAAGACGCGCATTGATTAGAGGATATGCCAGCGGCAACCAAGAGAAGAAACGAGGACTGCGTTCAACCGACGGGAGACTAAAAGGAGAAGTTTCTTCAAGGTTGAAAGTCAAGAAAGACGTTGACAAATGGGTTTCTCTTTGGCAGGAACGATTCCCAATGCCGAGACAGGCAGGTGCAAAACGGTGTATCCTTATTGGGAATTCGTACACGAGGATGTTAGGGAAGGCACGAGGGACGTTGGGCTCAACAGGGAAACTGCGAACTAGTCACGCAATCCGCGATCCTGTGAAGCAAATGTGACACGTTAGCGGGAAATCTCTTTATATTGATATCTACACATACGTAGGTGCTTGTTACAAAACAGTAGATCTCAAGACTTGGAGGCCATGGTGATGTCCTTGTTCTCAGATCCAACGAGAGTATAGTTGACCTTGTAGTAGACATGCGAGTGCACTAGGATGGCGCGGCATCTCGCTATCCAAGATAGGCAGTACATAGCATCGTGAACAGTCTCGTCATCGACGAAAGTGTCGGCACAACTACTGCGTCCAATCTCCTCCCGGATGGCCTCCAGATAAATCTTGATCTTGTCCAGCTGGTGCTGGGTGACGGCTATTGAGACGTTTTCACTCGCCAGAAAACGAGGCGAAAATCCCTGGGTCTTGTTGGAGTTGAGTGCTTGTTGATATGCCTGAAATCCTGCTCGAATCAAATCAGCTGAGTCGATTCCTTCAGCAATGACAAGCAGAAAGGCCTCCTTGCACAACGGGAGAGGGGCCGGCTCTTCAAAACGACCTTTGAAACCCCAAGCACATTGGAAACCAGATGGGCCTCTCAGTGTGATCATCAGTGTCATCTTGTTTGCAAGATCGACTGGCATTCGGGATGATTTGGACTGTTGTGGTAAGAATTGAGGGACGTCCCAGATGATGACAAGGGGCAAGGGATAGGCCGATGTATAGAAGTATATGCTTAAGTAAAGGCATGCTATTATGAACCCACTTGATCAATGACAATAATAGCAAGACAGATGAAAGGCTTTGGTGGTATGGACCAAACAATGTCTGCATTGTTTGCTTAGGAGATAATGTTTGTCTTGGAGTCTATTATCTGCGTTGGCCCTTGATCTGGAAAAATACTCAAAGAAAAATAGGACAACCATCTAATCAGCCTCATGATGATGGCTTGGCTCAGAGGCCTGTGGCTTCAAGAAACGTGTGATAGACGATGTGAAGGATGGCATGAGAAGGATGTCACTTTAATGTTGAGGCCAAGGAGGGAGGGTGTAGATAGCGTTGAACATCTGGGTATATCCTAGAAGTCTGACAGCAGGGCTGATGCAGTAGGTGTGGTAATCTCGCCCGCATATCAGAACTTGAGCTTTCGTCTGACAAGAGGAATTTCCCCGCCAGTTCCTTCCGTTTTGCACTTGCTTCTCGCCAACAGCCTCAGTTTTTCCCTTCATGTCAACCTCTGTTGTATCAACCCAACCACCCATTCAAACCATCAATACTTCTCTCATGCCGCACACCATAGCACAAAGCAATCCATTGAGAGAGTGACACGGCTCATCGTCCCTCCAAAGGTGTTAAATGGTGCCACCCACATGAACCAATCACTAAAAGGTAGGCAACAGGAAGAACAACGCCATAACGGACAAACTCAGGTCGAAGAAGTTAAAGGCCTTCTTGCTGCCTGATAGTACCCCTCTTCCTGCATGTCAACCAATCCAGTGAAGTAAGCCCGAGTCCGCCCTGATCCTCAACCACACACAAATCTTTCAGCCTGATGCCGGGCGCCAAGGTCAACCGAACTGTGACACCACTTAACTTCACTAAAGCCTCCCTAGCAATGTCCGAGATCTTCATATCATCGAATCCGCAAGCCTATGTCTCTCTGACTTTGTTTCCCCAGCAGCCTGTCCTCCGGCCGGACTTGACACTAACCTTTCACGCGGTTATGAATCAATCTATCTGACCGACTAGGCACAACCCCACCGCTCTTCCAGCCCATATCTTCTTTCCCTTCCTCTGTTGAACCTTTCATTCAGCCTGGATATCTTCGAGACCTTCGTTTCAACTCAACCCTGGACATCCCCTTCAGCCTCGATCTTCCTAACCTCCGCTGATCTCAACAGCCTTCCACAAACCTCTTCGACTTCCCAATTCTCTATCTTGACTTCATTCACAATGAGAAACCACCACCGCCGAGTTCGTTTCTCCGAGCAAAGCCCACGTTCAGCTGCACGATCAGCTCAAGAGACCTCTTCACCTTCGGAGGGAATTTCCCGAAACTCAGCCCACAGCCACAGCCAGCAATCCGAACCGTCAGATATCCTGTCCACGACCGCCAACGATGGTGATGCAGAGTCGTCAATGTGGATGTACCATCTTCAGGATGATCCCATGGAACTCGAATCCAACAATCACAGCATGACCACTTACTATGATATGTTTTACGACGTTCCAGCCCCATCCTTCAACCCTCTCACCATGGCACGACACACTATGCCTCGCCCACCACCATTGTCCTCTGTTCCATCTTCTATTCCCACAGCCACATCGACAAACCCCTCTCAGCTCCCGCTCCCGATGCCCGAGTTGACTAGAATGAGTTACACACGAGAAAATCCTCATCGCATCACAAGAGGGTATAACTTCACACCGTATTACTCATTCGATCCCTCGCATCCCCCATTGCCACCTGACTTCCCTTATCTTGCGAAAACCAAGCCACATCAGTCCGATGGCAACGCCAAACGCTGTCAAGCATGTCATGATCCCCTTCCCGCCCCAATTTATCTCACCTGCGGACACCCTTACTGCAGAGTGTGCCTGAACGAACTTGTCAAGGTCGGTACGGCGAACCGAGCATCGTGGCCGCCCCGATGCTGCTTTGGTCGCAGCATGGGCATCGACGTCGAACATATACAAGATCATTTGGATCGGCAAGTCTTGCTTCGTTATATTAGCGTCACTAACGAATTTTGTGATCGCAACCCAACCTACTGCGACAATGCGTCGTGCAGTGAGTATCTCGATCCAGAACGTTTGGTTGCCTCATCAAAATTCCTCGAATGCCCCAGATGCAACAATAAAATGTGCAGCCTTTGCAAGCAAAACTCGGCCTCTCATACAGGCATCAACAATGATGAATGCAGACCGCCCGAGGCGCTCATGTCCCCTGGAGATCTCAGATTGGCCAAAAGTAAGAAATGGAAACAGTGCCCTGGATGCCGAGTTCTGGTCGAACGCACTGAGGGGTGTGCCCACATGATTTGCACCTGCGGAGTCGAGTTCTGTTACGACTGTGGTGAGCAAAGTGATTCCTACGACCCCTCGTGCGCCTGTACAAGGGCCGCAAGTCAACTTGTGGAGGCCAGACGGAACAATCATCGTACCGTTTTAGAACGTGTCAGAGACGTTCTGCCTTCCTCTGCCCGGCGGAGGCGTGGTGACTGGGATGTCCCAAGACCACCACATGCGATACCTCTATGGCGTGATGAAGACTGGCCCACCGTCAACCCTATAGGAACGGGACATCGTCCACAGATGTCTCTACAGCCCACCCAGAATCCAGAATCGATCCAGAGGCCAGTCCAACCATACAACACGATAGGTTCAACTCCAAACCCCGATATCTCCTCGGCATCGGCCTTCCAACCGGGCCTCGATCGTCACCTGCCCAATACTAATTACGATAACATGAATGACACCTGGATGCGTAATACGAATTTGCAAGGCCCTCGTTTCCACCGCCGCGGATTGCCGCTGTACGAATCCGCCAATGCTGCCGCGGCTCAGAACATCCACATGAAAACAGCGGCCGAACGAAATAATCAACATTGTCAGCCTCCAACCCTCCCATATCCACGAGTCTTCTATCCCCCCGGGCCGCCATCTTTAGCTACACCACGCTACAACCCATATGTACTCGCACCCCTGAATCTCATGGATCCTGAATCCAACACGTATCAACAAAGTGTCGACAGGCATGCCTCGTCGTCCAGCAATCATCGTACCCGGAATAACGACCCTGCGCCGGCTGGCGATAGACAAAGACATAGCGACGAGATGCGCGGATGGCATTGGCGGTATCCATACTTCGCCCCTCGGTCCGGTGGAGAGAGAACAGGTGATGGTCCACCAGGCACTCCTGTCGAAGCTGCAGATGTTGATACCGAGATTGAAGATACGCCCTCTCTGAGCCCTTCTTCAACCCTACCGACCGATCTCCGGTCTCGGCTCTAGATTATGTGATGCCTATGCGATATCGTTCTTGCTTGTTAATATAGATTGAAGGAAGAAGGCTGAGGTCGAAGGGAGACTTCCATCGCCGGATGGAGGCTTGACCGCCTATGTCTGAATCTCAGATAAAATCGTTGATAGTCATAGATCGGAATCCATTGACGTGAGGAGGCTAAATCTCCACGTCACACAATATATGCATTCTCATATTTTCTTCCTAGTGTCAAAGGAGCCGTGACTGACCAGAAAGGAGAGGAAAACATTGTAGTATTATCCTACCTGCTATAGTCTCACGCTAGCTACTAAAACCTTTTCTTCCTTCGAAAAGTTATGCTTTTTTGTTATCTCTCAGGCCAGATCAGCTCCTTCGCATCTACACTTTTACATGGCTTTTAGTCTGCATCAAAGAAAAGTTTTTTCAACATCATCCTGCCTGCTGGCGCTCTGACCCGCGTATGCGGGATCTTGACCGTCTCTGAAGCCACGTGGGCGGCTCCCGGTACGGGTATTCTATCCCCGACCTGCCGTGGCTTTGCTGATTTCCTCCAGGATGAGGTCTCGAGCAGTAAGCACACCCTTCTCTTGTCCAACGATGGTGATGGCCTCGCCCTCCTCCCCCTTTCCACTGTTTTTGTTAGGTACTTGAATATCACAACCCGACTGTTTGCGGATCGAGTTGATGGTGGAGCCTCCTGGTCCAACAATGTGGCGATGGAGTCGTGGATCTGGTAGAATCAGATAGCCTGTGTGTTGTGGAACCGCCGCCTTATCTAGCAATGACCGGATCTTCTGCTTGGTCTTGGTCACCGTCTCCTCCGTCACGTCCTTGCCAGCGTAGATGATCCAAGGAATGTCGCCGGTTTCGCCGTTCGTGGCACTCTCGTTGGAGACAATGTCCCACGAATACGAGTCTGCGCCAGGCTGATCTGTTATCAAAGGTACGTCTCCATTCGTGGTCCGTTGTCGAGGTGCATTGGCATTGGCCGATCTCGGCGGTGGCTTTTGGCCATTGTGGTCGATGCGAATGCCTTCTCTTGAAAGCTCCCGGAACAATGCCCCATTCTTTGAGACTGCATGGTGCAATGCCTTTGGAACCAGGATAGTTTCCCCTTGAGGCTTGACGGTCTTCGATTGAATATGTTCCTTGGCCTTGGCAACATTCTCAGCCCGTCCCGCAATTTTGACGCCGGTCTGGCCGGAGCCTTGACGAGGTACGTTGAGTGTAACGCCAAAGTCGTCCTCGATTTGTTTGCGGGTGCTCCCATTGGGTCCAATCAATTCGCGATGAGACGTGACAGGAATGTCGATGGTCTCTGTGATCTGGCTGTCTCGTTCGTCGACGAATGCATTGATTGCCGCAAGGATCTTGTCCACGACATCAGCAGTACCCTTGATCGTAAGAGTATCAGACTCTTCTCCATGGCGTGGGAATCGCACGTGCTCAGCACTACTACCAGTGCCACCAGCTTTGGAGACAAGATTCTGGATATTGGAGCCTGTTTGTGTTAGAGAGGTTTCGCTAAGAGAATGTGCATGTTGAGGACTTACCACCACCCCCGATCAGGGCACGATGATGCTTCTTGTCAATATTCAGAGTCTTTGTGACAACATCGTCAAATGCCTTGGATCGCTTCAGGAGCTCCTGTTTTGCCTTCTCAACCTGTTGCTTCGTACCTTTGATCTGGATAGATACTCTCTCCGAGCCACCTGGCTTGGGGACATCAATCTGAGCACCGGTGTCGGCGCGTAGCTTTTCCATCTCCTGACCACGTCGGCCAATGAGCGAGGCAACTTGCTCTTGCGCAACAGACACAGTAGCAGAGTAAGAATTATCCACCAGGTACTGATGCAAGCTGAGCAGTTCGTCTCGTACCTTCTCTGCCTTGGCGCGGGGGCCGCGAACCCGGATTTCATCGCCAGAGGGCCCAGCACGGTTGCCGCCTGCCTCGCTTGCGGTATCAGCAACTGAGGCATCATCACTAGCTTTAGTGGCTTTGGGGAAATCGATTCTGACAGAGTTGTCGACTTTGCCCTGGATCTTCTGCAAGTTCTCTCCGTTTCTGCCAACAAGCATGCCATGATACTTGGGGTCAATCTTGATCACAAAATTGACTTCATCTTCCCATTGTTTGGCCAGGCGCAGGATTTCTGCCTTTGCAGCCTCTGCCTTTTTCTGCGGTCCTTGAATGGTGATCTTGCCATTCTCCTGGGTACTGATGTCAACATCATGTTTCTCTCTCAGAGCTTTGATGTTGGCGCCTTGCTTGCCAATCAAATTCTTGGTGTAGTTGGCAGGGAATGGGAAGGACAGAGTGTAACCGCGTTCTTTCTCGTCCTGCTCAGCCTCGAGAAGAAATTGCTCAATTTTCTTGCGCAGATCAGTAATGTCGCTTTCGCTGGGGCCTCTTAGATAGACAGTCTCCGGCGAGGGTCCACGAGAAGCGCTGCCAGTATGCTTGGGGCCACTTCTGGCACGCCCAAAGTCGACCTGGACGGGGAAAGATTGAGGGCCACTTGGTTGCGGCTCATTCTTGACAAAACGTTTAACTTTATCCTGGAACTTCTTGGGCACATGAAGATCTTGGACAGAGATTCCTTGGTGGGGGATGGAGCTGAGGAGTTCTGCTTGTGCCTCCTGAAGAGCCTTCTCAAATGCAGCAAGATCAGTCTTGGTTGGCTTGGTGCGGGGAATCGTGAATGGACCATCCTGTGCAGGTCCCTCATACACCAGTACCACTGGGTCTGAGCCGTCTGTAGGAACGATGAGGTGAACGCCTAGGTCTTTTCGGAGCTTTTCCGAGTGGAGTTGGTCAAGGTGAGGGTGGAAGAATGGATCGACCTCTACCAGCTGCAGGCGAGGGGTGGGATAAGCTTGGGTGATTTTGGAGAGCTCGTTGCGGGCGGAGAGAGCCTTTTGAGGATCATTGCTAATGATGTTCCAACTCGAAGAGGCACTTGATGGTGAAGGGAAGACGATCTCAGCGTTATGCGAGTTGAGAAATTCGCGCTCAATTGCTTTTTGTTGGAGGTATTGGGCGAGGGCCTTTGAATGGCGTTCAGCGCCCTGAGGGGCATCACTGAAGTGCTTCTGTAGATCAACAGCGCGGTTGTGTTTCCGAGACATGAGTTCCTCTGCAAGGTTGCGGCCGGCCTCGAGCTTGTCACGAGGTCCAATAATGTGGATGTCTTCGGTCTCATGATGCGGTGGTGGCAAAATGACTGCACACCCAGTCTCTTCAAGAAATTTCAGGGGGTCCATGCCACGATCGCCGACGATGTATGGGTGCAGAATCTGTTCCGCTGCCAGTTCCTCCAGTAGCAGGTTCTGTTCCAACTCTGCAGCCAATTGCTCCACGAGAGCTCGGGCTTCTAGCGCAGCAGCTTGCTCTCCAGAGACTACAACATGCGAATCGCCATGAGGAACAAAAGAAGGGCGTTGATTGCCGTCAGCCGGGCGTGGAGGCGGCTGTTGTTGCCAAGTATGGTACTGGGGAACATTGATCCTGACATCGCGCTCTTGCTCCAGTTGCTGGAAGCGATCGCGATGAAGGCCAGCAAGAAAAGGATAAAACTCAGGCGGAATGCCACGGACGGGAAGGTCAACCTTGGGCTGCAGAGCTTTCACTTGGTTTGAGATCTGTTCGTAAACCTGACGGACCTGAGCAGCGTGGCCTCGGATCTCGACAACATCGATTTTGATGTCCTCAGGGTTCGTGGAAGGCCTTGTGTCTCGTTCAATGTGAATTTTGACGTTGAACTGGGATTCCAACTTTCTGATATTTGCACCGGCTTTGCCAATGATTTGCGCGGAAACGGCCGATGGAACCTCAAGCTTGACTTGCTTCTCTAGTGTCAACTCTTTGGAGATGTGCATCAAGGCTTCAGTGACTCTCGCTTTGGGACCCTCAGCGATGAATTCGGTTCCCCGAGCAAAGTTTGTAGACTTTGGGGTAACAATGACATTATACTTCTTCTTGACATCATCGAGGACCCTTTTGACGGATTTGTTCTTGTCCAGGTCAGCATTGTCGATCTCGAAAGAGTCCCGGAAACGGCCTGGTAGCAAGACATTCCCTCGAGGTGCATTGGCACCAGGGACTGGGGTTCGGGCACCGGGAGTGGAGGAAGGTGTCGGGCCACCAGAGGAGACAGGGCGAGAACCGAGGGCAGGTGAGCCGTTCGTTGGGGCAGCCTTTGCGGAGGCACTGGCAACCCAACCAGGAGCACGCGAGGTGGATGGTGCAGGAGCCTTGGTCGAGGCTCCCAAGGAAGGGAAAGCCTCCTCGGACTGCGTATCGAGGGCCACGGGCTTGTCGGATGCCTTTTGCTTTCCAGCGGCTTTGGCGGACAGAGGAACGCCATTAGTGCCGTTGACACCGTTGGTGGATGCGGCCGTAGCTGAGTCGTGGACATGATTTTCTGGTGGTGGTGGATGTGCAACATCCTCTTCATCAACCACATCTTCAACGGTGACATGGTGAGACTCGCTGGCCTCGTGCTGCTCCTGCAAGAGTTGGGCGGGCGTCTTGGAGCCCGAAGCGACGTTGGGGTCGGCAGTAAGGGAGGCCATGGTGTGATGCGGCTTCTGGAATGAAGCCTCGAAAACCGGGGAGAGAAGTACCGCTGGCAAGGACGATGACCGTGAACAGATTGTCAAGGTCAAGGAAGGCAGGTCATGCAGCGAGGAGGAATCGAAATATCGAAGGGTGGGTGACTTGGTCTCGACAGAGTCAGACTCAAGATGACTGGCTACAGTGCCAGAATGCAGCAAACACCGATCTGCGAAACAGCAGGGATGATGATGGCGACAGAGTGAAGGGAGCAGTTGTGATAACAAGTTGAGGTGGACAGGTCTCGGAGATGTTGCAACATGTCGAGGACAATGGGACGTTCCTAGTGTGGTTGTGGAGGTGGAGGAGAGACTAGGTTCCGCTAGTTGCGAATGCTAGGGTGGCTACTGGTGGCGCGGGTTGGAAAGCGCCCTTTCGACCGTTGGTTGCCATTATAATTGAGACTAGCTCTACTGCTAACTGCGCTAGGGCATCCGGTTAAAATGTTAGTGCCTCGAGCTGTTAAAGTGGTTTTCTGCACGGAAGAACCCCCGTTCCTTGCAAGGGAGCTGATGATGAAGAGATGGTGAGAGATATGTCAGGTATGACCACATAACTTGAGAAATGATAAAAGAGACATGTATTCATAAAAACCAGCATCGCCTTCTCACCATTTTACACCTTCTCCGACTGTTTGGCACTCTTTACAAATCCCACCTTGACTCCTTCTGCGGGAGTCAGGATGATCTCACAGTGTAGAATGGGCCTACTTCCAAAGTCCACAATCTTGTCAAACTCTTGCAAGATTCGAACAATGGTGTATCCCATTTCCACCATGGCAAACTGCTGTCCAATGCAGATCCTGGGCCCACCATTAAAGGGGATGAATTGCCATGACTTGGGTGTCCACGTGTTCCACCGATCTGGCACCCACTCTAGCGGGTCGTAAGGGAATGACTCCGAGATGGGAGGGTACAGGTCCCTACGACGCTGCATCATGAGAGTACTGTATCCAATGACGGTGTCTTTTGGACAGCCAACGACACTGTTGCCATCCGGTCCTCCTCCACGTGGTAGGCTCGTGTCGGTCAGAGCAGTCCGGACATTGAAGGGCACGATAGGATATAGGCGAAGTGTCTCGTTGATGACATGGGTCAGATACTTCATGTCTTTGATCTCTTGGTAAGTTGGTGGCCGATTACCGGGGCCTAGGGTATCCACAATCTCCTTTCGAAGCTTTTCAACCACCTGAGGGTGTTTAGCCAGTTCCAGAAACGTCCACGAAAGTGTCCCTGCGGTCGTGTCGCGGCCAGCAAGAAGGAGCGCTGTCAATTGGTCTCGCATGACCTTGCGGTCACGGGTATACCGAGCGAGGGCATGGATGAACGTATCTGATCGTGACAACTTGGACTCGAGTTCTGCGGGGCTGAGAGCAAGTGCCTCGCTAATGAATTGCTCCGTAAACTTCTCCATGGTCTTCAGTCCCTGGTTGAATGATTTCATGGAATAAAAATGTCGTAGTGGCCTAGAACAGATTGTTAATGCATGAGAAACAATGCCAATATGGGATTGTCGAACCCTAGACGGCCCTGCAGTGCCTGCACTCGCTGGACCTCGTCGAAAGCCTGGGCAAACTCAGATTGCTCCACGTCCAAGCTGTTGACACTGTGACCGAAGAGGAAATGGGTCGAAGCATCCAGACTAAAGCGGAAGAAGAGCTTGTTGAGCATGATCGGGGAGCCGTCACCCGTGCCCATGAGCGAGATAAGTTTACGCACATGTCCCTCGATTAGGGGAAGGTCTGCCACTCTGTCACGCACAAACATTGGTCGGATCAACTGGCGTGAGTTATGCCACATGGAACCATCGGTAGTGAAGATGCTGTCGCCGAGGAAGGCTTTCCACTCCTTATGGAATTGCTCGCCTCAAGTATATGTTAGCACCGAGGTCAGAAGGGTTTGGCGGATCAGTCATTCACCTTTGCCATAGTCTTGAAACTGTTGGGTCAAGACCGCCTTAATGTTTTCTGTATCAGCCGTGAAAATGACCCGGACGTCTTCGAGAATATGCAGTTCGGCAGTGAAACTTCCATTCCCACGGGAGTCAGTTCCAGTATGTTCAAAGATCCAATTCCAAAACTCCTCGGCCTTGTCTGCGAGGATCGCTCGCGTCGAGTAAACGGGAAAGTCGAGAGCTACACAGAAGAGGTCAGCTCTTCGGCGGCTACGACAACTTTAGAGGCCACGAACCTAGCGGGAATCTGGTCTTTACTCTGGGACACTCGCCGCCTAGACGGCTCACTTTTTTCCATTGCACATATCGACGAACGTAAATCTGTGTCACATAGATCGCAAACAGTCCAGCGACCAGATAGCGCCAGGAGAAGTTGTCCAGGATCATGGTGAAGAACAAAACTACATGAAAGAGGTGTAGAGCAATTGATCTAATAGACTTGATTCCAGAAATGTGGGTGGAGATGGGATGGTAATTGTTTATATGGAAGCTACCATTCGTGAACCCACTCCACCCGCCTGGTGCCGCTCGAGCCCGTGGGTGACGCGGGATCCTCTTTTAACGGATTCGAGGGGAGCTGGAACCGGCACGCCTGTCTAGGCAGAAGAATTCCCCGTGCGAAACGCTCTAAAGTTTGCAGCCTGGGTCGATATGCACATGCTTGCTGGTGGCCTAGGAGACTGTCACTGTGGGCGCCGACATGCTGGAATCCTTCGCTTAATGCACCATTTCCACTGGGACCTGCTTTTGGCATGGGCCTGAGGACGCAGATCCATGGGGGAAAACCATTGCGAAATCTGTCTGAGTTGTATCTCAAGATATCTACGGAGTAGGAACTAACATTAAGGACCAGGGGCCGAGTCAAATTCCTGTAACCCTGCTGAGTCGTCACTTTCGAGCATCATGTATACCCATCCACTCCATCATCACTCCATCTTCCTCCTCAAGTGCCAGCCAAGGTGAAACAAGGTGTACGGAGTACAACTCACGGCGTCAGTCTAAGACCATTACCCCGCCTCCGCAGCTGCAAAGCCCAGAACCTTCAAATGGAAATGGCTTTAGAGTCGTCGTATTCCGTGTTCGAATACGCTTTACGACAAAGACCGAGGCTCGACACAACCCAAGACCTAGATGTTGGCATCCATTGTCAGATGCCAACATCATTACATAAGGGTTTGTAACATCTCCCAGCATCCTGTACACTGTAGAGCCGTACATTTGGCTATAGATGGATGGGCTTCCCCCTCAGGAACGAGGAAGCCCAAGCAACTCATTTCACCTCAATCTTTGACAGATATTACAGGCTGGTTTGAGAACAACGATTTACCCATATCCCGTCCCAGTCACACACAAACTTGCACTGAATGGTGGTGGGCATGTATTCTTCTCTAGATGACCTGCAGCCTATACATATTAGGAAACACAAGTCACAGGTTACAGCCACCCTCCATCAGACACCAGGTCATTTGGACGGGCGATATAGCTACATCCGCTGAGACAATTCTTTCTCTCCAAGCGCTTAGCCTTCGAGTGGCATCTTCCAGCATTGACTCATTTCTGACTCCTGACCACAGGACTTCTGCTGCCGCCGCTGCTCTAGGCCATAATTTGAAGTCCAGATCATATGAATCGGTTTGCTCCGACCACATCAGAACTTCACCGCCTTCAATACCGCCGAGAAGATCCTCGCTGATGTTCGCAATCGGGTTGTAGACGTACATGTGTCGCCAGTTGTGGTACGGCTGGCAGTAGTCGAGATAGGGCTGTTTGATGCGGCTATCTTGACCTCCAGATGTATTGAAAGGAACCCCTGGAGGGGACTTCCCAGAAGGATATGGATTAATGAAATTCCCAAAGCCACCTGATGCGTGAATGGTCAGATAGGTGGAGCCATACGAAGGGGTCACTTACAATCCAGGTACCAATGTCCATAGTCGCCAAATATAACTCGGTGTCCTTGTTTCAATACTTCCTCAATCCGTCGACTGTTGCGCCATACCTGTATCAGGGTTCCATTCGACGACCCGTTACCCGCAGACGGCAATGTCAGATCCCAATCAAGAAGCATTTCTTCCCAGACGATTGGTTGAAAGCCAAAGCTTTGGGAAAGACCAATGATATGATCGATAAAGCGTTGCAACAATGGGCGCAAGACGTCCATCTTGCCACTGCGAACCGTCTCATCCAGTTCGTAGGCTGGCCGGTTGACTTCGTCCCCTCCAACATGATACCAAGACGTGAATCTTCTCGTTCGTGGCAGAAGGTCTTTGAGGACTTTGGACATGAAATCCGTCACTGCAGAAGAGTTGAGTTTGAGCTGACCACTCAATGGCTCAGCGGCAAATGTGTCCCAGTCGAGTTCGTTGAAGGCTGCTATGAGGTCAGGAAATGCGTGAGCCACAGAGGCCGTATGGCCAGGCACATCAATTTCCACAAAAACGGAAACCCCCTTTGACGCTCCATGAGCCTGAATTTCTTCTAGCTCTTGCGCAGTCCAGACAAGATCTGACCTGTACGCCCCTTTTTGCGCCAACTGCGGCAAGGAGGGAATATCGAGAGGCCATGCCTGAGAGTCAGTAGCATGCACATGAAGCCTGTTCAGCTTGACAGACGACATGATATCAATTGTACGGATCAGGTCCCCAGGGACAAACGGGTTTCTGGCTATATCAATGCTGATACCTCGATGCTTCCACACTGGTTGGTCATGGATTATGACTGGCGCATGAGGAGTGTATGACAATCTGGATCGTGAATGCTTGTAGAACAGTTGTTCCAACGTCTGTAAGCCTCGAATAGCCCCCAAAGTACTGTTTGACTGCACAAATACAACAGACTCGTTGACCCTCAAGGTGTAAGACTCGTCCCCATGGAAGAACTCGTCCGCTTGAAACTCTCTTTGGCTCGGACTACTTGGTAAAACAACGTGAATAGCCGAGATAAGCCTTTTGGGGTCACAAGAATCGGGCTCGGGCTCGGGCTCGAAATCTGAATGTCGCGAATGAAATTTCCATGGTACAAGACCAGAGTAAGTCAAAGACTCCAGCATATCACCCACAGCCGATTCCAAAATAGCATTCTCAGACACTTTATGTCGCTCTGATGGGATGGGGGATGTTTTTGACGGGGTCGAGGGGGATTTTAGATGTGTCGCGACTATGCGGACTTCCTTGAGCAAGTCATGAACCAAATCATACGGGCGCTGCATCAGCCATCTCCCAGTCCCATGAGCTTGGCTAGTAACAGTCTCTGGTTCGACAACTTGCGGACTGTTATCAGACCATAGAAACACTATATCCACTGTTCTTGGGTCCAGCCAGACGACTTGTTCTCCCAGGCTGACCTCCGAAGGTTCGGGCCACAGCAAACCATTGGTGGCTGCAGATACCTGAGCAAGAATGAGAACATGAATGAAGATCATCATGCTGACCTGACTACCTCAGCTGACATCGAAGGTGACTGTCTACCATGAGACTGAAGTTGAGACGGATATGGTTGTTGTCGCTCCTGGTAGATAGGCAGCGTTGAAGAGCTGGGTCGATGAAGAAGGGAGCATCAGGCTCTCCTTGCTAAGATGGCTCCTGCAGACACTCTAGAATCTTTCGTAGAGACTGGCTAGAAGTCTTGCAAAGGGAAGATGGTGGGGAATCTCGCAGACGGGCAGAGTCAGGCACCAGGGGTCAAACCATGTCATTTGAAATGCAAGCCAGTACGTTGGAAAAGGCACACGAATATGAATGTATTGATAAGAGACTCTCTCCATTGACTAGTATGCAAACAGGTAGAGTCTATCACCTCCCTACCTGTAGATCGCCATCTCAGGAGCTACCCACACAATCAGACTGAATGGTAATAGCGTGTTGGATGGGAAAGAACGCGAACGCGAACGCGACGGATTGTTCGAGAGCGTGACAGAATAGGTGGAATGTGAGGCCGACTTTTAGTCAGCCTCAGGGTCTCCCCAGGCGCGATGATGTGGCGAATTCAGCCAAACACGATGAGCCGATCTTGGGCTTAGTCATTTAGAATCATTGGCGCCTTGATGGAGTCGTCTGATGAAATGGTCGGATCCATGAAAATCTTCATAAAACAACTCAACGCAACGTCCATATACGACTGGTGCCTGCCTCACTTTTTCTCTGTCGCGCCTTCCATGGTCAACAGGAGAAATATTAGAAATAATAATAGGCAGGAAAGAACAACCTAGAGTTGCACAGATTGACATAGCACGTGACCTTGGCGTACTCATAGATCACGTGATTCTTGGCATAATAAACGGATTTGTCTGCGTCAACTGCGTCTCCACGCCATCGCAGGACATCCATCACCAACCACTGACTCGTCTTTCAACCCAAGTCTTCACTTGACCCTTGATTCATTTCAGTTCCGTGTGTAATCTCACTTTTCTACTGAGAGCTGATTGATTCAAGTCACCACCACTAACTCTGTCACCCTCTGGCGACTGTTGAGCGCCGCGCCGCCACCTTCAAACCATCACATCCATCTCTCATTGTTTCCGCAAACGGATTCGAATCTCATCTGCTTTCAAAGTCACCGCGCTCCATCTCCTCCTCGTGAGGCACATTATCCCACTACCAATTCTTCCATCCGCAACCTCAAAGATGTCCGCCATCGCGCTCGAGACTCCCGAGGCGCAAGCACTGAGTAGCGCCGTCCACTCGAAAATCGTCGATCAAGGCTGGACCCAAGATGACGATACGTCCCTCGCCGAGTACATTGTGCTCATGCTTGCCAATGGCAAGACTCAAGACCAAATCGCATCGGAGCTAGCCGGTGAACTCCTCCAAGATGCAGATGGCACCACCGAATTCGCCCAGTGGCTCTTCCAACAAGTTGACAACATGTCTGGTGGAGCCGGTTCCTCTCAAAACGCGCCCCAGCCTCAACAAGAATCTGGACTGGAAATTGCGCAAGAATCTACAGACTCAGCCAACGCCGAGTCATCAATACCAGCTGCCTATGAAATGGACATGGCAGATTCCGCCCCCGAAAACGCGTATGTTGCACAACTCCAAATTCATCCTGTGTTTTCTAACTTGCTTTGTAGCCCCAGGGGTCCTAAAGGCTTGCACGGCGGGCGCGCACAGTCAAATCGAGGTCGTGGAAATCATAAATCTTCCGACTCTGCTTTACACCGAGTCCGAGGTAACGATCGGATAAACAGCCATGGAAACACGCGGGGCGCACCCAAGGGCCCTCGAAACTCACAGGGTGTCCGACCCGGCATGCAAAAAGCTCTCAATAACATTGGACTAGCTGGTCAACCACCTGGAATTCCGCCGCAGATGATGCCCAATCCAGGTCAGCCTGGACAAAACATGCCACCGATGAACCCCCAACAACAGATGGAATTCATGGCAGCCATGTGGGAACAGCAAACTCGCATGCTGGCTCAGATCACGGGAATTATGCCCGAGAATGGAGGTTTTCCTCAGGGGGGCCAACCACAACAGAATGGTCGGTCGTTATTTGACCGAGTCGAACCAGGCCGAGGCCGAGGTGGGCGCGGTCGTGGTGGTCGTGCCAGCGGCAGTCAGAACGGGCACGCAAAGAGCAACAAGCAGCCAGATGCCGACACCAACATGGAGGGCGCAGATCAGTCGAGCGAAACCACCGCAATGGACGTTGAGTCGACCTCAGGGCAGAAGAAATCGCAAGATCCCTTTGACACCATGTGCCATTTCAACTGGCGGTGTACAAATAAGGACTGTGCGTATGCCCATCAATCGCCCGTCGCCTCAACCAGTGTGGCTGTTGACATGAAAACCACCTGCTCGTTCGCAACTGCGTGCAAAAATGCAAAGTGCACAGGCAGACATCCGTCTCCTGCACTCACCAAGGCACAACAAGCCGATACAATCTGCAAATTTTTCCCTCGTTGCACAAATCCCGGCTGTGCATTCAAGCACCCGAGCGCACCACTCTGCCGGTTTGGCGACAACTGCAAGACCCCCAACTGCACATTCACACATCTCCAAGAAAGATGCAGATATAACCCCTGTAACAACCTTCGATGTCCCTTCAAGCACGAGCCGGGCCAGCAACAAGCCAAAACTCTGGGAGACTACAGTTGGACTCCCGATAAGCAGGCCGAAAAGGACGCCGCCAAAGACAACAATGACCATGTGAGCGACAGGAAATTCGTGGACGAAGAAGCAGAGGAGGAATTGATCAAACCTGAGGGCGCGGGCGAGACAGCCAACGGAGCTGCTGCCGCCGAGCCGGTGACTGCATAAACTGGCTGTGAAGCCCGAAAGTTCCACTCCTTTGGGTAGTTGATGCCTGTGGAGGAGCTGACTTCTGTACATTATGACAAGAGGAACCGAATATGCGCTCCGAGAAGTAGGAGAGCATGGGCATGCGATACGGGTATACTAAGTAGTTATTACTACTAAACTTGAGCCGTGGTCTTTGTCGTTGAGTCGTAAAGTACCATGGCCGAGTGAGACAAGGGAAGGAACGTGAAGATGGAATGATGGGAGGGTCTCTCGATAGTGGTTTCCGCAGTGCGTGTTGAAGCCACCCGTCGTTCGCCCGATCCCATCCATTGTGTATGTAGTCTGACGAATGAAACAGAGTTTTTGCGGCCTTATATTTATTCTTTCTTTGTCCTGTCCGTGTCAAACGGTCCACTCATACTCCCAAAACTCGGCTAGATGGAATGCAGTAGCTGAGCCCAAGCAGTCCACAAGGGTTTTAGTGGCGTCAGCGGATCTGGTTCCTTGTTCTAGAATACGTAGTGATGGGAAAATGTCAATCACCACGTTGGCATCTTGGTCGGATAGTGGTTGGATCGGAGCAGACGATGTAGCTTGGGAGATTAAGTCGGTGGGCAGGCGGAGCGGGAGTTCTAGTTTGCTGGCGTTGTCGGCGTAGGCAGTCTGCTCGAGGTATTCGGAAATGGTTGGAATCAGCTTTCGAGGAGAAGAAGCTATGACGACGGGGATGAATGAGGTTTCTTGCATGCTACCCTTCTTAGCCGACATAGTTCAGGGTAACAGCAGCTTAACAACTGACCGGATCTGCAAGCGACAGAGACAATGGAATAGATCACCAAGGCCGTTATTCTGTGTCTCGTATGCCACCAACACGGCTAGATCAAACTGGTGCTTGGACACTTCTTTCGGCATTTTCTCCTGTAGTACGGCACTGAAGGTGCTCTCTGGACATGACGTGTGTAGGAGAAGGATTCGGATCAGAGGTGAACGAGAATTGGGTGACAACGGGACTGCCAGGTCGAAGCCATGTAAATTGGTTTCTCAGGGAAGCTAGTTAGAGAGGTCTTTCCACCGACGGGGGAATTGAAATCACCTTGGAACCTGTATCCCGTACAATTGACAAGCTCATGTTGCAAAGAAGGCCAATGCGGGGAAAGACGAAGAGCGGAAGCAAATTGTGCAAGTCTGATATTCGACATTGGAGTAGGGTATCTTGAATATGTTACGACAAATGTACAGAATGTCGAGAGTAGAGAGTTCGAATTGCTGCTGCTGCTGGTTGTGGCCGTGGAGGAGCAAAAGGACAACGAACCCCAGAGCCTCTGCAAGGCAGGCGCTACTTGTTGGTAGACGTGTTCTTACCCTCCTCTGATGCAGATCGCAGGCTCGCCGACTGCGATTTCTTCTGCACAACTGGATCCTCTTTTCCTTCCGCTGCAGCCTGTAACGCTTGTTGCCTTTTGCGTTTCTCCTCTAGAGCCTTGTCAGATTCAACCAAAATCTTTTCTGCAGGCCCTGGCTTGTCTTCCGCCAATGCTTCTTTAGCTTCTCTGGTTTCCTGGTCTTCGGTTTGGGAGGAGTACCAGGACGATATCCGAGCAAAGAGACCCTTGGGGGCCGTGTCCTTTTCGTCATCCTTCTCCTCGTAGATCTCTTCAGGTAATATTCGAACTGGTTGTGAGCCTGGTTTGCCGTTCTTTTCTTTTGCTCTTAACCGCAAGACCTCGCGTTCCAACACGATCAAAGCACGACGAGCCGCATTCTCGGACTCTTCGAGTTCAGCCAGTCGTTCGGCGACATCGTCACGTCGATTGGCATCTTTCCGCCGGCTTCGCCACGCTTCGAACAACAGCAACCCGGCAGCCACGCCGAAGAGAAAGGTCTCGCTGATGAAGGTGGCACCTGATTCAATAGCCTTGGCTTCTGACAAAGGCCGGATTCTAGGTTTGCTTCGTGGCTTCGGAGGTTCAGCCTCCTCTTTCGCAACTTTGGCTGCTGCCTCCTCCTCAGCTTTTGTTTGAGCCTCTGTCTTGACTGTAGGAAAGCTATGTTTGTGTTTCTTGGCTGATTCGGCCGCTGCCTCTCTTGCAGCTTGTTTCTCTATCGCCGCAGCATCTTGTAGCAAGCCAATTCTCCATCTCATGTCAACTCTATGGAGTGCCTGTGCAAAGGAGATGCAGGTGTTTTTGAAGCCCTCATGTTCGCGTGCTTGCCTTTTGATGAAATTCTCCAGCCGTCAGCAGCTATCCTGCCAGATATTGGGTGCTAACACAACTTACAGCAATGGGCTTGGACAGGGTCCGAATAGCCAGCGATGTGAACTTGAGGGCGAGCGACATGGCTTGATGAGCGGAATGGGTCAAACCTGTGGTTCACGCATGTTCAACACATGGGGACCGGCAGGCGTTTTAGCGCCAGCAGTGAAAGTGTGGACGGCTGTAGTAAGACCTGCTTAAATTGTGAGTTGGGTAGGTATTCAGTTTCACCAAGTATACATCTCATGGAACTGGGTGCAGTTTGCTGCAACTATGAATGAAGATGAGCGCGATTCATGACCCGACGTATGGAACTGCAAGGTCGGTGACGCAAGTCTAAGGGATTGGTTTACTTAGTGGCATAGTGTGGGCCGAGGGGCCCTCGGGCTTGGATGCGGCTCATGGAGGTGCCTGGCCGAGCCTAAGCGCTCGTGGTAGGAAGCTTGGAGTGTCCGAAGAATACCTCCGTAGAGACGCCGGAAGGGTGGCACAGGGGCTGGCCGGGGCAGAGGGGCACCCTCGCGCTCCCTGCGATTGGTCTGACCGGGCATCACAGACCACTGGAAGCTGAAGCTATTACCAGGAAGTCCAGGCAGAGACAGACCCAGTGAGCCAGATGCCAAGCATGTATCTGAACTAAACCGCTTTAGGTTAAATCAATACAAACTACTCTTTCCTCTTCAAGTTGCCAGTCCCATCACCAATACCTCCGACTACTGCTTAACAACAACTGTTGTTGCTGATTACATTGGCTTTGAACGTCACTTTGCACTTGCCTCATTGACGATATCTCTCATTCTGGTCCATCCTCAGGGCAAGTCCTGACCAAAATTCAAAATACTAACTTATTGGCAATGCATTGATCGTTGGTCTCGACTCTCCTGCCAGCGACCCAATTCCTCACTGCTCCTCCTTCCTTAGTTCTCCGGTCGATCATCAAAAACCACACATGGAGGTCCTTTCTTCCCGATCAGCCAATCTTCCAATGGCGCCTCCGCCAAAACCGCTCAAACGTACAAAGCCTGAGCCAACGCAGAAGCCTGCCGACAAACCTTCGAACCCCGATCGCATCGATGACAAATGGCGCCCACCTGTCTCCGTGACCGAGCCAGGTCCGTCTGCAGAGACATATGTCACCGGCAAAAAGCTGGGTAAAGGCGGCTTTGCGGTCTGCTTTGAGGGTCGATCCAAAAGCACATCCCAAGTCTTCGCATTGAAGGTCGTCAAAGCAAAAGTCGAGCAGAAGAAAATGATGGAGAAGTTCCGAACAGAACTACAAATTCATGCTAAGATGCATCATCCCAACATTGTGGAGTTTTTGCGGGCCTTCACAGTCGGCGACCATACATATGTCGTGCTTGAAATGTGCCCAAACGGGAGTTTGACCGAGATGATCAAGGCTCGATCATGTCTCAGCTTACCAGAGGTTCGAAGGTATATGATTCAGATTTGTGGAGGTGTCAAATACATGCACAAGCGCTCCGTGATCCATAGGGACCTCAAGATGGGCAACATTTTCATCGACTCGAGAATGAACTTGAAGATTGGTGACTTCGGCCTGGCTGCCGTCATGGCGGATGAACAAGACCGACGGACGACCTTGTGTGGAACCCCAAACTACATTGCACCGGAGATCTTGAGCAAGACCGGTAGTCGTGGCCATGACAACAAAGTTGATACTTGGGCGGTCGGTGTCATCTGCTATGCTCTCCTCATTGGCACCCCACCATTCCAGTCCAAAACCCAGCAAGAGATTTATACGAAACTCAAGACATTGGAGTATGAATGGAAAGTCGACTCACGAAATTATATTCCTCAACGAGCAAAAGATTTTGTGGCATCTTGCCTCAATCTCAACTCGGCTGAACGACCGGATATGGACCAACTCGTTGAGCACGAATTCTTCACCATGGGCGCCATTGCAGACCAACTCGAACTTTCGTGCCTGAAATCACCTCCATCCTGGCTCGAGAATGCCGACCCCCGTGGTGATCGTGTAAAGACCGGCTACGGCATCAGTCATGGTCGAATCTGCCGCGAGTGTGGTGTCGGTACGGGAGCTGATGGTCGACTTCGCCCATCGGTCGGAGTTGGAGCCGGAATTTCTGCCCTGATTGAAGTCGAGGCAGAGAACCGTGAGGGCTGTGCTCCAGTCATTCCTCTTCCAGCAGGAATTCTATATCGACAGTTCTCCCAGGCACAAGCAGAGTTTGCAGCCCGGCAGAAACATCCATTGCTCCCGACTCGCGTTCGAGGGAAAAAGGTGGGCCAGACCACTGCTGATGTTGCCGCTGAGACAACAAAGGGCGAGCAGCCAGCAACTTCGACCATCAAAGCGCCCATTTCCGGAGCTGCGGCCACGTCAAGGCCGTTCCAGAGCTTTGCTGCTCAACAAAGACAACAGGCATTACCAAGCGCACCACTCCGAAGGACCGAGAAGGCTGTCGACGATCAGGCTCATATGAAGCAAATCTCGCCGGTCTTACCTGAAGTTCCGCTTCAGCCATTGTTGAAGGAACGACCACTTCGAGCAGCAACGATACGAACAACCAGAAGCATGGCCACACATGAGCCAGGCAAGCCAATCTCGAGGACACTGCCAAGATCTACTACCTTGCCGAACAGCATCGAGGCCCTTGCAGACGAAATCGACGCAGATGTTAAGAGAGCAGAGAAGACGTTAGACCGAAAGTTCAATACCATTTCTAGCGAGGCCCGGCTGATGGCGACGGAGGCATACAGCAAGAAGATGACGCTGCCGACAAACCTTGCCCACAATGCTAGGTCACAACATCTTTCATCCGGGACATTGCATTGTGCCGAGATATCGAGCCGCGCACTTCAGCCAACGAGCGGCAACGATCGCACCTATCCTTTGGAAGGAGAATTGAGGGGCTCAACGGTTGTCAAGCCAGAGAGTAGGAGGCGAGCTGCCTCCAAACCGTCCTCACAGCCCCAGCCCAGTCGACCGCGGCACCATCATAGAATCATTGCTCCGTATGAAGAATCTCAAGCTGTGCCAGAAACTTCATGCGCCGATGTGTTGAGAGGCCTGCAGTCTTTGAGCAACGCCTTGGATGGGAGAATGTACGAGGAGCGCTCTCGAAGTGGCAGATCAACTCAAACCAAGCGGCACGTCAAGACGCCAATTAGTTATCCCCGTGTGGACAAATGGGTCGACTATGCCACACGGCACGGAATTGCGTATATTTTGAGTGATGGCAGTGTAGGTATGATCTTGAAATCGTCTGAAGACAACACGCGACCGAGCAGTTGTGTGGTCGTCCGGAATGGCAGCCAGCACACGATCCGAAGAGCGCGCGGACTTGACTACCAATTTGTTCCACAAGGCCCTGAAGCGCACGAAATTGAGTTTTATGAGCAGACAGACTATGAGCAGGCAATGAAGCGACTTGACGTGCCCGCAAGTGTGTTCAAGCTGGACCTGGACAATCATCCCAGCCAGGTGGCAGCGGCCAACGCTCTCCAGGCAGGCTTGAGTGGGAGTGAGTCAGAGCGAATGAAGGAAGTGGCTCTCCTAGACAAGTTTGGGAAATACATGAACAAACAAACAGGCGCCTGCGATACCGTGCATGGAGAAAGTCGCAAAAGTACCTCGTTGGTGCATTTCTACCAGCGAGTGGGCAACGTTGGCGTCTGGAGATTTGCCGACGGGGGCCTGCAGTTCAACTTTCCCGACCATACCAAAGTCACCGTGTACCATCACCAGGCGGTCGGAGAAGTGGAAGGCCGATACATGGTGGACTTTGTTTATTTACTCTCAACTGACGCCATCAACCTGGCGAATGACGGCATGTCTAGTGCGGAAGCATTGGAGCGACGAAGTACATGCAGCTTAGCGCTTGAAGACATCCTTGGAGACTGTCTGCGAAGAACCGAGACGGAGATTGTGAGGACCAACGAAGTCAAGGAGAAGCTATCGTGGATACGGGCAGTGGTGGGATGCTGGATACGGGAAGGGGGTTTGGGGATGATGGGTGAGGAGAAACTAGGGTGGTCTGGATTGCAAGAACGGCGAGACGATAAAAGGATCAAGTTGCAGTGGGTGACGGTTGGAAGATATGGAGGAGATGGAGAGGGAGCAGGAAGAAGTGGTAGAGGATGAGGAGACCAGTCGGTATCATTTCGCTTGAACTTGAAGCGTTGGCGTTGATGGGGTTTGAAAGCAGAGAGTGCATTTCTTGAGGATGATGTTTCGGTTAGGAGTTTGCAGCATGGCGATATTGGGTCTGTCAGCATTCCTGGAGACTAGGTATGATGTTAGCACAAAGTTTGATTGAGATGACACGTTGACACGTGGGATGAATGGACAGAAATTGCATCATTATGGCTTGTGAAGGCGACGATTACCGATTTTCGCTTTTCGCTTTTCGCTTTTCGATTCCCGGGCGAGGGGTCTCTTTTGCGAGTGTGGGAATTGGTTGGTGGGTGCGTAGTGGATATGAGGAGAGGGTGAGAGGGTGAGTAGTGAGAGAGCGAGTGTGGGAGTTTGAAAAAGCGAGAGGAGAACAGAATTGTCAAAGAACTAACAAACGAGGCACGAGGCAAGTGGTGCGGCACGTGCACGGCTCCTTCCTCATTTCCTCTTTGGTCGTGCCTTCCTCGGACTAGTCCCCCCACTTGCTCACTCCAATGCCAAAAACCAACATCTCATCTCCAAAAAGTCCACCTGGATTTCCAATCATTTACCTTGTCCTTCTCCTCTATGAGTACCATTGACCGTGGCCACTTGGTGAATGGTAGAAGAACAGCCCAGATTTCCTATCACCTGCAAATAGTACCCTGTCCAGCCCATCATGGGAGGCGGACCAGATAAAGAACATCTCCTTATCGTTCTATGGGACGCTGAACCCAAGCATATCACCGACAGCATCAGAAGTCGATGGCCTCATATTGAGATAACTTACTTCCAACTCAACGGTCCTATCAGTTTCAAGGATGTTGGAGATCAAGTTCCTCCAGGTTAGTTGATTCACTGGTCCCAGCTGCAGAGCGATCCATATGTATGCATGACCTATGTATTGTGAGACTGACCCACATCCAGAACTGTTTCGCTCAGCGACGTTGTTGATCACCCTCGCGGCTCTCCCTGCCAACAGGGAAGCTGCTCCCAAGTCAGTGACCTCCTCTTTTACCAGACCGTGGTCAGCAGACCTGGCCAGGTCATCAGTCACTAATTCCGGACCACAGTCTCAAACTTCTCCACCTCTTTTCTGCTGGCATCGATCATTGGACAAACCACCCTCTAGTCACTGACAGCGATATCGACATTACAACATCGTCTGGCATCCATGGACCTCCTATAGCCGAATGGATCATTATGACCACTCTTGCCTCCAGCAAAAGATTCGGCCCGTTGTACGAGGACCAGAAAAACCACGCCTGGGGCGCAAATAGGGCTGCCCTAGCCAATGTCTCCGACTGGGTTGATAAGAGAGTCGGTATCGCGGGCTATGGCAGTATAGGACGACAAGGTGAGTTTCTCTTGTTTGAGACTTTCGTGTCCCTCTCCCCCCCGTTCCTTCACTCCTGTACACGTCTTTCCATTACCTGTCATTCTGACTCTCGGCCCACTCAACTTCAGCTGCCCGTGTTTTCTCCGCTATGGGAGCTACCATCCATGCATACACGGCCAGCCCGCGCCCAACCGCTGAATCACGCAGAGACGAAGGGTATCGGGTTCCCGGTACCGGTGACCCTGACGGCACAGTTCCCACGGCTTGGTATAGTGGTAAAGACAAAGCCTCCCTCCACACCTTCCTTCGCTCGGGCTTGGACGCAATCATCATAGCACTTCCACTAACCCCCGCCACACGTCACTTGTTTGGTAAAGAAGAATTTGCGCTCCTCGCCGCACCAGCGCCGGGCAGCGCCGAAGCTGGCACCCGTAAGATTGGATCCAAAGGAGCATTCCTGATCAACATCGCACGAGGAGCCATTCTCGACCAGGTGGCTCTGACCGAGGCTCTAAACGATGGGACTTTGGCGGGTGCGGCCTTGGACGTCACAGACCCTGAACCCTTGCCCAAGGATGATCCATTATGGGATGCGAAGAATGTCATCATCACTCCACACGTCAGTGGGCTGGGAGTTGAGTATTACCAGCGGGCATATGACGTGTGGATTCAGAACTGGGACAGGCAAGAGAGAGGATTGAAGCCATTTAATCTGGTGCAGAGAAGCAAAGGGTATTGATGTGGAGGAATTATTAGGCAGTGTGGGCAAGTGGTTGGAAATAAGGCTCAACTAGATGGATTTTGAATAGAGAGAAATCTGCCCAATCGTCAAAAGATTGAATATAATTTCTGAGGTGCTTGATTTCACTCACGTTAGATGTTGGCTGCAGAGGGATATCCCCATAGCAAGACCTTAGATCACCACACGCAAGCAACAATCATTCCTTGGTATTATAATAGTTCAGCAATTTTAATCGTCATGTCAAGTCATGACTTCAATGTTTCATGAATCATCATACATTTAAATCGTCAATCAGACAACCAACCAACCAAATTAAGTTGCCTCATAATCTAACCAATACGTACTAGGATCTCGTCAATCAGTAAGTAGTCGCCTTATGAATATCTCATATCAAAACATGTCAAAACAGATTGCATGCGCGCACATCCCAACCCTAAATTGCTTTATTCATCGCTGTCATTATCGTTGAGCATTAATTCATAATTCACGTTTTGTTTTCATTGTCGTATAATCGCATAGTCGGTCGCTAAAACAGTTGGTTCGTTCATCAGTCAGTCATAAAAGTCGTGGCTGATTCTTGACCATGTATCGCCCCCTCTTCTATTTTTCACAGATCGAGCGATCTGGTCGACCTGGGTCGATGTTTGATGGATCGATCCATCAAGTAATCAGTTTATCGCTTTCTTGAGTCTTGTCATCAATCGCTGCAATGGTTGCTGCCGCCCGTGTTTGTCAGTATTGGCAGATTCCTGCTCGGCTTGAGGCAAGGATTTGGGGCTTCTGAATGTGAATCGGCGGCGGGTACCGCCATTCGCCGCCTTACCGTTGGTCGACTCGAGACGGGCGGCAGCTGCAGAGGCAGATACTCTATCGATGCCGGTCCAGAACAAGCGATCCAAAGCCTCGTTGCCAAAGATACGGCGTGCATTCTCGATTTTCCAGCCGTCTCGGGTGGCTAATTCCGTCACCTCACGCTGCCACTCGGCAATCTCGTCGCGGTAGCCACCATGTTCGGCTGTTTCGTTGCGGAGGACTTCCTCCCACGGTCGGCCGCGGTACTGGTATCCATACCATTCTTTAGCCCAGTGTGGTCGCACGGGCACCAGTGCCCCAGTCGCATCCCGGTAGTCGGTCCACTTGTCCAGGACCTTCTGTGCGTGCGCAGGCCAGATGTCCGCAACGTTGTGCAGGGTAAGAATCTCGATGGCGCATACGCCCAGCGGGTGTCCTCGTTGCGGCGCCAGTGTCACTTTCGAATCCGACATGATGCGCATCTCCAGTGGCATGCGTTGCGGAGAACTGTCGATGTCGCTGTAGCACGCGATGATCGCGTCCCACCATGCCCGCTGCACAATGCTTAGGTCGATCGTCTGCGTAGTTCGAAGAGCTGTGGGGGATGACTGCCACGTGGTTGACGAGGCAAGAGATGTCCTATGGATCTCCGGGTCTGTATCAGCATCGGTGTTGGTATCCGTCCCGGGTTCTGGCGTCACGCTCGTGGTGGACTGTTGGGGTTCAGAGTTGGTAATGCGTGGTTGTAACGGAATCTCGATCTCGAGATCGCGTACTCGAATGTTTTGCACACCTCGCTGGAAGTGGAGCGCATCAGGGATCCAAGTTTTGATAGGTTCGCCGTGGGGTCCGACGTCGTCAAGGTTCTTCATGGCTAGCCATGTGAGCAGCTTCGTCTGGGTTTCAGGGTACTTGTCGGTGATGTCCAATAGGATGGTGGCATTTTGGGCAAGCTGCATCATGAAGGTGCCAAAAACCTGTAGGACAGTTTTGATATTACTCGGGTAGTCTTTGGCGCCAGTCAAATCATCCGTCTTCTCCCAGGTGTTGACCCAGACGTCGCTCGAATACGGAAACCAGAACCACTCGGCGTAGAAATGGTTGATGGCACGATGTTCAAAGTCACGTTGCACCTCGGCAGCACGTTCCGGGCTCAGTGGTTCTTTAGGGCGTAGGGGAAGAGGGATATCAGTGTATTTGAAACCAGGAGGGGGCGGAATGGCCTCAACTACAGGGATTTTGCGTGGCTTCATCAAGGCGCATGCGAGCCTGTCGAATTCGAGGACGAGATGGGTGACAACTCCAATGAGGCCAAAACAACCCGCAGCTGCTCGGAGCATGGCTGGAGTGGACATGTCGATCATTCGCAAGACTCCATTGGCATCAACATATTCGATGGCTCGAACGAGATCGCTCAAAGTCGGGTTGTTGATGCCTGCACCATGGCTGTGGTAGATTCAGCTTTTTAGTCACGTAAGTTGATGGAGAGAAACATACCAGATGGTGGCATTACTACCGCCCATGGTGATCTCAACTTCGATGATTTGGCAGGGCAGGGTCACTTTGCCAGCATTGATGCACCACCTTCTCAACTGCTCGTTGGTTGTGGAGGTGCCGACACGAACATAGCGTTTTCCATTAGAGAGCTGAGGACCTTTGACGTAATTGTGGTCGACAAATACGATGGAGTTGAGGTCTTTGGCTTCTGGCTGGAAGAGGTCGGTTGGCAGTGAGGTAAAATTGGGTAAGAGGGTAGCATCGACGAGTCCGAGAGTTGATATGAGAATGTCCCCGTTGTTCTTGTTTTTGTGCTTGTGGGAACGGCCAAAAACAGGAGACCATGAATGACCTAGATGTCTGGTCAGAGAAGATTTGGGATGAGTAGGACAGGAGATCTTACGGAAGCCAGCCACGCGGACTCCCATCTTCTTGGCTTTGGCGTATTTGACAATCTCTGCAATGTCTTGGGCAGTCTTGGGCACACAAGTGACGGCAGGAGTATGCTTGACGGTGCGGCCATGGTTCTGAAACTCGAGATTTTTGAACGACTTTGACAGGTTAGCGAATGCCAGGCAAAGGATGGGGTCTGGAGGGAGGTTAAGCGCACAGGAATGTACAGAAACTCTTTGGGATCTTTGAGGGATGGGGCAATCTTGGCGATCAGCTTGTTGATGTAAGACGGAATGGCAGTGGGAAGGGCCTTGAGCAGGTTGGTGTGCTCTTCAAGGAGGTTCCTATCGGGGCCGGCGAGACTGACAAGGCCAGGGGTTTGCACGATCCCCTTTGGAGGCTTACGTGCTGCAAAAGGCGAGTACCTCTCGGCAGCAGCCTGGGCGTTGATCTTCCCATCAACGAAGTCGTTGACAATGACACGGAATTCGTCGTCATAGTCTCCAAGGAGGTGACTGTAGGTCGAGTCCTTCCTAGATTGTTTGAAAGCACGTAAGAAGCGTTGGACGAAATGCTCTTCGTCGACGGAGACATTTGAGTCAAAGTAGTCATCGATCAAGGAACGTAGGCCGGGAAGATCATTATCGTCAAACTGGTCCTTGAGACCGAGGACACACTCGGTGACCGAGGTCAAGGAGTTGTGAACATGATTGCCGTGGCGCAGACCTAGTTGGGTTATGAATGATAAGCGAAGTCGACGTCAGAGAGGAAAACAGTACCTGATTTCCGGGATTCCGTGGCCATTATTGCTGGATCCAAGTGTAAAACAAAGCTTCAATTGCTGTAGACTGAAGCATAGCGGACTCCGGCTAGCCTCCCAAGTCGATGGCCGACTGAAGAGGAGGTGCAAGAAATAGCCAGGTGATATATAACGGTCAAAATCAACAACAGCACGACCAAAACAGACGAAACAGGAATGAACAAACGAGAGCAGCAACAGGCCAGCAAGACAAGCAAGACAAAAAATACGGAGGCCTCAAAGCGAAAATGGAGCATAAAAGGTGAGCTGGACTCAACGGAGTAGGTGAAGGCGCTAATACTCGGCGGTGAGGTGGTAGAAATCGGGCCAAGCTCGCCCTCGTATGACGAGTTGGGATCTACATTTTGGGCAACAGGCCGTCCGTTCGGCAGCTTAAAACTCACATGATAACGTGGCTCATGTCGGGAGGAAGGATTGGCGGCATGGAATAATCAAAACAAATCCAATGAGTAAAGAAAATCAGGTGGCTGGCTGGTCGAATAGCGATGAGAATGAGGGAGAGAAGAAGCACTGAAGAGGTGGACATTTGAGATGTGCACCTTGCGGTCTTGGAATTGGTGCAAACTTGCAAAGCGAAGAGCCATGCATGGCCGGACCCTGGGGCTGCTTGGAATCCAGCTTGGTGACTTGCTGCTAACGAGACGATGCGTTGGCACCCGAGGCCTTGGGATGCGGTGATATTTCCAACCCAATGGTCATGCATGGTTATGCTGTTGGGCCCGCAGCGTGCAGCATTGTGCATGGAGCTGGTTACGCTTTGCAGAGGAGCGATGAGGAGCGATGAGGAGCTTTTGGCTGCCGAGGGACTGAAAGAGCCATGGTAATTGTTTTGTGGAGGAGGCGGGGAGGTGTAAGGGGTCAAAAGTTTACTAGGTAGTTAACTTGAGTACCTCCAGAAATAGAGTATGTACCTAACTTGAGCACGCAATGTCCCCTCGGTCCTTTCGTAGGGGGTCTCTGCCCTGGTGGTAAGGACCAAGATTGAGGAACTGGCGTATGTCATACGTGCATTAGGTTGATGTGGTTGATGGGTCGTCCAAGGAGGATAAAAAGGAAGAAGAGGATGCGAAGCCTGCGCCCCAGACGGACGGCAGGTACCAACACCGTTCCTTCCCAAGTTTAGGTAGATTAGGTACTCGTTTCAGGGAAGGAGCCTAATTTATGCACCAAGTATGTCATCAGCCATCTGGTAGAGCTATCAAAAGAAGAAGAAAATCAATTGCATCAGCTTGATCATTGCATTAATTTGCACCAACATGGCTATACCTCAATATGTTCTCCTTCTTGCTTGCAAGTGTTGTACATTGCATCAAATTCAAGTCAAGAAACCTCCCACGCTAAACAACGGCCTCGGTGACTTGTCTTATGCTCACTTGGATGCTGGAGCCACCCAGGTCACGAGATCCTCCCAGAACAGTGAGTAGTCAGTACCTCTCACACAAGCCCATCCGCCCACGCAACATTGACAGATCAGATAACCTCCAGATGTCCTTATAGGGAATTCTCCAGTTCCATTGCTTCCTTCAGTAACCCTTGGTACTTGACCACATCCTCCTTGCTGGGTCGGGGAAGAGGTCGTCGTGCATATCCTCCATACCCAAAATAAGACTCCAATCCACTTTTGGTCCCTGTAACACCGCCCGTGATGACAGCCCAGTCTCCTCGCGCGACCACCGCCTGCAACTTTTGTGCTTGCTCCACCTTGCCTTGAGCGTACAGATCATATACCTTGACGCATGCCTTGGGCACGATATTCCCCAATCCCGTGATGATACCTGACCCTCCTGCAATGAGCGTCTGAAGAGTAAAGTCGGCTGAGCCTCCCAATGCCAGCCACCCAGAGTTAGGCTCTGATGGCGTCGCTGCATTCACCGCATGTGCGATCCGGTTGAGCTTGCCCGTATTGCCACAGGTCAATTTGCAGCCTACAATCTTGGGGTGCCTGGCCAGTTGGATGATAGTGTCAGAGTCCAGATCCACCCCAGCCACCGCTCCAGGATAGTTGTAGATGAGAATTGGGATCGGCGAGCCATCGGCGACGCCCTCAAAGTAGTCGATCAAACACTGTTGAGTATATGCTGACTTGTAGTACGAGGGTGGCAGCACCAGCGCATAGTCTCCTCCTGCCCGATAGGCGTCTTGACACAACTCAATGGTTTCGCGGACCGACTGGGCGGCGGTGCCGACGACGATAGGAAATTCGGTGAAGCCAGCTTCGTCAAGAGCCTTGCGGACTGTGCTGGTCACCAGGATTCGTTCTTGCCTGGTCAGATGCACAGCTTCACCATTGGAACCCTGCGTGGTGACGGCGGTCAACCCTGCCTTTGCCAGTCGGACTGCATGTTTGGCCGTGGTTTCGACATCCACATCCTCGGTATCTGGATGGAAAAATGCAACCAACGGTACATTGATTCCCGGTCCTAAAGGCCGGATTGGGTGATGGCCATTCATCGGGCGAGAATTATCCAATCAAAGATGACGTAATTGGCGATGCCGTGAATCTTGGATTTTGGACTTTGGACGATGCAGCAACCAGGGCTAGGGATAATTTTTGCCACGAGATCACGACACCTCACAGAGAATATAAATGTGCTTTGGAAGAAATGTCGGGGTAAGAAATCAAACCAAAGGACGAAAACACGGGGAGACAGCGGTATATAAATCAAGGTGTGACCCAAACTCTCAGCCGGTCAGTGTGCCGAGTATCAGAGCCTGGCGCCGCGGTGATTCGGGAAGAAGAGGTATGGCCTCAGCTGGTCCATCAATATCATCATCATCATCATCATCATCATTACACGAAAATACACCCGACCAGAGGTGACTCCTCACCAATAGCCCATCCCCGGACACCTTGTCTCCTCACCTCGTGGCTCGAGTCGGAACTTGTGAAGGGGAGACTTTGGGGCAAAGAGCCCCCTTGGCCCCGCAACGTGTGGAGGCGTGGGGTTGCAATTCACTTGACTGTAACTCACTACTTCCTCACGCTACTGTAGGTTAGTAGTAATGGTAGTTTGCATGGTCGCATGGTCGCACGATGCCCGACGACCTTCGACTGAGTATTAAGCAGCTCTCTGATTCCGGCATTGGATTAGGAAGGAACAACCTGGGAAAGTTCATGACTGGTTGGAAGCCACGAGGCCACAAGCCAACGCAGGCACGATGCAAGCAACCAGAGAGGCTGTACCTGAACCTGGCCTGAACCTGAGCCTGAGCCTGCGCCTGCGCCAACTTCTGTTCAATGATATTTGCCCGATCATCCACAAAACATCCACCACCAACCATCCTCTTCTGATCAGGAGACGTCTTCAAGATAAGGGTTCAGCTCCAGTCGTTCAACTAACTAAAACTACCCAGACAGCCAGACTAACCAAGCTCGATAGGTTGTGCCCGTTTCTTGAACCCCCCCTATAACTCCACAAATCAGACAGACACTGCTCCAGCAGAATTGGACGCTTCTCCAGTTTCTTCCGATGATCCCTGCCAACTGTTACCCATACGTAAACGCTGAAGACACTGCTGCCTCTTCCCTCACAGGACCCCCATGGTACTTTCCTCCATCTCCCACATTCCTCCTCACCGTCACTCAACCAATCTCCCTTCTACACATCAAAATCCCTCAAAATGGACACCCACATGACTCTCAATCATGACCCTGTGTCACATTGCTACAATGCCGTGGCAGCTGAAGTTCCAAAGCAACACTCTTAGAGGGTCAAATTCCTGCGTCCCGACGAATCATCTCATGTACAACAAGCCTCTCACGGTTACCGGCACTGTGGCGAACGTGGGGTTAATGGGTCAGTCACCCCCTCCATTTACCCCCACGCTCAAACCGTGCAAAGAATCCCCGGCGCTCTGTCCGGGCGCAGATCAACCACAGCGACCTTCCCTGCGCCAGTCCAATGAATCAGTGATACAGTGGTCCCTCGACCCCAGAGTGTCTCCCAGCTGCTTTGAGTCTCACGAACAATATGCAGGTAATCAAGACCAAAATAACACAACTAGCCCTGGCGCCGTCGCAACAATTCGGAGATGGGTATGTCGTCTTCATCATAAAACTCAATATCCTCGTCCACGCCAAAGTCCTTGAGCCGATTGCCTCCTGTGTCTTGCCATCCCTCTTCTCCACTTCCACTTTGGCTCGCAGTGTCTGCGTCTTCCTCCTCGTCCACTGCGTCTTTCAAATCCGGGTCATATCTTTCGTGGAATGGTCGACGCCGCTGGATCCCATAGTAGTCTGCTCTCTGCTGATAATCATTCTGTTGCCTCCGCTTGAAAGCTTGAATCTCCTGTTCTGAGGTCAAGTTGCTGCCTGAATAAACAAATGCATCATCACGTCCGTAGTCGCGTTCCATCCGAGGCATCCTGTCTGGATCCGGCGGGGGCCAAGTGATCCCTGCATCTTCAAATCCATTCTCGTCAAATTCAAGTCCATTTGTGCGTGGAGTGGCCGACAACGGCCAGAACCAGGCAATCACATTGCGACTTCCCATCCCCTGCACAATGTTGCTCCATATACCAATGTCGTACGGAAACTCTTGTCGCACAATCGCAACTCGAACGCCGTCTGGTCCGTCTAAATAACCCCCAAGCACCCGAGCACGCCGAAGCAGTTGTTCGTGCCGTTCAATCTCCCAACTCTCAATTGTAGTCACATTGCCCCCAAGGCCCCACACTGTTCGGGCGAATGTGATGCCAACCAGGAACAGTGTGATCGAATTGACAAGAAGGAGGATGAGGAGAGCCACAAGCTGGCTCACCGAGGGGCCGAGATACTGGAAACTGCATTAGCCTAATGTCGTCAATCATGTACCAACCAGCCGTACACTCGGGAGATGGCGATTCTGCCATATGACCTGGGCTCGCAGAAAGAGCAAGTACTCCAGATATGCCATCGACGCCACCGCATACCAAAGGAAACGCATGAAATGGGGAAATGTAAAGTGAGATACGCAATTCGAAGTCCACGGACAATGATGGTCCATCTTTGGAATGCAGCTGGCCAGAGTCATGTTGATCAGTACTGGCATATAAACACATGACACCGACATACCGTTGGCACACCTTGCAATGATGCGATCGAGGTGCCTTGACTGCGTTACATTTTCGGCAATACCGCCTCCTTGGCCCTGGATGTTTGCCAGCGTCAGGGGACACTGGTTTCCAGTCGGGCGGTACTTGTCCTGGACTCGTTATGCAGGCACGTGCATACGATATCCAAATTCCTATCACCATCAAGTTGAAACACCATGTTTGTTGTGTATCCAATGGTCCCGGGTCCATCCGGGGGAACAGAAGCTGTGATCCATATGACAGAAATGCAATCAAGACTGAAACCACAGGCACCGCAAGCTTGGATAAAGTCCCCTTCTGCATGGCGAGTCCCCGCTACCCGCGTTGAATATCTGGCTTCTGGTTTATCAAATTTGTCATGATAGTTGCCTCATCGTCATCATCTTCTTGGTCAGTAATAAGTAGTTGCTGTGCAAGGCAAGAGTGTTGGTGCGAGACATGAGGCTCTTTCCTTGTGATGCTCACCTGATAAGAAAGGGAAGGTTCAGCGCCTAAATTTATCCGAACTTCAACCGCTGAGTCGACGCGTCAACGAAAGACCGCGTCTCATCTCAACATCAATCCACCATCATCAATGTCGCCCAGGCCGTTACATTGCCGCTGTTGACCAGTATTTACTTCGATGGCCGGACGATGCCCATCGAAGCTCTTCCAGAGAGCACCTCACGTGCCATTGGCTCTACTCTAGTACTCGGAGACGCCAGGTCGGTCGTGAAAGAGCTACTTGATAATGCACTCGATGCTCAAGCTACCTCGATCAACATTGAAATCTCGACTAATACCCTCGACGTAATCCAAGTCCGTGACAATGGAACTGGGATCGCAGCCCAGGACAGACCTCTCCTTTGCAAGCGTGGTTGCACCTCCAAGATCCGCTCCTTGAATGATCTGAGCCGGCTTGGAGGAACATTTCTAGGCTTCCGTGGCGAAGCTCTTGCGAGCATTGTCGAATTGAGCAAGGCCGTCATCATAACCTCTCGTCTACACGGAGAAATGGTGGGTACGTCTCTAGAGTTTGATTCCTCGGGCACCTCAAGGTAGGTCCATCTCGCTTACTCCCCTGAACTCGTGGTCATAACCGCATCAGTTCGTCATCAGCTTCTCATCCACTCGGTACAACTTTCCGTGTTCAAAATTTCCTCCAGGAGATCCCAGTCAGAAGGCAGACTGCCTTGAAACATGCAGCCCGGACGTTGCAGTCGGTCAAAGCCATGCTGGCAACTTATGCTTTTGCCCGTCCACGTGTCAGGTTCTCCTTCAAAGTTCTCAAAGCCAAAAGTGACCAGGCCAATTGGACTTATGCCCCTGGACCCAAAGATACTCTACTGGACATTGCATCGAAAGTCGTTGGGAAAGAGATCGTGTCAAGCTGTACTATAGAATCGGCCAAGGACGAGAGCCTTGTCGATTCGGAGAATGGCTGGGAACTTGAAGCATTGCTTCTTTTGCCAGGCACGGGTGGGTGAAAGTCGCTACAAATATTTGGTAATGTCGCTGACCCGTGCAGACAGCAAATCCCGGAATCTCGGTAGCTACATCTCGATCGACGGTCGACCTGTGGCTTCAAATAGGGCAACGATCAAGGAGATACTCAAAATCTACAAAAGATATTATCAAGCTACTATTTCTACCTCATCCAACCTCTCATCTTCGAAGCTCTTCATCTTCTTACGGATAAATTGTCCTCCGGAGAGTTATGATGTCAATATTGAACCCGCAAAGGATGAAGTCCTATTCTTCAATCCTAGTCGCCTTCTCTCTTTGTGCGAGGCCTTGTTCCAAAAGGTATATGGCCGACTCAAAGATCGAGAGGTTGACTCCGCACTTAGCTCTCAAGATCATTCGACAAAGCCAACGAAGAATACCATGCTTTCTATCGCTGGACCACAGGGGCTATCAGGACATCCGACCATATTTGAGATACCAAGCACCCCCGCAGCTGACTCTCCCATTGACCAAGGAGTCATGTCCGGTCCCTTCACAATCGCAGCCATGAAGAACAGAGTCTTGCCATCAAGCAACGACACTGCACAGCACGAGAGATCATGTAATCTTTCAAGCAATAGATTACCCGACGATTTCAACAATGAAGATGCCCGCTTACCGACCACTCGAAGAACCAGTTTAACCGAAATTCAACCACCTCAAGTCTCACAACTACTATCACCCAGCCCTTCTCCAATCATTGAATCACGCTATCAGAATCCAGGGCCCCCGATGAGACGCAGAGCCAGAGCCACGAGTGGTGTTGAACCTCAAGATTCTGATTCACCACATCAGCAGGCAACATCTCAATCATCTTCACGGAGAACAGTACTACAGGCGTGGCTTACGCCACAAACACAAAAGCGCCGTCCTCCACTACCGAGCCCGACAAGGTTGCCGATCTCCGGAAGCTCTCGTGGCCTGAGCGATCAACACGATAGCATTTTGGGATCACCAGAGCCCACAGAAAATCAGAGGACGCTTGCAAATGAGGTTCTTCATGTTGGTCAAAGGCAGAAGCCCTTCGTAATTCCATTCAAGGCATCATCGGCTGGTCTTGCTCGGGAACAAAGTACAGCTATGACGGCCATCTCACCAGCGGATAGTTCTCAGCTCATCAATGAGACCACATCAACCGGTTCCCCAAGCGAGCAAAGTGAGCCTTCACAGAGGAGGCTATCGCTGCCCCTGACACAGCGTACTGTTCAAGATAATACCGAGTTACAAGAGATTATGGATTTCGAGCACAGAAAGAAAGCGGCGATCGCATATCAACGGCGAACAGCGCTCGGTCAGCCACCCAAACCCATCTCTGACGTTTTGGGGATATCTCGCCGGGGTGGTGAGTGGGAGAGCATCGCGTCTGAAGAACAAGCGTCAAGCTTGCAACGCACAAATGTAATGACTGCAGATCAAGATGCTTTCAACGAACGCTTTGGTCAACCACAAACGCGGCCATCGAAATCTCCTCAACCCCGAAGCCGACATACTCCAGTGAACATGGGCAGCTCGATGTTGACACCACGATTCGAAAGCGTACAGCAAGATTCCGATCACCTCACACCAGCCAGGAGCCCATCTCCAGTATCATCATTCCTCTCGTCCAATGATCCCAGAGCATACTTGATACGCACACGACAAAGGTCCACAACCAACAAGGCTTGCCGGATTAAGTCAACGCAGCTTCCTCTTGAAACCATACCCGATGAATGGTCGACACTCCCGCTGACATGCACTGTTGAGTTAGAGGAGGGCGTCGACTCGATCAAAAACCTCGTGCAACTCCTAACGACGGTTGATACGTATGTGAGCCAAGGCGCGAATACATATGTCCAGTTCCCGAAACTGGACAAAGCACAAGACTGGCAAGAGAAACTGCGTCAGATGATCACGACGCAATATCACAGTCAAGATGGAGGAGATATGAGGACAATATCGAAAAGCCTTGCAATTTCTCTGACGATCATGGAGGAGTGACCAGCCCTTTGTATCTCATGCATGAGTGACTGCACTTTGATTTACGTTTTCGTTTTGTCTGGATGACCGAGTTTAGTCTTCCACGGAGCATGTACGAAAGACACGACGAGATGAGCTACACCACACTATCTGGAGATGTCAACGGAGATGACCATTTATGAGAATGGTTCAAGGAGTCAGTTTTGAAGGTTAATTTGCAATCAGTTCTCCCAAGCGATAGAGAGTAGCATTGTGATACTGATATATGTACAAACATGATATTCGACTAGAATCAAAACTTGACCTAGGCTACCCTCATTGACCTAAACCATCCTCACCCTCACCCTCACCCTCCACCCCTGCCAATCCCAATCCCTTCAAAACCCCAACCGCATCATCCACCCTCCCCACCGGCACAAAGAGATGATCATGATAATACGCACTGACGGGATTACAACTAATACCCTTATCCGCCAGAACACGTGTCAAAACGGCCAAAAACCCCACTGCCTCGAGACTCGAATGCACTGCACAAGTGATCATACGGCTCTCATATTGGTAGGGAAGTTTGTGAGTCAGCGCTGTTTCTAGCGTTGTGATCAATGTTGTCGATGGGCCGTGGTCGGGCGTCGCCGGTTCGTGGAATGTCATTATGGTGGAGGAGAGCGGGATGGGTATTGGTGAGTCTGTTGCAATGGGGATGGTGATCCAGACATATGTCGATGGTGCAACGGTAGTGCGTAGACTGCTCAGGAGTTTGGATAGATTTGTTTCTCCTATGCTGTTGGAGGTGGCGGTCATTTTTGACGGTCTTGTTGGATCTTGTTACTAGAGGAAAAGTGTTGATAGGTAATGGTCTTTTTGTGTATGTTATTGATCAAGATATGTATGTTGCTGTTACCTACCTACCTTAGTGTATTCATCTTCCATAGACTTTTCCTTTGTCGTGCCTTGTGAATGTCACAAGGCGCCTCGGGTTGACTTAAAGCGTAGGTTTTAAGTAGCAACTTTAAGTGCTCCAGCTTACTTACTTGGTCCCTCGGCCCCCTCGGCCTCAGAAATAAGACTGCAGCACCTAAAGCTAGGCGCCTCGCGCTTGGATCTAGGTATTATATCCCTCCAGCATCTTCCTGCTTTCTAGAGCTACCTACTTAGCAAAGTCAAGTCAAGACCTCGATAATTGTCCTCATTAATGCTATCATTACCTAAGCTGTGCTGCTTCTCCTCGGAGACTTCAACATCTTCTGCCACCACCGTCTCTTGGGCTTGAATTCTATATATCGTTTAACTCCTCCACATGGCCCTGGCTGCCAGTTCACACCTTGATTGACTGTTTCCGACTTGTTCCCACTTGTCGGTTGCCTGAAGGATCCACGAGTAGCGACCATAGTTTCATGCACCCACAGACGAATTTGATTCAATTTCTCCTCTTCCGAGATCAACTTGTCTTGATAAACCACAATGTTGCTGTATTCCGGTTGTCGGCCACATGTGCATTCGCAAGGTGGTTTCACCGCAGTGTTGTCTCTTTGCTCTGGTGTCGAGTCCACCCAACCAATGTATTCGTCCGCAGGAACGTCCAAGGCTGGGGTATGAAATCCTCCAGGAGACTGACGTTCATTTTGACAAGTCGAAAAATTACCAATGATCTCGAAATCTCCGCCACAAGACACCCATCCAACATATTCGTCACCTATCAAGTTCGGTGTCGGTTTATAAAGAGGGTTATGGAGACGGGGTGCGGCCGAACAGGCCATGTTGGCACCAGGCGACAGGAGCCGACCGAAAAAATTGCGAACCAGTCAAGAGGTTTGATATGTGTAAATACGGGGACTGTGTAATGGCTAGGAGGAAGAGGCAGTGTAAATTCGATCAAGTTATCGTGACACTGGAGCCCAACGTGTCTGCAAAAGAAAGGAACGGGTGTGGGTTGTCCGCCAGAGGTATATCGAAACGACTGCTATTCTGATGCTGATATGCAAATGCTCTGCTGTGGAATCTTTCACTCCAACTGATGCTGGATTGATGCTGAATGATGAAGGGGGATGGGATTGAACGTAGGAGAGATGTTGCGGGAAATGAACCAGAAAAGTTCAAGCCTGAGGGTGGCAACGAAACTTGCAAATGCAGGCACGACTGTGGACGTAAGGTCAACAGCTCCAAGGAGACTTCCTTCTGGTTTTCTGCCAACAGCTTTTGGAGCCATGGACCAACGTTCATCGATGCGACTCGGCTCGAATGAAAACATTCTGGTGGGTTGGTGACAAATGAAGACGACGACACTTGATGCATTTTCAACCCTTTGTGTCATCCGACTAACAACTGAAATGGTCATGTTATTAATATGTGTGGAATTTGACCCAGCATGCCTAGAATCCAGCTCATACATCTCGAGGATATTGCTCCACGGAGACTTGATCCTCTTTGGGACGGTCGAAATAATGTGTGACCTCTTCACCATCCCATTTTGCTGTGAATTGAGCCTGGACCACTCTTCGAGGAGGTGCCTGAAGAAGATAGTCCTTGATCGAGGGGGCAGGGAAGAGATAATGCAGAGCAGAAAAGGTGAGTGCAGATATGGTCGTGCCGACCAGAAAGCTGACATAGTACAATCGAGTCCAGCCGATGGAAACTGTGACACCAGAATTGACTGCAGATACAAAGCCGGGCATCGATGGCCAAACACCCATCGCCCACTGTTGATGACGGTCAGTATCATTTCCTGCAACGGGGGCTAGGGATGAATCATTAGTAAATCACACTTACCGCAACAGGAGCTCGCCAGTTGACGCCATAGCTGTACCAATAAATGCTCGAGCGGTTGCCAAGGTAAAGGTCATCCACCTTGATCTTTTGTCGGTTGACAACATAATAAGAGGAAATCATCAACCCAATCATAGGGCCCAGAAAGACGGAATAACTTGACAAGACCTGGAGGAAAGTGGATGCGGTGGCCAACAATTGCCAGGGATTGACGACTGATGACAGTAGCGCGGTGATATATGCGCCTCTCCGAATGTTGATAAAGGTTGGAAAGGTGGCAGCAAGATCAAAGCCGCCGGACAACGCATTTCCAGGAATGTTGATTCCCCATTGAGAGATGATCATGGCAACGCCGGCAAAAAAACCGGCAGCACGAGACCGAGAGCCTCCGTCATGCATCATGGCAATCATCAAGTCAGGTAAACTCCAGATTGGCTCGCCATAGCGTCGTTGTGTGGCGGCAGTGACGAGGATGCCAATGACAGAGCTGATGATAGAGTAAGGAGCAGCGGCGGCCAGTTGACCATACCAAGCACTTCGAGGCCTGCGAGCGAATCGAGCATAGTCGGCTTGATTGAGAATACCAGCAGAGATTCCTCCAATCGCACTGATGATGGCATAACAGATGGACCAGCCAGTTGATCGATCCTGGATAGCCGGACGGCTGGTAATAATGCTTCCAAAGCCTTCCATGGTAGCGAGAGCCCAAACCAATACGACAAAGAAGAAAACAAAAATGCTGACGACACCAGCCCAGAGTAACTTTTTGAGCTTGTGAGGTCTAATGTAGATCAAGGGAAGAGAGATGACGGAGAAGATGATATAGGTCATGAAAGTGGCGGTGGTGAGGCCGGTGGCGTGAATGTGGTTGGGGATGCGCTCCTCGAGATTAGGCCAGATGGCTTCCAGACAGACATAGACACAGCGACCACCGATCCATGCTTGAACCGAGTACCAGACCAGAGACAGGAGGATACGGTTGTAGATGACAAAGGAACTGCCGTACATGCCCCAGACATATCGATTGAGCACGGGGAATCCCAGGTGGTAGTATGCTCCGGGTAGGGAGTTGAAGATGATGAAGCTGGCTGAGATGATTGCGCCGACGATGATAGCGATGATGGCTTGCCACCATGTAAGACCCAAAGCGATCATAGAACTTCCCACCATATAGGTCGAGATGTTGGTATTTGTCAGGACCCCTGATAGAGGATGAGACCTGAATCAGCATTTACTGTATAGACTCATAGTATGAAGTGGATACTTACACAAGTTGTGGAACGCCCAGAAATTCCAAGTACGGCGTTCCTTTTCAATGGGCCGAATATCATTATTGATCCATCGACTAGGAACAGTACCACCATCATGAGGCACTTGGAGCTTCTTGATGAGCCGCCGAAGAGACATGGCTGCAATAGAAGTCAAGCGGCTCTTCACGTCGATGAGGTAAAGAGATGGGAAAGTAAGTGGTCAAACTCAGACCATATGAAAGACATACATACATACATACATACTTGTTCGAGATAAGGACCAGCGCATCGAACAGTACGAGCAACTACCTAGTACTGTACTTGGGTGGTGAAAGTGCCAGGAATTAAGACCCCAAGGTCCCTTGTACCCACCCTTCCATGCTCTCTCAGCCCCATGCTTTAACCACTACGGTGAGCTGACATGCCTGGCATTGGCTGGTCAAATCGTCAATTGGCCCCCATTGGCGGTAGATTGGATAGACATGGTGGCCTGGGTCGAGATAGACTCTCGGGAATGGGAGTTACGGTAGGGGGAACCAGTGAAGGCCTTCCCCGGTTTGATGATCATTTGCTGCGAGGACGCTTTGTCCTTTGCCGAAAGAGGGGGGATATGTGCTGACACATGGCCACTATCTTATCACTACCGAGTATTGTCTTGGATATCCTGGGCGCTGAAGCTTGAAAAGTACCTAATAATGTAGCTTATTGGATCCATCGTACTTATTCAAGGGTCCATTTGAAGCCCATGTCGCACCGTTGAACAAGCTGACAAACAGGCGTCCTTGGCTGCATTGCAGTCCATGATCCAGACTCCTAGAGCCTTCTGTGTGTTCACACTTTTCCTTGTCCCTCCAACTGGATTTGGTAATAAGTCGCTTCCATGCGTATTTGTATGGCTATGTGTAGGGACTATTCTCCTCGTACAACTGTTCATAGCGTATTCCCCATGCAGACACAAGCACTGCATTTTCTTGTTAAAGATTTAGTGTCTGACACCAATCATGCCATGCCCAGTCAATGCTACCAGATGTATTTCTATAAGCAGTGAGGATCTGCAAGATGTTGTGATTAGATCAGTAGCACCAATTGGGTAGTTGGTCTATTTCAGAGATGGCCTTGCATTAGATTTTATATCAGCTAAGTATTACGACCGACTTGATTGCTTGCTATCGTGGCATGAATGCTTCATGCATCCTTGTTCACCATTGTCTGGATCACCTGGTTCTGTGTCTTTGTGTTTCTGTGTTTTCCCATCACGTGTTGCCCTGTCTACTTAATATTCCCATGAGATCAAGACAATTTCAGCTGCCAAATTTATAAGCCTCCAGAATCCTCCACAGTGCCAACCATATGAAAGACTCCCATGGTTGTCTCTTTCTCATCTCTGTTCTTTTCAGGGCCTCCAGGGTTCACTTTGATGTCATTGGGCATCTTCCATGGGTGGGAAACCTGAAAACATCTATCATCGCTGCACAGGACCTGTGAGTGAAGTTATAATATGAACCTCTCAGCACGACTGGTACGTCCAGAGAGAGGGGGGGGAGAGCCTGTGTGTGAGGAACTCCCCAACGGGAAATATCGAAGTGTTGGCCCCTAATGAATCTCACGTGATCATCATACTCACGTGATCATCATTCTGGTCTCAAGAGGCGGAGACGGGCATCAGTTTTGGCCCGAGGGGCCCAATGCTGTCGCTCTTCTAATTAAATGATCAACCCCCAGACTGGCATCCCACCGACATCCCCAACCCCCATCTCCATCTCCAGCTCCAGTCAGTTGAGAGAATGGGTACCAGCCAAAGCAAGCTTTCGGCCATTACCCACGCTCAAAGCCAACCCTGAATCCTTGGTCAGAATGTTCTTACTCATTCCTTTGTCATGGTAGTTCTGCCTAAAGTGCAGACAGGATTGCAAATACCTTGCTCTGCACGCACAAGTCCGACGAAAGTCATCCTGACGAACGAATGCTCCTCCAAGCTCATTCCACACAAAGTCATGACCGAGAAATGCTAAAAAGGCGGTGATACATTATCAATCTGAGTCTCGCCCTGGGTGGCGGCATCACATGTGCCAAGTAAGGCACCTTCCTTGTTGGGAAGGACGAGATAGTTGTAAGTACCTAGATATTCTTCTTCCCGCGCTCCAGCAACGAGACCCTATGATCCATCATCTCTTGCTTCCCGTCAGCGCTCTCGTGTTCTCTGTTGCGGGTAGTGACAGCCGCTACAATCGCATCTGAGCGCCGAGGTCTGCTGGGACCTGAAGCCTTGGACTTTATCAGTCCCCGGACAATGTTTTGCATTGGAGTTGATGTTGGCGGCACCAATACTGATGCTGCCATCATCGATCTCAACAAGACAGATACTGCATCGCGTGGCGTTCTGGCCACGTGTAAGACCTCAACAACTCCCAATGTGACCAACGGTATCAAGACTGCAGTCGAGCAGATCCTGGAAACCTCCAAGGTCGACACACGCAACATTCTGAACGTCGCGGTCGGCACCACCCACTTTGTCAATGCCGTCGTTGAGAACGATGCTCGAAGACTGAGTCGTGTGGCGGTCTTTCGCTTATGCGGTCCTTACACACGGAAAGTATGTGTTCAACGGCCGCTTGTTTTCTTCGGCTGTGATTGTACCATTAAATATTTCATGATTATTTCGCATCCGGCTCCATTCTGACCATTTGAAGATCCCTCCCTTTTCCGACTTCCCCTACGCACTGAGAGACATCATCGCAGGCCCTTGCTTCTACTTGGATGGAGGACTAGAGATTGATGGGCGGGAGATTGCTCCTCTCAACGTTGAACAGATCAAAGCCGCCGCAGAAGGAGTTGCACAAGCAGGAATCAAGTTCATAGCCATCATCGGCGTCTTCTCCGCTCTTGACCACGCCGGCATCCACGAGCGGCGATGCAAAGATCTCCTGAAAGATTTTCAGCCTCAGATATCTGTGGTTTGTTCTCATTCCATTGGTGGTTTGGATTTTCTTCCTCGGGAAAACGCCACCATCCTCAATGCTTCCATTCTGTCCTTCGCCAGAAAGACTGTCAATGGTTTTCGACGAGCCATGTCCAATCTCCAACTCACAGCTCCACTCTATTTGACACAGAATGATGGAACACTGCTGGACGCCGCTGTTGCCGCCGAGCTCCCCATCAAGACCTTTGCCAGTGGCCCCACCAACAGTCTGATAGGGGCGGCTTATTTGCAGGGATATGGCTATGCGGATCAGCGCATGTCTGACTCCCAGATCCTGGTGATTGACGTCGGCGGGACCACGACAGACATCTGTGCTCTCCTACCCTCTGGCTTCCCCCGTCAGGCTCCCAATTTTGTCGAGGTTGGGGGTATCCGCACGGCCTTTTCCATGCCCGAAGTCCTTTCAATTGGCCTCGGAGGCGGAAGTAAGGTCCGACAGATTCATGGAACTAATAAAGTTTCTGTTGGTCCGGATTCTGTGGCACATCGACTCACAACTGACGCTTTAGTCTTTCAAGGAAATGTGTTGACCTCGACTGATATCATGGTCGCCGCGAAAGCTGCAGACATCGGCAATCCTACTCTAGTGGCACACTTATCAGAAGACATCATCACAGAAGCAAAGATAGCCATCACAGCTCAGATAGAGAGAGCTATTGACAAGATGAAGGTCTCATCCGCCCCTGTAACTGTCATCCTGGTAGGAGGCGGATCGTTTCTTGTCAACGAGCCTTTGCCCGGGGTGGACAAAGTATTACGTCCACCACATCATGACTCGGCAAACGCGGTAGGTGCTGCAATTGCCAAAGTGGCTGGCGAGGTGAGCATGATCGAAATTTTGGCCAATGTCACCGAGGAACATGCCATCGAAAAGGCAACCCAAGCCGCAGTAGACGCAGCCGTGACCAATGGAGCCAACGCGGAAGACACCAGAGTCGTTGACATCACCAAAATCCCCCTGCAGTATGTCTTTAACAAGGCCACGAGAATCGTCGTCAAAGCTGTCGGCAGCCTTGCCGTGAACCAGTCCTCAGCTGAGCATGATCATGAATTCTCAATCAGTGACACCTACTTGGACGACGACACTGAGGAACAGGTGGAGGTCGACAAGGCCGAAGTGACTTCTATCATCCGCGGCAGCTTGATGAAACCGTGTCTGGATGTGGATCTGGTAAAGTATCGACCCGAGGTGAGGAATGGAGTGTGGATGATTTCGCCCGTGGACGTCGAACTCATTGCCTCAGGCGCAGGAATCCTCGGCACTGGTGGTGGAGGTTCGCCATATCTGATGGCACTCTATACTCTGGACATACTTCGTCGAGAGGGCAAAGGAAAAATCCGGGTCATCAAACCGGAGTCCTTGGATGACAACAAGCTCTGCGTCTTTGGGTCTGGCTATGGTGCACCATCGGTCAGTAACGAGAGGCTGGGTTCTGGTCATGATGTGTTCCTTGCAATTGAATCATTGAATGAAATGTTGAAAGTTGACGACTTCCAAGGCGTTGTGGCTGATGAAATAGGAGGCGGTAATGGGATCGTGACCTTTCCCAGCAGCGCCAGATTTGATCGACCGGTGGTGGACTGTGACCTTATGGGAAGAGCATATCCCACTCTCGAGCATTCTACCCCACACGTATATGGAGCTCCTGTGGCGCCGTGCGTTATTTCGGATTGCAAGGGGAATTCGGCGCTTATGTTGGTGAGTGGTTCCCTAATGAGATGGCTGGTAACAAGGTGGGGCGCCTTGCTCACTCTCATTTCAGCATGCGGAAACAAACACGCGGCTTGAAAGCATGGTGCGCAAAATGTGCATCGAGCTGGGCAACTCCACGGCGCTCGCAACGTGCCCGCTCAAGGGAGAAATCATCAAGAAATATGCCATTCCCAATACCGTTTCGCAAGCATGGTACCTTGGGCGAGCTGTGCGGATGGCGCGGCAGAACAAAACCAATCTGATTGATGCCATGGTAAGTCGACCATAAATCAAATTATCTTCCAGGTTCGGCTGACTGCAATTTGTGCCAGGCCGAGATCTCACCAGTCACCCTCCTATACAGGGGCAAGATCATCGACGTGAGCCGCGACGTGTCAGGAGGCTACACAATGGGACGTTGTGTGTTGGGACCTCTATCGCAGGATGAAGACGACTATGCCATTGAAGAGAGAGATACTGCGAGAGGAATGTCTCCTAAGTCACGCGAGACACGGCATCTCGTCATTCCTTTCCAAAACGAATATCTGTACGCTGCGTACCTGAGTCCGACCGGATCAAGCTCGCCACAAGAAGAACAGGTTGTGGTGTCAATGCCAGATCTGATTTCAGTTCTCGATAGCGATGGTGAAGCGCTCGGGTCTCCGGATCTGCGATATGGGTTGAAGGTTAGTGTAATTGCCATGCCGGCTCATCCACTTTGGACAGACGACCCTCGAGGGTTGAAGATTGGAGGCCCAGAGTATTTCAAGCTGGGGTTTGAATATTTTAGAGATCCACAGGTCCTGATGGACTATCGTAAGCCACGGAGCGTTATTGATGAGTTTGATGTCAGAGATGAATTGGCTGCTGGGAACGTCGGATGAGGAGGATAGAGCCTAATGATAGAGCCACGAGTTAGAGATCTAGAGTGTGTATGCAGTTGTGATAGAGCGCAGTCCCCTGGGGTTGAGACTTACAAGACTCTGCTTATAATCCAGCCTCGTCTGTGCGGGGAAGTCACCCGCGTTTATCATTCGGAGAATTTATTTCATGTTGTTGGACCTCTTGATCATTTTTCTCACAAAAACCACAACCACAACTCCGACGAGAACGAGGGGGAAACTCTGCTCAATGAGAAGTTAGTCTTGAAGTGTGTGAAACCCTGGAAAGATGGCTGCGGAGAGTGGAATTCCAGTGCCCAAACCGGGCCAAGGAGAACCTATTGTCTTCTTTGACATTACCTTGGGAGGTGAGTTTAGCGCTGGACACCAAAGCCTGGCTCCTTTTGATTACGAAGCATGGTGCAATGGAGAGAGAGAGGAAGAGATTTGAAGTTGGCTGGATCAATTCAATGGGGGCCTGCGCACCTTCCAAAACAATTGCGACATTGCCATCGCCTTCGCTCTTTCCTGCCCTCACATTGCCATCAGGCTCGGCAACCACGTCTCCCACATTCGATATTGCTTCATCCGCGCCCAGTCCTAACCTCTTCTCAGGTGAACCATTGGGCCGAATCAAGATGCATCTCTTCTCCAACACTGTGCCCAAAACCGCTGAGAACTTTCGACAATTCTGCACCGGAGAGCACAAAGGCCCTAATGGCCGCCCACAGGGGTACAAGGCCTCTAAATTCCATCGCGTGGTACGGTCATATTGTCTTGTCTATCCAGGCACATCCCACCATCTAGAAGCTTACCTAGCTAACCCTATTATTACCTTGAATTCTCACAGATCAAAGCATTCATGATCCAAGGAGGCGACTTCTTACATGCAGACGGCACAGGAACTACCAGCATTTACAGTCTCAACGGCTCATTCCCAGACGAATCATTCCAGCATAAGCACACCTGTGCAGGTCTATTGTCCATGGCGAATTCGGGCCCTAATACCAATGGATGCCAATTCTTTATTACCTGTGCACCAACCCCATTCTTGGATGGTAAACATGTTGTTTTTGGGCAGGTCATTGAGGGTATGGATGTGGTTAGGATGATTGAATCTACTAGGACTGGCGGCCCAGGGGGAAGAGGGTCTGGAGATCGTCCTGTCTTGGATGTGAGGGTGGCTGAATGTGGTGAGATGTGAGGAATAGTGGGTTCTAATCACGACAAATCACCAAAAAATCACCAAAATCCAATGAAACGATGATTGAGTATGAAGTTCATGTCATTGAAATGCTCAAGATAGCACCAATCGCTGCATTAAAGAAATTACCCTGGCTGGTTTTGGGTATATTTCAGTATGAATCCAGTAATATGCCATGTCTTTCATGCAATATGAACCCCTAGCCCAAGCTGTGGCCTTTTCATCTGCCCCATTTTTCATCATTCATGTCATTCTTGCCCTCAATTGTGATTTCCATGGTGAGGTAATCCTCAAGCCCCTTTTTCCTCTGCACCGATGTTGAGATCTTGGTCGCCGTTCTTACCATCGGTCTCTTGGGTAAGAACGGTGGGAGCGTTCCGCCTCCTCATCGTTTCACGGTGGAAATCGACCAATTCGGTCGTCGTTGGCGTACGGAAGTCGCTGTTAGCGGTTCGGTAGGGATATGGATTGTCATGTTGGTCGCCGCCGCCATCATCGTCGTGCTCGAACGGAAAGATTGGTGACTCGGAGTCACTGTATCGGTGGTGTTCGTCGTCCGTATCGGGGTCGGCTTCAAGATTGTTCGATTCTGTGTCGTTGTTGTTTCTGACATCGCTGTTGCCAATGCCGCTGTCGCCGTTGGTTTTCTTGACATCGCCGTCATCATCGGTATTTTTTTCGATGCTGTGAATCGCTCCACAGTCACAGAGAACGCCGGATCTTCTGCGTGGTGCAGTGAAGTCGATGGGTTGGGCGGCCGTCATCGGTGAAGGCGAAGACGGGACCGACTCTGTGTCGGTCCCCGCCTGGCTCAAGGTATCGTCGCCCGTTGTGGGCTGACGGCCACCCTGGCCAACAACCCAGGGCCACCAGCCCATGGGTTCGAACCACTCAAACCAAGAGAACATCCTGGTTGCGAGGTTTGATATGAAGAGGAGAAGAGTGAGAATGAGACAGTGAGAGAACGTTTATATAGTCAGGCGTTCGCACCCTGTGACGATCTGACCTGCTCCGATCTATCTCATTCGACTCATTAATGTGAGTCGCAGCATTAACTGCCATTCACTTCATCGCATCTTGGGAGCATGAGAGGCCATTTTAGACTCAACCCAAAACATCGCATCATTTGCATATTGCGGCTGGCGGCATTGTCGTTGGGCTCGCAGAGGGTCATTCACATACCTCACGACATGTGCTATACGAGCTAGTGTCATTAAATATTCACTTACCATTTTATTGTTCTCTTGGGCGTCTCATTCGCTGATCTCATTGCCCCTGTCTTGATACGAATGGTCGGTCATCGCACCTGTCTCGACATGAATGGTCTTGTCTCGTCTCAATGATTCACTAAAGAGGTTAGTAATAGCCTACAATCAGATTGTGTGACAGGTGAATCATTCACTCGACCCCTGTGGAAATGATTGCTCGGTCACTCATTATGCAGGTCATGAGAATCTGTTGTGGTACGGTTCATTCCTCTTCCTCTTCGGCTTTTGTTGGTTTGTGATAGAAGGGCTCTTGGCATCAAACAGTATCACGTGACATCGATATCCAACATCTTTCATTCCATCTGGGCTTCAGATTCTGTTCATAGACTATCAATGCAATATCTCACACATTGAGCTTCTTTTCTAGAACATGTCTCCACTGCCGGGGGTTATACGAACACACGATTGAGCGAATAGAACAATAATGACTGTAGAATGCTTAAGTTTCTCTGTTTGTGGATATGTACTTCATTTCATTCATGCATCCATGCTTTCGACGTCAAGACTTCAAGTCAACGCTGTGATCGTCACCAGTCTGCACCGCTTGCTTGCTTGCCAACGATTCTAAACTCCACTTTGCCAAAAAAAAAACACAGAGAACCTAACCAGCGTTTGAAATAACACCGGAATCCAGTAGTCAGACAGGCCCCAAGACCATCCTATCCTTCGTGTTTGCAAAACATAAGCAAGAAAGAAGAGAATCCTTTTGGTCGTGGATCGCATAAAATCAGTTCATATCTTTCGTAGAGCAGTGGGCCTTGACCGTGTATTTCATCCCCACCCCCAGTTCCTTTATACCTAGCCTTCCTTATATAATCATCACGAACCGGCTTCTGCGCCGTTACCTGCAAGCTCTCGCTTGCCAATATGTCGGTGGAGTAGTCGATGGCCTGCGAATCGCCCAGCTTGATCCACGCCGCGCTTCTCCGCTCGAACGGCGTGCTTGATCGCGTCATGATCATAAGCCGGGTCAACAGGGCTGGCTTCACGCTTTCGTTTCGACACATCATCGTCGGTCTCAAAGTATCCGTTGGGCAGGGATGTAATAGTGAAGTAAATGCCATTCGACTCTCCCATACCAGGCTCAAAGTTGCCACTTTGGAGAGGGCCCGGGGTTGGACAAGGGGTCGTCGCTGGAGCTGGTTGCACTTCCGAGACTGCATTGTCCGAAGCCTCTGCAGTGGGAATGTCAGCATTGGTTGGCGCTTCGTTACCCGAGGCGTCTGGGATCGGAATGATAGTGTTGCTTGATGCTCCAGTGACGGAGACGGCCGGGAGGTCAGTGGGAGCTGAGTCGAAGGCAACAGAGTCGGTATCAACCGGGGCAGCGTAGAATCCCGCCGCGTTTGAGTTGACAGCAGTGACGGTGGGGGCACTAGTATCAACTGCGGCAAAGTTGGCTTTGGCGCCCCAGGACTTGGTGCGACGGCCGCCACCGTTGCCACCATCCCACCCATTTCCGTTACCCCAATTGTTGCCATTGTCGTTTCCAACAGAGGATGGCTCAGCTTGTCCGCCTGGCTGACCACCATAAGTAGGCTGAGGTTGTCCAGCGGTCGGGTATCCGCCACCAGAAACTGTTGGTACCACGGAATACTCTCCTGGTCCGTAGGTTGACCCACCAGGTTGAGGGTTGCTGCCTCCACTGCCACTCTGGTACACCCTCAACGAGTTGATGCTCCAGAACGCATCCTTGAATGCTGCCGGGTTGTCTCGAACGTACTGCTGGCATGTCGAGGCCTTGGACGAGCACACTGGATCGGAAGACCATACATTTCCAGCCCAGTCGCCACAGAAAGTAGTATCAAAAACAATCTGATTGTTTGAGAAGAAGTTGTCAATCTCGCACCCTCCAGTAAAGCTGCCCGCTGGTTGACCCCATCCACTAGGATCTGGATTGCCGGCGGTGATATCGCTAGGAATGCCTCCACGGGGGAAGAACCAGATCGAGATATGGCTCGAGGTCCATTCAGTCGCGAAAACACCGCCTTGGTTGGCATTGAATCCAGCCCCATACGATGCTTTGTTTCCTGAATGGATTTGACATCCTGCATTGGTAGCCTGGCCGTTGGCCGCCACGTCGCAATTAGGAGTGGAGATTTGGCCTTCGAACAAGCCGGAATTTTGGATCGAACAGCCGGGTCCGGTGTGTAAAGCCATCGAGTTTGCAGTCTGAGAGTTGACACCCTCAATGATGTCGATTTCACCACCGGTAGGCCAGTTTGGACCGACTGTCCAGAACGCAGGCCACGTTCCACAAATTCCGCCGGGCATGTGAGAAGAATCGAGAATGATCAGGCCGTGGGTATAGGACTTCTTGCTAGTGATTCTAACACTCTGTCGTCCGGACCCTGAAGCCACATTTGTGTAGTCGACACCCATATAAACGGCTCCATTGTTGGTGTTGACCAGCCCTGCTGCTTGTGCAGCCGATTGGCCGATATATGTTACATATCCGTGGGTTGGGTCAGGTGCCTAAGGAAAGAAGGTTAGATAAGTTTGTGAACGGAGGGCAAGGGGTCAACGTACAGTAAAGAACTCGAACATGGAGAAGAAGTTGTCAACGGTGTAGTCATCCTCGAGCACATAGCCAGAGCCAGCCGTGGTCAGAGGGACAAGAGCCGCTAGAGCAGCGACGAAGAGGATCGCAGACGACATAGATGCCAGCATCATGATGAGGTCAGAATTTGTATCTTGGTAATAGTGTTTGTCGCTAGCGTATCAAGCCTGGCGAGCACAATGGTAAATCTCGGACAGTGTTGGGGGAGTATTCGACGAACACGGGAAAAGATGTTCCCAGCCTTAAAAAGCGATCGAGAAACAAATGAGCTCAAAGGGAATGGACGCAGAGATATGCTCAGCACTATGGGACAAAGGAATGAATGAAAGTCACAGGCTGTTCCCAGACCAGCAAAGAACAAAGAGGTCAAAGTGTCGAGTCCGTCAAGGAACAAGGCACACAAAGGTAGATATGTATCAAAAAAAGAGAGCGTCGTCAGGTCAAGTCAATATGGGGCCGACCCACCCTGGCCGACAGCCGGATAAGGGGTGCAGGGCCCAGTGAGCACGGCGTACGAATGAAGAGCATCGCCATGGACGTGACGGGTAAAGTTGAAGCCATGGCCCAGCCCGGATATCTGGCGTTCTGGGGCTCTTGGTAGGCGGTATCGATTGTGTAGACCCACTTGACGCGTCTGGGCTGGGGACAAGAGCATGAATTCTGTACTTGAAATGGGTGAGAATTGCAGTTCATGGCTGTGTCGCTGACGACTGATGGGTCTGGCAGCTCGGTGCTATAGGTCAGAGACGTTCAGAACATAAAAAGGGGTTCGAGGGTTCTTCGTCGGCGGAGTTTCCTAACTTGGCATCCATGCGGCCAAGGCGTACGTACATTTTGGGATCTTGGAGGGGCTCCGTATGCCCTGGTGAGTGGGTTGTGGCGGGAGTACAGCCATGCCCATGGTACTGGAATGTCCAGCACTGGTCCAACATGTTTTCTCGGGCTCTCACTGGACCCAGAGTGATAGATTAAGGGCAATTGGAACAGAGATTTCATCGTAACTTTGTCCACACACGCGTGTTGCGGACCCGATCAAAAAAACCACACGTTGGAATGGAGGTCCATGCCACAGCTCGCGAGCTGGGAAGAGGCGCGAGTCCACAAACATGAAACCTGGGTCATCAGCGGCATCATCGCCCATAGGTGGAATAAACTGTCTCGCGAAGGTTAAAAGTTGGCTGCAAACGTAAGCTGGAGAAAAAACCAGGGGCTGTCTATCAAATGGAGGACGTCCAAGGCAGCCAATGAGAGAGGAGAACTTCTTGGTCACGTGAGCCCCCAGGAGGCATCCCAAGAAATTCAAAGTGTTTCGCATTTTGGCGTGCATGACTCTAGCCAGTTGTCGACTTTGCCACCTTTTCGCTCGGAGAGCCTGGTGACCCCGAAGATCATTGGAGCCTCGAAGATGTTACAGGCACACAGGATGTGATTAAAGTACTACTGTACATAGACAGGACAGTGGGATTGCTCCTCCAGCAACAGAGATTAGATACATTTCTTCTATCGGAGCTATACACAAGCTGGACACATCAATTGAGGCGTACCATCTTCCGCCTGGCCTGGCACCAAGCATCGTTGATGGTACATGTGTCGACACGAAAAGACCACAATGGGTCCCAGCGAAGTCTCTGGAGGCCCACTCTCCTCCGATGGTTCATGACCACTGACGTCGACTGTCGCTTTGCCTTTACCGCGGCCTCCATCTTCATCCGCGTCCGTCTCCATCGATTGAGGGCCTTTCCGTCGCCGCGATCTCGCTTCTTCCTGCTTCTGCCAATCCTCCCACACCCGATTGCTCATGCTCGGGCCCCACACACGACGTCGACACACCTCACAGATCTGCCCTCGTGGTCTCCATCCTCGTTGCCTGAGAGCTGTCACCTCGTCGAGGCGAACGAAAACATCTTTGTCTAGCATCGAGTTTGACAGTGAGAGAAGTGCACCCTCGTGTGCATACGCCGCGAAGATGGACTTGATCACACTCCGTAGTTCAGCGAGTGATGGACTCGACTCTGCTGCGTGTGTCAAGAACGCCCGTAGAATGCGTAGGAACATCACGTCACGTGCGCCAGAGGCATCGCGCACAGATGTCGTACTGGCCAACAATGCTGTGAATACTTGTTGGATCGTCCTTCGAAGGCTGGCAGTGATGTTGTCGTCTTCATCGACTGCGCCAGAGTTGGAGCTAGTGGAGAATTCTCGAGCGATCGCCACAACTGCAACAATCATGTCCAACCACAGCTGTTCCTCAAAAGCGAGGGCTCGAGTTGCGCTAACAGATCGCCTAGGAGACTTCGCCACACCCGCCGGCCTAGGTGCTTGTTTCATTTGCTCTTGACAGAGCCAGATTCCCACCTGACTGTACTTCTCGATCGATTCCAACACTCCTTCGCTGGAATGTCGAATGGAATCTCCGTCATCTCCGTCGGTCGACTTGTTGTTTAATGATCTCAAGGTCGACCCCAACAACGCTAGATGCTGTGCGAGACGATGCATGGCTTCCTTCACCTGGCCTTGGCGCACTTGAAGAATCACCGCTGCGTCAACGATGCCATTTTCCTCAATTGTGGGGAGAACCTTTTCAAGTCTCAAGTCGCCTTCCTTGACATGCTCGATGTAGTTCCGAACATGAGAGGGATCGAACTGGCACAAGAGACGCACGTACGTTTCTTTGAGTACATTCGCATACACCTTATTGCGCCTGTTTCGACTCTCTGGCTCAAACAAGGTCTTGAGGTATTCATACTGGCTGTATTCGTCTGTAGCCAGAACGAGAAGAAACGTCCGATGAAGGTCAGAGGCAACTTCATCAATCGTAGAGGCCGTGCGATGAACATCAATATCGATGAGATCTGCTGCATGTTCTTCAACCATCTGCCTCACCTCCTTGCGCTGCTGCTCAAGCAGCAAGGATCGTGGTCTGAGACAATCGGCTATTACCGTAAATACCTCATCCTGATTCTCACGATCCACAAAGTAGGTATGAATGAGGTTTGGGAATTGATGTTCCTGCCTGTACACCGCCTTCAGAACTCGGAAAAAGCGGGCTTCTTCTAGTAGGGGGACGAGCCCGAGAATGTTGGGAGGCTGGTAGATGGACAATAGATACTCCACACTAAGCTGTGCATCCTCTTGCATGTCATCGTCAGGGTAGCCACATAGTCGAGTGAAGATCTCATGAAGGATGCTTCCGGAAAGCATCATGTGTTGGGGGTACTTGGCAAGATTGCGTGCAATAAACATGTCCAAGTAGATTGTTTCGTCTCTATCATACCCAGTAGACATGATGTCAAGTAATATCCGGACGATGAACTGGCGGGTGTATGTCCGAGGTGTCGAAATTTGGTCATCTTCGTCGCCAGAGTTTAGAAAATTGTCTTCAAAGGCTTCATTCATGGCAGCGATGAAATTGGATGCACCAAAATGTAGTATCCTGGCTAAAGCACTGAAAGATTTGGCCACGGAACTGTTTCGACCGCTGTTGGGGTCGTGGAAAGAGCCGTTAACTGGTCGAACCCCCGAAAAGAAGTAGTCGTAAATCTGAGTTTTTGCTTCAATGGCAATTTCGGCGCCCATGTCGTCCCCGGTGGGATAGACCCGGGATGTCAGGATGAAAGATATATAAGGGAAGATCTTCTGCGCTAGAGCATAACGCTCACCTAGATCCAGTTTGTTCTGCTCAAGCTTTTTGGGCTCTTCGGCGAGATCAAGCAACAGTGTGATAGGAGTCGTATAGTCCCGTAGTGAGCTTGTCCAGACGTAGATGTACGCGTCGTACAAACCGTGGCGTTTGCATAAATTTGTGACTTGGTCGAGGTCCATCGAAGAAGTGTCGAGCATGCAAATAATTTCCTCCAAAGCTGACGGGGAGTGCGTGACGACAAAGTGATCAATTAGTGTCTTCAAGGCAGGTGGGGGAAGAGATGTTACGGTTCTGTCGAGAATGTATGGCTCCAAGACGTCGACAAAGACCGCCCCCATGTCGTGGTCGTCATACCATGTGAAGGCTTCTTCGAACATGAAGTCTTGATCGTCCATGACAAGACAAGCTTTTATACACGCATCAGCGAGTTCAACCAACTGTGGCTTCTCGATCTGCTCATTGCCGGCTTGCTGATTCTTGCCAAACGCATACCTCAAGGAGGCAGTGATCATTTCCGAAAGCTTCTCATTTACGACCTCAGCGCGGACACTGTCTTCTTCCGGGAGACCGATAGTGGCCTTTTCACCCTGTCCCATGTGATATTTGGTGGCCAGGCGAATAGCACCGATAAAATCTCCCACATTCATTAGAGCAAGGAGTCGATCGGCCCAATTCGTCAATGCACCGGTCCAGATATCGTTAGAGCCCAGCAAAAATAACCTGCCCTTGTAAGCTCTGAAGCTCATGTGGAAAGCATCGGCAACCACACCATGCAGGGAAGTGTCTTCCTCGTCAAGATGCTCGATTATTGTGGTTAGCTGTTGAGAGTATAGGTCGGTGTGATGGACGCTTTTGTTGAGAAGGTCGAATGCCTCGGTAACATGCATGGAAAAGTCCTCTAGAATCAAAAGCTGCTGAGTAATGGTCAGCACAGCTAAGACGGATTTGTTCAGCCACTGTACAGCTACGATGGCCTCATCGGATTGGAAGCGACTCCGGGCCAAGAATTGTAGCTCTGGTGGTTTGTTTTTATCGGCGTCCTGATCAGGTTCGGCTTCATGTACCTCTAGTACAGTGAGGATGTTCGACCAGGCATAGACCAGTTTTGTCCTAGAGACTTCAGCATTTGACTTGAGCTTGATGGCAGGAAACCAGGCAAGAGCGGCGGTCATGGCGCTATGAGCAGCCACTTCCTTGGGGCGGGCGGCTTTGTGCTGAGTCTGGGCAATTGGAGTGGTGGACACGATCACCAAGAGATAAGGGGTTAACATGGCGACCAGACCCAAGCCATCGGTCCTTTGCTCAATATTCCCCAAGGGTAGAGGTGAGAAGGCGAGCACCGAGCTCTTTTTCAAAGGTTTGGTAGCGCGAGATACCAATTCTGGGTATCTTCCCAAGATACGCGTGGTGCGGACAACCCTACCAACGGACCCCATTCCCCTTGTCGCGAGGTGAGAGAATGCCATGCCTTTGTCATCGGCAGAGACGAGAGCTGTGTGTCTATAGCCAAGAAATCCAATATGAGGAATGCCGCTGCCTTGGATGTGGCCATCGCCCCGTCTGGCTTGAGCTTGAGATGCGTCTATCGGCTGGATGTGCAGAAAGGGCCTGGTGGAACGGGCAAACTCCCACGTAAATATATGGCCGGTGGCATGACCTACTGCAACTGTTGTCTGGTCTGCAGATATCGCGATCGCTGTCACTGGACCACTTTCTGCAGCTTTGGTGCCACTTCCAATTATGGCTTTATGATTCTGTTGGTGGTCAAAAACCAGAACGAGGCCTTTCGAAGTGCCTATCACAAGTTGATCGGCAACTGCGAGACATGACGGACTGCCGAAGTTCCGTTTTCCCAATTCAGAGAATACCTGACTTGATAATTTCCTAAACTTGCTCCAGTGGATGACATCCCAAGGATGGACCGTCTCGTCAAAATCGGAGGCTGGAGGCGCAAAGCTTGTGATCGAGCCATGGCGAGAATGAGACCCTAAGAAAGCTGGGGAGGCGGATCTCAATGGGGAAAATTGAGAGCTTGAGAGGCGAGACTGGAAACGGATGTCGAAAGGACGATGGACTGAAGAAGGGCTACCTCGTCGGCCAGGACTTCTTAGAGAAGCAGTTTCGCTGCGTGGGGAGGAGAGAAGAGAGCCTTGGAGAGAGGGAGTGTCATCTGGGGTCGAAAAAGAGCCATTGTTGCTCTGGTCGTGGTGCTGTATAGAGGGAAGTATGGAATCATCCACACCACTGGGTTGGATATCACTTGGGGTGGAATCGTCTACAGATTTATCTTGCAAGCTGTCGTCGAGGTCATGATTCGACTCTAGATAGTCAGGATCCTCCTGAGCATGGTCTGTTGGTATTATATCAGGAATGTCATCCTGTAATGGTTGGTCGACGACACCATTCTGGTCGGAAAGGTGGTCAAGACCAGAAGAGTGCTCCTGGTCGCGGAGGAAGTTCTCACCCTCATCTAGGGTTGAGTTCATCGAGGTAACTCTGCTGCAATCATTGCTTCGAGACAAGGGCTGAGGGAGGCTAGGAGGAGAGAGTGGCCTCACACGGAACCACGGTTGTGGGAGGACGAGTGAAGGAAGGCCGAAGTGTTTAGATGCCTGCTGGGGCCATAGGACGGTCAACGGAGGGCGCGGCAATGGTGGAGCACAAGGTATTCGTTGGAAGAATGAGGCACACTCGGAGTGTTATTGAGACACTAGAACTGTGCACTGTTTCTTTTGGGCACTGGCGATATGGTCGTGAATTCGTGAGGTCGAGGTCGAGGCTGCGTGTTTAAGTTGGAGGCATGATCTTACAGTAATGCTTGCGCATCCAAATTACGCGGTTTGGCAATCGCCGTATAATGCTGCACCGTAAACTGAATACGGTGGATGATCCCAGCTCTCCGTTGCGCGTCTCTGCCTTGGCTGCTTGGCCAATGAAGTATGAACCTGGTCACGTGTGTACGGGGAGGGTTGATTGACAGTACGGCCGAAATCGGCAAGTGGATAGAATAGATATGAGATTCTGAGCGGATATTTTAATAGCCATGAGTAAATGCATCATGACCTCTCTCATTTAGTATCGGTCGTTCGTCTAGCGTAAGATGTCAAGGCTACGTGTAAAGCCTAATCCAGCATCTCTCGCAGGATACGACAGTGTGTATAACATCAAAGGTCTGTACCAAGCCAAACTCAATGAGTACCTGAGATCAGATAGACAACATTATGTTTAGGAAAGATCCTAATATATAGCGTCCGTAGCTTCATGCCTAAATAGGTACCCATATGTCCCAGGCGATGAGTACGGAGTACTGGCTTTGGGTGTTAACACATGGCTGGCAAAGAAGCAATGGCGCACGTGATTGGCTGATTAACCCGAACCCCGTCTTCCTTCTGTTTCTGCACCGAGTTTCCATCCCAAGACCGGCCCATGGCTCCTTCCCACTTCTGTCGCCCGTTCAGCACCTCGGCATCTTTTTTGATGAGCCAGCCACTAACCTCAGTTCATCTCTTGTCAAAGCTGCAATCATCCACAACGTCGCCTCTGAGTCTACATCATCTCCTTCATCAATACACCCTCCATTCGATATACCTCTCGGACGATCCAGTCACCACTGGCTGCAGGACTCCGCGTCGTCGTCCTCGTCGTCGTCCTCGTCGCGCCGCTGATCCTAACTACCTTAAAGTTGTGCTGTAAATGAAGCATGCCGAGATAATATGACGAGTGCATCGCCGCCCAAGCCCTGGGAGCGCGCCGGTCCAACAGGTAAAGGAGAAGCCCCTACTTTCTTCCACTGGCTCTAGACACTGACCTCGATCGCAGCGTCCTTCGACACAACCGCCATGACAGCCCCATCGTCCACTTTTCCTTCCTCCGACACTTCTACCACCTCCGCCCCAGCTCTTCCTGATCGCCCGTCTACTCTCAACAATGTAGTCAATCAAACCGCTTCCAACTATGCCAATCAGAACCGTTTCGGCACCGCCGCCAATTCATATTCATCCCCATATTCATCATATTCATCACCATACTCCCGCTTCGGTGGTGGTGGTATGGGCGGCATGTATGGCGGCATGGGTGGCATGGGTGGCATGTACGGAGGAGGTGGTTATGGCTATGGAAGCGGTATGTACGGCAACAGTATGTATGGAGGCGGGTATGGTGGAGGGTTTCCTGGCATGCCGGGAGATCCTAATAACCCCAACAACATGAGCCTGACTCAATCATGGAACCAAAGCACTGCTGCAACCTTCCAAATCATGGAAAGCATCGTTGGCGCTTTCGGCGGCTTTGCTCAAATGTTGGAAAGTGCTTACATGACTACACATTCTTCCTTTTTCGGTAAGAGAGACAAATGCCTCCGCCGCCCCCTATGATTCTGGTATTGACGATTCTTTAGCAATGGTATCCATGGCTGAACAATTGGGGAACCTTCGCCAAACCCTCGGTAGTATCTTAGGGATATATACCCTCATACGCTGGATGCGAACTCTCATTGCCAAACTGACTGGCCGGCCACCCCCAGCTGATGCCACCGCCCTAACTCCCGCAAACTTTTCATCCTTCCTCAATGGCGGCGCCGCTCCCGCCACTCTGCCCGATGGCAGCCCAGCTCCCCCACGACCCTCGAAGAAACCCCTCATCATGTTTGCCCTTGCCGCTTTTGGCCTTCCCTATCTGATGGGCAAACTCATACGCGCCATGGCTCGGACCCAAGAAGAAGAGCAGCGCCGTCAACAAGCCCAAGCCGAGCAAACTCTCTCCTACGTCAATCACAATGGCGAACAAGTCCCTATCGACCCCCGCAAGCTTGACTTTTGCCGTGTCATCTACGATTATATTCCAGCAGCCAACTCCACCGGACTGGATTTGAGCGTGAAGAAGGGCGACTTCGTGGCTGTGCTATCTAAGACTGACCCGGCCGGGAATCCATCTGAGTGGTGGCGTTGCCGAGCTCGTGATGGAAAACAGGGTTATCTGCCATCGCCGTACCTAGAACCTATTCAGCGGCCCGCACAACGAACACAAGCACAGATCACCGAGGGCGAGGCCACTGCCTCGGCCCCAGGGTCTCGCACTGCGACCATGAAAGGGTCTGAGCCAGTAACAGCCGCAACAAAGCTGCTGGAGGATTCAAACCGGACCAAAAGCCTGACTTCGGTCTATCCTGGAAGTCTTGGGGCTGATGCCAAGGTCCCTGTTTCGGTCCCGGTGAGCGGGAAAGGCAATGGAATTTCTGCGGAGAGTTTCCAAAAGAGTGCCTTTTATTCATGATTTGATTTGAGCAATCTCGCATCTGAACTGTGTCGACTTTGGATAGGCAAAAGAGGAAGACGCAATGGGAAGGATCGCTAGAGGTTGGTGAAAAGGCATGAAAGGACAAATGGCAAGAAGCTCGATTTCAATTTTGCTCTCTCGAGTCTTCCTCTCGACCTCGTGCAACTGGTATTGCTAGCTTAAGGGGACGAGAGTCGAGCGAAGCCCCCCTGGGTTTGGAGATGACATGTCACACGTAACGGGTAAAACGACTATTCTTCCGTCCAGGCGTACGATGAGATACTTTGGTATAATTAACATGCTATGCTGTTCCAACTGAATTCATTGACTACATCGTGCCTTTATGCGACGATAAGTACGGGTGGTTACCGTTGGATACAGGCTGAGCATCCTCATGGGCCTAGTGATAAACATCTCCATGGATGGTAAAAGCAACCATGGGTCCATTGACGACCTGCAAAAAAAAGGCAAATGCAACACCAAATACAAAGGTTCAAAAATAATAACGAAATCCACTGGATGAAGCCACTGGACGCCTTTGTCACTCCCTCCGTCCAGCAACCATTAACTTCATCCCGTTTACGGGAGCGCTGCGCTTTTGATCCTCATTCCAACCTAGTGCTGTACTACCTGAGGTTATATCTTAAAACAGAGCAACGGCACTGATGTAGATCTTTGTTTCTGGGCCGACAAAGGTCGCCTTCAACAGTCCTGTGAGCCATGACTGAGGTTCGACTGGGAGCGAAAAATGTGCATCTTCATGAAAGCTTCACGCGGCCGAGCTGTTTTGCGGCTCGGGTCACTGAGGTGAACGGGCATGTTAGTGCATGATTTCAAGTAAACAAAGAGCCTTGACAATTCTGGGCTAATCGAGCTTCGCGATACAATATCGGGATTGGGTCTGGCTCACCTCGTCGGTCTCTCTCCGACTGCTCGCTCTTGCTTTCGTCGTCCGAATCTTCTGTGCTATTGTCACTCTCGCAGGCATCGTCGCGACTGCTTCTGCTGCCGGTTGAGCCGGTTGCTCCATTGACCACCAGGGGCCCGGAATTCGCCTTGGAGTCACGAGCGCTGGAACTTTGATCATGTGACGATAGTACAGGCGTTCCAGTCTTTGGATCCTTACCACTGACGCCCGTGCGGATCGATTCGCGCCTGGAATGGTCTGCAGTGTTCGTGCTCGAGTCGTCCTTGGCCAATCGAACGCTGATTTTGCGACCACCAAAGTGCATTCCATCAAGATTGCGTGTTGCAGCGATTGCTTGACTGGAATTTGCGTACATGGCCTTTGCTGTGCCCTTACATTTGCCATGGGAGCGAGTGTCAGGTGGCAACTCGAGATACTTCAAGGATCCGAATCGTCGGAGAATGTGACTTAGTTCATGCTCGGATTGAGAGTATGGTAGGCCGGAAATGCAAATCAGACTATTGTCGTTGCCTATTCGCTGAGTAGCAGTGCTAGGATGACCGCTTTTCCCTCTGGGTCTAGACGTGACTGGCGAATAAGCAGGCATGTGGTCCATATTGCAGGCTGCACCATTGTAGGCCGCTGTGCTTGAGCCTGGGTTGACGTAGCCATGGACATGAGCTGCACACATCTGAGGTCCTATCATTCCCGAGTTAGGGGACAAGGTGGCCCCAGCAGTGGTGTAATGATGATGATACATCGGAGAAAGCGGCTGAGGAGGAGTCGTTGGAAGTAGAGGTTTGACACTATAGTAATCAGAACTCGGAACTAGACCTCTCCATGAGTAGATTGACGCTTACAAACAACCATGGACATTAGCAGATGGCACATGCTCCTGAATCACTTTGCTCTGAGCTCTTTGTACAAGACCAAGAGTGCGAGTCATTGGTATGACTGGCTTCAGAGTGTCGGGCTTCTCCAGGACGGCAAGCGACACCTCAACCGAAAGGCCATTCCATCCTCGTTGGCAGAAGTTGTCTAATCAAGGATGAGTTGAAGAGGATACGATTAGTGGTGAATAACGTACCAAAGACTTGCTGTGCTGCCACCTTGCCTTTGATAGTACAATGTCCCACCTGCGGACCGTCGCGGGTTTGAAATACTTCGGCTTTCAGACTTTGCTCCCCGCCGAGCAGCCTAGTCATGTCCTTGAGCTCTTGCCATCTGCACGCACGCGGAATCTGTCATTGTGATCAGCGTGACGCTCGTGACATGGGGATATAGAGGCCCGTACATCTTTGACGAGAATAATGTACTGCTGCTCGTCTTTGCTCGGCTCTCTCGCATGACGACGCTCGTGAGGCATGGTGGTGGGGTAAGACGAAGATGAAAGGCAGAAGAGAACAAATCCTTTAGCCCGAGTTGGCTATGCCCTTCGTCATTCAAGCCGGTGAGGAGAGAGAGGCCAATGGATCTGACACTCTTGTTGACAAGCTTCTTCACCGCAAGTATGTGGAAATAATGTGTGAAAATCTGGTTTTATAGACCTTGTATGATGCATATCATCTAAAAGACGATATCAAGAGCGAGGGCCGAGACGGGAGAATGGGGAGTGGCTCGTGTTGTGGTGGTGGAACCCCTGGACGAGGCTGCACATCAGCTAGAATGATTGAGCGCGGGTGATCGATGGTGGCGTCGACTAACGAGACATCAGCCAGTGACAAAAGATTATACAGGATCGGGTTGGTCTGGTTGAGGGACAGAAATACTTGGGACAAACCAGGCGCTGAAGCCACAATGTGGATTGGGGAATGATATGACCTAATTTATAGTTTTGAAGCGGCAGACATTTCCAAAATCACTTGACGAGGCGACCTTTCAACGTGTCCTTCACAAGACCCATGGACGGCTGATAATATGATCGTTCAAAGTGAGAATTGGAAGCGATCAGTGGAGAGTCTTGACATTGAGATTACAATCGGGTCCAATGTGCGGCCTGTCATGATGATGAAGTCGTAATATGCATGAAATAGCAGGATCCGAGATCTGATATATCGATCGCTTCTGCGAAGAGTGCATGAATTGTCTAGTGAATATTCCGAGGTCGACCTACCTTTGAGATCGGGTTCCCTTGTCCCCTGATGCACCGGGGGACCGGCTGTGTCAACCATGAACTTGGGGTGGCAGGCTTACCTGTTCGCGAGATCGCTGGGATCAAGGTCTGAGGAGTCACGGAGGACAGTGGAGAGGCAGCAACGAGGGCGACATCTGGGCAGATGACCAAAGTGGGATGGCAGATGTGGGTCTTGGTCAATGCAATTCAGCTGGGGTGGTGGAACTTGGATCAGGGACATCGTACTTTGGCGTGGTGGCAGGGGTCAGGAGGAACTTCGGTAGGATGGCAAGGCCAGGTATGGGGAAAATACCAGAAGGTCCACCAGGTTGAGGGGATATGGCAATTAGGAAGTCGTCGGCCTCGCAAGTGGTTGCATCTTGATTGCTTTCGTATGTTGGGCAGGATCGAATGGAGGGTCCGAGGACAGCGGCTGTGGATCGAGAGGATTGGTAAAGTCGGGTAGATGAACGAATCAAAAAGGGAGAATGCAGGGAATGGTTGATCAGATCTCAAAAGGGGCAGCGCCGTTTATGGATATGTCTCGTGTTCCCACCAGATCCATCTGAGATCCGAGATCTAGCACATCCAGGCTGTGCTCCCAACACGTCCATACCAACATCGTGGTTGGTACCTCCAGACATGGACATGGATTGTCCGAGGCGCGGCGCATAAGACTGGGAACGCGGGCATATTGAAGTCAAAACAGTGATATGCACAGTTTCTGGAGGTGATGAGAGCCATGCGAGCGTGGTGGCGGCTAGGCAGACTTGAATCGACAAGGCTGGAGTATGTGTATGGGCATTTCGAACGAAGGAGGAAGCACTAGATGATTTGTCACTTAAGCAAAAGGGGAATGGTGGATCCTGGTTGAAAGATGGTGGAATCCAGAAGATCGGAACTCAGCAGAAAAGATCCGAGAACTTGACATGATGCAGCAAGGGAGGGTTGGAAGAGCCAGTCCCAGGCACGCCACCCACCCACCTTACCGAAGATGCATGACTGGAGAGGCCGCGCCAAGCGACGAACGGCATAGACATCGAAGTGATCCGAGTTCAAGGGACTTTGGCTGATGAGGCTGCGAAAAGCAGACAGCTACGACAGATTTGGCGGGGGTTTGATGGAGCGGAGCGGCGGATTGTCGCACCCGGCGCAAGGGGCATGTCATCTCGATCGATGGACATTAGGCTGGCAGACTGGGATTCACAAGTCGGATTCCCGATGAGCAATTTTCGGAGTCAAGCTAACTGGTGATTGACTGGTAAGAGAGGCGGATGAGTGGAGGGGTGGCTTTTGTGACTGAAGGGATCTGGAGTACCTCGTCAGCTGGTCGATTGCTTGTCAAGGCAGTCTGGCTGGCGTGGCTGGTCAAAAGAGGCTATAGAGGCCCCGACGGCCCCGTTGTTGCCGACAAACCATTGTGTCAAGTGTGGAATGCCACCTGAAGGCTTTTGGAGCGAGCAATGTCACCGAGACTGTGATTATGACACATTGATCTCAGCCAATAGTGAGGTTTTCGTAGGTGCGTAGTCAAAAACGCAGGCAAAGTAGAAGAAGAGAGGGGACGATCCAGGATCAGGGGAGGGAACATCATGTGACACAGTTGCTTGGCGGGCTTGAGGCCGGAATGCTGGCAGGAAGGAGCATTGGAACATCACCCTAAAGCGCAAAGGGCAAGAGCGATCGTCGCAGTGGAGAAGCTGACGAAGGTTCGATCCGCGCTGAACTTGCAAGAGTCAATGTGGGACGCGTCCTGTAGGGTACGTCCTGACTTCTCATGCATCAGATGTTTACGTGGATTAAACGTGCCTGGATCACGGAAGTATATCATTATTGTATCCTAGCGTGGACTTGAATTTCGGAATTCGTTGTTTACAGTGGGACTGGACCGGATCAAGATAGAGACGGTTTCTAGGGTTAAATTCGACCTGTGGCCACGAGATTGATATATTATGAGCAGCGTTGCTGCAGGAGCTCGTGTCTAAGCTATCCTCCATGTGTGCGAAATCTGATTTATCAGGGGCAGAATCTTCAACAAAGTGATTCAATGTACCTGCATGGTATCTGAACGAACCGGTCAAAAATCTGGAAACATGCAGGTTCTGTGATACTCGACGTCGATGGTTGCCAATCGGAGCTCGACGCCAGAGCCACATGATTAAGATGTGTCTGTGAGAGTGTGAAGGTGCCACCGTTTAGATTCGGGATTGTCGTCATCTCGACCAACGTGATCTCTGTGTTTGTCCTGGACCACTGCAAGAGGTTGATGGTGCCACACTGTCACCAACTGACGGCCGGGGCGCAGTGGTGCGTAATGTCGTGTGTTGGATGGTGGCCTGCAAGGTCGGTGTGGTGTTGGTGCAGGGGCAGACCATTGAAGGACTCGCTTATGGTTATGATCACGTGGGGGTATTCATGAGTTGTCGACCGGTCTGGTGGGGTTGTGTTCCAAGGTTGTGGGAGGTGTGCGCATGGCCACCTAGTGATTCAATCTGCGTCTACCCGGAGAACTGTTCATTTGACGAATCCCACCACGCTGGCGCATCTGTTGCAATAGTAGGAGTTCGTGCCAAACCGAACTGCACCACCAGTAACAGTGGAATTTGACGGGTCGATGCTGAGGGAGCGCTGACAACGAGAACATCGCACGATATCGATGGAGGCTTTTGGCGATACGGACCCACTGGAGGACTCGCTGCTGATTGAGTCGTCACTGGACCGCTTGAACTGAGTAAGAGGGGAAGGGTGATGGCGACTGCCACTTGAGGAGACCAGTGCTTGCAGCTGGAGGATGGAAGGGGTGGAAGTCATGGTTGACCAAGTTGTTGATCACTTAGGTACTGCTAAGGGGCGAAGGATGAGATGAATGGGACGAGGGCCTCTTGGAGTCGTTGTGGTGAACACTAGGATGAAAGGGAGGGTAGGAAAGATCGGACATGCAAACATGGATTATAAGTTCGTTGGAAAAAAAGGGGAGCTGCAAGTATTGAGGCGAGCAGTCCAAGAAATCAACGGCGCGGAGTACGTGGACAAGTTGAAGCAAATCGACGAGGATTGGGTCTACCTATGTATGGGAGGGGGTGGTGGTGACACCTTTGAATGGGAAATTCAAGAGGCTCTGTGGCTCTTCAAACCAGGAACTGGCTTCTTGATTCCCACTGAGTGAAAAGACGCCAAAGTGCAACGGGCAATAATCGAGCATGACAGGATTTCGCCATGGGAATTGATTGTCGATGCAAGTGATGAAATTCGATCTTTACGATGAATCCTAGCACTGCCCAGACCCAATCAGCAATGGCGGCTCGGAGTCCACGTCTTATCCAGTGCCACTTGGTCCTGAGAATCGAGATCTTTGAATGTGGTGCGCCACACTTGGAAGTCCTATTCGGCTTCTCATTGGCTGGACTTCTGTGGCTAATCCCAGTTTTCATCCCCATTTCCCCCTCGCCCGTTGACGGAGTTGGCAAAAGACTTTCGATCTCGATCGCTCGTGGCTTTCAAGGTTTGGACGTGGCGGTCATGAGAGTTTCAGAAGACCATCGATTCAACTAATCTGTGGCACACCGCCGGCTTGGGATTCGTTATCCCGAATATGGTATACGTCGAGGTGTCTTGAATATATATAGACGCTACAAGAGACTCTCCCAAGAGACTCTCCCAAGACAGTGAGCTCTTCAATGCAAGTTGCAAAGCACGATTGCAAAATGTTGGATTGGAAACAAGTACGCAGACCTGCCGAAACTGCCCGTTCACCTAACCAGTGATTGTTCCCATGTGTCCTGGACCAGTGAGCATTGCAGCTGAAGAGTGTCCCATCTAGTCAAAGATCCTCATTATTAAAGACGTAAGCGCTTGACACCCACGGCACCCCCATGACACCCCTACGTACCCCCGGTGCACCTCTCGTGTCCCCTAACTACCCAACTATCACGGCCATGACATCACCTAAACAATCGTCCCCTCATCGATTCCGGAGATGTTTTCCAATGCAAGGAGCACAAAGAGGTTAGATCATGACTAGCGAGGAGAGGACTTCCATCCAGCCAGAATTATGAAATTCAAGTAGCGGCCCACGAATATGAACGAGTTTCAGGCACCCTGCAGCCAAGACGCCTGTCACGTGGTGACGCTTTCGACTGGAATTCATATCCTGGGATCATCCATCGAAATCTGGGTCTGATAATGACTATATGGGTAAACATAGACTTGCCCGAGGTTCTGCGCAAAGGGAGCTAGCTAGAGAGCGCCATCCTGCTTGCTGGAGTCCAAATGGAGAATTACATTTCTTGGAATTACATATTAGTTGTCCAAGGAGGGAGACGGACAGATGCACGAACACCCAACAGTCTCCTATAGAAGCTCTTGGAACGCCAACCCACTTCGCAATAGTACGGAGTGATTGGCATCCCACGTTTGATCCGAACCAACCAAGGTCCACATATTTTATTATTAGCTTCCCGGTACCTGTTATCGTGCAGTTTCAGCATGCCCGGACCAAGTTCATGGCATCTCTTACTCGTGGTTCTATGCATCGTGGCATCATAATAAAAAGTGGCTTATGTGGGTATTATCAGGTAGTAAATCGTCGTATTTCCGGAGCCTCCTCAGGAGTGACCCATAGGTGCCCAGATCGACTTCTAGGCACCAGTGCCTCCAAGCTCCAGGCATGATAAAGGCATACTTTATCTGCAAAAGTGCCAAGATGCTGACCTACAAACGATTAGCGACAGGCGCCAGAGGTGCCCCCGGAGGCCCGAGTAGCCCGAAAGCCTCTCCACCCTTCCACCCAAGATTTCAGGCGAGATTTCATCTCATCCACGCATACGTATACTGCATCTGCTCCCATTATGGATACTCGTGCTTTTTAGTTACTTCATCACCGCATCCCGCCATTGTTATTAAGTGATGACCGCTAGCGAATCAAGCACTTCCCTCTCTATCCCCTCCCCGTGATACTCAACATCTATTTCTCTCTATCCAATTCCACTCCTCGATTCCGTGCATGCTCCGATTCTACTACACCTGTCAACTCACCTTTCCCGCACCTTATCCTCGACACCAGCCCTCCTTCAACCCCACCAACACCTCCCCGCCACTCCAGCAATGGCAAAACAACCAAACCTCTTCAGCTACCCCACGGTAGACCGAGTCGCCGCCCAGCTTCGCACCTATATCCTTCAAACCCAGAAATCTGCCTTGCACCGACACGATGTCTTCAAGATTGCGGTGTCTGGAGGCAGTCTCCCCGCTACCTTAGCTCAAGCTCTTTTGGTCCCGGGAGAACAAGAGAACGCTGACAATGCACCTCAATTCTCAAAATGGCACATCTTCTTCGCCGACGAGCGCGCCGTACCTCTAGACCACGAAGACAGCAACTATGGCCTGTTGAAAAAAGATCTGTTGGACAAAATCCCCCAGGAGCAAGGGACACCCAAGGTCTACCCCATCGATGTCAAGCTCCTCGACAACACCCAAGACCTCGCCGACCAGTACCAGGAGACCCTTATGTCCAGCTTTGCCAACAAGGACTCGGTTCGCCTACCAGTTTTCGACTTGATCCTACTCGGATGCGGGCCTGATGGTCACACGTGCAGCTTGTTCCCTGGCCACGAGCTCCTGCGAGAAGCCGACGCCTGGGTTTCACCCATTGAAGACAGCCCCAAGCCGCCTCCACGACGTATCACTCTGACCCTCCCTGTCTTAACCCATGCCCACAAGATCGCTTTCGTCGCCACTGGTGCTGGCAAAAAAGATATCCTCAAGAAAATCCTCGAGGCTGACGATGAAGGTCGCAGCCTTCCCTGCGGGCTTGTCAATGAAGGTGGCGGCGATAAAGTTTCATGGTTCACCGACAGTGCTGCCGTCGAGGGCATTTCTTTCCCAAGAAGGGGCAGTCTATGAATGATGCGTCGATCGCATGTATGCCCCCGGTGGGACCCATGTTTCAAGCGCGTTTTGGCATTGATGGGCCAAGCTGGGATAGGATGGTTGAAACCCCAACATTGCTTCAGACATGTCTCTCAACATATTGGTTGATTTCCCTCCGAGTCTGTGCCGCCCTTTACTTTCTTACGCTGCTTAGCTGCAACCAAGATAGTGACCTTCACCTCATCATGGATCGGGCTCCCCAGCTACGTTACTTTACATTCAAATGGGCGGTAGGCTTGATGATGGCCTTCCCTTCCATTCTATTCATGACTGAATATCCCACTCGTTGACTAGACTTTTGGAATGTCTATTTTGGCGTTCTTTTCATGTTTTCCAATTGGCACATTCGGAGGCGGCGTGCAGGATCGATCAGATGGGTTTGTCCCACAATGAGGTCAGCTGCTCAGGTCTTCTTCATCGCGACAGCGAGGGGTTTACAATCCGGTGGATGGAGTAGCTGTTTGAATGATTCGAATGAGTTTTTACAAACCCTGAAGGAACGGGAATGGGCGATGTCCCATATACATGTTATTTCACTTCATTCAAAGGAGCAAATATCCGATTCTTCGTGGCCCCAATCGAAATGTTGTATAGAGTGTATACGATTCCATTCCTGTTATCTAGCCGGCCAACCACATAGACCAACCATAGACTAACCATTTGACCAAGACTAAAATCAATGATCGATGAACAATTCAAGTTTCATTCAGTATATTGCATCGTATTTTCTCACTCATCTGAACAACAAATAGGAATAAGAGGGCGTCGCAGCCAAAGTCGACGTCGACGTCATGGTCATGAAACTGCGTCTAGAACTGACTCTGGAATTCACTCTAGAAGCGGCTCTCGACCCGGGTCTAGACGATAAGATTCCATGACGAGTATCGGATCTTTGGGCGCCATGTCTCAGATACGCTGCGGAGCGACTGAGACAACCTTCTTCTTCGTGCAAGAATCCACGTCTCAGACTGGGTAATATCTCTAAACCTGTAGAGGTTGCGACGCGGTGGCTACTCTGGTCACAACCCTCGAGGGTGCTAGACTGGCTCAGGGGAATAGAGATGTCAGGGACATTAGCGACGTTCGGGACGTAGTCGTCGTCGCGAACGGGTCTCTTCAACCTCCGTCCCTCCTGATCTCGATCCCACTTCTGGCGAGCATTCTGAGCCAGCTCCATGGCAATAGGAACGTTATAATTAGGTGCTTCCATCGACCCTCTATCCGGCCCCGCGCCGGCCGGGCTATAAATGGGGACCTTGCGCGTCGCAGAAAGCAAAGCATACAAAAACTTGGACCTCCGATAAGCGCGTAACTGATCATTCGCCCAGTTGGATTTATGCTTGATATCGACGCGCAGATCAAGTTGTTTAAGATCCGCCAGCGAAACGAGTTGAATATCGACATCCGGTTGAAAATCACGACAATTTTCAGGTGTTGAGAATTGATATCGTTCGCGCATGGCGTCTGAGCGGGAGACGTTATCGATGAATAAGGCTCCGACGACCGAGTTGGCGACTTGGACGATGGTGTCGGGTTCGATGCGGCGGAAGACAGTGTAGAGTAAAGATATGCGTACGACTTCGAATTCTTGCCCTGTCATGTCGATACTGTCGCCGACGTCGAATGGGACGAAGACTTGGATTTCTCCATCGATACGCTGCCGTTCTTGTCGCGGTCGAGTTGTGAGAAGATCCATGCTGCTTCTTTGTCTGCTCCGAATCCAAATACTTCGATCAGTACGTTGGGGCAGATTGCCTTGCGGCCCTCGGACGTCAGACATTTGAAGATTCGTCTTGCCATCACGGTGTCTCTGCCCGCGATGGCGTCTCCAGCCTTCAGGGATAGTGTTGAGTAGCTCTCGTCAAATGTCTGTGAGAGCCATGCCCATGGATAGGAACAAGGGACTTTGCGTGCCTTTAGCTGTGAATACTAGGTTTGCAGCTACTGAACCATGCCTCAAAGTCAAGTTCTGCGGGAGTCCTGTTACCTCTACCACCTGTGGTGCCGGCCAGAGTCCGAACACAGCTGTTAGATGGTTGAATTAAAGTCTATGGGTCTTATCGAAGAACTTGGTTGAGTGGCTTGGTCCTTGCCCTAGTCTCGTCCTCTTCGACTCCAGAGGAGGTGACATGATGAGCGTTGACTGGGAGGTCCTGGTACATCAGGCCGCAGGATGCTCTAGACAGAGGCGGCTCGCTGATCAAGGCGCCGCAGACATCAAGACTCGCCTTGGCTTCAGCAGCGCTAGTGTTCCTCAAAGCACGGTGCACGGGTTGAGAAGTGTACTTGATTGAGATTGAGTTCCCGGTTTTCGTGTATGCAAGCTCCGCGTAGGGTTATGGTGTGAGGGAGTGAGATGAGGTTGGTTGGTTAGCAAGAAAGATGAACCTTGCTTTCCGTGGCTCTTGGCTCATGCCTTCCCACGTCCATATGGGATGCCAACTAATATGCTTCTAGATTCCAACATCGGAGACGGTTGATTCAAGTACTTATCAATTCAATACGCATAGCTTATGGACGGCTGGTATGCTGTTTGTCGAGGTTGGCCACATTACAGACTTTGAAATTACTAATGTTAGGAGCCGAACAATTGTATTCTGCATCTCGCAAACTAGTAGACACTTTAGGGTCTATCAAGTGTGATATACTAGGTATTGACAAACATGAGTAGGCAGTAGTACTCAGTTTTCTTTCTCCCTCCTCCTCATCATATAGTTTCTCTTCAACATTAATTTTCTGGCATGAGGACAGAACGCTTTGTATCTAAACAGATCGTGGCCGAGTTAGCTGTTTGAACGCCCGGGTCGTGGGCATTGTATAGTAGTGGGTATCATTTCGAGATGGGTATTATGACAATGATCATGTTTTGGTATGTCCTCGTTGTCGAGTTCCGGTGGATCCCAAACCAATAATAGAGGTCCAAGACATTTAGTAGGAGATAAAAGAAATTGCGCCGGGCCGTAGCTTGTGATGCTGGAAATGCAATGCTTGATGTCGTGAGGTTTGGTGAGGAATTTTTGATGATGGCTTAAGTCCTGGAACAATCCACGGGGTCCAAGCTCTGTGTCAAGTGGCCCCACTACCATCGTTCATGAGGAAGGACGGTCCCAAAGGGACTTCCGCGACCACTCGCCGGACTGTTTTGGGCGGCAAAATAGTTGAGCGAAGTACCCGCAGCGCTCCCAGAGCGACTGCCAGCGCCTTCTCCAAAGTCGAACCGTTCAAATTCGTTGAGGCTGCTGACATCCGACTTGGCGTCAATATCCTCATACTCGTCCGCGTCGGAAACGATGCTACTCCGCTTAGAAGCGCCTTGTCGGCGAGAGGCACTGGAGGCATTGGGTGTTGTGTAGTAGTCATCAAGCACGTACCGAGAGCCATCGCGGGGAATTAACTGAGAACGTGTGGCAGGTGGAGGCAGTTTGGGCGAAGGGCTGGGTTCTGCTGGGCTGTGGCCCAATCGGGAAGACGTTGCAAGTCGAGCAATTCGTAGGTTCTCTTCCGTCATGCCGCCAGGTGAAGCAGACGATGGTGTTTTGAGGGACTTGTTCAAGTTCATGGTTGTGAGAGGTGGGGGAGGTTGCCGTTTATTGGATGGACCTGACAATGCCGATGCTGGAGAGTCCTTAACAATGGGTGAATACTGGGAGATGGAGGAGGCACCATTATAGGCACCAGGAGCCTCGAGACGCGAAGGAGCTTGAGCACGATTATTCTGATTCATGCTTGGGGATGGATCTCGGAGGCGGAAGGCTGTTGAAGGAGCAATGGCTGAGCCTGGCAATCCCGTAGCCATGGTTCTCGGAAGGCTTGGACCGGTGAGCTTGGTAGGGCTCATGCCACTTCGGGAGGTTGGGCTTGGTCCTGATCGAGAAGAGGGAGGTGGTCGCTGGTTGGTAATGCTGTTTCCACGACTTCTGCCTGCCCCTCCATTCAAAGCTACTGGTGGAGGATGGCCGCGACCAGGGGTGGTTGTGTGTGGTGAGGGCGACGGGCCACTGAAATTTCGATACGAGCGAGCTGGTGAGGGAGCTGCAACGGGAGACTGATCAAATGGTCGGGTATAACTCTCTGTCCTAGGATCTTGTGGAGTCAGGGGACGAGCAAGACCGATTTCCGCAGTAGGCCATTCCGTGGATTTTGCTGCTGGAGATCTCCACGCTGACGTCGAGGGAAGTTCTTTCTGAGCCACAATTGGAGACGACTTCTTCTCCATGGGTCGTAGTTCTGAGCTGACCGACCTCGCACTATTGGACCTGCTGCTCAACTTCTCGCCCTTGCCCGCCATGACGAATTCAGGCTGGTCTGAAAGTTCTCTTCTATGTCTCCTGCGGAGGATGAACCAAAAGAGAGCCAACGAAGCGAGCAATACGACGACGATAGGCACCACGATGGCAGGAATAAGTGTACTCAGGTTGGATGATGGAGCGTCAGTGGCAACACCGGCTGTAGCTTGGGACGTAGAGGAGGCTCTTGAAGAGGTGCGTTCGGTGGTGGGAGACGAGGAAGCGGCGGCAGCAGAGGTGATGGAAGCATATTCGAGAGGGTCTGTAATCGTTCTGGTTCGGACTGAAGTGACGGTGCTAGGGACAGGACCTGTGAGAGCGAGTGTCTGTGTCTCGATTACGGTCGTCAAGCCCGAAGGAGCTTCTGCAGAGACGACTGAGGCGATGGCCGTTGGATCTGTCACCACATCTGAGGGGACGATGGCTGTAGGTAGAGGAGTTTCTGTAGGAGGTGCAATGGTCGAAGGGAGATCGTCAAAGCGAGTATCCTGCCTCTTGCGGAGGGCATAGCCAAATGCAAACATCCTGCCTGAATGCATGTCAGGCAGGAGTTTGGACAGCAGTGGAGGGTGAGTGGTGAAGTTAGGTTCGACGGTGAGGAAGAAAGAGGAGGAGCGGTGTTGTCAGCTCACACGAGCTCGTCGTGGTGGTACAAAGACTCCTTTTGCGAAGGGTCTGGGGCAGAGACAGCATGGGGTATGGGTTATTGGGATGGACGCTGGGCCCGAGGGCAGGGTGCCGGGTGTTAAGACGGAGGTGTAATAAGATGAGGGATCGTCAGTTGTTGGCCAGTTAGCGTCAATCCATCGTACAAGGGAAATTGGCTGTGTGCATCTATACGGTAGAGGGCCCGATGTCCCAGGAATCTGGACAAGATTGGAGGATGTGAGGTACAGCAGGGACAGCAGGTACTAGAGGAATGAATACTCAAGGAAAGGATGTAGAGATTTTGTCGACTGTGGCCAGCACAGGGTATGAAAAGTTAGAGATAGTGTTGCAGCATTGTGCAGGATTTCCGTTGGACCATAAAAGAGAGAGGCAAGTCGTGTGGTCCAAAGACACAAAGGCACGAAGGGGGAGGAGGCTGCACGAGGCGGTCGCGGGAGCCTCACGTCTCACTGCCTGTGGTCGCGCCCGCGGTGTTGGCACTGGCGTTGATGGGGGCTTTTGTGGGAAGCGAGGCGGCTTGGAGATGTTTCGAGTCGCCCAAGAGGGTTAAGCGGTTTTGTGGTAAAACACACCAGGCTGGGAATTCCGAGACCTTGATTGGGGTATGCATGCTCAAGCTTGTCGATCCAGGACAATAGGCAGGCAGTGGGGAGCCCGAGGCGGCCTTTGGAGCTGGGCTGGGGCTCAGGCTTTGCACCCCTGGCGTCTCGAAGCCCACCCCGGAGGCCGACATCCGATTAAAAGCACGGTGGCAAGCCAGTTCTGACGAATTACGGCGAGGCGAGCGAATGCCATGGTACGTAAGGACAAATACGGTCTGGTCCAGGTCACGTCCGAGCCCAGAGCTGGCACAGTGGTCAACGGGCAGAGTGACAGGTGTTAAATGACTTGCATAAAGACACAGACACCATCGTCATTGAGGTCTGTGTGTGGCTGTTGAAGGTCTTGAGACCCCCTGTGAGGTGGTTGTCGATGAGCACGCGTGGCACGACGAGGGAGACAATTGAAGTGATTTCCAGAGCCAAGGTCGCCCCCAACGATCCAAGAGTGCGAGGGCCAGAAAAAAGAGACAAAAGAGGAAGGAATCACCAACTTGCAGAGTCCGAGACTCGGACGCGTTTGGAATCTTGACCAAGTAGTGGCAGGTACGTCGCACTTTTTCTTAGAACGAAGGTCCGGGCTCTGACCAATGAGACTCGACCACCAATCGCCCATCGTGTAGCAGATATTGCATCGACTACTGTACCTACGGAGTACAAGTCGAATCTACAGCATTGTGCACCTACTGTGGCACTTGTGGGTTGCAATTGGCTCAGGGGTTAGGACGACCTTGATAACTCCATCAATCACGTCACAAGGCTCTTTGCGAGTGTTTGAAATTAGTAGACCGCTGTCACAATATGAAGAAAATGAATCATGGTAGACTTCATGAATGTTTGGCAATGATATGTGGTGAAGACCATGTTTTATACATTATGTATCAATAAATTTATATCTCTTGTTGTCCTCGTCTTCCTGGATCGACTCTCCCTTGGAACTACCCACTCGAAAACTCTCTTCAAATCAATCTGAGTCAAAGGCAGGCCGTAGGGCGCCCTGGGTATTGGCTCTTTCTTCACTTCTTATAGCTTCCGTAATCGCCGTATGAGCTTCATAGTGTGGTGTCAGTCAATCAATTGTGGTCTCTCAGACTTGTCACAAGGATAGGCAAATGATATCACTTACCCATAAGGATTGGGAGTCTGGTGTCACACAGAGTTAGTCACACTATCAACTAGCGGTCCTGATAGTACTCACTCCTGGAGGAGGTGGTGGAGGAGCATTGCCATATGATCCATAGTCGCCATAGTTGCCACTATCAGTCACCCACGTCAGGACTCATCTTCACAAAAGATCCTCTACTCAGACATACTAGTCTCCATATTGTGGTGCTGGCGCTGGTGCTGCGTCAGCCTCAGGTACTGGAGCAGCCATCACTCCTAAAATGGGCACCAAGGCCGCGAGGAAGATCGTCTTGAGCATCATGGTGAAGATGGAGATATTCGAACGTGTGGTGGACAAGGCTATGAGCAAGGAGGAACAAATCTTTTCCAATCGATGAATGGTGGACTGGGAGAACTTCTAGACCCGTCCCTTCTTATAGGGAATCCCACCTTCTGAACCCCCCTCTTTCGCTCGTCATCTTCACAGCTCAGCTGCTTTGATGGTGGGGTCTGGAGCCTCTGCAAACGTCGTCCAGACGCAGGATCAGAGCTTCGTTGGAGGCGTTCATGTGCCCATGCGCCATCATCGCCCTCTCCCAGTGACCAATCAAGAGATACATGAGTCCCAAATATCCCATATAAGGTAGGAGCACAATGCCAACCAGAGACCTCGCAAGCTTGTTGTTGCTAATTCTAGCTGCCCAAAGGTCGAACTAGCGGGTATTGGAATGAAGGTTCGACGCTTCCACGACAAGACTTCTGGTCGAACCCGTGTTGAAAGCCTTGGGCTCTGAAGATCGCGAAATGTCTTGGGAACTTTCAAGACATCAATACGAGCTTGTGGATGAACAAGAACTGACTTGCTCTTAGCTGCATCGTTACACTCGCTGGTGAGGCATATGGAAGCGATGAGAGCATCGAAGCATGCTACCTGCATCTTTGCCAAGGGCGTAAGCTTGCAATGTTCTGAACTCCGAGAATAGGAATGGCAAGCTCGCATCAAACAGTGCTCACCGGTCTGATACTACCTTATCGACAAATAGGTGTTTAGGTGCCACTGCCTGATGCGAGGCGGCCAGATGTAGCGTTCTGGCTAATTCCACCAGTGACCGCTCGCATGGCTGCTGATGTACTCAGCCATCGCTGTGTTGGCCCGAGTGCTGTAGGTACTTTTAGCTGCGAGGTAGCTTTTGACTTGGTTGATCAGAGTCACTGTGGAGAGCTGAAAAACTTGGGGTGATGAAGCTCTGATGATTCGAGACATGCCATCGTGTGATTGGTCCAAAACCCCTCCATCGACAGCCTCAACACGAGCTTTAACAACGCAAATTCCCGTCTTGGCATCGCTTCTGTCCATATCAGTTCAAACCTTCTCAGATCGCTCAATAATTGCACAGCCCATTCCAATCTAGCGTTTGTCAAATCCCATGTTTGCGGGCTTTCCCATTGGCATGGATTCTCACGCAAGCGAAACCTGGCAAGAAGCCAGCGTGACTCCTCGTATATGCGACTGCTACCAAAGCTAGTCCTAGAGCTGGCTAGTGATCCAGCAAGTAGATCTCGTAAAAGCAGAGACCTGCAAACCAAGGATGAGCTGTGTTCAATCAACAGAGGACGATTCAGCCCTATAACCGTAGGTCCTTCTGTTACGACGGGCTTCCCGAGGCTCGACGAGAATCGCAGTCGAGCTGCCAAGTCAGAGATTCATTTCACTTGATGGCCTGGCTTGTATCAAGCACCCCGTCAACAATTTGAACACATCCTGTTGATAGAAAGCTTCCGAATTCAAGGCATCCCCTCCATGGTCATGACTCTGGCGCCTGGTGCCTTGGAAAGTGAGCCTGGAGACGAGGAAGCCTTCCTGATTGACTCAGAGAAAGAGATCGTCCTAAAACCTCGCGACGAGCCTTGGAGGGTCATCCTCGGTTTCATATTAACGGCGAGTCTCGCATTAATAGCAGGAGTATTGCTCGAGCATTACCTTTTCTCAAACAAAGACTGGACATGTACCTCGCATGTTTCGCAGAACAGTGAGTATTCGACATTAGATCAGTCATTCGCACTGCCATTAACCCCGGCGCAGCGCCTCTTCTCAATCAACAGATCGATCTTTCGTACCACACAATCAGATATGATGGAACTTTTATGAAAGAGAACATTTACCGCCAAGTCGGCAGACCTGAAGTTGATGAGGCTTGGGAGGCTCTTGGAGTCAACTGTGAGTCATTTGGATGAAGCGCGAGCAAACCGGTCCTGACAACGCCACAGATCGATCCGTCGTGATTCCTGAAGCACAAGCCGAGCAGGCTGGATTTCGACATGATCAAGTTAAGATCAACCCTAAACATGGAGGAGGTTTTCCGGCCAACGTCGAGGGTCTTCATCATCTTCACTGTCTGGTGAGTCTGTCGCGAGAGGAGAAAGAAATGCAAAGCTTAACTGACGGGAACAGAATTTATTGCGGCAAGGATTGTGGTTCAATTTTGATTATTATCATCAACTCGGCAAGGGAGCATTCAAGAACGACGACGGCATCCTGCGATTACACGTTAGTAAGTGAATCCTGAACAGGAGGTCCAGAGCGGGTAGAGCAGGAAGACTGACGCAGGAACAGCACATTGTCTTGATATTCTCCGACAACAACTCATGTGCAAACCTGACTTGGGGTTCTTGGGCCAAATCTGGCACAATCAGAGTTTCCCCTCGGCATTTGTGGATTTCAACACGCAACACAAGTGTCGAAACTATGAGGCTCTGCGACAGTGGGCCGAGGTGAGACAGTTACCGGAGCATGTCCCTCCTGATTTCCTGCAGCCTCCCGAGAAGGGCGACAAGATTTATGCAGAGATCCCGTAAGCCCTATTGGAAGGGAGTAGGATGATATAGAGAGGGTTCCGGCTCGATAACCAAGCCATGGGATGTGAAATGTAGACTCGATATTTCAATCATCAGAAATCCAATTGCATGAAATGCTCCACCGTAATAAATAGCTACAGAGAATCATGAAATATATACATCTACCACTCCCTGCACGTGCTCTGTCTAGTCACGTGCCAAACATCCCCGCCCGCTGTCTTATCTCACGTGCTTCTGATCCTCCACAGTCTTTCTGAAGCGCCCAACGAACAATTGGCTGACAAGCCTCTACAGGCCCAAAATCTCATCCGATTGCTTCAAGGATGTTGGACATGACCATCCTTTTTCAGGTTTGGTGCTGGCGGGATCAGCCAGTCAACCTTTGACCAAGATGCAGGCCCTGGTTCTTCACATCTGCCTCATTGGTCCTTTTGCTTATTGCGATGCACCTTTCATTCGCTCTGCTCACATTCTGTAAGCGCCCACCATGGCCACCACAGGTAAAGCACAATGGCCAACCGACCCAAGAACAAGTCATCTCACCATGCATTCTCTCACCCTCTTCTCGTCTTGTCATCCTCCTCGTCCTTTCTCCTTGGTGAGTCTTATGAAGCCAGCACCGATCCCGTTGGATCTCGAGCTCACTTGAGGCTGTTCTCGATATCAACAACGGCCATGCCACGGCTTCTTTGATTGTCCATCCTCAGAGACCAGACTCCGGTGATAACCTGGTTGCACGAGCACATAACAGCACGACCTCGTCATGGCCAGGCCCAAGTTCTTCCTCTCTCGTCGCTGGCGACCAAACAAGTGGCCTTTCTTTGTTCTCATAGGCATTGAGCTGCCTCTGACCATCGCCCTTCTCGCCCTGTATGGCATCGCTGCACCAGACACATACCGCACCAAATTGTGGCAAGATGGAGCCGATAATGGCTTCAATTCCAGCCCAACTACGGGACTATACGCTGCCGCTAACTACCGGCCATACACTACGCCAAGGGTCTGGTCGAGATTGTGAGTAGATGATCCGCCTTCTCCCTTCCCATCCCATTTGATCCCAGCATGACTAATTCCTAATCAGCATCACCAACTACAACATCGTCATCGCCGTTCTCTCCATGTTCTTCATGCTCACAAAGTCCATCATGTACACGCTTCACGTTTTCCCACCCATCCTCTCCATCCCTGTCCATAGCGCCCTTGTCGCTCTATACTCCGTCTCGGTGGCATATCAAGCCAGTAGCGACACCACCGATCCCCGCAAACCCCAGACTGGTGCTGCATGGTACATCACCAAGTCATGCGACGTCACTTTTGACAAGAGCCTGGTAGGCTATTGCCGACAAGCCAAGGCATCATTCGCATGTACGTGCGCAGCCCTAGGGATCTTCGTTATATATTTGGGTCTGTCCATCTGGTCATGTTTCCCATCCAAGTCTCAGCGGGACGAGTATGACGAAAGACGGCGGGCAGAGGCCGAGAAATACGCCTCTCTAGAAGCCGAACACGAAGCGGCCAAAAGATTGGGTCTCATATCATATCCGGTGCCCGACACACCAGGGTTCCAAGGCGGTCTCAACCCAATGACTCCGCGGACACTTGCTTTCAACACCCTAGGCGGAACCAAGGACCTTCCATTGAGGAATCACTTCAGCACACCCAACGTCCAGCCCTCGTCTCCTACCTATGCGATCCGCAGCCCTGACCTACCTAGAAGTCCCATGAGTCCAGGATTTGTGCAACGAGCGGGCACCGATGATAATCATGTGATTGCACCGGAAAGTCCGAACCGTGCTGCTGGGCCTTCCTCTGTTCCCGCCCAGCTGTATTTCCCTCCACCTCCAAAGGTTTCGAAGAAATGAGGATAAAGGGTGTGATATGAAAGCGGCTATGAAGGCAGCAGAAACGTTGATCCGGAGGATATACATGGCATCTCATTTTCATTTTCAGTCCTAGTCTTTCAGAACGATCATTGTGATCATGTCAAAATGATGACGTGGACGAGCGGAAGGATATCCGGTACTTTATGGGACGGGACGGACGGGTGTAAGTGTTGATATTGATGGCAAGGTTATTGTAAGCTTGAAAGATAGTTGCATGAACCAGAACTCTATACACACATTCGAGAGGTCAAATGTATGAATCACCATTTGACATTCCTAATCGTCTACATGGGTATGTGAGACATGCGAATAGCCCTTGGAGTCCAGACCAAAGGTGTAGTATTTGTCTGCACAGTCAGGCAAATGCACGCAGGTTCAATGGGACAGGAAAAGAGTTTCGACTTTTGATGTTCATAATATTCATATTCTCGTTGACTTCGTCATCTCATCATTAAAAAATGGTGATAACAGTAAGACTAGTAGTATAGTAGCAGTAGTAGTATCAATAGCGAATAGGGTATCCCTTTGAATGTAACAGAAAGGCAATGGCCGTCCTCCCCAAGAATGATGAAAACGGACACGGACCAGGTGGCCTGGTACCACCTCGAATGCCTGGCGAAGCCCACATTGTTCAACGTGGAATGCCTGACGCCACGTTGCACAGAGGGGCATCTTATAACCGTGTGGATAAAAAGGCGGACAAGGTCCGAAGCTTGGTATGTACTGTCAGACCATTTCTGCCAAATGCCATGACAGAGAGTGCGGTGCTGACTTTGATCCGGAAGGATATTGAAACATTGCCGTGCTGAGCCTTGTCCGGTCTAGTAAGATTGTGCTGATGCAAACTCATTGGCGGGCCGAGGATCTCCAAAAAGTGTCGAACACGAGCCAGATCCGCCGAGGCAGCGCGCCTGAACGATCCAGGCTTGCGACCTCACGACACACCAACATCAATTCTGCCGCAAGTCGCAATGGTTGCACGCACTTTCTGATGAAAGCCACCATCGGCAGCTGTGTCATAGAGCTCGCTGAATGCGCGGGGAAGTGCTCCCACAGACTTGAGCCTCTGGTTAACGGCGTCTTTGGCGCCACCGAGCGCGTTGGGAACACCTTCCGAACTCATTTTCAAATTGTAACATCTTAACTTGTCGTGCTTAGCTCCAGGATATGCAGCGACAGACAGAGCGACTGAGAACTTGAGTTTGGCATTGGCAAAAGCACTTGCAGCACTGGGGTCGAAACAATGCAACTCGAGGGTTTCTGCCTGTAAAGCTGAGAAATCTGGCTGCGGCGAAGGCTTCCAAGGAGTGGTTTCGAAGATTGGTGAAGGAGGAATTGATGAGTCGGACAAGTCATCGGCTGAGCAAATGGAGCTTCGAGGAGATCGAGGAGAAGGTGGTGATGGTGGAGCATTCATCTCAACATCTAGAGAGTCGAACGCCATTGCCACGGTCCTAAAGTGGGCCAGAGAGCAGGCGTCCTTCTGACGAGCATAAAATCGAGTCTCGATCGCCTTTAGACGCGGTAAGTGTCCCAAGCAACCATCAACGAAACTGATATGATCTTTTAAAACGGTGTCGGCATCTCGAACATCCCGGAAATCGATCGCAAGATGTTGTATTGATGACTTTATGTGGGGGTGAATCTGAGTATCTGCAATGAACGACAGGACATCGTCTGCCCGGCGAAAGACGAGTGGATTGAGACTGTAATAGAGGGAAATGGCTTCAGAACGAACGAACCGACACGTGTCGAGAAAGCCTCTGGCATCATCTTTGGCTGGACGCGAAGGCCTCAAACGTTTCTGGGATGGTGAGCGCAGTTTCATTGGTTCTGCCTGTGTGAAAGCAAATTTGTATATGAGGTTCCTGACCTCGGGCGGAAGGCTTAGAAGAAGTGAAGGCGAAGAGGATTCGAGGGATGATCGGGGTGATATCGACATATTGAAGGACGCTTCTGGTGCAGCCATTGGAAGGAAATGATGAAGCCGTCGCCAGTTCCAGGCTGGCTAATAGAGTGATCGAATCGAAGACGAGTTCAGACCGAGGAGACACGAGGCATTGGTTGAGGAAGCGTGCATCAGTACGCTGGTTGGGATGGAAGGAGGGGCAAAAGCCAGGTCCACATCCACGCGTCTGGTCGTCGTCGTCGGTGGTGTTACCTCAGTGAAGCAGATCGAGTGCAACTATGGGAATCGGCGCGATATGAGAGCACGTCCAGGCCCCAATACTGAAAATCTGTAGCGAGCGATTGAATGAATGAGACGGTGGTATAGGCGGGCTTTGAGATGGGGCCGAAAGGTCAGGTTAGAGCGAAGGATGAACAGAGACAGAAAAGACAGGAGGTTGGAGCTCGAGATAGATAGATCAAGATAGTAGTAGTGCCAGAGTGCTTGGAAGCAGTGGTCGAAGGAAAGCCAGCAATGCCCATGCCCCATGCCCCATACCCTTGTTGGTGGTTATGGAGGTGGCCGTAGTAGCAGCAACTCCAGGGCTGCAAGGCCGTGGCAGTGACGGAGGTGGTTGGTTCAGTAGTACGACTTTTGATAGAGACCCTCGCTCATCGTCGCCATGAGATTGGACGCGACTGCCCCGTCCAAACTATTGAGTTTGATTGACCCTGGCTCCCTGGCTCCTGCAGGTCAAAGCCCTGAGGGCTCTGTCTCACTTTCGGTGGTTTTAATTGGTGTTACGGTCCCAGGTCCGAAATTAAACTATACCCTAATTGCGGATTCTGGCAGAAACCACTTTCGTTAAGACTTTTGATTGGCCATCTCCCTAGGCACCCTAGTCCAATCTGGCGCAATCCTGGCGAAGCCAGCCTGGTAGGTTATTAATAACGAAGCTTCACTCCTGTTTTCACCCCCGTGGCTTCCAGTGGGTGCCAGTGCCACAGTGCCTCCCCACAGCCATGGGGCGACAACCACACAATGGCAGACCACAGTACGAGTATGTGACTACCAAGTATCTCATATCAGGGACAATCATTGTTGGTTTCATTTTTACCGCTAGCCGTAATTAGCTGTGGCGTATGTTTTGAGGCGCTCAGTGCCTAAGCCAACGCCTAATCTCTAAGGGCACTCCAGTTAATCTATAGGGGACACCTGCCTGGAGCCCGCGCCTAGAGAGATACACTAACACTATTCTGAACTAGGGCCAGAAAACATAGTTACTACTTTGTACCTTATTCACTACTGATCTGCACCTCCCAGCCGCACCCAAACCCCCACCTTTTCCCCCAAACCGCTCACATCAGAATTTTCGAATCCAAAATTTCCCTTTCTTGGGCAAGCCTCGTGACAAGTTTCGACTTACAGACAGCAATCATGGCATCAAAGAGCAATCTGTCTTTCGAGACTCGAGCGGTGAACCACCCTAATCCGCTGGTGAAAAGATTGTTCGCCATTGCAGAGCGAAAGCAGACAAACATTGTCCTTTCTGCCGACCTCACCACGTCTAAAGAACTTCTGGGCATTGCCGATAGTAAGTCAAGCCCAACGTGTTCCATGGCATCCTCTACATGATTCTGGTGCGCCAAGAGAAGGAGTATTGCATATTTCCATCTATGCTACACTGTCGCGTTCATGGTCTGATGTGGTCATCGGATTTTTTGTAGGTCTGGGCCCTTATATTGCTGTCCTGAAGACACATATCGATATCCTTTCGGATTTCAACCAGGACACAATTGATGGCCTCGTCGCATTGTCCGAGAAACATGACTTTCTCCTTTTCGAAGACCGAAAATACATCGACATTGGCAATACGGTTCAGAAGCAATACAAGGGTGGCGTGCTAAAGATTCATTCATGGGCTCATATTGTGAATGCCAGCATCCTTGCAGGGGAAGGCATCATTCAAGCACTTGACCAAACCATTCGCGAAGCAGGCGTCCAGGATCGTGCCATCCTGATCTTGGCCGAGATGACCTCGAAAGGTTCGTTGGCAATTGGCGAATACACTCGAGCCTCAGTCGAGATTGCAAGAAAGTACCCTGATACTGTCCTGGGCTTTGTGTCGACGAGAGAGCTCTCGAAACACTCTCCAAATGCTCCTTCAACGGAGGACTTTGTGGTGTTCACAACAGGGGTCAATATTTCCAGCAAAGGCGACGCACTCGGACAGCAATACCAAACCCCTACCACGGCGATGCAGGGCGGATCTGACTTTCTCATCGCAGGAAGGGGCATATATGCCTCCGCTGACCCAATTGCCAGTGTCAAAGAGTATCAAGATGCGGGTTGGAAGGCTTACAAGCAACGCATCGCCACCGATAAGCCCTGATGTCTCCTTAGGACTGCGACTGGCAGACCGATGACTTGCACAATCACTCGATACATAAAATTACCACTTTCGCGTATTGGGTATCGAACAGGTACCGCGTCCCCATTCCAATGACAAGGACATATGGAGTGGGAGTGTACTCCGTAGGGAGCTACCGCCTAAATTCTAAAGGCCATGAGGGCCGGGGGTGGCTGAGGCGGCCACTGACCACCATAATGATGCCTACGAGCTATGTAAAGAACACTCCCGCTGAAGGAAGGCACTGCCTGGAGGAGACCTAATGGGGGCCGAACGGGCCTTGCATTTTGGCCTTGTTCAAGGCCTCAATAGTCGGCCTATCGACTGGTCAGTAGACGTGCACAGAAGCAGAGACTCTTGAGGTACAGTAAGTAGTAGCTCGAATACTCCGTAGATACCTCATGCATGCGTCTTCTTTTGAGTTTCCTCCTGTACTCTTCTGTAGGACAGCAATCCTGCATATCTGGAGAATTAAGCTCCAGGTCATCCCCTGGTTGACTACGTCAACTCCTGCCCTGTGGATGGCTGATCACCATTCATGTTTCGAACCTACGGACTGATGAGTCCTCGATTGATTGTGGCGTGTGTGGTCAGGTTTGCCAGGTTTCTACTCCCTCCCTCCTGTTTCCAAATTCAGACCCCTATTCTCACATCACCACCACACCGCCGCATCCTCATTACAATACGACTTTTTAGGATCAAACCCTATGACCTGTGGGTCGTGGGCCGTGGGCCGTGGCCACCACCGTCACCTCCCTCCCCCTGGTAGCGCGTGTCCGTGCACGTCCGAAGGCTCCAACCCCCAGCCTCCCGTGCCCGCTGCTGCTAGCAACCGAGTCTGCCACGGCCTTGCCTTCGATCCCCAAAGCCTTGGGCGATTTTGGCCAATAGCCGCGACGATAGATCCAAGGATCGTCGCAATAGCCCAGCAACGTTTACGCTTCTCCGGAACTTCGACGTCACCTGCGGCCTGCTTGATCTGCATCCACATACGAGTACGCAGGCGCAATATAGCATCCTCCCGCCCTTCCTCATCTCAGCCCAAAGTCAAGATATCACATTGGGCAAACCCAAGAGATCGACACTGTGCATTCCTTCTCTAGCGAAATTCTCGACTTTGGTGGAGCTGAAAATGGCCCAAATGAGAATATCTTCATCATTCATACTAGCATTACCCCCTCTACATATCGTACCACAATCGACCAGGGTCCAAGCGAGCCGTCGTGGCTGTTGTGCTACCACGCTATCAATGTGCAACAAAGCCCTGGAGCAACGGCCTGCTCCAAATCCAACATGTCACTCGAGGACGATCATGACATCGTACACTACCCTGAAGCTTTGAGCGCTGTCGTAGTGGTTGTCGTGTCACCGACGGGCACACTAAACTCTCTCGGTTCGTCTTCGACTTGAATCTCTGCCGCCATTTCATTGCGTTGCTTCTCCGTCATTTCCCCAAGACGGACGACAACCTCATCCCCAAACAAGGCATTGATCTCTTCGAGCGAGTGCCCTTTGGTCTAAAAACAAGGTTGGTCAGTTATCATCATTCTCGATTCGCCTTCCTTAAGACGTGGAGTCCTTCTTACCTCGGGACACCAAAAATAGAATATGACAATGTTCAGCGCGGTAAGGCAGATGAAAATAATATAGTATCTCCACTTGATATCTGCCAAAGCCGTGGGCGCTGCTTCCACGTACACCAACGTCGAGAGGAATGTGCCTGCCAGAGACCAAGCGACCCCTTGAGACCGAATATGCGTGGGAAATATCTCGGCTGATCGTGGTCAGAACGGATCTCCATTGCTGACCTTTGGCGGGGTTTTCGCACTTACAGCAATAGACATATCCAGTCACATCGATACCTCCTCCATAAAAGGTGATGAAACAGAAAGAGAAAAACACGCCCATGCTAAGTCCGGCATCGTTCGAGGTGCCCGCATACTGCGCGATCATGGCAGTCTCCAGGCACAACGAAATCATGCAACCTGACAGACCAGCAACTAGACTTACTCGTCAGTGACAGAACCTATCGTATACAACATGATCGTCTTACTCAGCAACGGTTTCCGGCCCACTCTGTCCAACAAAAGTGCCCCCACAAAGTTCGAGATCCAAGCCACTGTCACATATGCTGCCCCCAGGATTAGGGGTACACCTCCGGACAGGCCTAGGTTCTGGTACAGTAGGACAATGTACACTGAAAGGTCATGTCAGCTGGTGCAGCCACGAGTTAAGCCACCGTCACCGTCGGTGGCCACGCCATAGGGCTGTAACGACTCACCATAGATGACCTGTGCCCCTGTTGACTGAGCAGCATATTGGATGAAGAATCCCATCCAAAATCTTTTCTGGTATGACCGTTTCATTAACATGCCTTTCCATCCAGCAGCTTCCCACGCCGCCGAATCCACTCGAACTTGCTCAGTCATCTGGTAAAACTCGTCTCGGGCAAATTGCAACCGTTTCTCGTTGCCGTCATCTCCGCAGTGCAACCGTTTCATTATAGTCCAAGCTTCTTCTCGTCGATCTCTTGTGAGAACTGAGACAGTGTGTCAGCGCGGTGCGTGGTCACAGGCTTCAACAATCCCAAAACTTGACTTACGCCATCGAGGTGATTCTGGAACCCAAGGAGAGCAGAGTGCCAGTCCCAGTGGGGGTAGAATGGAGAGTGCAATGGGGAAGCGCCATTGAAAGGACAGGTTTGAGGAGTAGTATGTTCCTGCACCCACCCATCCTGCGATCGCATAGCCCATGACGATCCAAGTACCGTGCTGGCCGACCAAAAACCCACGAGCATCTGGTGGCGCTGCAGTTGCATTAGCTCAGGAGCAATCTTGGGGGGAAAAATCATCCTACAAATCTCAGCTTGATAAATAGGAATCAGCACCACCATCATGCCAATGCCCCAGCCGCAGATGAAGCGTGAGACCAGGAACATGGCCATGTTCACCGAACCAGTCTCGAGCGCCCCGCCCACTACATTGACAGCCGACGCGAGATACATGGTCTCTTTGCGGCCGCGGACATCAGCCATCCATCCAACATGCAGAGCTCCGAACAAGGCCCCAGCACAGTACAGGCCGTTGATCGTGCCCGTGATCGCATTGACATAGTCGGTACGATTCTCCAGGTTAAAATAGGATATAAACCCTACAACTCTGTAAATAAGGGGCCATATGACTGACTGCCAGTGCTGCTCACCAGGTTGTCCTATGGTGTTGGAAATGACAGAGAAGCCATAACCAAAGGTAAAGCTGCCCAAGGTCAAGACCAGAATGATGCGCAGGTTATACCAAGTGTAAGTCCTCGCCATGTTTTGTGTAGTCGAGAAAAGGTTGAACAGGGCAAAAGTGCGTCCCAATCAGTAGTCGAAACACCAGAGAACGCCTTCTCGAAACAGATACGAGAAATCCAGACTGGACGGGGGAACCGCCATTAAGTTTGGTCGAGATCCTTGGGGCCACCACCTCTCGACATCAGATGCATTATGTCCATTTATCTCTTCGACGGCCCACCGTTCAAGTAATGATCGACGATAAAAGTATTGACACAAAGGGACATACTTGATGCAGGCTGGGCACTGTTAATGCCCGTTCGCGATGTGCATAAATGGCATTGGCAACCTGCAATTACTCGATTCATTCGAGAGAGCTCTGTCGACATTGAACCCCTCTCTAGCTTCGAGTATGATCCTTGCCCTCGACGGCTTGGGAGTCTGGGAGTCTGTATGCCATGACCAACGAAGGAACTGTCGTTCACAGATTGACAACGCAACATGACCATACCAACCTGGATCCAACACCTTCCCAACGCTCCAGTGACCTTGTCCGACGGTTGTCCTTGGAGCAATCCAACGCCTGCTCGAGTAAAGTGCTGACAAGGATGGATGTGTCAGTCTTTTTTATCACAGGCTCAACATGATCCACTAACGTCTGGTCCAAGCATTGTGGTTGGATGCTTGTCGGTTAAGCCATGCCTGTGGGATTAGTGGCTACACTGCTATACATCCGCAGAGCGAGACCCCAGGCCAGCATCAACCTCCTGGGTTAACGAACTAATAGCACAGTACGCATATGCGTTACGCGTTACGCACGTCAAGGGTCGCGGGATTGAATGCTTCTTTAGCCTCGGACTCGAGCATCCGCCCAGCCATGACTACTCTCACCCCCAAGGTATCGTACTTCATACCCCCAGTCCCCCGTCGCCCCCAGTGGTCCCCTTTGGGAAACATGGCATGATGCGACAGGTGATCGCTGTTTGGCCGAGAATCATCGACCCAAAATCCACTAGGCTCAAAGGTGGCGCCTCGCAACCTCCAGACAAATGCTTGCACGAGTCGCCAGGGTTCGTGTTCTCATGCGAGATGCTTTCATCATCACCAATCCCAATGCCAGCTTTATTCAAGTCTCCCTTTGACACGTGCCGGTCAAGACCATGATCCTCCTATACTCAACACCTGATCGCAGCTCATGAACTCATGTATGTATTGGGAGAGCTGACGGTCAGCACGATTCAAGTCGGAGAAAGCCTGTGCGGGAGTCCATTCGTGGAGATAATACAAATCATTTGCCGACAGCTACAAGTACTCTCGAAGCGAAGACGGGGTTTTGGCATCAATCGAGGGGTTGGGTGCCACACCTCCAGACCTTGGATTGACACGACTGGCTTCTATATGAGATATCTATCTGATCAACCGGCCCACACCCCACCCCCACTCATCCAGCAACCAAGCAAGCAAAGCACGGCAAGTCGCCAGGTCCGGTGGAAACACAGAATACCCGGGGCATAGCCTATGACGATTTTACCCTTGGATGCCCTCTCAACCCGAGGGACTCGCACCACGTCTCACCGATGGATCAGCAGCTCCATCTTTCAGCGACACAACGAGGGAGACCACGACAACGCTCAGCAGTCGCTTGCACGTGGTGTCACTCTCGACGTGTCAAGTGCAATGCATCGGCCATAGGGAGACCATGTTCCAACTGTGAGACGGCCAGCAGGCCATGCGTCTTCATCGAGAGCAAGAGGGGGAAGAAGCGGAAGTTGTCGAGCTCACCGACGACATGGCCGCCAGAGATTCATCACACCATGACGGACTCGCCGGCCACGGGCACCACGTCAACGCAAAGCATGTATGACCCGCTGAGAGAGTCGCGACAAGTACCCAAAGCCTCGCCGACGTCAAACCCTGTCCTCAGAACACCAGCTTCGTCGAGCGAGATGGACAAACCCGACCCAGTCCATGAGTCGGAGGAAACAACACTTTATGCTCAGGTCCTCGACAAGGCCACCAACGTGGCGACTAGTCAAGATGGCAAGGAAGGCGTCGTCCATGTCATGTACATGGGCGAGACATTCAATCTCACCCATCTTCTGAGACAGGTTCATGCTCAATCAGACTCGACCAATCACCTCAGAAAACGCCACTACGTGGTCAACGTAGTGCCCAAGCCACGGTCTTCTAATCCGTCGGTGGACGATGAGAGCACATTGACAAGATTTCTGCGACAGCAGGGTGCATTCACAGTCCCGCCTGTCCAGATCTGCCACGAGCTCTTCCGGGCTTATTTCGACTTTGTCCATCCCCATTATCCTATTCTGGACCGGTCAGATTTCGCGGCGCATTATGTCGAACCTTCACATGCTCCATCCTACTTGTTGCTACAGTCAGTCTTGTTCATGGCATCAGGCCATTGCGAGCTTCCCCTACTGAAGGAAGCAGGCTTTGCTTCCCGATACGAAGCTCGCAAGGTTTTGTTCCAACGAGCCAAGGTTCTATATGACAACGACCACGAGCAGAACAAGGTGACGGTAGTTCAATCGGTGTTTCTCATGAGTTTCTGGTGGAATGGCCTCGAGGACCACAAGGACACCTGGCATTGGTTGGGCATCTCCATCAGTTTGGCATTGACTTTGGGAATGCATCGATCGACTCACCATTCCGACCTGAAACCTAAGCATCGTGTCTTGTGGAAAAGAATCTGGTGGTCGCTCTTTGTCGAAGACAAACATGCCGCTGTAGCTCTAGGTCGCCCCGTTCACATTCGTCGGCGCGACTGCGACATCGAATTGCTCACCAAGGCCGATTTCGAAGAGGAACCGGCCAGTCGACCTGATGTGTTTGGGAGACCGGCAGCAGTCGACGCTCTCTATGTCATGGCATTGGCCGACCTGTCAATGATTGCGGAAACTATTGCGGAACAATCATTCACGGCGTTTGACGCCGCCACGGCTGGATCGGCTGACATGTTCCATTCATGCTCGGAGGCCTTGGATCAGTGGAAAGCACGCCTGCCGCGGGAACTACATCATGAAAATACAGGGAGTTGTTTGTGGACGAGCATGCTCCACGTTGCACACAGGTACGGTATCCTTGCCGCGTCGTTCAAACTGCAACTATGACTAATGATTCGTTGCTGCTTAGTTGGTTCGAGATAGTGACTCATCGATCTATCACTCCGCAAGATTGGTCGCCGCCATCACTGAAAGATGCACACAAATTGGGCATGAGAGCGGCCAACCGCATGATTCGAATTGTCGAAGACCTACTCAGTCCGTCTCGTATCTCGCAGTGTCCGATTCACATTGTGCCGGCTTTATTCGCCGCCATGGGCATGCAAGCAGTCGACATTTGCTCAGGAGATCACTTGCTGGGACAGCTGGGCGGTTCACGAACTCGATCAGCGATGCTGGCGTTGCAGCAGCTTCAAGGCACGTGGCCCGTCAGTGGATGGATCTTCCACTTATTCAAAAAGATTGTTCGGAGAATACAGAATCAAAGCGAGTTCTCGCCCAGCGAGCCGGTCAACCCATCACACGAGCAGATCAAAAGCGCATGTTCTCCCAGCCAAGGACGTATCACTGGCGTGAAGACGGAGCAGCAAGCAGACTCAAACGGTTCAACGCCGTATATGGATGCTAATCTCTCACACTTGTACGCGATGTCAGGATTCCAGTCCGGTCGATATTTATTTCAGAACATGCCGAATGTAGCTAACCCCATGGTTTCCAACAATCTTGCGGATTGGCCGAATATCTACGATGATGGCGGCACATGGGGAGAATTTGAGTATGAAGTCCGCTGGGGGGACCATGAGTAGCTCTGACCAAGCGGTTGACTGCGCCTACAGAATACAGAGGGCGTTTGGAGGACTGGCTATTCCACCAGGGAAATTCAACGGTGCGCTCGTGAAGAAAAAGGACCATTTGTTCAGACGTTTGCACACGTCGGCGAGCTCGTCCAAGTCGAACATTTCGCCGACGGGCATACCAAACAAGGCAATGAGGTTGTCATGTAGACCTGAAGGGCAGTTGTCAGCGCATCGTTGCCGTCGTACGAAATCACATAGTCCTTACGATATCGATCGTCTTTGGCCGGCCATGCCTCAAACACATTGGCGTCACCGGCAACAGCGGAAAAGTGTCGGTTCCAGAACCACTCCACTGAGTCTTTGGTGCCTTCTACTCCGGCCCAGGCCATGCCATCGACGGTTCCCGCCCGGCGCTCATGCGGACTGGCTTGCTTATACCATGTCACAAACCCGCAACGAATCAAAAGGATATCTCCTTGGCGGAAGATTGTACCTTGTGATTTTGCAACAGCTTCGAGATCTATTTCCGAGATAGGGTGACGTTCGATGGGAGAATATTGGATGCCTTGAGCTTGTGCCCAGGCATAATAGTCGAGGAGGACTCCTCGACCAACGATTCCGCCACGTCTGGACCACTCTGGACATTCTCCATCAGTCCGGCCCGATCACGACGAAGGATGTTCTCACGGTCAATTCCATTTCTGGGTCTCACGGTAGCAGGATTTGTGATCTCGTCATGCGAAACACCATTATAGTAGGTCTGGGAGGGTTGATGAGCCCAATGTCCTGCAATCCGTTGGCCATGATATCAGTGATCGTGGAGAGGCCCAAGAGATGGCTACAGCACTCACGAAAACCATCCCATTGACTGCCACTCTGGGTGTTCATGTGAATCTCATCGTCGTGGCCGACCCAATTAGGCAGGGGAATGATGGTGTGGGTAGGAGGTTTTCGATTCGAGTGAGGAGTCTGACAGTTGTTAAGAGACCAGTTAACAGCGACACTGATACCGTGTTGAATTTCGTCCTTGGCTGAGAGGACTGTGGGAGGTGTCAAGAGATTTAATGTCCCCAGTTCATCGAAATGGCCAGGACGGTCCCATAGGCCCCATGTGCAGCCCTGTGGCATGTTTGGCACCCGAGGCAGTTGGGAATATTCAGGGATTGCCAACTTACGGGGCTCTTGACCCTCGAGGGGTTCAGGCTGCATGGTGTGAACGGCTGAAGGGTTAACGATATCAATCATCATGTTCGAGGGACTCGTTGGGACTTGTTTAGAAAAGTGTGCTAAATTCGAGCTGTGACCTGTAGGAAGACTGCTGGCATGGAAGCCATAATGCTATATGTCAAACATTAAGACAGAGCAAACTCGTCCAGGCAAGACGTGAAGTGAGCTGTTTCAGGCTATTACTTTCGAAGGTGGACTCCACAGCTGCCAACTCACCCGTGTACTCCAATATCAAGTCATCTAGGGCATCAGTCTCGAAACGCATGCGGCTATGACAATGGTATAGCCGCAATGGGTCTTGAAGTGAAGGGCTGCTCCGAGATCCGAGTCAACAGTTGGCTTAGCCACAGAGATAGATGTGCTGGCGCTGATTCAAAGGCTATGATATTCTGATCAGGCCAGCCCATCGAGTACTCCACTGTTGATGGCTCTTGGGCGGCAACAGGACTGCTTCCTTACCAAGCTTGTAGGGTTCTAGTGAGGGGTACCCGCCGTGATGTTGGGCCGAGGAACTTCTTGATCGGTCGTATGTCGTCGCGTTGGACATCTGTAGGAAGGTGAGGTGTGATATCGAAAAGTAAAGGGGTTGAAAGATATAGCCTAGCTTGCGGCTCTCAGGCCACAAGTTCCAAGAGTGACTGGGTGCACTTGGCCCTTGCTGGGTAGTCAGCATAGTACTCACGACGACAGTGAATTATGGGAACCATCGATCTGGCTAAATCTGGACGTGGAATGTGAACATTTACGGTACAGAGAGGACACGAACAGGGAGAAGAAAAACGTGGAGAAGTTGAACCCGTTGCTCCTTCCTGCTTGTCGTGTCTCAGTAGCTCCTTCCTCTGTTCCTCTGTCTTCTATCGTGACTGCCATGTCTGTTCAGAGAGTACGCGGCAGGCTCCAAAAGTCGACTTTCGACATCCACCATCCAACGTCCTCCATCCCCATTTCAACGTCCTGCATGGATCGTCGTCTCACTCTCCACCACGACTACGTTGTATGGTTGTATCCATACCAACCGTCATCTCCACTCTACATAGCCCTCGGCAGTTGATCAGACATGACCCAAATTCGAATGCTGCGAGGACAAAACCACAGAGGCACAGAGGGAAACAGGCAAGCCCCTCGGCCACTCAGAGTCACCCGTCCGTTGACCTTTCTGAACCTCTCGGCTTATTTCTCTTTACCAGTGATGCTTAGCCGTGCTTGGACGTTGGACAACCCAATGCCAATCATCATGTCATGGCTAGCATGGCTGGGCAATTTTCAACGGCGCCACCCACGAAATCTCCGAACCCAATACCGCTGCTCTTTATTTCCCCGATCAGAGATTCAACTCCTCAACCCCCGACTGATCCCACGATCGACATCTCTTGCAGCTGCAAACTCTGACGGAGCCCCATACTATCTTATCTGATTAGATGATGTTAATCTGATACTTTTTTCGCTGACGTCGGCCCAGAATGTCTCTCCCCTTTCCCTCCCCTTCCCTCTGCCCAATTTGCAACCTCCCCACCCTGCCGTGCTTGGATGTGCAACTCAATTCTGACATCTCCAGGTCCAAATGCTCTCACTCTTCCTCTCGAGTCCGAGATCGCTACTCTCAGATTGGCCTCTGGCCCATTTTGTGCTGTCATGTCGCATTTGCCTCCACCTTGAATGCTACCGACGTCCCCAGAATTGTCCGCTTTACATCTTCATCAGGTCTAGCTGGAAACGCAAAAGATCAAAACATCATGTCGTTGGGTTTAGAGGTGAGCTGGACATTCGTGTCCATCGTTCTTCTGCTCATGAATTTCGTACGCTGTCCTGTCCGACATGCGACGACAATCTGGCCAATCCTTTTCCGCTCTTCCCAGTCCTGCACTACCTTATCCAGTCTTCAATTCTATTATTTCACTTAGCAGGCTGATGTTTGCTGCGCTTGTGATTCCCTCACTACCTTCTGCCTATCAACATGGCGGTTCCAGACCAAGCCAGTGTAGGCAATGCAGCCAGGCCATCCACCGACACTACCATGTCACATGTTGAACCTCCTCAATTGGCCGATGAGGAAATGAATGTGGCCGACAAAGAGGACACCGCCTCGCCATCCGAATCTGACAGTGAGACGGAAAGCCAAAGGCTCATGGATGTCGCCTGGGGCCGCCGTGGGAAACTATACATGTGGATAGGGTATGCTTGCGTTCTGCAATCCATGTGGCCCAGCATAGCTAATGTGCATTTAGTATCGCCTTAATCTGGACCATATTGTGAGCCTCAATCCTCTCCCCCTCCATCCACGTCGTTTGCTGAGCCATTTTTCCAGCGAGCTCGACCATGCCACCATATACAACTACCAGAATTACGCCGCCTCGGATTTTGGAGAAGTAGCCCTATTGGGAGCTTTAACCACAGCAGGGACCATCATCAGCGCCGTCTTGAAACCCCCCATAGCTCGCATATCAGAGGTCGCCGGCCGAGCGGAGACTTATATCGCTGTAGTCCTCTTCTACATCGTCTCCTACATTCTCTGCGCTTCTGCCCAATCCTTTGCCCAATATGCCGGTGGTTATGTTGCATACTGCATTGGTCAAACGGGCATGCAGATCCTGAACCAAGTCATTGTCGCCGACATCACTTCTTCGAGGTGGCGTGGTCTTGCCAATGGTCTGGTCAACCTTCCTTTCATGATCATACCCTGGGTCTCTGCATTCATTGTCGACAGCGCTCTACTTAACATTGGTTGGAGGTGGGGCATTGGCATGTTTGCGATCATTATGCCTGTCGCTTCGTTGGCCGTCATTGCACCCCTCTTGTGGTATCAGAGACGGTTCCAAAGAGCCGGCGGCACAATCCATCAAAGTATTTCCTTTCGAGACTTCTTGACCCAAATCGACCTGGGCGGTATGATCTTACTTTGCGGGGGATGTGCTTTGCTTTTGCTCCCCATCGCCCTAGCAGGCAACAACTCCCACGGTTGGAAAGCGCCCTGGATTCCCGCTCTCATCACCATTGGCGTCGTCTCCTTGGCAATCTTGGTTTATTACGAAGCACGTATCGCCGCCAAACCAGTCATACCTCCACGTTTCGTCAAAAACGTCTCTCTTGTTCTAGCCTTCTTAATCGGACTTCTCGACGCTTTTGCTTACAGCATCACTCACACATACATGTACGCATGGGCCACCGTTGTGCACGACTTTTCGGCCCGCAACGCCACTTTTCTCACCTACACTGCTGGCTGTGTCCAGGTCTTGACAGGACTGGCAACGGGCTACGTTATGTTCCGGACCAAACGGTACAAATTCTTACTCTTACTGGGAATTGTCATTCGACTCATAGGCTATGGCTTCATGATGAGGCTACGAGGCGCCAATAACTCTATCGCCGAGATTTTTCTGATGCAAGTAATTCAGGGGGCCGGAAGTGGAGCTGTTGGAACCGTGGTTATTGTCGTTGCGCAAGTGGTGGTGCCTAGAGAGGAACTGGCCCAATCCACGGCTCTGGAGCTTTTATTCATCTACATGGGCAACAGTTTGGGTTCGGCCATTGCTGGGACAATCTACACCAGCTTATTCAAAGGCAGACTCCGCTTTTGGTTAGGCTCTGACGCCCCTCAATCCGCCATTGACGATGTCTATGACAAGATCACAGAAGTTCTTCCAGACCCCCGTTCGCCAGAAAGGACTGCAGTCAATCATGCATATTCGGACATTCTGAGATTCATGACAATAGGCGCATTAGTGGCTTCCGCTCTGCCGATGGTCATGATCTGGTTTTTACCCAACTACAAGTTAAGCGACAACCACAACCTGGCCAACGACTTGTCCGACAGTACCCAACCAGCCACCGGCGAAGATGATGCTGAGGAGACGACGTTGAAGAAGTGGCAGCGGCACATCAGATGGTGATACATCTACAGCAATCGTATGGTTTCGGAATCTAGAGGACATTATCCTCCGAAGAGGGAGAAGAAGATGACTGTCACCAGACATGTTTGGCACAGTAACGACGCAATGATCACAATAGAATGCATCTAGGGGTTTTATCATAGATTTACATCCAAGACAAATACTTTTCAAATGGTGAATAGTTTGTCCATGTACTCAGGGGCAAAGCTGACACGTGCCACCACGTGACCATGCCCAACCTCTGGATTTCTTCCGTCATTATTGACTGGCCTACAACATCACCTACTAGCTAACTCTGAGGAGCGAGGACCGATAATTCCAATCCTAGGTTATACTTGGAGTACCAACTTCGACAGGGCTACACTTGTTTCAACCTATGAGGCGGTGCGCTATGGACGGCTGCAGCCTGGTTGAGTAATTGGACGACTCGAGGGAGGCCTCAATGCGCCAACCAATTCAAGAGGCAAACTAGGACATCTTATAGCCTCATCAATGAGTCAGGATTGCTCTACCGGTTGAATTAAAGCCGAATCACCTAACCATCAAGCAAATGTTGCCTGCTACTAGCCTCTCTCTGAAGCCAGAAATCATCGGTCGTCTCTCATGCTCAGCGTGCTCGACTTGTTCATACACTCTGAGCAGAACTCTACACTCATACCTTCGAGCATCATATGCACTGGCTCGCAATCTAGCTACCATGGCTCCGAGGAACAAAGGCAAAATCAAAAGCCACCAGAAACAATCAGCGCGACGCCCGACACATTTTGTCTGTTTCCCACTTGTTACTAACCAGTCGGTCCAACAGTTGAAACAGTCGCTGGCCAAATTCAAGGAGGTAACGATGCCGCGTGACAAAAATGTGGACACAGTTCAAAATACTGAAGTCGGTCCAGAACTGACGACCTCATCATCGCTACGGCTCCTTCCCGCTGCAGCACATCGTCCTCCAGGGACCTTTCATTTCACCTTGGGCACCATGGATCTGTCAGAGGACGCCGATATGGAGCGTGCATTGAGACTCCTTCAAGAAATCGACTATTCAGCCTTGTACAGTCAGACAGTAGCAGCATTGTCAGCGAGAGGCGTCCAAGGGGATCGGTCACGTCACAATAAGGTAGACGTCGTCGGAGAAGCCTCGAATACAGATTTGTCCACAGCCTCGACAACGACAACGACAACAACTTCGGTATCAATACTCTCTTCATTGACCCGAGACATCTCACCACCTCGCCGAGCCCTGTTCACGTCGCAAGACTCCCATCTATCACCTCAAGCACAGCCCCCATCACAATCTCTACATCCGTTGCAAATAACCCTGCACTCACTCGGTACATTCCCCACGTCACGGTCAGCACGCGTCTTCTACGCCGAACCGGCTGAACCTACAGGTGTGCTACAAGGGTTCGGCGAATTGATTCGCAAAGTCTTCAAGGACGAAGGACTCATCACCGAGACCCGACCGTTGGTTTTACATGCCACAGTGGCGAATTTGATCTATGTCAAAGGAAGGGGTAAAGGAAAAGGCAAGAGCAGCGATGGTGGAAATGTTGATGCTAGGGAGATTCTAGACTTGTTTAACCACAACAGTCAAAACGCCTCGAGTTTGGGTTTGGATTTGGGTTCTCCATTCATTTGGGCTTCAGACATCCCTATCGACAGAATACGTATCTGTAAGATGGGAGCGGAGAAATCTGATAATCCGGATTGGGGATTAGAGTATCGTCCAATTGGCGAGAAGGTCTTTGTTTCTTAGGAAAGACGGAGGATAAAAGTCATGTGGGCATAGAGTTGAACGGAATATGTTCTACGTAAAGAGTGTACGGCCTCCTGAACGGAACGCCGTTGGGCATTAATATAGATTATTGAGTCCTCATGACGATAATATAGCTAAGGAAGTAAATTGTTTGCATTGCCGTCAATCGTCGGTAAGTCGTGGAGGCCAGGCGAAATGCCGACTTTGCTATCAAGTCTGCCAAACCCCTGACGACGTAGGACAAGGACTTGGTAGCGTTGCACAAAGCATCAGCGATGTAGATTGTCTAGTCACGACTATGTCAGACTCTAGACTGTGTCGAGTTTTTGACTCGGGGGAGTCATCATCTCCTTTCTGTTTTATGGTCGCCAATCATGACTTTTCAATCAAAAGCCTGTAGATAGATTATTCGAGGATGGCGGTATCAGAAGACCTTCCGTGTTTTTGGCGCTGAGATGTCGTTACCAGAGGTACTTTGCGTTCTTCAAAACAAAGGTATCTGCGTCTTGGTTACCGTATCTCTTTCCACGATTTCGATTCTCTTGGACTGTGTCGATTCAATGAATGTCCCATTTAGCCCATGTTGGGGAGGAAATCAGACACTGTGTCGGTGGGATGGATGCCACCTGACCTCAGTCCAATTATCCCCAGGCGTTGTTGGTGACGGAGCAGATTGCTGGTTCGTGGTATGAGATGAAATCGACGGACGGTAGTAGCCTCTTCCTATTCGTCCATCATTGCCCATCTGGGTGGTCTTTCTTGTCCTAGACGAGAATTTCGCTTCCATCATCTTGTTCGTGGTGGTAAATATCCATCTTCCTTTCATGTCTTTGGAGTGTTCAAACCCCATCCATCTCAGTTCACCCTCAGGTCATTTGCTCCACTTGTTCCTCTGATGGTAAATCATCCAAGTCAAAGATCACCCGAATCATCAGACTACAGCTCGGACACACAGCAATATCTTCTCCATCTCGTAGATCCGAAATGTTGATCTCGAATCGGTCGCCGCAGGGACAAGGGTAATGGTAGATTTGTAGTTTAGGGTCAAAGGTCAGGTCTTCGATTTCAATCTCATCGTAGATATCTAGATCATCTGCCTCTGACTGTTTCGACTTGTTCTGGCCGCTCAGGACGGTGGTGGTCGAGGCTGCGGCAATGGTCGCTGCGTTGGACATGGTGGAAGAAGTTGCGCCCAGCCAGCTACAGGAATGTTCGTCAACACTGCCGTGTCACAATATGATTGGGGTTCAATGTGCCTCTTCAAAGTGTTCGGGAATTCGAGGGAGGAGGTGCGATTTTCAGAGCCGCTGGCACAGCCTGTATAGGTGAGATTCTGCGGTGGCGAGAAATCGGTGCAAGCGGTAAGAAAACCGCCCATTGATTAATACTTTTTGTCACTTGACTCTCGACATGCGGGGAGCCGAATTTCGAAGTTCGAATTCCCCATGCAGAAATCTTGGCAACTCGAGACAATCACGTGACAAGTAATCAAGCATACAGAATAGAAGGGCATCACCCTAGTCCGAAGGGAGGGTAAGGGCCAGGGCAGACTTTACTGTCCCTTTGGCATTCTCATCTATTCCTTACGAAATCTGCCTTTGTTCTCGTCTAAAGAAGTGCAGATTGAGCCTGATGACATTTTCTTACAACCTAGGTCGGCTCAACAGTCGCTCGGTCATTTGATGGACTGCAATTCAGGTGAGTCTTGGGGGACCGATTCACCACGAGTCAATACACATTCAAGACAATTAACATGGGGTCACAGGCATTGAAAAAGATTGGACAAAAGTTGTGGAAGGTAGTTAGGTCAAGGGTGCCATATTTGATCTCAGTAAGAGACCTTCGCTTGCATTTTCATGTTTTGGGATATCATGAGACACCATCTCCAGCTTGAGCGATGATGTCGAGTGGTTTTGATATATTCGACAACCCCGTCTCATATCCATGAAGTCTTCGAGACGACGAACATCCAGTCGCTTTTCCCGCGCGCAATTCATAGCGGTAATGCTGATCATGTGTAATAATTGAATCCACATCCACCGAATACGATTGAGGACGGCCTTAGCAACATGCCAGCGGCTAGAAAATTCTTCCACCACATTTCGACCATTGCCATGACCGTCGTCACAATCGCATCTATCGGTATCTCCAGAGCGACAAAGTGTTGTGTCTCTTCCAGGTCTTTCTTCGGCCAGCGGTGGTCTTGTTGTATCCGTGTCCCTTGCCCAAACCACGGGATTTCTTGCCGGTAGCGGTGAGGCCACGAGATTCGCGGTGCTAGAATATGAATCAGTCAATGTACTCTTAAATCTCGGCGTGAATGTTCCTACCTTGTGCACAGGATTGACGATCCAGTTGATCCGAGGATCACGGCGAATGGCCTTGTGTTGAGGGTCGACCAAGATGACTTCGAAGTATTTGTAGGTCGAGTCCTGGTTGATCCAGTACGAGTTGAGGACACGCAGATTGGCAGCGCGGCGACCGACACGTTCTTCAGCGGTGGATCGGAGAGATCGCTGGTACTTGAGTTGGTTCACACCCTGGTTGGTGGGCTTGCCTGTTCAAACAGAAAAAAAAATAGTTAACGATCTGAGGTTCTTGATACACTTCCATCGTCGTCTGCCGCGGAAAGAGGTCGTTCTCTTACCATAAGTGGCACCCTTGGGCACAGGTCGCTTGCGGCCACCACGTCGGACACGCACACGGTAGATGACATATCCCTGCTTGGCCTTGTAACCCAGACGGCGGGCCTTGTCGGGTCTCGAGGGGCGAGATGCGCGGTGGATGACATTCAATTGTCGGAGCTATATTGATGCACTCTCAGCAAATGTTCAACGAGTGTATAGCAAGACACCTCAAAAACAAAAAAGCATATTTTCTTGGTGCCACGAAATCACGACCAGGGTCGACAAGAAGAGAGCAAGAGGTAAAAAATGCAAGCTCTTTCTCTCCTCTTGTCCTCCTAATCGTGATGTTCATTGTATTTCGGGGAAGCTCACCTCCCAGCAGCGGACTCGGAGAAGGAATCGAAGGACATCGGATTGCTTCTTCTTTTGAAGTTCTTCGACGTATTTGAGGGCACCCATCTGAAATAGCAATTAGTCTGGATATGTCGACACGAGAGAAAAAATGAGCGGCTGCATACCTTGACTGTTGCACCTCACGGAAAATGTGGTTGTCGAGAGGAAGAATTGGGACTGAATGGCGGTCGCAATCAAATCAATCGACTTGCTAGGAGGAATTCGAAAAGTTGCAAGTGTGCGCAGTCTTGGCGCCAGGTCTCTGTGAGGTGCAAATCTTGGCAGCAGTGGCACTAGTGTTGACCAATTAGAAAAGTGTGGAGTAGGCCGTCACCCACTGGCAAGTTGCGGAACCTCGTTTCTCCGCGCCGATCTAAGTAGTCATCTTGTTCATGCTGGCCACCAAAGCAAACAAATGCATGAGTGTGTTGGGGTCATCTCATCTCTGTTGGCATTTGATTGCAATTATTGTACAGCAGAAAGAACGTCATGCTTGAGTCTTAGCTCCCCAAGCACAAGACAAGCAAGCAAATATCGTAAAGGAACGCGCATCCTCTCTCTCTTTGGTACCATTCTAAAACTGTCCGGTCCGCTGTGTCCAAGCTATGAAAATCGGCCTGCAATTCCCAAGAGCATTCCCTCAGTCTGGATGTGTTCGATGTCTTCTGTCCCTGCAAGCAACAACTAATTGACCTCAAGGTTTCCAATTTCACCTGACCCATGACCTTCAACATGAAATGACTCCCAAGTATGCAACCTTGAGTCGGTTGTAAACGAAAGTTCCCCATCCGCGTGATAGGCAGAAAGCCAAACTCATCACAACCCATGTAATATGTTTCTGTGTCGTTTCTTTTTTGGTTCGTGTCTTGCCCTCTGCCCAAATTCTAGTTCTGAATGCGATGCATGTAAAGTTTCTTGGCCGTGTAAAATGTGTAAAGGATTTCTACAATGGTGGTCTGCGTCACTTCAGAAGTGGCGGTGATGAGTTTGTCCTGAAAGAGAGATTACTTGGAAGAAGGTAGAGAACTGTGTTGGAAAGAGAGAAAAGAAAAGATGGCTAGGAGCCAAGTGAGAGACCTTGGAAGCGACCCATCCAATTAACGTCGCCACCTTGGTTGGTGCCTCTTCCGCGGTAATCATGTCGATTAGTGGCAAAGTTGGGAGCGTTTGGGTTCAAGGCTGGGTATGGTTGGTTGTAGTAAGAAAGGTACGGGTCCATCTGACTCGTCATACCTGGCGCAAACGAAGTTACTCCAGGTTGGAGTGGCTGATGTCCGCCGCCCATGTCGTTGAACTGGCCAAAATATGGTGATCTCATTCCTTGAGATTGCCCGTTGAAGGTCCGATCGGCATCAAAGGTATCCCCAAACGGGGTTGTGACAGGCTGTTGACCGTGCACATGTCCATGTTGCGGTTGCTGGGATTGATGATGCTGTGGTGGCTGTGGTTGGGGTTGCCGTCTTCGATGTCGTTCGTCGTTGGATGGTGTTCCATACGCTGGAGTAAGGCCAAGAGACGCCGTGGGAGTCTGGAACGAGGCTGGGTTGATGGCCGACATCCATATCCTAGTCTTGTATATCTTGAATAGGTCGGTCACGAGGTGATTGAAGTTGATGTAATTATCAGCAAAGTAATAGAATGTGAGCTTTTTGCTATCCCTATGCCGCGTTAGTATCACGTCTTGGAAACCCCGCCGCAAAACTTACATCTGGAATTCGGCATCGAGAATTTCCATGTTCAACCGATGGTCCACGACCTTTTGCTGGCAAACACGTTTGGCCTTTGCCTCATTGCCCTCCTTATCTTTCAAGGACTGGATCTCATGGTTCTGGGCAAGGCGCTTGATCATCTTGGGCTTCAAATCGGGATGAGCACTGTCATGAGGTCCTTGATGTCCCTGGGGACCCATGCCGCCGACAGCACTACCGGGACGGCCAGGCATGCCATTTGGGTTGACCACGTTAGGCCCACCGCTGCGGCTTTGTAGAGAAAACATCATCAGCCACTTGTAATGCTCCTCGGCATAATACTCCTTGTATCGTCTGGCATCCTCCCAGTTGACATTAGTATGTTGAACTGTGCCTAGATCGGTGCCGCGATCTGCTTCAACAATGACTAAGTCTCCCACATTGACATGAAGACCAGTTCCCTCCTGGATGTAGAAGACATCAGATCGGCAGCATTTGAAGTTCACGATGAAGAGAGGCTGGCTGGTGGGCTCAAGAAAAGCGCCGACACCCAGCTGTTGTGTGAATGATTGTGGCTCAGGATGTGCTTGATGAACTCGGGCGTCCGCGGCTCGACGGGTGGATTCGGTGGCGTTGAAGTAAGCTGCTGCAGAGTGACGAGCACGTAAGTACATATTATTCAATTTTCCTTCACTGGGGAGCATCAAAGACAGGGCCGACTCACGGTCATCACCTTGGGAAATCTCCTGGGAACCACTTTCATATGTTGTCGCATCATCCTCGCGTCCTGATCTGTTAGCGATTTCTTTTGTCAAATTGGGCCACGCAACTATCTCACCAGTCGAGCTGAATGATCCATGTCGGGTTGGAACATCCGCAAACGAATGACGGCGGCTTTGAGGAGCTTCCGGGATGGGTCCAAATCCTAGCGAAGTTTGCCATTGTGCTCTTCTCGCTCCATCTAGTTGGCGATTCTCGAGGGATGATCCAGATGGTCTCTCGGCGAAGTGACCGATATTTTCGCTCATGCGTCGAGAAACACCCTCACGGCTGTATCCGCTAAGTCTGGAAAAGTCATCTGGGTCATCAATTGCATCTTCAGTCTCTTCTAACAAGGGTCCTTGAAGTCTGGACTGGCGAAATCCCACGGCCTGACCTGGGACTGTTGCGGATGAAGTCCTCTCGCGTTGCGCAGCGTGCCTGAGCTTGGCATTTTCCTTTTCTAGCATCTCTATCATCCGAGCTTGATCCTGAGCAATGGAAGATGACGAGGCTCTGGCATCTTCCTCATTCTCATCTTCTCGCAAACGACCCAAGCCCAGCGGGTCATTCCCTGCTAGACCACTTGTCCGCGAGATGCGCCGAGTGAGTGCGGGATTTTGGCCTGCAAGTCTTGTCCGCGTGGCTTCTGTCGAGGTCGACAAGGGGTTGGCCGGATTGGGTGCGTTGGTGGTGTCAAGCTGTCCAACTGAATAAGATTGTGATCGGTAGGTCTTGGGGGTGGGCTGCAAGGGAATCGTGAATGGGATGCCATTGTCGCCATTCGAGGGCAAAACCTCTTGGAGCCTTAACGGTGGATCTTTCCGAGAATCTTGGCCCCAGATGTTCCATGCAGTGTATGGCGTTGGCAGAGCTGGATTTGGCCAGCCTGGGGGATTTGAGGCATTGAGGTTAGTCCATGGAGAAATTTCAGATCCTGGGGTTCCAGGGTGTGAGCCGGATGGACTGTATGGCCCCGTGATTGACGGCTTTCGGTTTGGGTTGTATGAGGATGTGTCAGTCAACCAAGAAGTTCGACGAGCGGGTCTAGCGGTTTTGACGTTGGACGAGGCGGTGGGTTTGGGATGCTCGACTTCATCATCAGAAGAAGCGAGGGCTTCCGAATCAGGAGTAGATCTACGCAGACCAGGGTTCGACTTCTCGAGCAAGAGAGATGCGGGCGCCTGATGAGCGTTGAATGTCCCAAAGGCTGGCATGGGACTACGAGTCGGAAGGCTCGACTTTGCTGGGTTTTGGCTCATCTTGGCTTAGTCCACCTTCAATGTCACGAAGCTGGACAGCCTTTGAGATCTAAGGGAGTGGTTAGAGAGTGCAATGAATTATGGCTTTGTATGAACAGCGTGATTCTAAATCAGTAACGTGACCGTGGCTGTCTGAGGTTTGGCAGAACGACGAGGGACACAACTCACAGAAAGTCAAAACAATAGCGATTTGGTCGACAGTCCTACTCACCATTCCAGGGCATCAGGGACAACCCCAACGAGCAGTGATGTCAAAAGATCAACCGTGAAAGCAATGCGCTCACTAAAGCCAGCCTCTGTTCCTGAGCCAAGCAGACGCTCGAAAAGGTTGATGTGTAAAGTTAAGATACCAATTGCGCCGGTGGTCGTCGGCGGTAATGTGAGGAGAAATGGGAGAGTATACGATGTGACCGTCAGATTGAGAAAAGGAGGAGTGATGAAAACCCAGTGTGTTTGTCGCGGTGATGTAGCGGGTGAGATGAGATGAAAGGAAGGACAAAGTGTGCCTGGCCGAGGTGTCGAGTGGTGAAAAAGCGAAATAGGGCGGAGAGATCCGAAAGGGTGAGGTAAGAAGGCAAAAGCGGAGGCAACGAGTGAGTGAATGAAGATGCGTCAGGTGGTAGGCTAGGTATGGCGGCTACCCCAGATTCGCAGAACAGGCTTTTTTGCTAGTCACTCACGCGACCGGAGCAGGAGTTGGGCGAGATGTGAAGAGGACTCGAGGATGGTGGTCCAAGCGGGGCGATGATTAGAATTGGCGTGACGGGAAAGGCGGCTTGGTGGGATGATGTGCAGCCCCAATAAAGGGCCACTGTGCTATTGTCTGGAGCTGGGGCAGTGATCAAGTAGGTTTTGGACCGCACATAGAAAGGGTCTGGAAGAATGGCTGCAAGGTGGCGACTGCGGATCAATCGATTAAGATGAGGGTGCGCACCCCAACAACAGTGCAGCAAGGTACGAGGATATCGAGGAAACGACCGCCACAGTAAAGAAAGAGGACGAGAGGGGTGAAAACCTGGATGAACTGGATGGTTGAAGAAGAGAAGGACTCGAGAGCTCGTTTCTCGTTTGGAACTGTGGACTGTTAGAGGTAACATCCAACCACGGCGCATGGCAACATTGCCCCCCGATCTCCAGGTGGCTACCTACGGAGTAGTGAGCTGGCAATTATGAAGAGGGGTCAACGGTCCATCTCTGGAGGTTGTGAGGGTCTTCGGGGGCTTGGGACCGGGCCACAGGGCTTACAAGAATGGCCCGCGCTTGGACAGGTTGGGCTTGGTGCACACTTGGTCGAGGCCGGGTGAGTGCCCAGGAACGGCCAGGACAGCACACAAACATACTTTTAGGACGGGGCCATGATCAGGTGCCGTGTGTGGAAAAGATGATTAGATTGGCTGAGCTGATCTTTAGGGATGATTATAGCCCAATGACTGTCGTACCCGTGCACAGGGTATCAGGGCCTGAGAGAGGCAGATGAGGTTGAAGAGACAGAGACAGCACGAGAGGGGCAAGCATCCGCCACTGCCAGTGCATGACATGGGTACGGGTTCATCACGATTGAAGGTGGGGGCATTGCACCCCGTGTTGAGAGCTTCGACGAACGAACGAATCGAGGGAAATCTGTCCATTGAACTCTACATATGGGCCCAAGAAGCTCTGCCGTCATCACCATATGCGTCATCAAAGAATCCATCTTGTGAACTGGATCGAGAAGATGATGTTGGTCCTTCAGTGACAGGACAAGGACAGGGCTATTGTGGGTGGCGTCTCCAGATGGTTGGGCTTGCAGGAACCATGGAGAGCTGCGGGAGAAGTTCGCAAACCACTCCATTACTACCAAAATCAAATGCAGTTATTAAGTCCAGAAGAACGCAGGCAGAATCACAAGATGCTCGGACAGCGTCTGAATAGCGTGGCATGCCGCAAACTTGCAGGAATGCGGCCAATTTTGCAGCTGCCATCGTACCGGAACCGCCTCTAATTGAAATAACCAGGCCCCAGGCCCCTCGGCCCCCAAGTCCCCGAAGAACCAAGGGGACCCAGGTACGCCAGGGAACCTACGGATGATAGGATGATAGAAATGATAGGCGCACGCATAAGCATACATGTCAAACGAAACGCGGGGAAGGACTCTCATGGTTAGTCAAAGTATAAATGACACAATAATGCATCAAATGCAAACCGTACTGCCCGTTATCATCCTCATGGCGCTGTCAAACCTCTGAACTGGGTCTGGCTCTGTCTGGTACAAGGGGCTGATCCGTGGAAATGCCTCGACGTATTGATTGCCCATGATAATTTCCATTTGTGTCCTTAATGAGTCGCTGTTGCAGAAGTCACACTAGGTAGGTAGGTACTAGGTGGTTAATTTGGGTAGTGCAAGAATCCAACTTTTTCGCCCATGACCTTGAAGTTGCACACAACCCTGAGAGGAGGCACACACCCACGACAGGTCCCCGCTGTCTCTGGTGCTCGCCGTATTCATACACTTTCCTACAAGACACCTTTGTTCTGACAGCGACAGCTGCCCGAATAACCTGAGGTAAGAAGTTCACTGATCTGCTCAATAAAGCCCCGCCACCTAGGTATAGCAACTACTTAGAGATCATCATCATCGGTGATGCTATCCGGAGGCTGACTTGACTGACAGCCAGTAGGAGCGCACCAATTCATGATCTCTCCTTGTTCATACATTCTACTGTGGAACTCTTGTTGGCCATTGCTCGACCTGGACTTCGACTTCGTCTTTGATCCTTGCTCTCCCACAAGAGTTAATTCTTGATTGATTTTGACTTTCAATGCCATGTGACCATCTGTAGCCGGTTTGACATCTGTGAGTCTACGGAGTATGTGTACAGGCCCGCCCCAATGGTAACCCAATCACATTGCCTCAACCCATCTGGCCATCAAGATACAGTGCTTGGTCATGGCATGCATTCCTCCCTCCCTCCCTAAACCTGACACAAACTCTACCTGCACCGTCACTTGTCACCTTGGGCTATCTAACGGACTGCTTGATCACGATCGAGCGGCACCTCTTCCTGCCACGACCCATTGTAAACTCTACTGCGTCCAGGCTGGGCAAACGGCTCAACACTCGTTTGCAGCTCGCTCCTGGCTCCGCTGTGGTCAATTGATTGCATGCAATCGTTTTTCACGGCATCCCTTTTATGGATGCCTCCATCTCAGACCAGGGAAATCCCGTTGCTCTGATGTCTTGGTATGCGTGAGCCTGGTGCAGATCAAGCACATGCAACGCCCAGCAATCAGCGTCCCCGCTAATTGCCAATCATTCTACAAAGTCCAAGCTGCCTTTGCCTACCGTTGACGGCGCTGCATCTGGACCCTTTTGTTGTCGTAACTTCTCCTCAAAACGGGCAAACTCCTTCATTGCGATTTCCTCTTCCTCGTCTAGGACTTGATTGACCCCCTTGACTTCTTCGATCTGTTGTGAATTAGCACACCGGAGAATAAGCTGGGGATCAACGGGTCGTGACATACGTAGTGCATTAGCATCGACTCGATCCCGTTCTTCAACGTGACGGTGCTCGAGTCACATGTCCGACATGCCCCTCGTAGCTTAAGGCTGACGATACCATTTTCAAAACCACGATAGTCGATATCGCCACCATCTTCTTGGATGGCTGGTCTGATTCGTGTTTCTAGCAGCTCCTTGATCATGGCCACCACCTCGCTATCGTCATCGTTCGGGGCAAGGCTGTCTTCTCCCGCTCCATCTTGACCCTCGGCCGATGCCGTCTTATCTGAAGTGTTTACAATCTCTTCTCCCGACGATATCGCCTCAGTGATCAGGCTAAACACCTCAGGTTTGATATGGGCCCAGTTGACGTCCTCTGCCTTAGTCACGGTAATGAAATCAGGTCCGTAAAACACCGAAGACACACCGTCCACATCCAGCAATCTGGCAGCAAGGGGCGAAGGGTGTGGCGCCGCTAGAGTCGCCCGAGGCGAAGTGTACTCGAGGAACGTAGAAGGAAACCCTTGCGGGAGGACATTGTGGTTTGGAAGAAACTTGAGTGCCGACGGATTGGGCGTTGACTGCGTCTGTATGTATATTGTCCGAGACAGTGAGCTCGGTAAAGGGAGACTTCGTCTCGATGATTGGAGGCGGGGCCGCCGTCGAGCGTGCGATGCGGTGATCACAGGTACATGGGATGATGCTTGACGAATGCCGCCGACGGTGGCCGAGCGGCAAGCTTGGGTCACTGGATGGGCTGCACCCTTTGGGGTGATCGCCCGTAGGGCTGATAGCGGAAGTGGAGTACGCATGCTCGAGTGGTATATTCGCATTCAAAGTGTTGTAACAATGAGAGATAGTAATGGGTTCGTGATGGCAAGAAGCAGCAAATCTTGGAGGGATCAATAGTAATACAATTATGACGCAAAGGGCGAGAAATTTGCCACGTGACTATTGGTGGTTTTGTCAGCAGTGTCTCGTCCAAGATTGGCCAGTTTGGCGTCGAAGCCCACAGCACCAATGTACACCGTAAATCAATCATCCGTCGTCAAGCCCGCGAATTTCCAGCAATCCAAAAAAAAGGAAGTCTTGGGGTATGGCATGACCGAATAACAATAATTGTCTAGGTCAATTTACCAACTCAAGGCAGATGTCGTCTGCTCTTTGCGTTATTTGCAAAGGTGAAAGCACAAAATATCGTTGCCCAGGCTGCCGTGCAGCAAGGTACGTCAAGCATCTTCATTATTCTTCGTATTTCATTCCACCATGCTAACATGTGCATTCAGCTGCTCCCTGCCATGCTTCAAGGCCCACAAGGAAGCGTGTAATCAACATGATGCACCAGAACCCCCAAGGGCACTCGCTTCAGACAACGTTCAGACCCAGGAACTACGGTCGCGGTCTATCGAATCTTTGTCTCAAGATCCCAGGCTCCAGCAATTACTCGCACAGTATCCTACATTGAGGTCGAGCTTGAAGAGGATCTCTGATGAGCCTCCGTCTGGTCCACTAGGAAACCACCGAGAACGTGGTGACAAGTTTTCCAGGCCAAGCCAAGACCATCACAACAACTCAGCCGCGTCCCAAAAACGACAACTTGCCCACGCAATGCGACTGCTAGATCGAGAGCTTGACTCTCCATCGGCAGAAGACACTGGCCTCAACGCTTTTGCTGCCTTGGTCGCCGAATTTGAGCCCACCCACTCCCGCTGATTCAGCCGAAGGAGAGCTTTTTAGAGTGAGGATTCGCAGAGGCGGGGCCTGGAATTGTCGGCCGCTTAGCCCTCGTAGGGGATTGTCTCCTCGAGAGTGTAGCCCATCGTGAAAGCGAACGAGTGGACTTTGCCTCCGGTTCATCTTCGATATACAGGTCAATCACCTTCTCCACCGGGCATTTTCTTTGAAATAGGTTCAAGATGCTCCTGGACCGTCGTAGACGCCCACTCTTCGGTGCGTCGGTAGCGGCTTTTGGCCTCATCAGATGGGATTGAACTTGTCCAGGGCCTTTCAAGTCCACATTGTCGTCGGCGTAATCCAGAGTAAGCACTGGAGGTGCTCTTCTCTTATACCTCGAGTCCAGTGTCTCAGCGCCGTCGTTGTCCACGACGGCAAAGCTTTCCAGCTCCCTTCTGGGTTGCTCTTCTTTCGGTGAGTAAAGCAATTGAGGTGTAGTAGGAGGACTCGTGGCCAACGTTGCGATCGAGCCTGCGTGTGATAAGTGGGGAACTGGAGGCAGTGGCTCATCGTCGAAAGTGGGCATCGACCAAAACCCAGCCTGTCTAAAGGGATTTCTTTTATTCACAGATTCGGAGGGGAGGGTACTATCCTGTAAAGCTGGAGACTTTGGCCCTTTGGAGCCCCCCGTGACATTCGGCATACTTGAGGAACGTGGTGGGTGTCCCCATGAGGTTCGAAGCGAAGGCCCTGGCTCGTCATCATCCACGTCTGAATATTCCAGTTCTTCATAAAACCTTCTCTGTACGTCAGAAGGATATCTGGGGGCTGCCAGTCCTGGCATCGTATTCCCTCTGTTTGGGCGCTGTGTCTTCTTGGGAAGAGACAAGTGAAGTTTGGGGTCTGTCAACGGTGGTTGCTTTGTGGATGGGCTGACACCAGGGGATTGTTGGCTGAGGCTGTCGGTTGTCTCTGAATCAAGCTTGTTCTCGTCACTTCGGCCATTATTTCGCCGCCACGTGCTTTGATCATGTGATGTGTGTTCAACACTGTCGTCTGTCGCTGGCGTGGTCTGTGATTGCGGCGTTCCGGAATCTCCTGCAACTCCTTGAGTGAAGGAAGGTCGAAAAACATGGGCATACAGGGGGTCGAAGTCGAGTGAAGACGATCTGCTGCGAGTCCTGACATTGGAATCGGAGCTTCCCCCCTCCCGGTCGAACCTCACGGCCACCTCTTCCATTTCTGCGGTATATCTGTCCAGCTTCCGAAAGAGTGAGTCGAGATCCAAGTCGACAGCTAGATGACTCTCTCTGTCCGAGGGAGAGTCTCCGGGTGAGGCCGAATGTGATGCGAAGAAGAACGTTCCATGGGCGTGGTTGTTGATTGTTCCATCAAAGTACTGTGACATTCGATTGAGAGGCGAGTGTGCGTTGGCAGCATGGTTGTAGGTCCCTGAGTACAACGACGACATGTTGCTAGCACGAGCACCGCGACCTGGCCTCAGTACAAAGTTCTTGAAGGAAAGAAGGAAGCATCCTCAAAGGAAAAAGAGCTGGAGGTTCTGAACTAAAAGCCTATCCAGGGACTGAGTATTCTCCGAGACTCGTGCCAGCTATGATTCTTACCAGCCTCCATCTAGGCCAATGGGAATGACACATAAACCCTACCCACAAGTGGTTTATCCTAGGGGAGTTGTCGATTTGGCGTAGAGGATCTCCGCTGGACTTTTCTTATTCGTTGTCCCCTGTGTAACCAAGGCGAAAAGGTAGAGTTAGACGACGAGAAAGGGATGGTGGGAGTGGTATCGGTGGAGACCGACGCTGAATATTCAGACAAGGCGTTCAAAAGGGGAGAGGGAGAGTGGGTGGCTTGTAAGGTTGAAGTCTGATGATCCCCAGTGAACACAGCTCGGTGGAGCCTGAGGGGCACATCGCATGGTAATCGCACCACGGGTGTGGATTTGCCATGGTTCGTAATGCGTCTACAATCAGCTACCTATGATGATGATGATAATTCAGGAGAGTGCAACACTGCAGAATGTTGAATATGAAGATAGCCGTACATAACACTCTCTACACTTATTGTACATACTGAGTTGGTGGGGGCTGAAGAACAAGTTTGAGAGGCGTGGATGGTGGTATGGATGTCATATCTGTCAGGCGCGACCTTGGTATGCAGCTTGAGGACCCTTGGGATAATCACAGTTGAGGTCGGTCAAGAATTTCTCCAGCGAACTCGGGCCTTGAATGGACAAGTCAAGCCGAGCGGCGGCACAGGGCGGCCACGTTGGTTCACAGTTTGACAGACCCAGCACGTTGGTACTTGGGTAAGGTAGTTCGCTTTAACTCCATGATTACACCCATTTAAGACATGTGATGCCGTAGCGAGGAACTGTAAACCGTCTAGTACAAAACCGACCCAGTTGTTATGGATTTGACGGTCTACTCGTCTATGAGGTCAGGAGAGCTCTACTCCGTAAGACTGATAGTTGATTGTTATTTACAGGGTAATTGTATGCGTGCTACGGGTACTCACGCGTTGGTGATCCTCGCGTAGGTCGCGTACTGGGGAGGCCCCAGCCAACGGTGGGCTTCTTCAACAACAATTGAAATCAATTTACTGTAAGAACAGGCGGCGCCGCCACCACAGCCTTGCCTCGTAATAGTGGCACCAAATTCTTGTTTGTGACTGGTGACTATTTATTGTTCCTCGTGTGCCATCCCAGAGGGCCTGGAATGCAGGAATGCAGTACGTTGAATCAAGAATCAAGGACCAAGGGGCTTCATCTTGCATCAAGTGCAAAGATGGCGAGAGATTGTGGTGGAAGCACCTTGCTGACTCTTGTAACACCTCAAGCCGGCAATAAAAAAAATGATCGCCTCGAAGCTACTCGTGCTACTACTGTACTGGGGTTGCCCATGTGTTTACCAATAATGCGTCCCTGTCTTGGAAGCTCGCGGCTCCTCGGCCCCTCGGAGCCCCTCGCTAGGAACCACTTCCGGTTATAAGCCAAGGTGTACCCAGAAAGATTTTGTTTCGGATTGGATTCTGGTCATGACAGGTATTTATTATTGGAAGCGTGAGGTACTGCTATATTTTCGTATCGGTCGTCCTCAGACAGTTCTGATGCTTCCAAATAACTGTCTTCGCAATGCAGCTAGCAATAGAAGACAGGTCAGAGGTTAGTGACTTGGTTATTCTGAAAATAGGATGGTGGAGAAAAGCTGTTGATGGTGTCCCGCACTGTCTCCTTCTCCGTACAAAAACTCCACACTGGTGGCAGCTTGAGACACACTGGCGAACATTCTTACTCAATCAGGTTCATACTACTCCGTAGGTATTTAATCGAGCCCCCACGAAAAGAACGAAGCATGATGCAAGGCTTATAGTACTCGTAAGCCGAGTGGCCGATCAAATATCGCTTGAGTCAGACCAGTAGGAAGCCATCATTTGATGTGAACATGTACAAGTCACCATGCGTGGTCTTTGAGTACATCTTTTGCACAGGATAAGTTCACAGACAAACCGCCCTCCCCTAGATCAGGGTATCACTGCTGCACTTACTCCGTACTTAGAGTTCCCGCCGCAGAAAACCAGAACGCGCTGCGACGCGCTTTAAGTTGTAACTCAACTCTGCGGGCCCAACCTCTAACCTAAAATCTCGTGAACTCCCTTTTCGACTTTGTCCACCGGGTACCTACTAGGTACCTAGTAGTAGTTTAGAAAGTGCAGAAAGGAACGAGCATTGGAGCCAGGAATATTGGATCTGTGCCAATCTCAAAAGTCAATGGTGTCAATGATACCTACCTACTCTGGCACTCTGAGAAGCTCAACAATAAATATGGAAGCTATCAGATGGTTACAGTGCTAATTCCTACCGACCTTGCAGTCTCGTTAACTTATCTGTCAAGGCTGATAGTCATGACAGACTACGAATACAGCAATGCATCATAATCTTCTTGACATTAGGTGTCCCTGCAAAGACGGCCAGACTGCCAGGGTTGGTGGGAGAGGGCCGAATTTCTCGACATGGGAAAGGGATGGGGAGGGAAGATGGAGACTGACAAGGTCGCAGATGAAATGCACCAAGGACGCCGGCGACGGCATCATGCAGACTGTACCGTGGTTGGGCAACACCGACCTGTAATGCTTAGCGAGCGTGGCCCGAGGGCCCGTCAGTCATGCAACACTGTTCCTGGTTGGTAGCTTGCCGCGTGGAAGAGGACACCAGGTGCCAACGAGCTGCACCAACATGAAAGGCTTGCAGGTTTTCTCCCTCGCACTCCAATCAAGGCTCTAGTGGGTTCCGGTCGGCTGCATTGGGCGTCTCGGGCGCCAGCTCGGCCTTCCCCAAGATGGCCCCAACCTATCGCGCTTTAGGCATGAGCTGGCTGTCTCCTCCAGCACTTATGCGGGAGGCCATTGGCTTGACCCCACCGGAACCTCGAGCCTGCAGGTTACAAGCTACAAGCTGCAGGCTGCAGCGATCCAATGCACCAGGATGATACAATACTAGTATCCCTCTGTATACGCTATGCCTGGGGTGAGACGATGGGATCTGTGGTTGCCATGTCATGGTACCTTACAGACGTTAGGTCCTTCATTTGCTGCCCCTCGGTCTAAGTGTAAGGTAGATAGGTACCTACCTACTGTATGTTACTACCTAGGTAGTAGGGCCGTTCGGCAACCCCCCCCCCGGTGCCCTCTCCCAAGCCTTTTGTATGCCCTGGCGTTGTGATGCCCTGGATAGCCAGGTTGTGTGCCCTTGTTCCCACAACTCATCCGATCCGCATCCGTCAACCGCATCCTGTGTCTCAAGCCTGCCTCAAATTTATTGGTCTTTCACATGCGCAAGGCCAAAGCCACACCACAAACCCTACACTTGACCACCTCGACTTTCACTGTCACATTGCCATTTTTCCTCGTGTACATGTATCCTGAATCCCCTTTGCCATTCTTGTATCTGATTTGCCCCCGAGGATCGAAGAGAAGCATATCTCTACGTAGGGACACGAGCGGCAACAGCGACCAACATCCACGAATCGCTCTTTCCCCAGCTCAGGCCCAGTACAAGCTCCAGCTCCAAATTCCGGCTCCAGATTTGAACCACAGTTGCAAATTTCTAGTTTCCAGTTTCCAGTCCTGCTGATCCGCCTGTTGTTCGCACTCAATCGACCATCTTTGGCGGTCTTGATATTCTTCTCTCTTGATCCATCACTCTCCAGTCCTCATAGCCCTAATTGTGCCTCTGCGTTGCCGCTTCGTTGCCGCTGCCAGACAGGCCAAGGCCAGCACCACCATCAGGACTTGAGAACGTGGAAATCTGCTGGGAACTCTTTCGTCGACACCACCTACCATCAACCTCGCCTTTGACACGGGCTTGACGAGCAAATACTTTGATCTCAAGGTACTGATCAAGTATTGCAACGGTTGTCCACGCCATCTCCAAATTGGTGTCAGCCCATCAACCGACAAGTCTGTTCCAAGGCGCACCACATTTCATATCTGGAGCGGAGGACACGCTGCTTCCTCGCCTTCTTAACCTCCTTCCATTCTGGCACTCGGCCAATCCCCTTCAGGACCCATTTGGTTGGTGTTCTGATCAATGATTTCCACTGCCCATGATATCCGCCATTATCAATAGCACTTCCTGGTCCCAGTCTCCCGTCGACTCAAGTTTCACCTGTCTGGGCCTCGTCCCTTTCCTGTCGCCGATGCCTTGCCATTGATTCAGAGTCCAACACGAGACTGCCAAAATACCATGGATGCTCGCCACGCCAAGTATCGTTCTTTGGATGTAAAGGCTGCCCCTTCTGCTGCCCCTCCAAAGACCCGCGAGCGTCATAACTCTGCCCATATGGGAGATCGACCCAAATCCCACCACGGGAAACGTCAATCTGCTTCCTCCAAGTCCGGCGAGGCCAATGGCAAATCTTCTAGAGTTGCCGTGCTCGAGGAAATTACACTCTCGGAAGAAGCACCAACCCCGAGGGCACCAAAGTCTGACCGCCGGCACACTGTTAGTCGCTCAGTGGAAGATAAGTCGACATCCAAGGTACGTTTTTAGGAACATATAAGGTTCACAATTCATCAAACTCGCAGACCTTCCTAATCTCCATCTTGTTCTCCTTTCTACGTTCGATCTCGGTACTGACGCCACGCTCCAGACACCTCGCTCGGAGAATCATCCGGTGCTTAATGTTCTAATTATTGGTGCACGAAACTGTGGCAAAACCAGCTTTATCAAGAACACTCTTGACCCCGATTCAAACCTGTCCGGCCGGACTACGTTTTCAACCAAAGTCAAGATCACCGATCAAGTCTACAAGATTCGTTATGTGGAACTCGAGATCGACGATGTGGATTTCAGTAGCGACAAACAAATCATCTGGCCTCCTTCTGTCAATGGAGAACCTTTTCCTGATATAGATGCGGTCTTCTGCGTGTACGACGCCTCTGACAGGGATAGTGTTGCCGCTGTTCCAACTGCCCTAAGTGAGTTTCAATACTAGATAACTATTTTCTGCTTACCAGGGTCCCGAACGGCTAACACGTCCCTCGTAGCGTCCATGACCAAAACTGGCATTCGCTGTATGCTGGTGGCGTCCAAATGCGATAAGCCAGAATCGCAAGAGATCAGAGCACGCTTTCACGAGCAAGTTCGTCGCAATCTCGCTACCATTGCCGTCGCTGAGGTTTCTGTCAAAACTCCCGAAACCACCAAGCGACACTTCTTTGCAATGCTCCATCGAGTGATTGCTTCTCCCAAAGGTGAGAAAACCACTAACTCCCTTTCCCGGATGTCGTAGACCCTTCCCTCCAAGAACTCTTGGTTGACATGAAACCGAGCAGCGTCCGAGTCTCGAAAATCAGCTGTTCAGTCACGACGCACAAAATCGAGGACCACATCACCACGGCAGGGTCGAAGCCGAAGTCGTTCAAAAACTCGACTGCGCATCTCCAAGTCGAAAGAACTCCTCCTCAATTTGTCGCACAGGTCGGTCGTTGTAGACTCCGCCAGCGAAGACACGGCCGTGTCATCAGAGGAAGACAACACACAGAACAGACATCAGAAGACAAGACTTCGATTGAACACCACTAAATTGCCCGAACACTCTCGACGTTCCAATGCACCGCATACGCCGGATTCCTCTGAAGAGCAAACAAGCCGTCTTCTTTCCCCAATTCATAACGCAGCTGCCACCGTGCCAGAGACCCCTGATTCCTACTACGTAAAGTCCATCCTTCGGTCGTTGTCTACCGAGACAACTGACAGCCGTGTCAATCACACATTTCTCAATATGGACGACGAGAACGAACATGGCGTGGACAAGGAATTCGGCACCGATACAGATACTATGACACCGAGTGTTGCCACTGATGAGACGGTGAAGCCACTAGAGACTGGCGTTCCGTTCCGCGAGCTGGTGGACAAGCTCCTGATCCTTCCTGCCAGTAAAAATGATTCCAAATTCGTTCCCTCGTTTCTCTGCTTGTACCGGGTATTCGCCACTCCCCAAAGGTTACTGGGCGCCGTCATCGATAAATTCGTGGAGGTTGACAAATCTACGATGGTTCATTTCACCAAAGTGGCCGAGATGCTACGTTTTCTCCAGGTACTTGCGCAATGGACTGCAACTTATCCTGGAGATTTCGCAAGCGGCCCTGCTCGCACCGCCGCTATATCATTCATCCAAAGCATTGAGACGAGCAAGGTCTTTGCCCCCGCGGCGCGTGAGATTAGCAATAACCTCAACACTCTGGTCGCGGATGAAGATGCCGATTGGGCCTATGACGAGGGAGTCAAAGGCCTTAAATCTTCGGGTCAGAAGACGCCTCAAAATTCGTCAGGATCATTACCTCTGTTGGAGGGCAATACCACAAGCAAAGGAAGACCAAGATCTGGGGCAGATATCGACGAGAGCGATGAGGACGCGGACGAAGCCAATTCATCGACGAGAGGCTCTGGAGCGGCATCGGCCTCCTCAAGCATGCTCAAGTCGTATCAAGCCTCCAGCCAGTCTTATACAAATCTGATGCAGCTGGAGAGTGCCAAGGCACAAGCTCAACGCTACAAGCCTATTCCACATCTGCGGCTGGCCAAATTCCATTGGCATTATTTTATGGAAGTGTCAGTCGATGACCTGGCTCGAGAAATTACTCGAGTGGACTGGGCAATGTATTCGGCCATTCGACCACGAGACTTTGTTCGTCATGTCGTTCTCACAACTGAACAAAAGCGAAGGTCCCGCCAGGTGGACAACATTGGCATGATGGTCAAGCAATTCAACCATCTTGCATTATTCGTCTCTGGCATGATCCTGCTTCGAGACAAGCCGAAGCATCGAGCGAAAGCTTTGGAGAAGTTCATGCTCTTGGCGTCAAAGGTCCGACAGCTCAACAACTACAACTCGCTTGGTGCAATTGTAGCCGGTATCAACGGGCATGAGATCTCACGTCTGGCGCAGACTCGAGAACTCGTCTCGGTCGAGACTCAGAAGACCTTCATGAGTCTTACCATTCTCATGGGCATCGCTCGGTCACATGTCGCGTACCGCATGGCATGGGCGAATTCTTTCGCCGAGCGGATTCCGTTCATTCCACTGGTGAGACAAGACCTGACCATGGCGGCTTCTGCAAATCAAACCTTCATTGGCACCAATATCAATTGGAAAAAGTTTGAGATTATGGGGGATGTCATCGTCGGGGTTCAACGTAGCCTTGAAACGCCCTATTCGTTTCCTCAGCGAACCTATGCAAGCGAGGAAATTATCAAGCTTATTCTCGAAACTAAGATTGTCGAGGAGTCAGAGGTATGCTACCGTATCCAGGATGTTGCGAATGCCATGCTGACATGAATTCTAGGACTCAGCAGATCCTCGAAGTGAACTATACGATCGAAGTGTACAGGTTGAACCTACTGGGGCTGATCCGAGGAAAAAGTTTGACTGGCTACGGCGTTAAGAAGATTTTCGAACAAGGCCAAAAGAAAAGTTCTTTGCGACCACATAGCATTTGGCGACTTGGTTAAGACCTTCAAGTCTATAAAAGGCACCAGCATGAACAAAGACGGGACACGAACAAACGGCTTTTAAATGATTCATGGGCGACCGAAAAGTAAGACGTTACGGCTGAACGACGACAAGAGGTACCAAGGCGTGGCTGACTGGTCTTGAAAGGCCCTATGATGAGATTATGAAATTACGATGATGGAAAAGACTTGACGACGTTACAGATCGCAAGAGGATGAGAGTGGGCGGAAAAGTCTTTTGGCTTGAAGCGCCAACGTCGGCTGACGTGTAATCATGACGGGAAATGGATTGTATAGCCTCTGCTTAGAAGAAGATTGCCGCATGTTGTACATGGCTGAAGATGTATGGCAAATCAAACCAAGGACACCGCTAGGTCCTCCAGGGATGAGAGATGACTATACAGAAGAAAACAGCCAAGGAGCAGCCATGCTTCTCAGGCTATGAAACCACTACATCAAGACATTTTGCGTGCGTATATGTGGATATTGGAGGAAGTCAAGGTGACAGGGATGTTGGAAAATAATTATGCTCGAGTTGAAGTAAACTCATATGATGATAATGACGACCTCAGGTTCTAAATAAGACCAAGCCTGGGCGTGCGTCTGGTCTCGTATGTCGACTCTTGATTCAGATGTAGCATACATATTTATTCAATTGTTCGAAACAGAAAAGTCGAGTTTCCGAGATATAGACAGAATGGGAGCGGATTGACCACGGGGCAGTTGAGCCATTCTGCGAGTAAGTACAGCACAATATGCACGGATTCACAGATGATTGCACCAGTGGGCATTGGATAAATCTGAGTCGAGGATACTTCTAACTTCCAAGGTGATGAAGCTAGCCAATGATCACAATACTCTTGATAATAGTGCACCAAAGCCCAACAAACAGCAAATGGTCAAAAGGTCCAATGGAAAGGACATTTGGCACCAACTGGATGGTACTGGTGGGTGAATAGATGATGACGGATCTGAGGATGGAAACATAATGATATGCCAACTGTCATGCCTGTCAAAACTCGGAGAAATATTCCCATTCTTTCTCCACATCTACTTGACATCTTTGCTTAAGTTGCTTGAGTTGCTTAACAAAAGACATGTTCTTTTTTTTTCATCGGGCAACACGGCAACTTTGGATCTATTTGAATAAAATACAAATATCTGCACCTATTCCCGTGGCCCGGGAGGCGGGGACCAGCCAGGAACCGCGGAGGGAGGGGAGAGAGCGGCATGACATGGGCATGGTATGGCATGACGATGGATCCTCGCTGAAGATACACCGTTTTCAGACCAAATATTCTTCATCAACTTCAAAGCAAGATCCACATGTTGTCTTGATCTTGCCTGTTGAAGTATATATCACCGAACTTAAAGCATGTACATAGCCCGGCAGATAGGTAAGGAAGCTATCTCCCCGGGCGTTTCAAGGTCAAGGTCAAGGGCTAGGGTTTGAGTAAGTAGAGATCCGGGGGCAAGGAACAAGGGGATAAGGGGATAAGGGGACACTGGGGGTCGGTCGGTCGGCTCGCTGGCTCGCTGGCTGGCTGGCTGGCTGGCTGCTGGGGGATGAAGGGGGATTAGTGATGCTCGTCATCCCTCAAGGCCGGGTTTCGAATCTATTCTAGTGTGTATAGGAGTCAAGACCATCCAAGTAAGTCATGGAATATATCATTATCTATGAATGCATTACTACTGAGTAGTCTGTAGGTACGAAACCTGGACCTGCTGGCTTTCCCCAGAGGGTGCGGCGGTCCCTTCAACATTCAGGCACAATGGCACCAGTACAGTATGCGCAGGGGGCGACGCATGAATGCATACTCCGTAGATACATGCATGCTTCCTTGAGAATGCCTGGGCCCCGAGTCTATACTGTACATCCATGCCTACGGAGTACTGCAGTGCCTGTCCAATAAATAAGCGAGTCTGGGGTGGGTTCCGGGGTATTCGGCACTTGAGGCCGGGGGTGGGAGGGGAAGAAGAGATTTTTCTGGAGGTGAATGATGGAGCAGTGCTTCGTGCCAGTCCAGTGCCAGGGATGGTATCGTATCATGGATGCATCAAGATTCAGGACTGGACTTGCTGGTCGACTGGCAGATTGGCCAATCTGGCGTAAGTGGTTTAGCACAACGCCTCTCTGGGTGGTTTTACGGCCCCGAGGCCACTGAGGCGGCTATCTTGTCTCATCCTGGATCTTATAAGTACTGTAGATTCCTACATAAAACAAGGACCGAGGCCCGCGCCGCCGCGGTTGACATTGACAAGCTGCAAGCATTTGGGAGAGGGGCCAGTCGCCCAGTCGCCCAGTTTTGCTGACTGCCTTAGCCTCATTAGACTTGATCCTATCTGTACAGTATACTGTATGTGTATGTGCGTGATAGATAGTGCGTTCGGGTCTGCCGGTCGGTGTCCAGGGGTATGATGCACAAAACGGTGCACCTCCCGAACAGATAGATACTTAGTTCCCTCATCCGACCGACCGACCAGCATGCAGTGCAATGGAGTACAGGCCAGTCAGTGTTCTTGATTTTTGCTGGAGGATTGTGGAGCCTCTTTTCCTTTTTTCTTTCTCTTTTTTTGCTCTTTTCATACATATGTAGGCAGGTCGCGCCTAATGATTGATCGACATGGACGTCGCACATCTGCTCAAAAGGTCGCAATACCCATGTAGGCTGAGGAATACTTGGAGTCCTAAAAATCCCACAGACATCCTTGTCCATCTGTACATATGTACTCCGTACCTCATAGGTTGATGTCTGGAATGGAATGAGGAGTGAATCCGTTTCGAAGCAAAGCGTCGCTTCACTTCGTGGGCCAAGTCCTCTCGAAACTGAAGTCAATTACAGCCTCTCGGCCCCGAGCGACCGCATTTCCAGCCAATTTGGTTTGCCGATGTGAAAAAGTCCACTTTCCGGCAATAACGGGACGACGTTTCTGGTGCGGAGCCTCTCATAACCGATGGTGGATCTTGGTCCAGAAATTTGGCAAATACGAATAGTCCATTCCACTAATTTCATCAGTTGAATGTTCGCATGTCGAGCAGAAATGTCGTACTCGTATGCTGGGTAGGGTAGTGAGCTCTCCACCACTTATGCGTGCTCGTGGAGAGACATCTGGGATTTCGCAAGATGACGGGTGACTTGTTGGAATGGCACGCGTGCGTGGTGCACGTCAAGCGGCTGTGAGTCAAGCTTAAACATCTAGAGTCTCAGTCTGAGCATCAACGGTCGAGTCATGTTCGATTTGTGCTTGCTTGTTCTGGACGATGCGTAGAAGATTTCGTAACAGTACGACAATGGTGACTTTACCAATGGCGGGAACATAGATGGACGCTCGCTCCTTGACTTCCGGGGTGAAGTTCTGACAAAATGAAAAATGCTTAGTCTCATGGCCAGGGCTAGGGTCGGTTGAAATCTTTCCCCCTTTCTCCAGCTCCGCATCATCTTGACAGAGGAGGATTGGATACACTCACCTTTTCACTGGAGAAATTGATGCAAACAGCACCCTCTTTCAAAAGATGATTGGGAAATTTGAATTTGTCGCCGGGAACACCGGTGATGACGACATCGGATAGCGGAGCACAATCCTTCAAACTCCAGCCTTCTTTCTCGACAACCTCGTGTTTTCGTTTTCGGATCCCCTCGCCACGAGTAAACATTTGAACTCCTGAGATGTCGACACTGTAGACCGAAGCGCCGTCGTTGGCCAAGAGTGCCGCAAGCGGTCTCCCCACCACCTCGCTGCGATTGACGACACAAATGGTCCGGCCGAAGAGTCGGTTGCCATACGGCAGAATCGTGTTGTAGATGTGCAGGTACTCGAGGATCTTGATGACGGCCAGCGGCGTGCAGGGAAGAATGGATTTGATGGCCTGCGAGTCGTCCAGGAAACGGATGTTTTGATACATGTTGAAGATGTACTGATGGCTCAAGCCCTCGACATCCTTTCCTACGTCGACAATCTGTTGTAGGTACTGGTCCTGTCGGTTGTTGAAAATGGGATAGTAGACAATGATGCCGTCTATGTCCTTGTCGTTGTTTCCGGCGATGATGGTTTCCTCGACGTCGTCCTTGGCCACCTGTCGCAGCGTGTAGTCGAACCCACTTTTTGGCGACACAGACACGGTCAGTTCAATTTTCGGAGGCTGGACCAGTACAAACGACACAGACTGAAAATTGATGCACCGAGAACAAGTCCACACAATACACTTACTTCTCTTTGGCCGTCTTCTCGGTCCAATCTGCATAGACTTTGGCTGCAGGGTCATCGTTGCCCAGGATTCCCAATAGATGTGGTTTTCGATCTAGTTTGGCCAGACCGGCTTGCACTTCGGCCAGGAGGCCTTTGGCAATGTTGTTGGCCAAAACGACCTTGCAACTGGACACTGCACCTCCTGACATGACTGAGGTCTTGCTCTTGATTCTTGATCAGTTATCGTGGCTCTCATATAAAGTGTAAAATCTGGTCGAGAAAAAAATGGCCGTGATGTGATGCGGGAAATAAAAACTTTTGATTGGCTGCAGCGCAACGTCGGTTGACTGTGGATGAGTCTTGGCTTTTTGCATCAAGCAAAAGGAATTCATCGCAACAACGAACGGAATCCATCTCTTAGATTTGTAAGACTGGAATTAGGACTACGAGACTACTCCGTACGTGTAGGTTCTCATGACATGGATCGCTCAGACATCATGTCATCTTCTATGCAGGCATTGCAATCATTAGGTGGCAGTTGAGCAATACTGGACCAAGTAGTCAGTCATATAGTTCCAGCCAGGAGATCAGATCCCTGTCAGCTCTCAGCCCCTTATGAGATGGCTCAGATCTTGCTTTGCGCTTTACCCTCGCCCCTGGGGACTTTCCTCTCGACTCCCAACGACTCGAGATCCTTCTTCTTGTAGTAATGTGGCGCCACTTCAATAAGCCATTCTGGTTTCAGGGGCATGCAACTGCGCATGTATTCCTTGCTCGTCAGCACCAGTTCGTGGTAGATGGTCCACTTGGGCTGGCTCTCAATCAGAACACTAGAAGGATGGATGTAGACCACCTGCCCGTTCTTGACCGTTCGATAGCTCTGTCCGTCCCGTTGCAATCGCGCCGAGTGAGGGAAAAATCCTGCCGTGATAGCCTTCTGGATGGGTTCAATGTTGGACTGACCGCCACAGGTCTTTGAAGGGTCCACCTCCACTCGGTCGCAAAGCCGTGCCAGCTGGTCTCGGACATCTCGCGCCCGCGTCAGGCTTCGTTGCTGCAAAAAGTTTTCTTTAGCCCAAACAAGACTATAGTCAGAGTCTGTCCATTCGTTGAAGATATTGAGCAGCGAAAGGTGATCTCCGCCTTCTTTGTTGGTAAATCTCGCTCTTGCGCTATCTGCATGGATCTTCTTGTCTTTGGGTCGGAAGAACAACGCAGACGCCTCGCCGAGCATGGCAATAATAGACAGAATCTCTTCAGTACAGCCATATTTATCCGCGGCCAAGATGGATCGTGCCAGCGTGGGATCGGTGGGGAATTCGGCCATTTGGCGACCAACCTTGGTCAACTCCCCAGCATTGTTCAGTGCCCCAAGAGCGTACAGCTGTTCGACAGCACGAACGATTGTATCCGTAGATGGCGGATCCATAAAGTCAAAATCGAGAAGGTCGTTGATACCCAAACTTTTGAGCATGAGAATAACACCCGAGAGGTTGGTTCTCTGGATCTCCGGCGTCGTGTTCTCGTCCAATTCGTTCTTATATGCCTGCGCTGTGTATAGCCGGAAACACTTACCAGGCCCTACACGACCCGCGCGGCCGGCACGTTGTCCCGCCGATGCACGACTGCAAGGTACCACCACCAACGACTCCATCCCTGTGCGCGGATTGTACTGGTTCTCCTTGACAAATCCAGGGTCAATGACATACACGATCCCGTCAATTGTCAATGAAGTTTCAGCAATATTTGTGGCTAGAACCACTTTTCTGGCATTGGGCGGAGTCGGCTCAAAGATTTTGGCCTGGAGATCTGTCGGCAGGTTGGCATAAATCGGACATATGATCATTTCCTTGATCTTGTTACCCAACTTCCGTGCAGTCTCCTGTAAGTTGAGCTCCATAGCTTCAATTTCCTCTTGACCGGTTAAGAAGACTAGGATATCGCCACTGGGCTGAGTAATGTGAATTTGAAAGACGGTAGTGATGGCAGCCGCGAGGTAGTTTGCCTCGGGTTGTGCAGTGTAATGTACGTCGACTGCGTATCGTCGACCGGGGATGTTGAAGATGGGGGCATCGTCGAAATATTTCTGAAACTTTCGTGCATCCATGGTCGCAGAAGAGATCAACAGCTTGAGGTCAGGTCGAGCCTTGGCTATGTCCTTCAACAATCCGCATGCAATGTCAGTGCTCACCGTTCGTTCATGGGCCTCGTCAATCATCAGTGCCGAGTACTGCGACAGCTCTGGGTCCGTAAGAAGCTCTCTGAGCAGCATCCCATCTGTCATATATTTCAACACGGTTTTCTCGCTGGTGTTGTCCTCGAAACGAATGGCATATCCGACTTCGTTGCCTAAGCGTTTTCCCATCTCATCTGCAACTCTTGCTGCCACCGACATGGCGGCAACTCGCCGTGGTTGTGTACACCCGATCTTCATGCCACCTTTGGTGTAACCAGCTTCATGGAGATACTGCGGCAGCTGCGTGGTCTTGCCACTTCCAGTCTCGCCAACAATGATCAACACCTGATGCTCTTTGACGGCCTCGATGATCTGATCACGATATTGGTACACTGGTAGACTTTTCCTCGTTTCTTCCATACTCTTGGCCTTGGCCTCAGCTGCGTTGATCCGTTCAGCCAGTTCTCTCTGCTCGCGAGTCAGGCCCTTTCCCAGATCTCCTCCTAGGGTTTCGGACATGACGAACTTCATCTGCTGGCTCTCGTCAAACACATAACCGTAGTCGCCTTCATCCACAAATTCCGACTTTTTGATCTGAGCCTCAGCTCGCTTCGTTTGTTCCTTCTCCCACTCCTCGTGCTCTGTGACATATTTCTCTCGGCCCATCTCGTCCCTATCCACATATCTCTGATACAAAGCCTGCTCCTTCTTGCGCTTGTCGATTTTCCCCTTCTCCGTGATGTAATCTTCTGGTAAAGCATAACCGTCGAGATGGTCGTCAATATTCAGTCTCTCCTCGGCCAACCTCAACACCTCTTTGTTCCTCGCAAACTCCTCCTTTTCTCTCCTGGTCAGGTCAGGGTTATCCCTTAGCTCGCGCTGTTCTTCGGCAACCTGTTGTCTGAGCAAAGCCAGTCGTTCGGCCTCTCGCTTCTTGAGATAATCCTGCCTCGAACGAATCCTCAGATCGGGCATTGCGGCCGTTCGAGCAGCTGCGTCATCGGCTAACGCTCTCCTCTGCGCAGTCACACTGTCTTTTGCGGCCGAGCGGTCCTCAACGATCTTCTTCTGGCGCTCTTCATCTCGCTTCGCGAGCCTCTTTGCAAATTCGTCCCGGTCTTTGCGGTCTTGATCCTCTGTGGTCTCAGGAGGGGGAGGGGAAGGAGAAGTGCGACGAGCCGCGCTTTCAGCAGAGCCATTGGAGAGTTTTACTCGCTTGGAGGACGACTCAGCGAATTCGGGTTCTGACGTCTGGTCTATGTCTTCGACAACTTCCTCGTCACCCCACCGTTCGTCGAAATCATCGACATCGCGCCGCCGTCGATGCGAGGTGTGTCGTTTGTGAGGTCTACTGCGCGGGGTATCATGCGATCGAGATTCTGACATGATGGTTCTTGCGATACTTGTGAACAAGGATAGTCGAAGGTGCCGTTTGGTCTAGTCGATCGAAAGGACGGCCTAGAGGTGAGAGTTGTCACAAGTCACCGCATGAGTGAACGAAAGAAAAAACAACCACTGTGTACTGTGAAAGAGGTTCAGGTGCAACGGCCGAGATTGGAACCATGTGTGTTGCGTCAACTTTGTCAATTTGATCCGCAGGCAACGGCAACGACTTTATTTTCATGTCTTGAATGATGGACTCTTCTTCGTTCTTTCTTTCTCCACAAAAAGACATAAAGATGCCGCCTGATCCGCCGGTCTGGACTACGGCACCGCAGAAATCTAACAACGGCGAAAACAGTTCTGGTCACGTGATACTGCCATAGAATTCAGTCCATTGCTGCCGATAATTCGTGAGGGTGGAACTGCAGTGGGGAAGTCATCATCATCTGATATAGATTGTTTGACTTGCACAGGAAATGCTTAACAACACATCACCGAGAGATTCGAAACTTTTCTTATAGCCAGCTGATATGCTGTCGCGGCCTGCGTGACTTGGAATGAAGCACTGGCCTCGGAACACGGAAGAGGATAGTACATAACAACCCACGGGGAAAGGTGGAGTCCTATGGCATTTTGGACGTTGAGGGGCCGGAGATGGGAAACATGAAAACCTCCATTGTCATCGTGAGTGAATAAACGGAGATGTAGGGATGTCGAAGAGAATTTGTTACTGTTGGAACGGATTACTATGGTGAGGAGAAGACGTCCATTTTTGGTGCTGTGTAAAGTTCAAGTTAATCTACCCGTATAGAGTGAGGCATTATTGATCAACCGCGTTAACGCCTCGAACAGTGCCTCAGAGTCTCAGGTGTGCCTTTGGGACGGGTCCGAATACCGGCTACCTCTCTGCTCACCACATGCGAGGAGACTATGTGTTCCTCTAAAATCAGTCTAAGTAGTCGTTGTGTGACCCATAGATGGCTAGTTGCCAGGTCTGAGTGTTGGACTCGTTGATGTCAATCCATCCAGGCCTTCTTACAGGTTAACACTAGGTACGTCTTAATGGTATATGAAGCACAGTAACGGCGAGAACCAGGTATGTTTGGATATGTTGTCATCTTCGCCTCTCGTTGTCATAGATATCTTGCTCGGCTGCGAGCCTGAAACCTAATCAACAGACCCCTTTCCCTTGCCCATTCCCTGATACGCATTGGCTCATATCAACCTTTGCTCTCAATGATCATGTCTGGTGATTACATGTTGGCATCATGGTGCCGTCCACACTCATGCCTGGAATTCCTGTGGTTCTAATATCTGGTGGTTGACTTCACCCCTGTACCCGAAGCACCAGTGTCCAATAGCCCTTATGCAAGAGAATTCGCTTGCTCTTGAGGCAGACACAGACCCTCTCCCACGCAATTGCTCCACACAATTCAAACATCAATCATCTCCGCATCTTCGGCGAGGACTTCGTCCGCAGGGCCCCAATTCCCTTCAAAAATTGTCGCTCCTGCACGGCGTCGCGATTCTGCCCAGCGAACTCCTTCCGTTTCCAACAGCATGCTTGCCAGAGGCCGGTCCTCAGGGTCAGGCGAGATCATCCATCGAACCACTCGGTCTAGCGCTTGATTGTGAGATGGGTCTACCATGAAAGCCGGAGGATGTAGTAGTTCTCCACTTCTCGGATTGTGTATGTCTTTCCCAAACTCTTCACCTGTCATGTACTCGTTGCTGTATGCATGTGTCTTGGTCGTCTCACATGAAGACGACACCTGTTGGATTTGGTACGAAGAATCGGGCGAGACGGGATTGCCTGACGCGTCACGTAAGATGTCGCTGGCGTCAGAACTCCAGGTCAAGCTGGGCACATCGCTCATGTCACCATTCCTCAGCTTTTGCCAAGACACACCGTTGTCAGGCAGTTCGACATTACCAGCAGTTTCGAGCATAATCAGACCCAGAGCGAAAATGTCTGCGGGCTTGTCATAACGGCCCATCAGGATCTCGGGACCAATATACTCCCTGTCTCCTTCGGCTTCGATACCTGCTTTGGCTGGCCACCTGCTTGCCATGCCAAAATCGGCGATCTTGAGAACTCCCTCAAAGGTGATGAGAACGTTTGCAGGCTTGAGATCGAGATGGATGAAGCCGCTTTCATGAATATGTCTGAGTCCCTGCTGACAGTTAGTTTCGTTGATTGATTGATTGGAGTGCCGCGTACCAGAGATAGTTCGAGCAGGATCTTCCAGATGCGGAAATCATCCAACCTTGCCTTTAAGCCAACCTGGGCGAGAAACACATCGAGAGTGCCTTCTTCGCAGAACTCGGTCTGAATATAGAGGTGCGATTGCTCCTCCCAGCTGTCTACATAGGTCACCACGTGATCTGAATGACCCAAGGCCTTCAGAACATCGACCTCGTGGATCTTCTGCTGCCGATCTCGAACTCCAGAGTATGGGAACCGGGATCTCTTGACAGCCCAAACCTTCTCGGTGAGAGAACCTCTGGATGACGGACGGCTGGTCGATATCGAGTAGATCTTGTGAAAAGGGGATGACTCAGGTGGCTGGGATACACGGTAGACCTGTGAAAACTCCCCGGAGCCGATCAAATCCACTTTTTCGAATCTCGAAGTGAGGCTAACGTCCAGGCTAGTAGCTTCACTCGAAGCCAGATTCAGACTCGGACGGTTGGAGAAGTTCGAAAAGTACTCTCGCGGGCCGGTTGGCGTGGCTGGAATCAAGGGCGCTCTGTTTTGGGTGGCAAGACTCCGATGCCCATCGGCACGTCCGGAGATGGTGAGGCCGCTAGGGTCGGGTGGGAAGAATCCTTCGAGAGGCGTACGTGGGGAGGGTCGAGGACTGACTGGAGAAGGCGAATTCATCTTAGCGCGATCCAAAGCAGGCGAGTGGAGAGATTGAATGGAAAGATTTCTTTGAAGAAAAGGTTTCGGGAAGGCCAGAGTCCTCAGTATTCCACCTGGGGTATACGAGGTGTCCGGTTGAATACTAATCTTTGCGGTTGACTTTGGTCTCAGGTTTGCCGATGGAGATTCCTCCATCGCGCTATCACTGTTCCGCTCGACGCCACCTGGAGATACCACAATAGGAGACAACTTACTATTACTCAGACGAACACCGAAACTCGAAGCCGGCGGATTGCGCGGTGGTGCGAGAGAGTCGATATGATGGGGTGAGGGCGATACAGAATCGCGATCCTGATTGTCAGGAAAGTGTTTTGTTGGTGTTGGAGGGTAGTCGGAGTCTGTGGACTGACTGTCGGCTCTGTTGATGGGACTTCGAGAATTCACCTTGTCCTCATTCTCGATGGACGCAAAGCTCCCCTTGCGCAAGAGATTGTGCCTGCTAGGTCGAGAGCCGAAAATACCAGAATTCTTTGCAAATGGAAAGGCTGAGATCTTTGGATAATTGAAGTAAGGTTCCGAAGGCGTGGCTGGCGCGGGTGACGTTCCGTATGATGGGCGTGGCGCTCGATCATTGGCGACAGTTGGAACCGTGAACTTCTCGTCTGGTTGAAAAATGACAGACTGCTTCTTACAAGGGGTATCTGGCATGTGGGCTTTCGGCAACCCAGCGTTGGGATCCTCGATGTTTCGATTTTTCTTGGAGATCAACCCGGTCGACATGAAGGCGGCAGGCAATGGCTTTGCAGCTTTGTAATTTCCTGGCGTTGCAAACGAGCCCTGCGACGAGTACTCGGTCTCAGGCGATGGCACAGGCCTCATTGTCCCCACGGGGAGAGATTTAGAGAAGTCATGGGACCTTGGTCTGACTGACCGATGAATGGGTTCGTGTGTCGGTGATTGGTCTTGGTCGCTCATCTGGGATGACGAGTGCGTCATAGCGTGCGCCAAAGGGTGTCTCGGTGGTTGAGAAAAGGTCGGCTGGCCGGAAGACAACGGATGAACAGAAGCGTTCATGAGACTACCCTGGCTTGAAAATGGACTATCGCGGGGAGGAGGTTCGAGGTGATTGTCCAGAGACATGCGGAGAGTCTTTTTGTTGTTTGTGGACGGTGAGACATCCAACCAGGCCTTGTCCAGGTCCATCACTTGAGTGAACTTGGGGTTACTTGGTCGCTCTATCTGCCGTTGCTGCAACGTAGATTTTCGCAATGATGACGAGCGCTTTGGAATCGTAGAGAAGCGGGATGAGAAGTTCAGGGAGGTGTTGGTAGCGGAGAAGAAATCATTATCGTCCTGAGCTCGCTTGTCGGTGAACATGTTGTCCTGCAAATTGTCGGACTCGAAAATGCTGAAATCAAGTCCAGGGCCATGCAGACTGCGTCTCTTGGCCGAGGGGCTTTCGAAAGTAGGGGTATCGTCATCTGCTCGAGTGGCTTCTGAACGCTTCATCGGGCTCAGAGGAGCGACAGCACTGATCAGTGCGCCTCCACTGCGCCGCTTTTCTTGTCGCGAATGCACCGACTTCCAGGTCAGTGTCTCTTCGGTCCGGGTTGTGTCGTTTTCTTTTGTATCACCACTGAGACATTTCAGAGCCAGCTCGCGTTCTGCCTCTGTGGAGTTACGTTTTCGCATGGGGGAAGCGTTACCGCCGTCACTAGAGTCGGTAAGCGCTCGCTTTGAGGGACTCTTGGGTGAAGTTCTAGTTCGAGTGACGACGTGTGGCTGATTTGCCCTTCGCATGACAGGTCTTTGGAAACGAGCAGCCTGAGAGACACGTGTCGGATGAGGAGATATGATATTTGCCATCTGAGAGAAGGCCTCTGTGGTTGCCTTTCGTGATGGTGAGAGTGGAGATGGAGAGAAGGGAAGGTTTGAAGTGGCGGGTGAGCGATATGGGTATTGTCGGACGTCCGAGGATTTAGAGGGGGAGCGTGACAGTGATCTGCGGATTTCCCGAATGGCCGAGTGAGGGTCAAACGAGGAGATGCCTTGGGGAGAGTGACTGCGTGCGGGATCGGTGTCCTCGCGATGAGGAGAATATGTTGTCATCATGGCTGAGACCAATTTCGATCTGGGCTTGAATATGACCAGGGGAGTTGTTCAGGTTCCGATGAAGGCCATGAGTATGTTTTTCTGACTAAAACACAGTTTTGTAGTAGTCGTAGTGTGGCATATTCTGCACCAAAAACAGCATGTGCTCACAGTGTCATAGTCGGTGCGCAGACAGAGCCAAAGTCAATCGCAACGGAGGCCTAGGGAGGTCACTAAGTGACTAGTGAAAGGACTCCGTGGCTAGGCAGCCGGACTTTGATTGTACTTGATTGTAAATGGAAGCGGAACGATGGGGATGCTTTATAGAGTTGGTCTACTGATTGATCCGGCGGTAGTTAGAACAGACAGCGGACTTGGTCTCGCGTAGTGGGTTGAATCGAATCGGTGGGTAGGTTGTATGGATGGATGGAAGTTGACAACGAGGGTAGGTACAGGAAAGCGATGGTAGATGTAGGCTGTCGAGCGCGTGAAGTGTTTGAGAGGAAGACGACTAGGAGCGATGATGAGTCAAGATGGCAGGCGCGAATGACGAGTCTTGTTGACGGGAGTGTCCGGCAGTTGGTGAGGTGATTGCGAGGGGGTTAGAAGGTGTCTGGAATAGGCAGAAGGGTCAGATGTCGAGTGGCGGCAAGAGGATGACGATCAGTAGAGGGAGTGGTTCGAACTGGATCTTGGACCTTGGAACTTGGTGCGTCTCGATGCCCAAATGTTGTATCGACCTGATTGATGATCAGCTTGGGATGAAGTGATGGTGCGTGTGTGGTGGCACGCGCGTGTTGGTTGCTTGCTTGCGCTGGCGGCTTTTTTGTGACTTGACGCGTCGCCAAGCGTAAACAACCCGTTCCTGCCTATCCCATTTAGGACTAGTGTAAATTATGATGGCGAGGGCTCTTTCGCTTAGCAAATCACTTGCTCCAGCCAGAAATCAAGGGCCTGAAAGAGGGGGTGCAACTACATTGTCCACGTGACAGGATGCCTATTTGTATGACTTTTAGGCGTGAATAGGTGTTGAAGTAGATCATGGACTAGGCACTCAAGGCGGCCCTTCGCATTGTGGATAGTCACGTGTGCATGTGCAAACCGTCGCCTCTACTCCGTACAGAGCACGCAAGGCAGCACCATCCATCCTCCCCTTCACAATCTTTACTTGGTTGATATGAATGTACATATGATGGTAGTGCCCTCTATCATACATTGCCATTTAATTTTCTCCCACCTAATTCCGAGCTTTGCAAAGGTATGCCATATTTCCAGGCCTTCTATAGGCACCGGTGTCAGTTACTCTATGCGTAGACTTGCATGCCCAAGCCAGTGAGTTGGCATCCGTTATCTGATCCCGAACCGGATCCTTTCGGGCTGAAGGATCTGGGGACCAGTTCTGTACACAGAAGAGTTTTTCTAGAGCCTCAACTAAAGTCAGTAGTTATGCGCACGTATGTGTACGAGTACACCGATACTGGCATATGAGGGCGCTCCCAGCAAGGCGGGGCCGAGCCAGCCTGTGGGAGGACATCCACAAGCACCGAGCAGTTCCAGAGTTTCCGGTGGCCAAAGTATGACAGTGGGGATTGGCCCAAATGCCATCGGCGTTCAAAGGCAAATACAGCGTTTTCGCCTTGAAGTCTGTTCACACTTGGCAAACACGGCAGCTAACGCATCCTCTAACTACCTTATTATTAGTGGACGGAAACCATGGAAGTCCTTCCGGGCCACAAGTTCGGTAAGTCACTGACAAAGTGTCAAGACGTTAGAGACCGTACTGTGCGTACCTACGAAGTACTCCGTAGGTAATCGTTCGGAGAGACGACGGATGCAGGCGCTATGTGGATTTTCATGGCGGGACAAGTTGTACAGAAACCCAGCAGATCCCTCTTTGATGATCACGTCGTTCCTTCCTTCTTGTGTGGGGGCAAATGTAATTCAAACAATCAAAAATCACCACAGAGTTAAGTGTCGTGGGTGTACCTGATCAAAATGGAAGAAGCAAGGACTTCGGCCAACAAACGAGGACCCGATTTGTGGTGGCTCAATGATGAATAATAATAATCATTTGCTGCAGTTTTACTTGGAACCCCAACAAGTCCGTTGGGCCCCAGGACTTCTCGGAGGCCCTAAGCATCTAGTCCCTCGGGGAATTATTAGGCATGTCCTTGGAACAATCAACGGGATCAGGTTCCAGGGGTGTTGGCCAGTCACCAGTCGCCAGCCTGCAAGGACACGAATGGACACGGCAGCCGAAGGGGCTAGTATGCCACGTTGTAACTCTTTCGATTACATCTTTCTAGGCAGCCACCGAGTCATCGAAATCGTCCCACAAACCCCCATGTAGCCCGAGTTGGCGGCCACGGTGAATGGCCCCGTGACTAACTTAGGAGACAACTAGGTGTTGCATGCAAGTCTTCTCATCTTTTTAAGAGCGCCATGGAGGACGAACAGTTGTCACAGCCGGACTGGCCAACTCTGTGTGTGGCAAATGAAAGTCGGACAGTCTGGACAGTCTGTAAGGTAGCCGAGAGCACTGAGCACTTGGGGAACGTTGTAAAAGTCGCCTGCACACTAGGTCGGATGACGCTAGACGATAGGGTCTGACCACAGGTCCACAGGTGACTTTAGTGTCCCTTTCTCCGTGGCTTCTGGGCTACAATAGCTGGCCACTGTTGGCTACCTACTCCGTAGGTAGGTAAGCTGGGCTACTGCTGTCTGCTGTGACGACTTCCTCCGTACTTCGTACTTATCCTATTACTTACTTACTCCTACTGACACACTCCCAATCCTATGCCCTGACCTTGAATTCGCCTTTGTCACTCAACTTGATTCTTTCTCCCTACCCTCATTTTCCATTTCTCGACAACTCTCTACCCATTGGTTCCATCTAGATTTCAATCTTTCATTCACCGCATCTTTCGCGGCTCTCTCGTCTGTCCACTCTTTGAGCGCTCCTTCCGTTCACTGTCCAGATCATCAATGCCTACCGCGACCAACCTCAGACGTCACCAATTGTCTCCATGGTCAACAAGTCTGGTCTTATAGCCAACAACGACAACAATTACCTTTTCAGTCATCCCTAAGTGGAATCAAATCACCCTTTCATTCTCTGCGTATGTGTGTGATAGCACCTTCGCCCGTCGACCTTCCTGTTGCCTTCCAAAACATCTGCACTCACTTCCTTCCTCTACCACCGATCCTCCAAGTAATGGCTATGCGCGCTGGATGAATGGGCTATATTTTACCACACTTGCCTGAAGACACAGCAGATATCCTCATATCTCGGACGATTGGATCTACCATCATGTCAGGTTCATCACTGGATGACGTCCCGTCGCTGGGCCCGCCCAATTCCGATCGAGCCAATATCTCAAGAGAACACTCCCCTGTTCGAGCCTCGCGCAGTACCTCTAGCATACCTCAATTGTCGCGCTCTCGAAAAGCCAGTCAGGAATTCAGTCCCACTAGGAATCTAAACTTGGCTGGCTCATTGTCAACCGTTCCTTCTGCTGCTGCCGTGCAGCGGGCCTTGTCTGCCCAAAGACCAATATTACAACCCAATAATGTTGATGCTGGGCCTGAAAGCAGCAGATCAACAGAAAGACCCCCGAGATCAGGACAAACGTCTCCAGCATGGCCTACTTCGCCCCGGTTGAAAAGTCCCCCTCCTTCTAGGGCAACATCTAGGTTGCCTTCAGCAAAGAAGCCCGAGTCAGAACAAACACAACCAAATACCTCAATGAAACGGCTTGCAACCACGTCCAATCCTGAACAAGCCACTGCCATCCTTGCTACTGATACTCAGGAATCTCAATCAACAAATTCCAATTTACGCGCGTCTGGAAGAGGTCCCAGTACGGGTGGGAGTGCTTTGGAGACCGTGGCTGAAAGCAGTGTCCCTAGCACACCATCGATCGGCCCGATGCTTAACTCGATTCTCGACCAAAAGATTGACGTCCCTTCTCTTGATCAGAATTCTGAAGCTCCGGCGGAGGTGCCGACCAGAGATGCAGAAGGAAGTGGTTCGGAGAATGTATCGGGGTCAAAAGCAGCTCCGCAAAAGGCAGAAAACGAGAAGCGGCCCCGAGCTCCAAGCACATCACGAACTTCAGAATTGGCCAAACGGTCCCTCACCAGCCTTTCGACAGCCAAAAAGCCGGCGTCTACGGATCCACCAAGGACCATGACGGTAGAGACCGAGACTGTTACCTCAATGCCACAGCTCCTCAATCCTGATCGTGGGGTGTCTGGTCGAGACGGCAATGGCAGCGTCAGGACAAAAGCAAGCACCGAAACGATTCGACCGAGGAAAGAGAAGAAAAAGTCGTCTCGCAAGGCTCCCTCTTTACATGCAGGCACAGTGACTTCCAAGGCTGATCTGTTTGAAGCCAAAGTTGCCAGTGCGGTCGACGAAGCTGATTCGTCGGATTCAGACGAAACGTTCGTCTACGAATCTAATCCAGTCGATCGTCCAAGCCGGCATCATTCCCGAACTCCAAGCGCAACCTCTCTTGCAAGTCAAGATCATGGGCCTCGAAGCAAACATGGCCTCCGAAGCGGTAGCCAGGCTATTGCAGGCAAGAAGAGTATGAAATTTTCCAACAGTGCCTACAGTAACCATGGGGACAGCGAGCACGGCAGCGAAGGCCGAGGGAGTCAGCGTAATGCTGCTACGACCCCAAGACACCATCATATTAGTCGGCATGGCCGACCTCATCACACTTCGATTCTAGACACTGATTCCCCGTTCACGCTAGCAAGCAAGCAGCACTCACCCCGATCCTCGGTCAACAACATCTCGCGGTTCTCGAGACCTAACAGCCCTCGGCTGCTTAATGGACGCATGCCAGCAAGCCCGCGGAAAGGGGAGTCATTTGACCCGTACGAAGATGCAGCTGATGACGAGAGGACACCGTTGATGGGATCGGTCCGCGTGAATCGTTCTCGGCACAGTCGCCGACCACACAGTGCTACATTCCGTCCAATCGAGTACAGTGACGGGTATGAGCGGACTTATTGTGGTCGCTACGGTAGCTGTGCGTTTTTGGGTTTCGTTGTTCTGATGGTGTGTGTGGGAATTACGACGTTTGTCATGGCGCTCAACAGACCACTTATGGACGTGTCGGTCAAGCACATTCAGAATGTTTTGGCGTCGGAGCAAGAGATCATGCTGGATTTGGAGGTCGAGGCTGTCAACACGAACCTCTTCGCCATTACCATTAGCGATTTGGACGTCAACTTGTTTGCGGAGAGTCCATACGTCGGCAGCAACCGTGAATGGGACACCGCAAAGCCCAATCTTCGATGGGGCACGCGGAGCACCGACTCAAGCTATTCATGGCCACCATGGCATTCTGATGATGGGGTTGACGAAGGCACAGATCCTATTGACGACCCCGAGCCAGGCACCCAAAAGATGCTTCTCGGCAGAGTGCTCGAATTCGATTCTCCACTTTCATTTGACGCTTCCCCCGTGCGGCGCATGCACGCGTCGTCAGTTGGTGAGATTCGCCTGGCCAAACCTGGTAATCAGACAGAAGAGGGTGGCTCAGCACGTTGGGAAAGAGTGTTGCAACATCCATTTGACCTCATTGTGCGGGGGGTGGTCAAATATCAGCTGCCCCTGAGCTCTAAAGTTCGCTCGGCCAAGATTGGGAGTCGCATCAAGGTGCTCCCTAGTGATGACACCGGGGATGGCGATGGATCACCTGGAATGGTGCGAAAGGGGCTGGAACCCCAGAACTAGTTGGCATGATGCCTGGAACGAATTTCATTGTGTTGTTTTAATGATTGCCGACCCTAGATTTCTAGAATCGGCAACAATGATGGACGGGATACCCAAAGGGAAAAAAAGCAAAAGTCCAAAGGAAGATCATATCCGATCATACATAGCGAGCGAGGAAATGGGAGATTGAGAGTCTGCGAGGCACAGCATTTGCATATGTGCAGGATGATTGTCGACTAGTGACACATCAGATACCTCGAGGTGGTCACACAACACCCGTGCTCTGAGGCGGGCGAGGCTATGAAGATGACCAGCACTCTGATCTAGAAGAGGCTCGATACATGCACATCTGCTGTACTCTCTCATGAAAATGAATTAACAATCATGCATGGCTTTTTTGGAAGGGTGTTGAGTTGATCAGCCTTTCGAATTTGAATTTGCAAGGTTGGCAGGGCGACCTCGATTATTCTTACCTAGAATTAACGGTAGTGCCTAAAAGTAATGCCTAAACCGTGTAACTAACTTAGAGGAGGTAGGGGAGTGTGTTTTGGTGCTTGCGGAACACCCGGGCTAGTACCTAAAGACCCAAGTTACTCGGGAAGGATGAGGCCCGAGGGCCCGTCAACGGTTTTAACCGCTTGAGGCTCAGCCCATCGCCCTCGCATCTTCGTACCTAAGAAGGTCAGTATGTACAGTGTAGCTTAGGTAGGTAGGTAGGTACCTACTATGTAGTTATACTCATCGCAGGACATACTGTACATCAGGATCCCAAAGGTCTTTGCATATACAGAGTATTTAATCACTACCATATACCAGCTAGTCACCAGTCTACCACTAATTGAGAGGGTCTTCGCCCATGATCATCGTATCTTGAGCTGCGTGGCTGCCCAACAAACTGGGGGAGGCTCTCGACAACCTGCAGCCCGAGGGCCCCTCGGCCTTAATAAGTACCTCAATCTGCGTGTCTGCTACTGTTACTATGGTGCCCAGCCCTGCCAGCCTCACATGTTCACCGATCCCTGGTACAGTCTTAGTGGACAGGTGCAGAGTTTCCCACCCAATTTGAGCCATTCAGGATCATGGTTCAGACTTGGTTACTTGCAGGCACTCTGGACCGTCCAACCTGAGTTGGAGGATGTGGTTTTATGGTCCAATCTGATGTGCAGCAAATGAGTGATTAGGCACCGTAGCTGTAAGTAGCGCCTGCCCACTTGTTGTGCACCTGTTGTCCACTCCTGCCAGCGGATGCCCTCAGCCACTGCCACTTCCTTCTCTTGCAGCCAGTGACGGTCAGTCAACCAGTGGTTAGTCCTCAGTCTTCAGTCGTGAGTCGTCAGCCTGTACTTTCTCCCACCTCTGGTCTCTCTTTCCACTGTGTCCCCCCGCCACTCTGCTTTCCATGACCCACGACCCACGATCTAACAAGACTTCGCCTCGTCATCTTCTTAGCACTCACTGCACTCACTGTTATCGTCATAAACTGCTCACATCTCTACCATCGATCCAAGTCTTGCTTCTACCATCCCTAGTCCCATTGACCTGAAACACGACGCTGCTGCGGTGCCCCACGAGTTCGCAGCCCCTCCCTCCACTGCCCCTCTGCTTCAAGCATGGGCTCCGTTTATCGAGATCGATATGATGATACCCGCACCACGGTCTCTTCCACTCGCAGAGATGGCGGTTCCGGTGGCTACACCACTCGCACTCGCTATATCATCAAAAGAGACGACTCCCGCTCTTCTGTCGACCGCGATCGTCGCTTCGCCCCTGAGCGACCAGGTGAAAGAGTAGACGAGATGAGATTCATTCGTCGCGAGGTCGAAGAACCCCCTCGCAGAGAAGAGCAGCCACGCTTCCAGGAACGTGAACTGGTCATACGCCGGGAGGTCGAAGAACCTCCTCGCAGAGAAGAGCAGCCACGCTT